ACGCTTTCCTTCTCAAACAGACGGTGCTCTCACTACGGGAATTCTTCATGGTGCCGTCCATTTTGCCGCGGCGGCGGAAAGCAGTGGCGCCAAACAAGCAGACTTCTTCATTGAACACGGAGGAAACTGGACTGCGGATGCATACACACTTCCTGGGGTGCTGGAGATGGAAGGGAATATTGCGGGGAAGCTCTGTCATGGGATGACGCCAACAGAAATAACAGACTGGATGCTTGATTTCTCCAACAGGTATAAGTCCCGAACAGGCAGGCCTCCGATTTTGTTCCTCTCAGCGGGCTGGTGGGCGAAGTGCGCCGACAACAATGCGACATTTGGAGCGGACCATGCGTTGTGGCTAGCGAATTGGGCTGAGGAGATGGGTACGTTACCAGCAGGCTGGAAGGAAGCAACATTCTGGCAATATGCTGGTTGGGATGAGAATGGGGGAGAGGCCAACGTGTTCCTTGGTAGCTCTAAGGAACTAGTAGAGTTTGCAATAGGATCTTAATAAACAACAAGGTATAATGCTTATCACCATTGCATGGAATTGAGTAATCTTTAAAATGAAGCATAAATCTCACTTCAGTTCCCATCAAAGCAGACTTCAATATCAACCACCAGAGATATTCAGCCAAGATGTCCCTATATTTCTCAAATCCTAAGATTCTTGCTGCGCTATATGCTGGAAATGGAGTATGCATACCGTGCTCAGTATATAAAGACCGCTCTGATTGAAAATTATCCCTAGTTATGGTTCACAAGGTTAAGGAAAAGGGATATACACTGATCGACGAAACCTTCTTATGCTCATTGCTGAACAACCCTCTGCTGCAAAAAATGCCTTGCTCCACTTTGGCTTCCGGCAGAAATTGATGATGCGCAGGTTGACCAAGCGGAAAACCTCGACAAATATGAATGTGCATTTACTTGCTGAGGGAGACAAATGGTAAGGCATTTGGTAAATGGAACTCATCGATTTGGGAAAGAAGCAACTTGATTCTAGTAACAGATGAACTCTATGTACCAACCGAGGAAGTTTTAAATATAACTGGTATCTAACAGAATATGTCGCTCAGCCCTATGCATGGCCCCCAGGAGTCCCATTGAACCGCACGCGCCTTAGAAATCGCTTGGGGTCCTTGATCTCCGTCCGGCAGTGGAGGAACCGTGCATTGTCCATCAGGAGAATAGAATTCTCCTTGAATATATCCTTCGAGAAGGTCTGTCCCACACTCCCCTCGCCATCCAAAACGGCATTCAACTCCATAACGGCGGCGTTGGCAATTGGATCATCACTAGGCGGATCGGCCAGGATATCACGACGGTAGCGTATAAGATACCGACCAGTATCTGGCTCGATGGACAGCAACTTATGTCTTGTCGTTGCGCTCCCCTTGTAGAACTCTGGCGGAACTTGCAGCTCAAATTCGTAGTTGAGAAGGGTCTCGATCGAGGCCGGGGAGAGGCGCTTTACGAGGTCGTCAATGGCGAGAAGGCGGAAGATGCCTCCCCCCAACTTGTCTGGATGGAGGATGTGCAGGCCGAAGTAGCGCTGCGGGCTGACCTCGAAGCACCCGTCCGTGTGCCAGGCGAATTCACCCAGACCCTGGGAAATGCTGACTACATTGCCGCCAGTTTTCTCGCTGATGACGCCACTGGGTCTGTAGGTAACGTCCCACTACGAAACATTGTTAGGAGGAATCTGCAATAGGCCGAGAACAAGAAGAGGTTCATACCAACGCGCCCTGTGTGCTGGAGTGTGTATCGGGAGTGCATCCCATTGCCTCCACGATTTCGAGCATAAACTGACTCTTGGAGTCGTCGAAGCCAAGTTCAATGGCAATGATACCATACTCTTTCAAGGCTTGTGCAAACGTGTTCTTCATATCCAGGCCGATCTCGCGTGTGGGAGCCTTGAATGTGGTACCCAACGGAAAATTGAACTCCTCGGCTTTGGGTTGTGAGGGATGAAGGAAGAAGGGCGAGGTCTTGACCAGGTTTTGGAGAAATGTGAACTCTTGAAAGGAAAATGAGGATTCCAGCCCTGATTGCTCCAGTGATGCAACGGAAGTTTTCAGTGGGGAGTGTGATTCATGAAGCAATCGTAGCATTGGTCTGGAAGCCGTCCTGACGGCAGTAAACCCATTCGAGCGGCTGGCATAGCCAGTCAGGCGTTGAAGACAAGAGCGAGGAATCTGAGAAGAAAGAGACATGGCGAAGGATTGCCAGAGGTTCCAAATAGGAAGGAGGTGTAGAAGGATTCAGTAAAAACTGTTGCTGGAGCTTGAATCTGAAGATGGTCAAACGGAGAACACGAAGGGGTTTATATATCAATACACCTCAGCTTACCGCGGGCTAGAGCGTACGAGGGCTTTGGAGAATGGCTCATTCGGAGGGCGCAAAGTACAACCCATGCATTCTCCTCATCTTCCACTACTGGGGGAGCTCCGGAGGCCGGGGAGCGACAACGTGCGCCGAATAGGTTGGACTGCAAGAAGGTGATCTTTCCAAATACTCAAGAGCGCAATGGTGCCTTCGGTTCATACATTGGCCGGCCGACTTTCCCAATTGGAATAAGTGCTTATGATCCATCGGCTTCTAATCTTCAGATGCTGTGTTCCCTGTCCCGTCGGGCAGGCCATTTGATCTCCTATCTGCAGACCAAGACCGATAGGACCATGCATGAGATGGTGGCATATGATAGGTAAAGGGGATTCTGCAATCGTGTAATAACACAAGAATCTGGCTATTCTATCAACGGTCCGGACGCTAGTTGGGGGGGGGCCGCTCCTCAATCCCTGTCATCCAAAGAGTAACGCCAAGATAGACTGATCTGCGCCAACCATTCCTTTGATTATGGCTGAGTTTTTTCACTCTCTGTGTAGGAGTAGTCAAATGTGTCATAGCGCGCTTGGTCATCCACACCGTGATTCTGATAAGGAGACAAGCCTATATCTGCGCAAATGCTTCCGTCCACAAATATATTATCGCCCTCCACAATTGGCAGCCTGTTGATTCTACAAATCGCGGTCTTTATCTACCTCATTCTGTCTCATTGGCAAGACGATATTATGTCACTGAATGGAAGGATGCCCAACGGTCACTCGCCTGAGATGTCACAGAAAAATGGTATGCGACAGCTTCAATACATCCATATCTTGCAAATCCCCATGCTTATCATTTGACCCAAAGAAGAATCTTCGGATGACTGTTCAGTAAACCGAGTTTGTGCTGGCGAGATTGGCCCTCCCTCGGTAATGCCGACGGGACAAGAGGATGCTCCCGTCGAAAAGCCATCCCGGCGGTGGCTTATGCGAGTCCTGCTTGGCATTGGGGAGTTGGCAATGGACCAATGGTTTCTGATCGTCATGGGCATCCTGATTGCGTTTTCTTCGCAGGTCCAGGTGCCGCGAGCTCATCAGGAACTGAAACAGACGATGATCAACTACATGTCCGTGGCCATCATCTTTTTGATCAACGGCTGCACGCTGCCCACCACGGTTCTGGTCGAGAACCTTGGCAGGTGGAAGATCCATATCTTCGTGCAGGTGCAATGTTACCTTTTGACCTCAGCGACCAGCTACGGGGTCGTTAGTGCCGCGGCGGCCAATCCCAGATTCATGGACCCTGCTCTGCTGGTGGGCATTGTCATCATGGGCTGTCTTCCTACCGCGTATGCACCCTTGTCTTACCAATCTGAAATTGATAAGGACTCACGTTCACTAATGAGAAACAACGGTAGCATTGCATTCAATACGATCATGACTAGAAAGGCCAATGGAAATGCTGCCCTGACTGTGGCGCAATCCACCATAGGGAATCTTCTGGGTCCCTTCGTGACCACTGCGCTGATCAAGCTGTACACCAGTACAGATGTGTGGTATGTGGGCATTTTACCAGAGTCGCAGGGATTTGGTGAGACTTATCGGTATGTCTTCAAGCAACTGGGACTCTCGGTGTTTGTTCCATTGGTGCGTCTTTCTTCCCATTCCCTGCGCATTCTGACGGATTTGTTTTCGATTGACATGTCATGGACCTCTAGGCAGTGGGCCAACTAGTAGTCAAACTGTTCCCTAACCTGGTGAGAAAAGTTCTCGTGGAATGGAAAGTGAGCAAAATCAGCTCTTGCGCCTTGCTGGTGCTTATCTGGAGCACCTATGATGGGGCATTTGCTTCTAATGCCTTCGGTAACATCCCCTCGAACAACATGATCTTCACCGTGTTCATTCTCGTCGCCCTTTTCTTTGTCTGGATCACTATCGCCTTTGTGGTATCCCAAATCTGGCTTTCTCGCGAGGATACAATTGCGGTAGCATACTTGGTCTCCACAAAGACCCCTGCGATGGGTGTGCCATTGACTACGATTATGTTCGCGGGCCTGACTGCTGCAGAGCAATCTCGGACGCGACTTCCCATGGTGATCTTCCAGGCTATCCAGATATCTGGCAGTAGCGTGTTGACGATATTGCTACGCAAATGGCAAGCGCGGGGGAAGGTTGACCGGACAGAGGAGGACGATTGACCACCAGAGGGTATTTTGCTCCTGGAAGGCCAATGGTCTAGATTGTGTATGAAGCCCAACATTCTCGCAGTATCCCGAGTTATCGGACCAAAAGTTCCTATCGAAGGATCAACATCCTGGTCCTCCACCATCGCATCATTCCGACAGTGCCTGAGACAATCTTTGTTATCTAGATGATCCATAGAAAGAAATGGCATACGTTCCTCGTTCAAGGCGCCTATAAGCATTATCGCAGGGTGGAGAGTGGCTGCATCCAACAAGAGCTATTAAAAAAATCCTGTGTCAACCTGTCGAGTTGAAACCATTTATCCTGCGCTAACTCCAAAAAATATGAACTCTTTTTTTTTTTCGAGAATTTAAAATTCTCTTCATTAAAATAGCTACTTAGGCCCTACTCCAAACGAATGAGCGCTGATCTTGGCTTGGCGCCATGGTAGTCAAGGGTTTGGAATTATCGTCCGGCGTGTTTCGGTGCCGATGCTGATGAACGACTTCTGATAGCTACACAACTCCCTCTTGGCCTACAGTGGGATTTCGTGGGATGCGTCAGCATGCATCTTCTATCACTTAGTCACACAGTGGATGTAAATCTGCCAAGAGAAGCCCCTTCCAGATGTTTTATTTCCTCGTGGCCTAGCATATAGAATTATGTACCTACTACTAGACGGTAACATCGTTGTCCATTTTCTTGGCCTACAGCCACACACAGGTGTTGGAGCTAGTCAACTGAGATGCGATGATGTATTTATGACCACTTGCTCTGACTCTATAATCCCAGATAAGGGTTATGAACAATATCTTCAACTCTCCGCGGCTTATCTTGACGGTAACAGCAGGAGCATCAACCTCCGACTCCACTGCCATGAACAGACTAACCAGTGCTGCCTAGGCGGCAGTGGAGGGAACAGACCCACCACCAATCCAGCCGAAGAGGAGGAGACTGAATGTCTGCCCGAAGCTGTCCATGGCGTGCGTGGGCCCGAAGAGGTCCCAGGTTGTAGTGTGATGTACCGACCTGGGATGGTTGGTGCATTGGCAATTACCCGGCGTATGAGCTTGCGCCGCTCCCAACCGGGAAAGGTCGGTATCTGAATGAAGACGGCCCAGTGAGCGATCCAACTAGTCAATACAGTTGTACAGACAGTCGTAAAAGCTCAGTCTGGGAATTCATGGAGTATGGGGAGCCTTGCTCTTCATTCCAGGTGATATCACTGGCCTTTCTCTACTCAATCCTGCCCAAGGTCACAATGCCAAGCACTTGAGTTGTCCACAGATAGTCGAGTCTCGCTTGAGGTGTCGAGAAGATGATGGGGTGGATTGCCCCATCTGCGTATGTCTGTGCGTGTGCTCGGTTAGGGACATTATCAATCATTAGACAAGATGGGGCAAGGGAACAATTACAGTTCCAGCGGTGGCAAGAAAAATAGCCGACGCCTAATGTTGCTGAACGCTCAATGGAACGAAACGAAGCTAAGGCTAGCCACATAGAGGATTACACTATCAAGAACCGAGACAGACAGCCAGTGCCAAGAGAATCCCATAGCATCGATAAGCTTTAGTTATATGGGAGTGGGGGCAGTGGATGGGAAACCTTGTAAAGCCAGTAAATCGGACGTTGCGCGCTCCAGCCAGCCAGAACAATGATTCTCTTAATCACGGATTCCTGTTGCGCCGCTACATCGTTGTAAAAGCCCAGAATCTACCCCTATGCGGCCGGGCTCTTTGGTCTTCAATACTGTTTGGAGGACTCACTACGACGATAAGAGCGGGATATCCAAATGCAACCTCTGCTCCGCTTGAGTTCTCGACCTTAGCAGTCATGTATAGATGGCATTCCTGACGTTTGATCGCTAAAGGTAAAGTATAGTCTGATTTCGAAGTCTGTCTACCTTTGCAATATCTCGATATCTGTTGGGTATTGAGTCACTCTACGACTCCACTAAGTGCTTTCAATGCTAACATCTCCTAGCTCAGCGATTGACAGAATAACCGAATGCCAGCAGCTCGGAAGATATGTACCTACTGATGGGTTTAGTATATACAGATCAGCATGCTAGGTCCGACAAGTTCTCAACCGTCTGCTTCAACAGAACCACCACGAGTCATTCATCACCATCGTCCAAGGCGAGCAAGTACATGGTACCACAAATACAGCAAGGTTAGGACTGTTCGGCCTGCAATGGTCTGAAATTTCCCTTGCTCTTTGTTTCTCAATTGTGTCAAGTCAGTTATGATCATTGACCGCCATTCAACATCCTTCCGGGAGGCAGACATTCAGGTACCAATTCGGGCCGTTCGGCAACTTTCACAGCCTTTTTTCCTTGTCTGCGACTGCTGCGACGTATGACTCGTCCGTTTGAAGGTACCCTTCTTCGCCTTCATCTTCTCCTCCGCCTTTCATACCTCCGAAAGCCAGCAACAGGAGTTCTCAGAGCGACTAGTAGCCCAATCCTATTTTGCACGAGTCAGGCGTACTCCGGTACGATGTGTTGACCGATTAATGGGCACATATGTGGGGGCTTATACTTTTGCATAAGGCCCAGGCAGAATGAAGAACTCGGTAGTGTGATTTTGGCTTCGGGAACTTCATTCAATGGGATTGCAATCATAAGTAAGGTTGCTCATGACATTAGAATAGCTTGATATCATTGAATTACATCAGAATGGAAGTCGGTTCAATGAGCGCAGGTGCCATTTGACTCTTGTATCCCGGCTGTAGGTATGCCCGAGTAGTCTCAGCTCAAGGACTCACATTCCGTCAAGATGATCAACGAAACCACCATATCTTCTGTCGAGGAATATGCTAAAGCCTCGATCTGGGGCATCTCGGCTCGGGTATTTCTGATTTCGTCATGACAACTCCAATGGAAAAGAGCAGTATGCACAGGCTATCTATCCACAAGACCATGCAACATTTCAATTATGAACAGGAAAGTGATTGAATTAAGCTATTGTGGAGCCTGACAGCAAGATATATATATTAGGTATTAACATATTTCTTGGCTGTTGATAAACAGACTGACGGGATTAATTAAAATGTTGTCTTGCGTCATCCTGCGAAATGTCGGCGTAGGGAAAAAAAAAAAAAAAAAAAAAAAAAAAAAAAAAATCAATTAATGATTTTGAGAGGTTTTTAATATTCAACTGGTCATTCTAGTATACTAAAATCTAGGTGAAATTTGAGAGGATCCTGACTGAGAGGTATAGAGGGACGTAGAATGAAGATATATATATTGTAGCTGCAACAGGAACATTCCTGGGTAGATTCGAACTGACGACTTACCGTGCTTAGGTCAGGTGATCTAAATATACCTAAAACACTAGGCTATTCGATAAATTAGAGAGGAATCTGTTCTTTAGGGACCGATTTTGATGGACACAAGCCCAGGCATTATACCAGAAAGAATGATCAGTTTCCTGCCCCTCTGCCAAGACCGGGTGCTGCAAAGATAACCGAACCTTGTTAGAATTCAATTTATAAACGGGGAACATAACCCAGATAAGCCACCCGAGTCCGTGTGGATGGGGATACGGATCACGGAGTATATCTAGTCTGATTCCCCACGGGTTCGGGATGAAGTAAGTCACTTTCACTTTGGCTTACTTCCTTGTCCAAGTTGACTACTCTGTACTTACTCCTCCTCGCCATTTTCAAGGCAGATAACCAGAACCCCCTCCAAAGAAGCCGCGCGAAGAGGAGACAACCTTGGCAAAATACATCTCTCGGAGTTTTCCCGCCTTCGTTGATCCACATCGTCGGTCGCATCCGACACCGATTTCGGTCAACGCCGGGAATTCCTTGGGGACCACAGTGACCGCAGTGTCCGGGAGGATTTCACATTTAATCGACTAGACACTCAGCTCTGACTTGGTCACAGCTTCTGCTTAAGTTAAGTCATCGGGTCCAAAACAATCACCAGATCCCTCTCGCAACGACTCACCTCGATTACCGCCATCATGGGCAACAACCAGAACCCCCGTGCCTATTATGCACCCACCGGCGGATTGCCGCCCCAGACACAGCTTCTCACCGACCGAGCGATGTTCACAGAAGCGTATGCGGTCATTCCCAAGGGCACCTTCAGCGACATCGTGACGAGCTTCTTACCCTTCTGGGAGAAGACGCGGTTGTGGGTGATTGCCCGTCCGTTGTCGGGCTTTGCCGAGACCTTTTCGCAATACATCATGGAAGTGCAACCCGGGGGCGGCAGTGACCGTGCCGAGCTCGATGACGGGGCCGAAGGCGTGCTGTTTGTGGTCGAAGGCGAGGTGACGGTGACCGTGGGAAGCGAAAAGCACACGCTCACCGAGGGCGGTTATGCCTATCTGCCGCCGAAAAGCGGATGGACTCTACGCAACGAGGGCGCCGCTACCGCCCGTTTCCATTGGATTCGCAAGGCGTATGAATATGTGAACGGGCTGGAGGCGCCGGACCCGCTGTTCCGGAACGAAAAGGAGATCGCGCCCACCGAGATGCCGAGCACCAACGGCGCCTGGGCCACCACACGGTTCGTGGACCCGAACGACCTGCGTCACGACATGCATGTTACCATCGTCACCTTCCAGCCGGGAGGTGTCATTCCTTTCGCGGAAACCCATGTGATGGAACACGGGCTTTACGTACTGGAAGGCAAAGCGGTGTACCGGTTGAATCAGGACTGGGTGGAGGTGGAAGCAGGCGACTTCATGTGGCTCCGTGCCTTCTGCCCACAGGCCTGCTACGCGGGTGGCCCCGGTAAATTCCGCTACTTGCTCTATAAGGACGTGAACCGCCACATGAAGTTGTCGCGTTCGTAATGTGCGGGGGAGGAGAATGGTAGGGAAGTGCACGCCCCACGCCACTGTACTCGCCGCGCCACCATAGTAGAGCGGCTTTAGGGAACCGGGGAATCGGGAGGTGGAGAGGAACGGGGCCAGGACTGAGGTAGAGAGATGCTGCCACACCGTCCGTCAACCTACGTTTGAGCTGGCTGTGCTCATAATCCGTAGATGGCAAGGCCTACTACGCGGGCCGACAGTCTAGATATCTCACTAGGTCCCTTATCGAATGAATCCAGATCATGAACCAAAACCAACCGACCTGTGGGAGCCGACAGAATCGACAGAACAGCTAGAGAATGGGCTTGTAGACCTCCATGCCGTAGGGCGACCAACTCTCTACATGCAGGAGAGGATATCATTTCGGACTTTGGAAATGACGTCCCCCACTTCAATCCGAGATCGAGTGGGCAAGAATCTCACTCCTCATACCTATCACCCTTGCAGACCCCCGTCTTGGCCGATATTCGGAGACCGCCAGCCAAGAGAAATGAATAGTCCTTCGGTCCTTCCCCCATTTGATCTGTTGACCCCACACAATATCCAATATCGAATAGGTGGCTTCACGTGACCATCTGGGCAAATTGCTTGAGATAGTGTCGGTCCACCGCGCCCTCCTCACCTTGCCGGCCAGCCTGCAGGACATGTACTCCCAAATGCTGCACGATCACTCGCATCTGGCCGCTGTTCTATAGCTGGTAATGCATGCCACGCGGCCTCTCTTCTAGCAATTCGTCCCAAACGGGCACGACAGGGAGAAACGCAAACGCTCCTCTTTGGGTACATCGGCGCCAGCTCCTGCGATACTGCTGAGCGCCAGAACTCCTGGGGAGTAACCGAACAGTTGAAGCGCTTCATTGAGCTTGGGGCCAGTGTGTCTGTGCCAAACAGGATATCCTGCCTTGTATCAGAAGAATGCGTTGTATATATATACACCAGTTAACCCGCCATTCCTTTTCTTCTCTCATTACTTGTGGAGTCGAATTACGTTTTCGACTTCATGTAGAGCCATCATATATAGTATGGGAGATGGCAGCTAGAACCTCTTAACAAACTATATCCAGGTGAAAGTCACAGAAGTCACCAGTCTTTCGCCACTCATCCAGGGCATTCATAAAGTCATTCAACCCATCTGGCCACGGCCCAGAAATTGCCAATCTCCTTTGCTCCTCTATTGACACGTCTTCCATGCTGCCCTCGGCGTTAAAGTATGACGGTGTGCAACCCACTACGGGCGCCCGTGCTGCAGCCCCGGCTAGGACTCGCATGCCCCAGGCAGTCTCGGCGGCCTGGGTGGGTTCAATGATCGCTTTACCGCTATTCTGATGCCGGGTGCTCTCTGATAAGATGAAAGCCACATGTTTTGCAAACGTGTCTAGCGTCGACGTGTAGGTGGGGGCCACACCCGCCTGGTTTGAACTGGAGAAGAACATGTTAGGAAAGCCATGGGTGGCGATCCCATGCAGAGTCAAAGGTTCTCGGCTCCATTTTTCGTCCAGACTCCGGCCAGCGCGTCCGAAGACCGAGATTCCAGATCGTGCCCCGGGACTATCAAGTACTCCCAGCTCAAAGCCCGTGGCAAAGATCAGCACGTCGAGATCGAACTGTGCGTTGTTGGCCACCATACCAGTGGCCGTGATAGCCTGCACACCTTTGCCGTTGGTGTCGACGAGTCTTACGTTAGGACGATTAAACACACCCAGATACTCGTCGTTGAAGCATGGGCGTTTGCACCATCCGGGATACCAGGGTTTGAGCTGTTCAGCCACCGCCCTATCGTGGACATTCTCCTGAACGCGGGTCCGGATGCGTTCAGACCGAGGCAGGTCCAGGGCATGCATCTTGGCTATATGAGCTGGGATCCCCTCCGCACTCACTGAACTGCCCCCGCCAGTGAGAACATGGAAGGTTGGGAAGCTGGTCCATGCGTCGGCGACCATATCGACAGGGGGCAGGGGCTGGGTATAGGCCGTGAAGGAGATGAAATTCTGGATTCGGTTTTGTTGCCATCCAGGTGCAGTAGCAATTCCCTGGGACCACTCCGCTAGATCCGTCTTGCGTTGACGCCGGAAATCGACTGGGGCAGGAGTCCGTTGGAAGACGTACAGTTCCCGACTCCACTTGGCCAATTGAGGCACGGCCTGAACGGCAGTCGCGCCGGTACCAATGATACCTACTCGTTTGTCCTGCAGGTTGATCAGCGCCGGCGCCTCCTGGCTACCCCCAGTCACATTATAGTCCCACCGCGAGGCGAGAAAGCTTGAGCCTTGGAATGTACTGAGACCGGGCACGTTGGCTATCTTGGGTTTGTTCAGTAGCCCGGGAGCAAGAATCACAAAGTGCGCCCGGACTGTGGCCGAGAACGGCTGTGGCCTTGTTCCATTCCTCCCAGTGGGAGGGAACTGTGTCATCTCGAGGACCCATTCTGTAGCATCGTCGCTCCAGGAACATTTATTTAGAAGTGTGCGAAACATAGCTCGGTGTTCGAGCGACCATTGCGCGGCAATGCGATTTGCATGTTCGCGGAGCTCCTCACCCGACGCGTACTTATACCTGGGGATGTATCCGGTCTCTTCGAGCAATGGCATGTAGATGTAACTTTCAACATCACACGTCAAGCCGGGATACCGATTCCAATACCATGTGCCGCCAAATCCAGCGGCCACGTCAATCAGAACGATTTCATCAGAGCGGAAGCAGCCAGTTTCGAGCAATCGGACAGCGAACAGGAGCCCACCAAAACCGGCGCCCATGATGACCACCTTGAAGCACATATCGTCCTTCAAAGTAATAGATGCAACGGAACCATCATCCCAAGGATCATCCAGAAGACGTTTCAAACGAGGGTTTCTGGAGGAGCTCGGATTGACGTACTGCAGCAGTCCATCAGCACGCTGACGTTTGCTCCGTTCGTCCGCGTACCGTTGCTGAATGCTTTGAGCCACGGATGGCGAGACCGTCTGACGGGTGGGAGCACAATTGGCATCCTTTGTGGTATTGGACGGGACCGGGGCAGAAATGCTTTCTGTCATCTGTGCCATTGCGTTCGTGTTCTGTGATACCGACGGTGATCTTGTTCCCTAAGGTCAGATTCACCAGTTTCCAACCCTTCCGACCAGAACCGACCAGGACCAAAAGCTGCCCTATTTTATGTCACCTTCAGCTCTTTCCTCGCCCACATGGAGCCCGCTTGGGTAACCGACAAACGCAAGCCTTTTGTTGAAAAGAAGAAGAGGAAGAAGGAATGCAAACAGCACTCCTCTAATCTTCAAAGGTACCTCAGGATACGGATTCCTTCGTGCTGGAGGGCAGACAAGTTGCAAATGAGTATATCGATATGATAGGAAAAGCCTGAATTCTCTCTCGCCATTAAAGGGCGGGGTCGTCGGATTATAGTCACTTCACTGCATACTTGGCACCATACGATCACAGGCACCCTTGCTGGAGACGCCATCATTCGATAGGGGCAACTCGCTGAAACTGACGTTGGCGAATCCAATGCGGAGATGGCGGTAGGAAGGCCCATCCAGGGCCATCACGATTACCAGAGTAAGTCGCATGCAGGAGATACGTACCCTAACGCCGTCGCCCATAGGCTACACTGACTCAAGGTCACAGCGTGCGTTGATTCAAAGTATCCGTATCTGCCATGGTGTTGCATTTTGCAAGGGCTCGATGTCAGCGAACGCATCTATCACTCCTAAATCGAATTCAATGATTGGCCACTACTCCAGCTAAGTATGGTAACCCTCAGAACTGTATTGTTATTGTCTTTGCACCCTCTACCGTTGGTATAAACATACTTGTTCTGATCCACTTGAGTTGGCCCCTGTAGGCCTTGGTTATCACAGTGGCCAAACGCTATTTACATTACGATCAACACCAGTTCGAACACGTCTTCTGGGTTCGCAGGACGGCAGTATCACCGACAGAACGACCGTGAGACACCTATGTAGGCAGCGTTGTATTACCTACCGATGGAATTCTCCCAATTGACATGATCAAACCCCTTCCCACTAACCTGAGTTGTGAGATTCTGCGTCACTGGCTGTCCATAACCGAACGAACGGAAGGCATGATCATACTCCTGGTCAAAGACACTCGGGTTAATGCTGTCAGACTAGCTAATCTGTTGCAGCCATGAGGGGGCATGGAAGATCATTATGACCCTGACAGCTGCAAGCTTTCCGGAGGTAAGGAGTACTTTGATTCCTTGAAAGAGAGTGCGCACGAGACATTGAAACACCCCACATACAATCTTCTCCAGAGTATGTACGCGTGGCTAGCCTTTACCAATGTGGATCATCCACTATTATTCAGACAACACATCCAATGCCACGATGTCGATTGTGTTTGTTTTTCTGCGTCACGGAGCAATATTCCGTAAACGGAGGCGCTACCCATCATCCGGAGGCTGAAAGTTGGTTGTTCTGTGTGGGCGTTGAACCATAGTGATACCGAGGTCCCATAGCGATCCCCTATGTTGAGAATAAGCCCAATATCGGATCACCCATGAAGCCGCCGAAAGACACAACAGTAGTCCGCTGTGGTTGCTGCCTGATAATGGCCCGTACGCCTGAATAAAAAGTGACCGAGTCCTGCTCAAGACCGTGCTATTGGTGCATCGGATACAGGAGCTACAAGCGAGGAGCACTAAACATCGAGTATGACTGGAACTGCTCTGACCGGGATTTAGAATATCACCTTGTCGAATGCTGCATGCAGTCCCCGAAGTTGCAACCACGCCTCCAGCGCCTGCATGTCTCCCCGATTGGCTCTGTGTCCACTCCGTTCCCCCAGGGAATCTGTGATTTCTTCCATCCCAGAGAAAGCCCGTTGCACGTTCTCTGTCTCGCGAAATCGCTCACTGACCTTCTTCTGGTGACTCGGGATATCGCCCCACGAGTGTGTCTTGATAAACTTCATATACGCATCAATCTGGGGTGATTCCCCCTCTAGGCATAATACGCCCGGTTTGCCCGCCAACACGAAACCCGTGAGACCATAGTCGGGCGCGTGATTGACTAAATCATCCCGTTTCTCCCGAGTTGAAAGAGATGGGAAATAGAACCATACCCTCACAATAGGTAGAGAAACGTGAGGGGTGGTTCCAGTGACTGGATTCTGCTGAGTTTCGAGAAAGCGAACGGCTTCTGCCTGGATGTATTCGAATGCCTCGAACACGTCGCCTGCAGGCATTCCAGCGGCCAGCTGAGCAACCTCAGATTTGGACATCCATTCAGGTTGGCGCAATGAATAACTTAGTGGCGGCGGCTGTTCCAGTTGTATATCCTCGCAGTGCAATGGAATTGATATGTTGACCTGGATGGTTTTCTCTCCGTCTCGAACTGGTAAACAAACAGCGAGCAATATACTGGAAGGGATTGCAGACGGTTCTACGGCTGGGTTCTCGCACCAGCTGCGGAGGAGTTCAATGCATTCAGCTGTCGATGCCGGGATCTCGAGCTCCCCTGGAGACGGAAACATGGCTGCCAGGAGGTCCACTATCGACAACTGTGATTCCATCAGCTCCACGGGGAGCATAGATGATTGTTTTGGCGCCATGTTGAAATTGTCTCGAGTACGCCGCACATGGATCGCTATTTTTCAGGGAATAAATGGAACTGTGGCTCTCATATAACAATACAACAGGACGTGACTGAGAGTCCTGATTAGCATTTGCATCCAGAAGATGCACAGATCTGAGACCGCAGCGTGGAGATTTGACAACAGTGGCCTCCGGTTGCGGAATATCTATCATCCACCACGATCATCCGCCGCCGATATAGGAACATAGCGCTCGGGCCAGGGCCAGCATACTCACAAACGCGCACATCGACTACGATTTCTTCTTGCTTTGAAGGATCTTCTCCTACGCACAGAATCAGGGGGATGTCGTCTGGTTTCCTCTCTCGAGATTGATATTGCGATTGACTACTGGAGTTATATACATAGAGAAGGCTATAATCAACCATCAGAAAGGTAGTACGAAGTGCGAGTTCTCTTCGGGTTGTGCTATAAACCGCCTTGAAACCAGAGTAACTCGCAGTATACTCGAGATGTCATGTGCTCATGGCTGGGCGATACATCGGAGTAGCCGAGATCCAAACTATCACTTGGTTTGTCGAGATTATCCCTCAGTGCCTCTTCCTGTATGGTGGTAAGATCCAGCTGTAGTGCGGGAGCGAGTTTCGACGCATCCTCGACCAACTGAAGAAAAAGGAACATCGCCTCCTGGTAATGCATCACGTTGTGAAAGCTGGCGCGCTTCACGACCGCAATGATCTGGATAGCCTGCGCCCAGAGGTCCTGCGCTGTCTTCGAAGCGAGAGGCCCTGGCGTGCGAAGAAGGACCCAAAGCAGGTACTCCGGGGACAGTATCTGGGGGTTTCTGGTGAACAGCTGCTCGAGTGATAATAAGAACAGCTCAGTGTGCTTAGAGAGGTCGCCGAGCTCCATGAGCACAAGGTTAATGTATATGATGCACGCTAACCTGCAGTTGTCTGTCCGGCATCGATCGCCCTGTATCTGTACAGACCGATTGTTGCTGGCGGGTTGAGGTATGAATGTGTGAGACTGCTCTGTAGTGCCTCCAGTGTAAGGTGGCTCAAGGATTTGGTGCAACACACGGCCGGTTTGGAAAGCCGATATTCGTCGAGGATATAATTCGCCCTGGAGCCGTGCTTCTGCTTCTGTGTTTGGCAGCAGTCGTAGTATAGAGGTCTTCCGCCTTGTGTAGGATTGCACAAAACTGTGACAGTTTCTGACCATGCTGTCGGAAGGAATTCGGAAGTCATAATTCCCCCCTGCAGTGTGAGTGATTTGGGGGCAATTGAAATACCCATCCCGTGCATTCAAGAGCGCGAAGCAGTTCCAAACTGCTTTGGCATACATCAGATTGTCGTCAGTGAAGGCATCCGCTCCACCTTTGGCATCGATAATGTCGTACATGGCCCTCCAGTGCATTCTAAATATGTTGACATCACCCCACATTCGCTCTGCTGCGGAGAGTAGGTATATGGCCATGATCGTCCCGTTATCGGGATACCGGCCCTGAAGTTTACCATTGCCAATTTGGCTGTTTACCTCCCGGATAGTCTTGAGTTTAAAAGTCAACGAGAGAGATTCGCCTGTGCAATCATCGTGAAGACTCTCCCTGTGACGAGCTGAATGATACAACATCCCCAGAAATGATGCAGGGTGTAGACAGTACAGGCGGAACAGATCCACAGCTGGTTGGTGTTGCTGACTGTCGGTTCGGCAGGCCATGGGTACTAGAGTGGGAATCACTCTTGTATCTGTCGGACCTTGTTAGCACCAGCCCCCTGGCTAGATCGGGGATGAAACATACAGTGATCCACAAGTAGCTGAACCTCGGGCGAAGGATGAATTGGGAGGATTTGGAAAGGATCCAGGCCGCCGAGACTGACAAAGCACGGCATGTGGTCCCCCTCAGAGGTGTCTTTTTCCGATGTGATTGCCGTAAGCTTTATTCGCTGGCCGTATTGACGCTTCTTGATGGAGACTTTGGCCAGGTCATTGGATGACTTGAAGCATCGGAAGAGATCCTTCTTCCCGCCATTGCTACACAGCCTGAGCTCACGCAATCGCTCACTTACTACATGCGAACGAGCTTTTCGTCGATGATGCCGGTCTGTGGGATCAACGAAATGATACTGTCTTTCGAAGGGCACAAGGGCATCGGTGATGAAGCTGGGTCCGGCGACCCTGGTTGGCCGAGAGTGTCCCATAGAGTCTCAGAGAGAGCATGATTCCCTGGCCAACCTGTCTGGTCGAGCAAGTGCAAGTTGAAAATCCATGTCGAAGTCGAGATAACCCGATGAAATCAGGTGATCCGCAATGTTGATGCCAAGAGATGACACTAGTCCCAATATGTGTTAGTGCAAATCTGGAATGACGTTGTGATACTTCCGAAAAGGGAAATTTCGAAATACCTCAACATCGCCGCAAACAAACCACCCACCAGCGGATAAGAAAAGGGGTTCTTTCCGATGGCTTCTCTCTCGGTCTACGCTGATAAATCAACCATAGATACTGGGATGGTCCACCGGAGAGTGAATCAGAAATAGATCAGTACCGGTCAAAGATTTGTATATATATATCACTCTCTGGCCTCTGTCCTCGAGAACAAATCATCAACACTCATCGTGTGATAGCTATATCTTCCGCCACTTTCTACTCGATACTTTCAATTTCAAGATGTCTGACTCTCAAGAGCCACATATCATCCTATACACCACTCAGACCCCGAATGGGAACAAGGCCTCTATTCTTCTGGAGGAGCTCAATATTCCATATCGAGTGTACAAACACAACTTCAGCGCTCGAACCCACAAAGAGCCATGGTACCTGGATATTAATCCCAATGGTAAGATTCCGGCCATCACCGACGTGTTCTGCGATGGCAGGGAGATACATATCTGGGAGTCGGGCAATGTCCTGAAGTACCTAGTCGAGCAGTACGACCCCGACTTCAAGCTGTGGTATCCCCACGGATCTCGCGAGAATTACGAACTCTTCAGTTGGGTAGGTCTATATAGCCCAGTTTCCAATGTGAGTAAGCAGCTGATCATTGTAGCTCTTCTTCCAGGTCAGTGGCATTGGCCCTTTCCAGGGTCAGGCCACACACTTCCTGCGGCATGTGCCGGAAAGAATCCCATATGCACTCGACAGATACCACAACGAGTCTCGACGGTTATATGCAGTGCTTGAGAAACAGCTCTCGAAGAAATCCAAGGGTTATATTGTGGGGGATAAGTTCACCATTGTGGATATTGCGTTCTGGAGTCTCGCGGCGACGGCTCCATGGGCTGGTCTTGACTTGCGCGAGTTTCCTGCAGTGCACGAGTGGTACGAAAGACTCCTGGAGAGACCGAGTATAAAGAAAGGCATGAATGTACCAGAGCCACACGGAGTCGTTGCTCTCGCCGCTGACAAGAGTGGAGAATTGACGAAGAAGTATGAAGACTTCCATCGGAAGTGGGTTATGGAGGGAATGAAGAACGACGCACACGCACTGGAGCAGCAGCGAAGGGGACAGTCTAGCTAGGCTTTGATGAATTCTCCGTAGATAAATCACCATATCCTCGGATTACTACAACCCGTGCTGAAGCTAGAAGGGCTTAGAACGGCTCAATATCATTCTGAGTAGGCTACTATTTGATTTCTTCCATACACTACATAGTGTTAAGCCGGTACAAGCATAATCCAGCTACCAATTCAGAAAATGTTTCGTTCGGGACAAGAAATATCGTCGCTCAGCGCTCTATAATGCAATGTCCACACCCAAGACCACTTTATAGCACCGGTCTGGCTCTAATCACTGCCAAGGGGTTGGGTGGCTGGCTTCGAATTTGTCAGCCCTGGGCCTGTTGGGTATAAATATGGCATCCAGTCTCTAATTTACTTCCTGCTATAGATATTTATAAAGAGATAACAATTATAGACGTAGCAGACGTCCCATTATTTCCTCTGTTGCCATCATGTCCCAGCCGAACAACGGTCCAACTTACGACAAAGAACTCGTGTCTCTTCATGGCACAGTCCATTTTAACCCAGTCACCACACTCGATGACATTCACGAACTTCGTCGGCTTACAAGATCCAGGCTCGACGGCATCCTTGAGCACCGGCAAGTGAAGCATCAGACATACATCATCCTAGGGCCGGGCGGCGATCTTCAGGTGTCGGTCTTTCGTCCGTCCATTTTGTCCCCATCCCGCTCGGGGGATACTCCAGCTATTATTTATATCCATCCGGGAGGGATGGTAGCTGGAGACCGATTCACTGGCATTGAGCTGATGCTTGAACATGTGGAACAAGAACACGTTGTTTGTATTACGGTTGAATATCGCCTTGCCCCGGAGCATCCATATCCGGCTGCTCTCGAGGACTGCTACAGCACACTTGAATGGGCAAGGGACAACGCAATCAATCTAGGTATCAGTCCATCCAAGTTCATTCTTGCCGGAATGTCCGCTGGGGGTGGGCTTGCAGCCGGTGTTGCTCTGCTCTGTCGCGATCGCGGGGGCCCATCTATTCGGGGGCAGATTTTGATTTCTCCCATGCTCGATGACCGCAATATCACCATGTCCAGCCGTCAATATACAGATAAAAGCCCCTGGCCACGAGAGAGCAATGTGTTTGCGTGGAAGTGTCTTTTAAACGGCGAACAAGGAGCAGCCACTCTCCCGGTTTATGCGGCCCCTGCGCGCGCCAGCGATCTCTCTCTCTTACCTGCGACCTACATTGAGTGTGGGTCGGCAGATGTGTTTCGGGATGAGGATGTGACCTACGCGTCTCGCCTCTGGGAATATGGTGTCCAGTCCGAGTTGCATATCTGGCCCGGTGGTTGGCATGCATTCCAGATCTACTCCCCAGAGTCGAAGTTGGCAAAAATGGCAACGGAGACACGCTCTTCGTGGCTTCACAGACAATTGACCGACATGGAAGCAGACAATGAATAACTCAATAGTGCAATCGGCCATACAGAGGGCTCCATTAGGATGATAGTTTGATGCAATGGCTGGGGGAAGATCGCCGCATGGACATCTCCTGGCCACTCACATTCGAATAAAGAGCATGACATGTACATAGACCTCTTTACTATCCATTTTTTGACTGTAATCTTCATGGGGATGAGCTGACAGCAATCCAAAATGCCTGATGTTCTTGTTCCTAGTCTATTTCTCTTTCTTCAAACCCGGAATTAATGACAATTTCTATCCCAATTTGCTCTCCAGCACGGTATAAGCTTCGTACACTATCATGTTTTTGGTTCCTTTAGAGAATGGTCTCAAAGACTATCTGGCCGTGCGTCTCGTTATACTGCTTGTCGAGTGTTTGCCATATTCGCGCGGTGGAATGTGGGTGTGGAAGCACAAACGTGACACATTGAGGCGATGTTACAACCAAGCTACTCACCACATGGTCTGGATAGCAGATCTAATATACTACGGGAAAGTAGGATCCAATCGCCTATTGCTGCTCTGATTACTGCATTATCATCGATACTATGAAGACGCCACCTGTGCGGCTGAAGCATAGCATATACGAGGTCATCCATCCAACCCACCTGGTGGAAGGCGCTATTTGAAGCCCCCCTCAACCCAAGCCTTTGATTTGCAACACAAGCTTTCTTCCTTTCGAGCTTGAAGAGTTTGCACAGTGAATATAAGGAAGGCGTCCAATCAACTGGCGCAGCATATTGATCAGCTTAGCGCCCAGCCGAAAGGGAATCCTGCCGTGTCCCACCCCGTAGGACACTCTCCACCACCTACCACCATGACTGCAGCAGCTTCAGATGGGGTAGACTGCATTGGCAGAGTGGCATTTTTAATATAGCATACTCAGTTCTTCGTTCTCAAAGCTTCCTCATCCTTCTCAATCTGCAGTCCCTGTTATCGCCGCCGTATCCTTCCAAATCATGGCCCTCAGTACGACTTCACGCCCTATCACTCTAATGATCCGGACGAGGCCTTCACTTGCGATATGTCCATTCCATCTGTCCTTGGGATTCTGTATACCCAGTGCATTCAAAGGTCAACTGTACAGCCTCTGTTGGATTTTGTCCAACTATGTACCACGCTCCATCCCTGTGATGGATCTCTCACTACCACGCCAGGTGGCTGCTATGTTGCTGCCCGTCGGGCTATCCCGGGGATGACGGTGTGTCGAACTTGCTTTGAGTGCTTTCTTCATCATACCAGATCCGAAACGAATTTCGTATTTTAATCCACCACTAGACGGCCGTGGACTTGCACCCTGTCGATGTCGTTCTTCCAGCGATTCGTTACCACTGTACTAGCTGGGTCAACAGATTTTACCGAATTCTGCGAGGAGGCGAGGACACGTCTAGAGATTCTTGTCTGCCCGGGGCGGGATCAGTCAATCACCCAGTTCTTGCCCAAGGTTCCTAGTATCATTTTCAAAGGGGAAGGGGGAAGCGGAAACATCTGTTTTGCGTGCTACTGCGATTACCTGGCAAACACATGCTTGGAGAAAACTTTTGTGCCGGCACGTCTTGCAGTGTAGTTCGGGAGATGCTCCACTCGACAGCAATGACGGGAGATCTGGGTAGATTTGCGAGATGGTGGAATGCATCTAATGAAGTTTAGCCTTCCAGTCGGCCCACCAGAGCAAACGTTCATATACCCAGCATCCGACCACAGGCAACTGATGTCCATCAGCAGCACCAGCTACGATTGAGACTAAATGAACAGCGCAACGCACTAAGTCGGATGGGTGCCGCTGGTATGGTGGGCCTGGCAAATGGAGATTCGGGAGTTTGCTGGGGGAACTCATCGGTATGCCCCTGTTAAACTCGAAAAGATTGATCTCAAACGAACTGACCCTCCAGGTTGGCTGGGGCCATTGGACTAAAGGGTCTGCTGATGCGCAACAGGACTGGCAGAACAACCGTTTTGGTAGGTAGAGGGGGTGAGATTGTCCATAGCGAGTATGATACTCTGATGAATAAACGAATTACGATGGTAAATGCTATATCTGCGCCAAATTTGGCAAGCTGAATATCTAGAATGGCCCCCGTTGTCTTATGTCTGCACCATGCACTTGGCTCGTGATTCAAAGCCCGATAGTATTCAACACACTACGTCAATCAATTCAAGCCGAGGAAGAAAGGAAGAAAGCTGGCTGAGCAGATCTGAATGGCCAACGGAGCGATGGCCACGTTGGCTGTGGAATAGGGTCCGGGGGTAATCGTCCAACCCCAGGGAGCACCCACGGCGAAGTATATCATCACTATCCCAGGTCAGTCATTGCGAATGCATATTTTCATAGACACTACACACCTCCAGCAAGGACTAGACAGATGGCCCACGTCCATTTGAACCGCCGCACCATCTTGTCCATGCCAATATAGAAACCCGTCGGTCCCATCTCTTTCGCCGTCGACGCCCATTCGAGGTTAATACTGAATGCATGGCACAGAATGGCTTTGGCACAGTTCAGACTGATCCCCCCAAAGTAAATGATCAAGAAAGGCAGCCACTTGATGGCGTCGAGGAGGGCTCGCCAGAACGTCTCCTCCTTCAGTTGATGGCGGACCATACTGAATGCGATCGAGGAGAAGCCGTTGAATACCACCACAAGTGAACACCAGATACCCCACGACGGGAGGTACAGGTGATCAATATCCGAGTCAAAGAGTCCCAGAATGACATAGTTGACTGTGGCCAAAAGCATACCAGAACCAATTGCATAGTCTATTACTGTCAGATGGATTGACAGCGAGCAGGCAGAACGCAACTCACAGGTAAAGATATACGCGATGATGGTTACTTTCGAGGTTACTGGCATATTACTCCAGAGAAATCGCAGAAATAGTCTGGTGACAGGGCCCTTGTAGACCCATTGATAACTGGCTTTGGTTAGTAACGGGTTTCTAAATCGTTCTGAGGTTAACATGACTCACAAAGGGTGAAAGACCAACTCGTTGCAACCATAGGCATATTTTTCCCACCGAGTTAGCTCGTCATAGAGAGTCAGCGACACGCCTTCTTTGAATTCGCCATTGTGGTAAGTGGCCAGTCGCACCACCATCCCCTGCATCTGCAGACGCAGACTGATGTCGAAATCTTCTGAGACGTGCGTGTCTGACCACCACTTGGTCTGGCCATCTGAGGGATCAACGAATTCAATGCTCTGTAAAGCCCTCCATCGCAGAAACGCATTGTGTCCGACAAAAGGGGAGACGTCGCCTGAGCCGACACCGTACTTGATCGCGGTATAGACAACATTGGTGAAGTACGTGACTGGGCATGTCAGGTCAGCGAGAAGAGACTGGGAAAGGAGTAGAATAGCCACTTACTTCCGTTCTCAAACACATTGTGCACCACTTGCATAACACCGGAGCCGTGCTGCAGAATGGCCACTTCGGGGCTCTCGTGCATTTCAAGGGCGCCATACAAGAGACAATCCACGGGAACACGGGTGTCGCAATCAATTCTTCCTAGTCAATGATCGCTCCTGGACGCATGCTGACTTAATAGACTTACAATAGGATCAGCTCTCCAATGCGAATGTTCCCCTCGGCCCCTGTAAGAGTGAGCATTGCCTCTAGGCTGTCCTCATATGAAGGTTGACCTACAAGTGCGCTCCTCGTCTGCAGCGAGCATGTTGTCCAATGCTTGCTGATAGAGACGATCATCATCTTCCGCTGTCAAATCATCCACAGTGCAGCCTCGTCGTTCCGTCTCAATCTGGGTGAGACGAGCTAGCTCATCTTCGACTCGAAGGGAAAAAGCCAATCCATAATTCATGTTACTCGCCTTCTTGAACTTGCCCTTGCGCTCGAAACCAATTTTGTTTGCCAGCGCCTGAGGTGTATAAGGGCCCTCTGGTTCCTCGCTATCAGCGGGCTCCGTAGTAGCGGGCTTGGACTTTCGAAACCAGCTGCCCCAGCCACCTTTCTGAACCGGACTCTTCTTGTTTGGCGGACGAGCAGTGAAGCCGATTCCATTTTCCCGGTAATATTGCTTCCTCGCTTCAGCCAGGTCCGATTGAATGACTTGCATGCCATCGTCATTGACAAATACGGATGCAGTCCCTCCTTGCTCCTCGTAGTATTGAACTGCCGCAAGGACGCTGATCATGGTCGGAACAATGACCCTATATGATGTCAGTTGCTGGTATGGTGGCAGAGAGTATTTACCAGTACCCTTTTAAGCCTTCCTTGTAGACCGGCATTTGAATCGTGATGTGAGGGAGTTCGTACTCGCCATGAGCCTTGGGGTTTGGTTTTACCGCTGAACTATCCTCAGTATCACCTGGTTGTCACTGAGGGTTGTTTACTGACCAGAGTGGAACTTGGAGTTCTTGAGACAGAAGCTCGCGGGGAGGAATAGCTGAAAGACGCTGGTGACCAGCACGATGAAGAAGAACTGCATGACTTAGCTGGGCCTCGCATAGTTGCCTTGGGACTCTCACCAGAGAAAAGAGAGCGAGTGGAGGAATAGTGACAACCTGGAGCAGCATCAGTCTACCTTGGTAATTCAACTATTCCACTGCCCGAGCTCAAGATCCATCTCACCAGCGCAAAACGGGTGTATTGACCGTCCCATTGGAATTCGTTCAAGAGCTGCGGAAAGTCAGCAGGGGCAGCTCGTTTTCAAAACACTATTAGACTTACTCTTGCGACGCCGAGAGACTGTGTGACGATGACGAGCATAATCGCCAAGCTAATCTTGACCGTATGTACCAGAAGAACCGGTCGTGGTGCCGCATTTCGCTCCAAGTCAGGCACCTCATTGTCTTCACCTTCCTCCAGAGCCACTGCCTTGCTATATATAGCCTGTTTCTCATCAAGTGCGCCTCGAACTGGTTGCAGCACGTTCGCAGGCTTTTGTAGATCATCCGTTCGATATGGATCCATCGGGGTGGAACGTCCGGAAATTCGCGGTGTGGTGGCATTGGAGATCTTTGGACTCTATCAGAAATAAGAGTTAGCGTCAGTGCGAGTTGCTGGTGCGCACTGTGTTAGCATTGCGATAGCGACGACTCACCTGGCCTCCCAGCTGCGTCTCCACGTCGTATGCCACGTTCAGAATTCCCGCGGTGTCATGCGACCACACAAGAACTATCTTCTGCTCCATCACGATGCACGCTCGGGAATAGTGCGCGAGAGTAGGCTCCACGTCGTCGAGCGTAGCAACGATAGGGATACGGGTGCTTGTACTTTCTACCAGGAAGCTCTTCTGGCCTGGAAGGATACCTGACAGTCCCTTGTCGACGACACGCGAGGATAAGGCCACGACGGCCATCTCATTGAGCCTTGTGATTGCTTTCGACAGGGCGGGAGTAATGTTGGAAGGGGAGAAGGAGTATCCATCATCTGGCAACTTCACAGCCACGCAGACGGAGGATTGGCTTTCCTGACCAGACTGGGTGGCTGCCTGGTCGAACCAGCCGAGGAGCGTTGCCCTGCGCGCCAGAGACCGGGAGAGCTTGCCTCTGTTAGTCGCATTTGGAAGACAGAGATACTCCAAGCGATCTAAGAAGATGGCCAGGTGTGGTCTGGACGTACCTGGAAAGGGTTCTCCTCTTCTGGTTCGGATCCCGGACGAGAGTACAAAACGGAAGGCGTTCTACTGTGCTGTGAGCGTGTCGAGATACTCTGTGTCTGCCGCACTGCCAAAGGCGAGAGGACTTGCGCCAGTTCAGCTGTCTGAAGCTGGGGAGTGGGCGATCTGGATGGATTATCGACAGTCTTCTCGGCTTGAGTCGACCCCTCTAGCGCGGGTGAATCGTTGCCTGGATTTTCAATGTCCTTCATTGATGCCCCTTGAGGATGGTCAGAAGTTGGCGACAGCATAGTCATGATGCTTCAGAGCTGGGAGAACGAGGAACGACGGTGGCAGGTTGAGGTAAAAGCTATATTAAGACAGGGTATCGGCAATATATGCCAATATATGCCTGCAGAGGACCACTTTCTCTCAATTCCTCTGCAGCCAACGAGGGTGGGCATGCTTCACAGAACAACAGGCAAACACATCATGAATAGTTCTACCACTCCTGAAGCCAAACAGTCCATTCCATTGGGTATCTTGCCTACGGAAAAGATAGCACTATCAACGTGGTCGTCGCTGAACATGAGGAATCACATCGAGCAGATACAGCGGTCACCCTGTGGCGCTGATGAACAAGCTGAGGTTCACACAGGAAGACATCGCCTAGAACTACTCGAGTCATTTTGGGTGAACAATATCAACAACGTCCATTTCGACCAGCTGGTTGCCAGATGCAAAGTGTCGGCCACCCCGAACCGATAGTGCGAACCAGAAGCATCAAGATGTCGTGTCCAGATAAGGCCACCGGGAGTGAAGCGAAACAAAAGGTTCTTGAATACCCATGGCAATTTGAAGCGAGACGTAGGAACCGGGCTGAATGAATAGTGTCAATGCGCAAGTCTTGTGGGCTGGATGGTGCCTTAGCATGGCGCTAGGCTGACAAGGCTCGGGCAGGACTTTCGCTTGCAACCCCAGCGTGACTATCAGGCTATAGCCTTTGAACCTTGGTAGCTGCTGGTGCAGGGGTTCTCTTAAACGAGATTCATTTGTGGCTGTTGGACCACTCCTTGGGCCGAGATCTAGAATTGCAGTCAAGAAACTCGAGTGATTAGACAGACTACGGGATGTGATTGCCTATCTTTGTTGTCATATCCAACCTTGATGGTGTACTATCCCACGAACTATATTAGTCTGCAGCCATTATATTAGATAGACAAGGAAGATGCCGCCAGGGCCTGTCCACGCCATCCCACTAGATTGCCATTCAGCGTGTCTGCCCTCTACGACAAGCAATTTTTGCCGATCAACAGGAACCCTGCTGCCACATTCTGACCGACTTGACGATCATAGCGCGACTGTGCGTATCTCCCCAAGTCGGCAGCCAGGAGCTGTTTGCCATCCAGAAATCCCGCATGGAGGTGTCACTTTTATCCATCCATGGCTTGCTGCCCACTTGGTCTCTGTCACCAGTCAACCCACCACGGTCAGCGGGGCAATTCCATCAACGACGCGGGGTGGGGGGAAATAAAGAGCACTCACGGAAAGTAGCCATTAGTCGCTCCCACTGCGACATTCAGGATCAAGTAGAATGGCTGGTCGAAGGGAGTGTTGAACACGCCAGAACTCCACGGATTATAGGGCGCGGAGCCATTGACATCGGTGCCGGCGAATTTACCATACGTCCACATGTTTTTATTCTTGGTAAAATCGAAGAACAGGACTTGCTAGCGTTCCCCACGAGTCATGATTAGCTTAATAGCTTTTTTTCGTGATCTGTCAGAGCCGCTTGGCAGCGGGAGGGGAGAAAGGGGTTGTGGACCATACCCGGAGACGCCCGTCCAGCCACGTAAAGAGATACTTTTCTGACCATTCGAGCCCAAATGTGTGGTATCCATCGGAGTATTTGGTGCGTTTGGAACCCCACTCGCCCGTACTGAGCTTATACGCATCGTTATCGTAAATGGTGCCCCAGTGCATTGACGAGCTAATGATGTTGTTCCCCAATGGGTATCGCTGTGCATCGTTGCCACGACTTTCCGCAATATCTATCTCACCACTAGCGGGCCAGGGACCATAGACGGAATCTTGGGGCATCATCCTGTCGGCTTCGTTAGCATCTAGTCTCATCTGCGGCTATAGTTAGGGTCGGCGTTAACAAATATACCAGATTGCAGGCCACAGCCAATCGCCCGCTGGCAGTTTGGCAACCACCTCGACTCGGCCGTATTTGATCATCTTCTTCCCCGCCGTGGTCAGTCGAGCCGAGCGTACGGGATTGATGATTTGTCCCGCAGTCACATTGCTGCGGATGGAACATTTGGACACGGTGGTGAGATTGGAGAGACGTTGGTCTTGGGTGGTGCAGGTGCCGGCGGCCGTGAGGTTCACAACGTGACTATCACAGGATATTAGTTCGGATGGTTTTTGAAATGCCAGAGAACGTAGCAACAAACCCATCCACCATCTGAGCCGGGGTGATATCGGTGTCTTGCAGCGTCAGGGTCGGGACGATGTGGAGTCCTTCCGCGTCGACAAAGGAATTGCGAGGGTCACTGGTGGTCCAGTCAAAGGAGCCCGTGCTGATTCAATCAGTACAGTATGCTGGTAGGGTGGCAGTAGAGAATACCCACCCCCATCCGTTCAGTTGTACTTCATGGTTCCAGGTATTGGTATCCAAGGTGGAGAAATCGTCGTCCAGAATCAGGCAGTACTACCGAAGCCATCATTAGTGTGGCTCACAGTGGGGAGAAAGGTCATGGCAATTACATCATTCTTCGGGACGCTGGCGACGGAGTGATAGCATATGAATCCGGATAACGCTGTAGCAGGGCTTGTCAGGACTGAACAGCCAGGGTGCTCTAGGCAGAGGGTCAATGATACCGAGAGCAATCCCTATAGCGCTGTAGAAGATGGTACGATCCCAGTCCCATCGTCGCTTTCCTGTCTGTAACCAAGGTTTCTCATATCTGCATCCCGGATCAGGTACTCTCATCAATAGATAGATAGATAGTTATAGGACGGGGTACGCTCACTCTCCGATTAGTCTTGAGCTTTGGAAGCGACGTCGGGGCCGAGCGGTGGCCGTAGATGATCCTGTTTCACTGGTTACCCTGATCTCAATCGGCTTTCCGAAGAGAACAAGAAGCCCTACCAGAAGGTTCAGATAGTCGTGATGACGGCGGTCGACGTGACTGCGTCGACACAGGTGGAAACGAACTGCATGCCGAAGCACCATCAGACGCTGTTTCGCTGTTTCTCTGATTCACAGTAGCTTCCATCGTTTCGGGGTGAATTTGATTTCTAGATTGACTTCAGGGGGAATAAGAAGGAGTCATCTAAAGTGCTACCATTATCCATGATATAACACTTATAGTGAATATCATCGATTACCTATCCACAGGCCCTAATAGCCTTACCTACAAGTAACAATGAGACCATGCATAACGCATTTTGAACAGGGATCTCGTCTTCTAGTGCATGATTCTCCAGGTCAATGCGTGCTGGGACAACTGATAACGGACATACAGGGGTCGAAGAAGATCAGGGTAAACCAGCCGACGGATCACTAGGGGAGTCACTCTGTTGCTATTGTTTCTCATACTGCGCCCTGCCAATCAAGATACTTCTAGTCCTTTGTCTGCCAGCAGATTGGATCACAGCCCGTCGATTCGCTCCGACACGTCGACTCCTGCCACGAGTCTTTTCACCATGCATCCCTGCGCGTTATCATAGCCCATCCAAGTAACTTGAACGCAGAAGCCATCAAGGTCGTGTATCTCCTACTCAAGTCAGATAGTATAGGCGAAGGGTTCATATTGATATCACCCAATGAGTTGTCGTGTCCGCCCGAGTCATGCAGCTGTCACCTGGTCACTCCTCTTCTCGCTGCTCCATGAAGGCACCGACTGCCCTTTGAGTTGTGGCTGCCCTATACTTGCCCGTTACTTCGCTGTCAGCCTTCCAGTTTCCTGTGGTGAGCTGAATCCAACGGGAAAGTTCAATGTGGCGCCCTGTTGTTCCCAGGCATGCCCAACTACCTCTTCCAGGGTCCTACGGTTTTCTTGTAGAGAATTTTCGCGTTGAACGAAACAGAGTGCTGGGTGGCTTTTTGGTCCTCAACACACTGTATCGGGGAGACCGAAGGTCGGTGTCCTAGGTCTGCATGCAGGGTCCCATTGCGACATTATAAATAAGGGGGCGAACTGGTGTCCCTCGTCAAGTCTTTCCCTGCTCCCCACACCAGGATCCCTCTCCGAACAGTTCATCATTCGTTCCATTTCACCAAACATGGCTGCTATCGCGCTTTTGTTCTCCACTCTGCTTGTGGCCTCTGCGAATGCCACTCCCACTAGCTTCGGGGTATGTAGTGACCCACCTTCTGTGCATCTGCCCGGGGCGTTCCACTAACCCTCAGGTCTGTCCAGAGCATCCTCATCCCCAGACAATCGGTGTCGGTTAACGGACTATGCGGGGCCTACAATGGAACTGCTACTTGTGCGGGCAGCGCCTTTGGAGACTGCTGCAGTCAGTTTGGATACTGCGGCAGCCAACCCGTCTACTGCGGCACCGGCTGCCAGACCGGCTATGGGATTTGCGGCGTCGATACTACTTTGCGCTGGAGAAGCCTAGGCTGCTACTCGGATGACACCAACCACCGAACCCTCAACACGTCCATCCTCGTGTCTGGGAATACCGTGCAGGCATGCCAAGCCACCTGTGCCCAGGCCGGCTTCACGTATGCGGGCATGGAGTTTGGCACCCAGTGCTTCTGCGGGACGGGGATCCAGAACAATGCGGGCCCCGTGGCGTCTGGATGCGACACCCCCTGTGCCGCCGACGCCTCCCAGATCTGCGGGGGTTCCAACGCGCTGAGTCTGTACGTCATCGTCCCTATCTGGCAGAGTCTGGGTTGCTATTCCGACTCGACCAAGGCGCGCACCCTCAGCACGTCGTACAACGTGGCCGGGAACACGGTGGAGAAGTGCCAAGCGGCATGCCAGGCCGGGGGATACCTGTATGCTGGCATGGAGTTCGGCAGCCAATGCTTCTGCGGGAACTCGATTGACAATGGCGGTGCTCCCACCTCTGGATGCGCCACGCCGTGTGCGGGAGACTCAAGCGAGGTCTGTGGAGGGTCGAATGCGCTGAGCATTTACTATCTGTTCCAGTAGTGTGTCTGAAGCGGGAAACGATGTGATCGTTCTAGGTGGGCAGGGGCTGTACCATTGCTTGATGGGGTGAATGATAATGACAGCGGTGGTTTTGATCATATGTACATGTGTTTAGCAGATAATTTACAACAAGAAGATGCAAGGAGTAATATCATACGGCCTCCCAATCCATGGCGTCGACGATAAAATCCCAGTCCGCATGCGAGCCATCGGCCTGCACATGGCCATTGATGGTCTGGTCAATGTTCTGGACATGTTCCTGCGCCAGGAGACAGCCGTTCTCCAGACCGACGAAAATGTCGGATAGCATCCGGTCGAAATCATAGTCCCGCAAAGGTCGCACTGCCGGTCTCTTCGGCGACCAGATGGACTCTTGCGCCCGCTCCGGCTCCGATAAATCCGCCGTCTTCCAACGGTTTCGCAGCTCCTTGGCGTTCTTCAGCTGCTCGAGCACACTCCCCCGGCCCAGCACCGAGTGCAAGGGACACGTCTCGACCTCGAGGGTGCCCAGGACATTGGCATGATAGCGGTGCGTTCGGCCTGACGCGGACGCCCCCGGGGTCTTGGTCGAAGCCGAGACGGCAATACCAAAGACGCCGAGCAGATGCACCAACGCGCGCTCCAGCAGGGCGTAGTACTCGTGGAAGTCGATCTTGAACATCACCTCCGCATGCGCGACATCGGCGCTGGAGTCTGTCTGAAAAATTGCCAGGCGGTACCCCTCTGCCAGAAAGGGGAGTTTCCATCTCAACCGAGCCACGATCTTCATGAAACGCGACAGCTCGCCGGCGGGGGACAACAACATGCGCCGCCCGGGCGCGGTGGCCGCCCGTGGCTGGTGTTGGGGCTCATCTGACTTGGGCGCCCAGCGGGATTGCGAGAGACCCGACATGTTTTCTTCAAGGCATTTTTTCGTGATACTCCAGGGGAGGGTAATGATGAGGGTGAGATGAGGTTGAGATGAGGCTGTTGATGGCAACAGTAAACATTCCGTTCTTGGAGGGGAGATTCAATGTGTGCAGAAAAAAGAGAGCCAACTAGTCTATTTTGGGCAATGGCTGTCTTTCCCAGCAGAAAAGATCAGAGAGAATCTCTCGCAGGCATTGAATAGTGGTTTATTCTGTCGATCCTTACGTGTAGCTTGTAAGATGTTATCAACCTGATAATAATACGTGAGGTCCATGACACTTTAGCCACTGTCTTCGTGATTTCGAGAAACAATGGCGGGCATGGTTGAGATAGATATGTATATATATATATATATACCAATAAATATGATCCTCACACTCATAATCTCGTTCATCAAGGCTACCTGACAAGCTAGTCGAATAAGAATTATCATCCAAATGCACAAAAACTCCCAGAACTACTCTTGAGCTGGAGTACAATACACCAAGTGATTCGGCTCTTCTCGTTCATACGGAATGATCGAGATCTTGGTCATCCCACAGAGAGCCTGCGACACCGTATACTCCAACTGCTCCGGCACCGGTCTGGGGAACCGCTCGAGTTCCCGTCCATCCTTGACCAGGAGGAGAGTGGGATCGTCGACCATCGCCTCGTCGGAGATCTCGTGGTGCTGTGCGAGGTTCACTCGGTAGAATCCGATCATGTCGTCGGCCACATCGGACGCCATGTCATTGTATGTCGGATCGAGAGAAGGGCGCCGCTCGGAGCACTCGGAAAAGTAGAGGATGGCATATTTGTCCCCCTGGAGGATATCGCGGTACTCGGTGATGCTGGTGAGATTGAATTAGTGGATGAGGTGTGAAGAATATGTTCTTGTTGCTGTCCCTTGCCTGTTGACTGGTATGGAAGACATCTTGACCCTTGAAGGATCATTACCTGCATATATACAGAGTAGATTTGAATACCCGAAGTTGTTTGGGCTGAGTACAGATGTGTACAGAGACGCAAAATGCGCGCCCCCCCGGCCCTATCTATATATGACGGCAGTGCAGCTGAAGGGGGGAACGTCTCATGCTTCCGACTATCAGTCTCTGAATGGTCAGAGCTAGGTTCTAGTCGTCTTTCGAATCTCCACCGCTAGCATTTGATAAAGCCAATATCTTTGCATGCCGTTGTCGTTGGAGTGGTCATCCGTGGGATGCCTGGGCCTGACAGGTATCAATCCAGATGACGGGCAGATAGAGACAAGCAGCCGGATGGGCTGATGCAGAGGGATTACTTCATACACAACCCCAAGATTTCGCCTTGTCTGCAAATGGCATGGGGAGTGCGTCGACATTATGTATGATGGCCTCTATATGTGGGAGTCGTGACATCATGCACTCAGCTCCCCTATCATGGCTGTGGCTGCCATATGGGCGAATAACAAACGAGACCGCCAGAGAGAACGGACGCCGACAAGAAACCGCCAAGCTAGCGATGAACCGTGGTTGCAGGCTGGATCCGTAGGTGGATTCTCGCTGGCAGGGCTGCATCCGAAGCCACGTCTCGGGGGGAAATGGCGGAATAGCGCCACGCAGTATTTCTTTCTTTCGTTTTTTTCTTTTTTATTTTTATTTTTGCAAGACTACAAAAGGGCAGCTGAAGTAACAAGAAACTTGGGTTCATCTATCGTCCTTCTATGCATATATATACAAATGGTGAAATCTATTATGGACAGGATGATGCAGACCGACCCGATCATTTTCTAAAGGCTCCACGTCTGGCACATGCGACCGGACTTGTCGACGGTCCAGAAATCACTGCCAACCGCCTTGAGGGCATAGAACAGGAAGGTAGGATCCCACTTGGCCTTGACCGACAGCAGAGGGAAGAAGTTCCGGCCGAAGAAGGTCTCGCGCCAGTGGGGCTGGTTGAAGTCGGCCTCGTTCTGGTAGGTACCGCTGCCGGGGGTGACGGCCTCGAGCTGGGGCACAAACTCGTTGGTCATGCGTTGCTGATCCGCCAGCATCTGCGACCACGGCGCCGACGAGTTCCAGAGGGTGCCGATCTGCATGGTAATGGCAGCCTTGCGCAGGGCGGGGAAGACGGCGTTGGAGACGTCACCAGGGTTCGAGACGTCCATGCCAACACCGACGGCGATGACACCCTGCTCGGTGATGCTCCGCAGAACCTTGGCGAAGCCGGCCGCGTTGTTGGTGAGCACGTTACGGGGGATCAGGCGGCCGCCGTACTGGAACTCGCCGACGCCGAGGTGGCCGTAGGGGAGCGGGCCCATGTACTTCTCGTAGTGCTCATAGTAGGAGGTGGACTGGGTGTACGCGGCCTGGTAGGGGATGCCGAGCCCGTCCAGAGCCTGGACGAAGGGAGCCAGGAGGTTCTTCACGTCGTCGCTGGTCTTGCCGAACGCGGTGACGGGAACGATGGCGAAGAAGGTCGAGGTCATCTGGTAGATGACGGTGGCGCCGTGGTCGATCATGGCTGGCAGGAGGGCGTGGAACTGGGCGACGGCCTCGAAGAACTTGTCCGGGGTGGTGCTGCTGGCGACGAACTGCAGGCTGCCGCCACCAACAATCTTGTCCGGGTACGCCTTGACGGTGACCGACATCACCACACCGTAGTTGCCGGCACCACCACCGCTCAGGGCCCAGAAAAGCTCCGGGTTGACGGAGCGGGAGGCGGTAACGAGCTTGCCCGAGGCCGTCACCACCTCATACTGCAGCGCCTGATCGGCACCGAGACCGAACGAGGTGCTGAGGGCGGAGTGACCACCACCCTGGATGTAGCCACCCGCCAGACCAACGGTCGGGCACTCGCCGCCGACGACGACCAGATTCCTGGCATGAGCGGCGTTGAGCACCTGAAATCCCATGGCACCTGCCGAGACCTTGAAAGAGGGGCCCTGGTAGCGGGAATCCTTCCAGTCAACGTAGGTGACGTCGTTGAGGTGGTGCATCCAGACGGAGAGGGCACCGGCGCCGGTCGAACGGCCAAAGTAACTGGTTCATTGGATTAGCTCCCTTGCCCAAGTGATCTCCCGGGGAGACAGCCGGGGGACGTACTCATGACCGGTGTTGCGGATGACGAAACGGATATTGTTGTCCCGCGCGAAGTTGACCGCCGCAATCACGTCGTCGCTGGAGGAGACCTTGACGGCGTAGTCGACGTAGTTCCCCATGGTGCACGGGGTGGACTTGGAGGTGAAGGGATCACAGCTCTGGTTGGCAAAGTAGGTCTGCATGATCGAGGAGGACGAGGAAAGGCTGGTGCCGATCGCGGTTAGCAAATGTCCCGGGGGATTGGAGGCAGATACCCCATATGGTAGACGCACTGAGTCTCGGGAAGATTCCAGTCCGCCTGCAACGCCTTACAGGCGTCGGCATCGTAGGTGGGATCGTGACAAGGCGATCCGAGGGGGACTGTCGCAATCAAGCGACCGCCCACAGTGCTGTTGAGCGCATCCCAGGACGACTGCGAGGGCCAGCAGCTATCACCAGGCAGGCAGCGACATCTGGGGGTGCCCCAAGCGGCTGCGGTGGAGGACAGCGCCGCGACGGCGGTGGCCAACGTCCATGAGATCTTCATGGTGAGGCGGGGGGGGGGGGGGGCTCCCAAGGGCTTCACAGGAAAGAAAAAAAAAAAGATCGTCGGTTGATCCTGCCGATCTCCTGAGCCTGTTCAGGAGGGTTATATTTTATAGTGGCTGGTGGGGAAAAGGGAGAGAGGGAGAGAGAGATGGCGAGATGAGGAACAGAAGGTCAGAACCGAGTCCAGGAGTCTCAAGGACTTGGGATTCAGGGACCGGAACCCAGATTATGAACTCGGCATCTATCCGCATTCCGCTAGAGTTCCGGATTTGGGTTCATCAAGCAACGGAAACGAATCGTGGGAAGAGCATTGGTGGTTCTGGCTCAGTTGAGGCGATGGGGTTTCTATTCCCAGGATGGTTGGAATGGCCCAGTGGGAGACGACCAGCCCCGTTTGGGCAATACGGCCGGGCCTAAACTGCCGCGGTGGAATGTGGAATGGAATGGGCACATCGATAGTCGCGTTCGGGGGAGATTGGAACGACATGGATTTGCACTGCCTGTCAGGCTGCAGGCAATGTGCATCTCTGGAGTCTGGATTGGATTGGATTGTAGACTTTTGGCGGCAGGAATGGCAATCATCTTCATCGGCAATTCCCCGGGATGGCGAACGAGCAACTACACCGTAATCAATCAATCAATCAATCAATTGATCAACAAACGGTCGACCACATGGCAATGGAGTCCCACGTGTGCACTAGATAGCCATGGCGTCGATGATGTTGGATCATGGTTAACTAGTTGATGGATATCCAGTCCGCACGGGGTCGAAGTTGTTGTCAATGGAATCATCTCCTGCAGGCTGCACAGGCACCGGTTCGTCCGAATCTGGCCCGACACCGCCACTACTGAGTAGGATTGCAGTGCTCGAGTCGTCATAGATCGTTTGCACTTGTACACTGACCAGTCGGCAAGTCCGGCGTCGAGGTTACATCTGAGAGTGATGATAGTGTCATGGAAGTCATGGAGGAATGACAGACTGATGGATTCTTGTACATCTATCTATCTATCTATCTATCTATCTATCTACATTAGTGACCATCTATCTCTTCAAGGGTAGTGATGGACAGTTGGTCACCATGCGCGAGAAGATCAGCCGAAGGATTCTGGCGTTAAGACGAGAGGAAGCGGCAGTCTGCAGTCTACAAGATTCTCACTACTGAGGCACTAGGAAACGTGCGCCCCTTTAATTAATCCTGACGCATGGCCTTTCCTCCCCCGGCAGACTAGCTATTTGGTTTATATTGACAATGAGACCGTCGGCATAAGAGTCTTGTGTACACTGTCCTCCCTTGGATAAAGGGTGCAATCCTTCATCCTCATCGCCTATCTTGTCCACATCCCGGTGTATCAATCCGGATTGTTCTGAGACCCCACTGGAAGGGGAGTCCCAAGAGAGTCCAGATCTCAATTTCATCGGACGGAGTTGGTTAGTGGTTAGGAGATACTTACTGTAGTACCTTACCACTACCAGAGGTACTCCGTAGGTACTCCGTCGCGCGCTGAATTTTCCCGCGTACCGACGACAAGCTGATTGGAGAAGAACCTGGGTCACCGGCTCCACTCCTTCTGGTTGAATCGGGTCTAGCCTGGCCCATGCAACCCAGCTGGGATCCACTAGTGGAGTTCTTCACATTCTGGAATCCTGAGCGCCCGGGTGCGGCGGCCAATCAGCAACCCGTGCTTGGATATAGAGTTTATCACTGACTCCACACTCTCCAATCGCTGCATTGCGTTTCCTCGACCCAAGGGATGGAAAGGGTCTCGTCTGTTTCGCCGGGTTAGGAGCGAAGAATCAGTCAAAGTTTCTCATAGTCATAACTCATACTCCGTACTACTCAGTCGATATGACTTAGTAGTTTACGGGTGGAAACTGTCGAGTACAGAGTACAAGATTAAGACTAATCATTCCCATGTCTCAGCTCAACGTTTCCCCCCCCTGATGCCGCCCATGCAATTACCATCGCATCATCATCCGACTCAGACTCATAGTAGTACGGAGTACTTACCCTGACGCATGCAGCCACTTCAACTACAGTGAACTACTCCAAGAGTCCTGGATAAATAGCCAGGACACACACACACACACACACACACACCCCCCCATCCTCCCTCTCGTCCCGTCAAACCCACCCGAGGAGGGGAAGAGACCCGACCACTGTCGAATCCTCTCTCGTTCGAACCATCCAAACCACGGTTCGTCTGCGATCTATTGTCCGCTGGGGCCGCCGTAGTTGGCGACTATCACGCCTTCAACCTGTCATCGAGTACCGGACCCCCTTTTATGTCTCTCTCTTGCCCCGCGCTCGACGGTGTTGTCTCCGTAGCTCACTTGCGTGCAACCTCCCAACTTTCGATGGGCTCTACTAACAAACCCTAAACAGTAAACGGATTCCTCCCTAAAGTATAATATCGCTGAGGAGCCCATAATAATACCTGACTCAAACCCCCCCCCCCCCGGGTGTTCCTAGATACGATCTCCTTGCCCGTGGTTGATTGCCTTCCTAATAAGCCATGTCCTTTTCCTGACGGCGGCAATCAGTGGTATCTCTCCGCATTCAAAAATGCTTGAAACGCCTGTAGTGTGATCACTCATCTTTCTTCCGTTTGTTGGTTTTTTTTCTTCTCTTCCGGCGACTCTTTTCCCGCACGCACTGCTTGCTCGAGATCTCCTCCAGACCACCCGGTGGAGTCCAGCAGAGTCGAATACCACCCAGAACAATCATGGCTCAGGACTCACAGACCACAGTCAATCACGGCCCGTCCCTGGAAAGGGGCCTCTGGGCCGCTGTGATCATCGCCGCCGTGATCGTCATTCTGCGTGTCTTTGCCAAAATCAAGATCGGTCAGTTCCGCGCCGACGATATCTTGATGATCATCGCCATCGTATGTCTCTCTCTCTCTCTCTCTCTCTCTCTCGTAGTTGGCGGGAACACGGTCCAGGACCAGATCACTCATCCGTCCGCTCCTAGCTCCTGTCCATCGTTTCGACCGTCTTTCTCAGTCTCTGCGTGAAGAATGGCTTCGGGAAAAATCTGAATGTGGTCAAAGAGACCGATCCGCACGGCGTCATGCTGGTCCTGAAGTACCTCACCGTCCAGGTGTCGGCCATCACCTTCAGCACCACCATCGCCCGCTGTTCCTTCATCCTGTATCTGCTGGCCATTCTCGGTAACAACCGAAAATACCAGATTGCCCTGTGGGTCGCCATGCTGCTGCAGCTCGCGGGCAACATTGTCTCGGCCCTGCTTCCCCTGACCATCTGTCGCGATGTGCGGATCCTCTGGGATGAAACCGTCCAGACCACGTGTGGCAATGGCGTGGCCGTCGTTCGGTTCGCCTACTACTCCAACAGTGCGTTTGGATCGGCTCCTATCTGGGTGAAGTCCCCCCGCTGATCATTTCGTAGGTGCCAACTCGGCGTGCGATCTGTTCCTGGCCGTGTTTCCCACCATCATCTTCTGGAATCTCAACTTGAAATTGAGCGTCAAGATCGGCTTGATCACCCTCCTCAGTCTGGGCATCGTGTACGTTGGATCATCGTCTCGCCGCGTGGCTCCCCCCCCCCCGCCTTTCCACTGACCTTGCTCTCCAGGGCCATGGTCGCCTCCATTATCAAAACGACCAAACTGGACGATGTCCCCAGCGTGACCAAGGTAAGCGCCGATGGCTCGGTCGAACTGATCCGCTGGGGCTACGTCGAGAACGCCATCATCATCATCACCTCGTCCGTCCCCTGCATCCGTCCGTTGATCATGTCCTCCGTGCGCAAGTTCTCCAGCCGGGGCTACTCGCGCTCCTACGAGCTCACCGGGCCCATGAGTGCCCAGCGCCGTACCGATGGCGGCAACGACACCGCCCTTTCCCGGCGGGGACGCCGCTGCAACAAGGGCGACGACGACGACAGCATTGAGCGGATTCTCGATCCCCATAACCGTCACCATACGCAAACCAACACCACGGTCAGTGGCCGCCGGGACTCGCCGACGAACCTGGAGCAGGGAATCACCAAACAGGTGGAGATTTCGGTGATCTCGACGGATCAGCTGGATCGACATATTCCTTGATGATGGCCGTGGTTCTATGAATCTTTTTTTTTTATGTTTATTTTTATTTATGTATTTTTTTTTTCCTTTCATTTTTTTCCTATGTCAAAGTTTCCACTGTATGAATACACAGAGCCCCGAATGCCCCGGATTATCATAATGAACGAATGCTGTATGTACAAAACAAAACTACGGAAGGGTGATCGATCGCAATAGGCAGACGCGGGTCATGTGGGGATTGGTGCCTGAATCGCCTGGCGTTTAATTTCTCCGCGACTGGCGAGAGAATAAAATAAATACCAGACAATCCGCCGATGTATCGACGATCTCGATCTGTAGGCGTCAATGATTCAACCAGTGTGATAGAACCGACAGTGTGATCTGATTCTATCGCCATGGGGGGCTGGGAAATCTTCTGCGCCATCTGCGGGGGCACGTTCTTCAGCTCGGTGGACATCGATTGCGAGAACACGGACGAGTACGCCTATCGCGACACGGTCCTCGGAGAGAGCGACGTGTCCTGGCTGGGCAGGGTTCGCGGGCTTGGCATGAATGACAGTGCTCCAGGAAACGACCGATCGTATTTGACGGGCGTGGGCCGTTACTGGGATTATGTGAGGTCTCTTGTATATATACAGGGTATACCGGCCTCCACTCTCTGACAACCCGCATAGGGACAGTTGGTGGTTCCTCCGGATCATCGTATGCATTGCGCACGGGGACTGCAGTCGAGAATCTACTGACAAGCGGAAAAAGACCCCAATTCCCCCTTTCACAACCAAGAAGGTCATCCCACCGGGTATGTCTTGCTCTTGAACCCGGTTTCATCCGGTTAACCTCGCTAGATACTATGACCACTCCGACATAGGGCTCCCCCATATCTTCCCCTTTCATTCCCTCTGCTACGAGGATATCCTCCAGAGATGCATCCAGCAAGCCCGGCCGGGGCCCATCCGAACGGATGTTCTATTCCAGCTCTTTGAAGGGTTGAACACGACCTGGCACCACGTGAGGTTGAATCTCCACTACGGGGCGCCCGATCCGCCGTGTGAGCAGACCTGGGACTGTATCCAGGGCCAAGAAGTAGGGGATTGTGGATCATTTTCGGATTATATCAATACTGAGTGACGAACAGATCCTAGTCGCCAATCCGGTCCAGATCCCGCGGCTGGTCTCCACGCTTTCTCCGATCATGGACTTCGATCGCAAGTCGGATGCGACACACGATCCACCGACGCGAGATATCTTCTATGAAATTCCTTTCGAGCTGCGACACGAGATCATGAAGTATCTCCCCGTGGCATCCATCTTAGCCCTCAAGGCTGCATCCCGGCCCATGCACGCCACGCCCATCTCCGGTGATGCATGGCGGCAAAGACTACAGGACGAGCTACCCTGGCTGTGGGAAGTTCACGAGGTGGATCTTTTCCAATCGCGCGCAATGGAAGGACGAGCAGCAGGGGCTCTCATGGACATTGACGAAAAAAGTCGGTATACGCCGGCGAACGATGAGTACATTCTGGGACTGGCAAATCGGAGACGGATCTGGGGGGTGTGCGAGGAGATTCGAGCGTTGTATCTCGAACAAGTGGATGGTTTGTGAGATGAATGCGAGATGTATTATCGTTTGACTTGGGAAAAGGGCTTGCAGTTAGGTTGACTCTGGGACTTGCTCGAAGACGAGGGATCAATAAGAATAGAGAACATCCATGCATATTTGCATTCTCATTAGTCAAGATCTATTCTGGCTGTTAGTGTCAGCGTTCTGCGTCAGCGTGAGGAGAATGATTGAACGCCAGACTCTATACAAATATTCCCGCCAATTTGGCAACTGGACTAGATATGATTCATCTACTCCTACCTTGATGGTTGCTGTCAACTCCATCCTTCTTAGGTTCACCACAAAGCATTCCTTTAATAGAATGACGCTGTTTTTTGACAGACGAAACTTGGCCTGATGCAACCGCCACTGATTGGCTGATGACGAGATCCAATCATGGATAAGGTTATCTCCACCAATCATCAATTCTCCTGGGCTCCACCATGACGCCCCTGACGTCAGGGCCACGCTCCTCCTACGCCATTTGGAACCTGAGGCAGCCAGGCAACCCCCCCATCCAGCATCAGGGAATATCTATTCTTCATGGCAGCCTGCAGTCGGTTGTTTTCACTTTACTTCAATTCACTTCCCCTTCCCTTGCGGATCGTCCCCACTGCTCTCGGTCTACTGTCTCACTATCTATTTTTTGCGATTCTCTGATCTATCATCCAACTGCCACTACACATCTCCAACATGGCCGACGAGCAGACACCATCCACGGAGCAGACAGCCCCTACCGCCGAAGCCCAGAAGAAGAAGCCCCGCAAGCTGAACAAGAAGCCAGCAGAGGAGCCCACAGAAGAGCCAGAGAAGCAGCCCGACGACTCGACTGATGCTCCCGAGCCATCAAAGCCCGAAGACAGCACGCCACAGACGGAAGCCGAACCAAAGCCCGCGAAGGAAAGACAGCGCCGCAACCGTCGCTCTCGACGGCCGTTCCGCGACGAGGACGAATCCGAAGCCAGCGAGCAGGTCGAGCGCCCCCGTCGGCGCCGTCCACGCACCCAGCGCCAATTCCAGGCGCCGGATGAGACCTCTGGAAGGGAAGTAGGCCGGCCCCGACCGGACCCGTCGAACTCCTTCTTCAGCGATTCACCACAGCAGCCCTTCTGGGGAAACCAACAGCAAACCCAGCCCGCCGCTGAAAAGCAGGAGAAGGGCCAGGATAATACCCTGAGCTTGCGGTTGGAGTTGAACTTGGAAATCGAAGTGCAATTGAAGGCGAGGATCCACGGTGATTTGATGCTGGCATTAATGTGAGTTTATTGTCTCGTGATTGATGCTCCCGGGGGGGGGACAATTTTCACTAACAGTCTGTATAGGAGCTAGATTGACTCGAGGAAGTGCGATGGGCATCCGGGGTTGTCGTTCTACTGTCTTCTCTTGCTTGTTATCGTATAATTCGGTTCCTGGGCGTTGTCGGAGTTGTGAGATCTTTTCATGAACACGTACATAAGGGCCATTATCTATGAGATCATGAAATCATTCATCATCTTCGTATCGCTAACGTACAACGGAACAAACCAGACCACGCTTGACCAAACCCCTTGGGGCGTCCAACATCCCAGACTCCTCAACTATCCTTCTTCTCTTCCTGCTTCTCACTCCTCCCCTCACGCTTAGCATTCTTCAGCTTCTCGGGCTTTCCTTGCCGCTTCTCACTCTTCCCCTGCGACGCACTCTCGCCGCCGTCCGATTGCGGTGCGTTGGAAAGCCAAAACCGCATGATCATGCCGCCCAGGAATCGCTGATCAACCCACTTAACCAAGCCGTAGAGAACCCAACCCCATCCCCAAAGCGATATCCCCATCATACTCGCCACCAGCAGGATGGGCCCGACGATCAACAACGACAGCACAGCCCACAGTAGGATCGCGACAGCGGCAAAGACAAACACGCCCGCCAGGAACACCAGCAGCGGGACGCCGCAGCAGACGGCCTGGCAGACGAGAAACGTCGACGCGATGGGCCGCTTCAGCGCGGCCTCGTACAGCTGCGCCTGCCGCGGCGGCGGGAGCAGCCACATCACCCAACCCTTGACCCAGTTCTCGAAGCGGTCCATCAGGTTCGGGAAGAAGGAGGCGATCCAGCCCGTGAAGGCAGACCAGATGGCCGAGAGGGAGATCTCCGGCGCGGGTTGTTTGTCATCTTTGCGATCGTCCGACGGAAATGCACCGGGGAGGGAGGTATCGGTGACGTCCTTGGTGGTCTTGTTGACCTGGTCGGTTGTTTTGTTGACGGTTCCTGCGGTCAGGTTGTCGACGGATTTGGTGGGCAGGCCTTTGTCGAGGCCGCCGGTGACGGTATTGAGAGACATCCTGCGTAAGGACAACTAGCAGGATCCTAGTTGTTCAAGGGCTCGGTGGCAGGGAGGTTGAGGAGAGAGAGGGGGGAAAAAATAAATAAGTAAACAATACAAAATAAAGTGAACTCCATGTGTTGATCAAAATTGAGAACAAAACCAGCTTACAAGGCAATGACGTAGTGGGCGCAGCATTACCGACTTGCCAGTTGGTGGACTGGAAGTGACAGCATCGTGAGGGAGACGAAGGGAATGTGGAAGCATGACACTTCTGTCAAAGTCGCACATACATGGTTGTTGGAACACTCATATGTTAAGAGTATAACTACAGCTAGATGGGTATGCCGCAGTTCAACATGTGCAAACCAATACTGGGACGAATCAATACCAGCGGACATGCACCTACTGCTATCACCAGAATCAACATACCAGACGAGAGTCGATTGAATGTGAACCAAGGTGGATGAACGTCTATCTATGACTCCAAACGCCTGGGAGATAGATGTAATAGAACAAGGGCATGAACAGAGGACAGATGCAAGCTGGGAAAAAAAAAAAAAACAAACAGACAAAAGAAGCATTAGCAGCCCCACGACAGCATCCACCCAGCCCAGTGGTTCTTACAACCTTTCCACGTCCCGATGAAATAATGCTTGACCAGCACATCTGGCAAGCTATGATCTTCCCCTTGGGTGATCGCAAACGATCGCTTGGGGAGAATCATGACATCCCGGATTCGGATGGGGTCTTTCAAGTCACGGAGGTTCTTCACCTGCTCTTCTGTGCAGCCCAAGTAGTCCAGCACAGTGTCTGTCCAGACACTCGGACCCGTCCAGTCCATCACATTGACGTCTGTATCGCCTTCGAGAGCATGCGTTTGGTGCACAAAATCCGGCGTCCGGTCTGCGATGCGACGGAGAAGATCCCGGAACATGGGATGCATGGGCGCCGAGGCCATCGTCCACTGGACAAATTGCGGCGATCGGGGGAGACCCTGCGTGGATGCGTCTCCCTCTAATCCAATGATCACCGCGGGCGGCCCATCGTTGTGATTCCCGGACGGACCCATGACATTCCAGGGCAGCGGCTGCACCAGGTGAACATCCAGATCGTTGTACACGCCTCCTCGACCGAACAGGACCAGGTAGCGACAGAAATCCGCCTTCAGCACCGCAAAGGGCAGCTTTTCAAAGGCCGTGGCGAAGAAATCAGACGCGTCCACTTCGCGCGCCAGCTGCAGACAAGCTTCTTCACTCCAATACTCGACCTTCCAGCCGGATTGCTGCCAGGATATCACGTGGTCGTTGGGCTTAAAGTGCGAGACCGGATGATCAGGCATCGACAGGAGAAGCTGGTGGATAGTTTTTGGAATAGCGATCTCCTTGACCGCGGAGGCCTCCATCACCGCGAGTAAATGGCTGTGCTGGTCATGGTAGCGGTATAATAACCACAGGACGCTAAAAAAGATTATTGCCTGAACGGCAATAAGGGGACGCATCAGGATCGCTGTGTTCTATTGTATCTTATCTTGTTGTCGGCAGGATCCGACCATGGGACTGCCAGAATCTCGAGATTTCTTCCGTGGAGCAGCCGATACAAGCCTAACGAACGACGTACCTACTTAGCGAGGATCTTTCTGCGAACCGTGTCCGGATTCAGGACTTAGGAACATCGCGATTCGTGAGGCGGTTGGCCGGACTAGGAGGAGTTCGGCTCCAGTTAATGTGTGGTTGCCTGTTTAGGCGATGGTGTTGGGGGCAGTCTAAACACTATACCGGATTGGGCTTAGTCCACACACACTCACTATGCCTGAAAGAAATTAGGCACCCAGATAATCATTCCTCAGGCTTTCTCCGGAAACTGCACACACGACATCATCGGGCGTCTTTCCAGGAGTGCATCCATTTTACGTGATATGGACTCCATACGCCATTTGCGGTGTATCAAGTACAGTGTCCATGTCACGGGGAGAGAAGGCATACGACTCGATGAGAAAGTAGCATCAGGCCCCCTGCGGCACAGATCCTCCTCAAATGAGCAACTTCTGACTCGACGAACGCAAATGCAACTCGGTCAGCGGTAATAATGAAAATAGGACTGTACAACCTCCATCTGAGTAAGAGCTGAACTCGACCGTGTCGATCATACCAAGCAGGGCTACAGGAAAGCATGCTGGACGCCTTATGCCGCGCAACACCATCTGAAGATCTGAGGCAGACAGGATCGAAATGCATAAAGTCTCACGGATCCCACGTTGAACCTGTGCGGGTTGACCAGCATCTACATTATCGTCTACTCATTTCGAACGGGTTTCAACTCTCGAATTCACCGAACATGCAGCACCTCACCCTCACCACGCTCCTCCTCTCCCTCTCCGGCTCGCTTACCGCCGCCTGGAATGTGACTGCCTATCGCAACAACGACTGTACAGGACAGTTGACCTCCCTCGGCGGGAATCAGAGCTATGGCTGTTATTTCCTGCCCACCAGCGAGCCGATCAAGTCCTTCGGGGTAGAAAATCTCCCAGAAGGATGGAGATTTATCGGATCGAGCGGTCCTGCCTGTGACACCTGGCATCAGAGTGGAGAGAATGGGTGCTTTACTCAAAGCCAGGGATTCCAGTCCTTTCAGTTGATCGGACCTTCCAACTGATTGAGGTATGAAGGATGATCGATGATTTGGGATAATCTAACTCCCGCTAGACAAGCTTATCGGTTAGGAGGTAGACTTACATGCAATGAGACCAGAGGGGTATAATAACGGTGACTCACGGCATGATGGATTAAGCTCTGCTCTACACCCGGGAGTGATGCAGCTGTGTCGAAAGCCGCTATTTTCTGTTGGCTATATATGATGGGTTTAGGATAGAATTTTATTTATATAGTATTTGGGGCCCTCTTATCGTGCTGCCGAGGTACTTTCACTCTAAGCATAAGTAAGGGGTTAAAGGCTGGTGCTACATACAGCATTGTTGAGCGTCAGCAGTCAACATTTGGGCATGAAGAAGCCCCGTATTTGATGGTCTTCTCATCCTATCATTTCGGGATATGTTGAAATCTCCATAATCAATCCCTTCTGCCTCAATCATGGCATTTCCCTTCCGTGTGCTGGAGCATGTCATTTCCGGACAACATATTCGTGAACATCCGCACGCACTTAAGGAGAACCAGGAAGCCGCGCTGAAGATTGCAATCAAACAGTATATCCCTCTAGACCAAACTCAACCCGTTTCAGAAAATGCGGTGACTATCATTGGTACGCAGGGGAATGGCTTCCCGAAGGTGAGTGAAAGGATACAAGGATACTCGTTCAATCTACAATGTCACTGAGAGTCCTTCGAGGAAACATATGAGCCGCTTTGGCAGGACATGTTTCTCTATCTCAAGCAGCGTGGAATTCCCGTCCGAGGTATCTGGATGGCGGATGCCACGAATCAAGGAGCAAGTGGTGTACTGAATGAGCATGTTCAGGGCGACATGAGTAAGAGATTCTACGTCCTAGTTGGATGGTGGTATTTGCTGAGCGTGATAGCCAACTGGTTTGATCACTCTAGAGACCTCCTACATATGGTGAACCACTTTCGTAGTGAGATCCGTCGTCCCATCATTGGAATAGGGCACAGTATGGGATGTGCAGAGATGTCGGTCCTCCTCGCCTACGGACGACGTGCATCGCTAATGGCAGGCAGAATCGAATTATCCATCATCCACCCCCGATTGCTGTCTACCATCATTCTCTACGAGCCTGTCGTTCTCCAGACTTTAATGAAAGGCCCCAACCCGGCGATCATGGCGACATCCCGGCGCGATCTCTGGCCCTCCCGAGAGAAGGCCGAGTCTGCCTTGCGAAAGGGGTTCGCCAACTTCGATCCTCGTGCTATCGATCGTTACCTCCAATACGGTCTACGGGCTGTTCCCACCAGGCTATATGATCCGGGAAACGATCCCAGCATCCCCGCGACGGCTGTAACCTTAACCACAAGCAAGCACCAAGAAGCATGGACATTAGCAGTACCCAACCTAGAGCCTAAATCGGCAGGACTGGACGATCTGCTTCTTTTCGACTGGGATCCCGCAATCGAGCGTTCGTTAGCCTCTTCTCGTCCAGAGCCCTGGGCGGCCATGCGGAACTTGCCCCATGTGCGACCGAGCGTGCTATGCGTATACGGCGCGCGCAGTTCTCTTTCTCAACCAGAAGCTCAGGACTTAAGGCTAAGTATGACCGGTAAAGGAGTTGGAGGCAGTGGAGGTTTATCCCGGGGGATGGTCGACAAGGCGGTCTCACCGCAGGGCACACATCTGGTGGTCTTCGAAGATGTAGACTGGTGCGCTCAGGTTGCAGCGGATTGGATTGGAAGATGGTCCCAGCGATACTTGCAAGAAGAAAAGTTTTGGCGAAGCTATCGAAGCAAGAAGTCGGATGCTGATATGCTGCGAAGCAGCGAGGCAGCTTTAGCGGTGGCGAAGCTGATGTTGGGCGCGTCACGAAAGGAAATCATTACAAGCAAGTTATAGATATCCTTTTCCGCTGAGATTAGGTGAATGTAAAAGATATTCGACTGTCTGAACAGGATTATTTGATCTTTCATTTTTTTTTTTCCTTCGTCCAGTGACAAGTTGTCATGCAAAGACTTGTATTAATATCAGCTGAGCTGAGTGTATATAAATTCATCTCCCGTGGTATCAGTAAGTCATAACCCCAACTCCGAGTATAAACACAAATTAGTGACATGACACATTACTGCTTCTCCAGCCGATCTGAATCACGTATCTCCTCCTCAGTAGACTCAGATGAGTATCCCTTCTCGCTGTCTCCAATCTTGTTCATACTTTCTTCCATTTTGTTGTATTTACCAAAACAACAGTAGAAGAGCAGCGCGGTGGCGAACATCGCGATGCTGAGAGAGACATACTCCACCAGCACTTTCGGATCCACCGAGACTGGTGACAAGGTAATCCCCAGGGTTGAGCCAATGGTGCAGGTCAGAAGGAAGAGCGAAGAGACAATACTCCGCATCGATTTGGGAGCCTTGGTGTAGGCGTATTCCATGCCGGACAGAGTCGAGAAGAACTCGGACAGTCCGATGAGGGAGAAGACCGGGACCTGCAAGAAGATGCTGACATGGGATGGAGGGGACATATATATCACTATATTGATTAGGTACGTCAGGTAAATTGTGGTCAAGATCTGGAGGAGGGAGACGGCTCACGTTGTTGAATGCCAGCAGCAATGGCAATGGCGCACGCCTTAGCGACGAACCCGGTGGTCATACGGCTAATAGGTCTGAATGGGATCCCATACCGTCGGAGAGCCGGATTGATGACGCATTCACTGTGCGGTTAGTATAGATTGGCAATTGTAATAGGGCAACTTACAAGAGAGGAATAGCGATCAGGATCGTGACGGGGTTGAATAGTCCCACTGTATACATTAGTCATTGTGATAGAGGATTCAGGATATGGTACCCATACTCATATCATGGGGCATTCCGTAGGTTTTGAGAGATGAAGCCTGGCTGACCAGGTTGTTGTTTGCTTGCCCGTTGCACAGCCAGAAGATAGGACTGGCAAGTTAGCCATGGCCAGCGCACCGATCAGTTACAGACTCACTATAGAAGACTGGAGAAATATTAGCAATGCTCTCTTATCAAGACACGGTTCTGTACTTACAAAACCCGACAAGCAACCAGTGCTCGCTTCAACTCATCGACGAACGTGTCATCCCACGAAATAGAGGCACCACGCTCCTCCATCGCAAATGATTTTGCTGCATCCATGTTGCCATTATTCTTCATGCTGATCCATAGAATCCGGGCTGCTTTTGTAATGGCACATCCATGAGGTTGTTGCACAACTAGTAGCCTTGATTAGCGTTATCCAGGCCAGTGAAAGTCTCTGGATATACCGTATTTCCGTCGTCCATAGACCAACGCAAGAACGGCTAACAGCCATAGGGCAAAGGGCAACATAAAGGCGGCCCAAAAGTCAACTTTGAGTTCCAGCCACTGCGACGGTCAGTTCCGATCAATGCCACGAACGATGGGTTTACGCACCGAGGCAGGTATGATGGAGAGAGCCCCCACGTTCGTGATCCTGATATCATGTTAGTCGGACGACAGCACTCTCGAGGCTTCGAGACAAGACAGTACCAATAATATCGAGCATAGATAGTTTGTACCGTCACATTAGGATCAACAATGACCCTTTCTCCGCTATCCAACGTCTTGATCCGCTGTGACCGCATGGAGTACTGCTCTGCGATCAATGGGCCGACATTGCTTTTGATTCCACCACAGCTGTAATCATTAGGGCTCTGATTTCCTCATGCATGGGAAAGACACGTACCCTAGGCCGATCAGTATCAAAGCAAGCATGAGGCCCGGTAACCCTCCGCCATGATCAAGACTGGTCGGAAGGGAGGTGATGAATAGAATCAGGACCCCGCACATCGATAATCTATGCTTCATTAGCCACACGTGGGTATAAACTATCAGTAACGCTTGGATGCGTCGGAGGGGTGGCAACATACCCTGTTCCCAAGAAAATTGTCTTAAATCGACCAAGATAGCTATCTGCCACGATGGCCCCGAATATAGGAGCCAGATAACACCATCCCACGAAGAAGTAGCTAATCCCCGTTGCCACTTTTTGTCCCTGGTTCTATCAGTTGATGTCTTTCTAGAGGGTGACAGAAGCAGTTACCATTCCTAATGCGCCATGATGGAGTGGGTCATCGCGACCATTCTGGATATAGTTTTCTAGACAATCTGTCAGAGATACAATTTTCCATCTTAGAGGAGACACTCACGCATGGGCGCTGTTATTGACCGATATGTGAAACGCTCGGCTAATTCGGCCACTGCCACGAGGAAGATATCCAAGGAGATATCATCGCACACCCGCCTCAGAGTCCCTCGATCAGGCTCAGAGACATCACCGGACACACACTCCAGGGATTTTATCTGTTCCACTTTGCCCAAAGCCATTATGTCGATCAAAAAGAGCATTGATAGCTCTTGGCTCGCTTGACTCAGGAGATGATCATGATTTGATACCGAGCTGATCTGGCCAAAACGCCAGGAATATATAGTACACAGGAAACCCAAAACGCCGCCATGATATCGATTCAGGGCCTTCTTTCTAGTAGTGGGAATGCAGTGGCCGCGTAGAGGGCGATCTAAGTGCAAGGGGTATCTTTCAATTCGAGGGTGTATGACCATAGGTTGTATAGCCTCATTGGGCAGAAAGAACGTGCTGATCTTCTGATATCCGATCCATGAGGCAGGGTGGACGGTCGATTACGTGGGCCGTCACTACATGACGATAGAGCCGGCATTTTGGCTTGACAAGCATAGCGCATGTTCAGCCTATTCCTTGATGGATGTTGGAAATCCCATATCGGGGCAGACTCAGGAACTCGAGGGAATCCACTGAGATTCTTTGCCGCGTATACCAACTCCAATGACTGGGTGTCCATAGTCTCCCAAGAGCCCTCTGTCTATAAGGAGATATTATGACGTCAAAGCATGAGCCTACACAGTATAAAACATATCATTGTGGAATTGAACTGAAACCTCATCCGGTTGAGGAATGTAGATGGTGCAAGGGATAGGTAACGGCATGCCCTTGTTAGGAACTCGACATTGCCTTTGCGTTTTGATTTCTAGTTTCTACTCCATGCCTCTTTTAATATGCATCAAAGACACAATGTATCTTAAGGATAATTATGTACAGCGTAGCAAAATTGCCCTTGCACCGGCGAAGAAGCAAAGATTCTGCAGTGAGATCAGTGTAGGGAGCATGACGGGAGTAAGAAGCTTAGCCCAGCCACAAAGTCTACTTCACGGCCTATCTAAATCTAATACGCAGGATCACCCCGGGAATGTTTGAGTGCCGGCTTCTTGTATATGTTTCGTGTATCTCATTCTTTGCTTCGGCTTCGTTTATGTTCGTGTGTGACCAGATAAACGCTGACGCGGCTATGTAGATAGGATGCACGCGGCCTCTACGGAATTCATGTACAACCTTGTTGCTATCTAAAAGGCGGATAATCCATGGAAGCCCCGCGTCAGTGGCTCTCCAGACAGCTGAAACAACGAGATGGGCTTCTCTATCGTCGAGAAGCCATGACCCTAGACGGCATAGACGAGATACTTCTAGTGGAATCAGTCCTAGTCGCCAGTCCTCAAATGCCGTCAAACCGGGGATTACGCACTACTTAATGCTGTCCAACAGACTGTCCTGGTTAAGATCCGTTCCTCTACTACGTAACCATTCTCTAGAAGAAAGGGAAGAAGGAAAAGGATCAAGAGCCTTGAGATGGCTATGCAATCATTCTGCTGTAGCACTAGTGAGCACTACTCCTAAGAATCCCGTCATCTTGGTTTCAAGCCTCTGCCAAAGGGTCGATAAGCTGCCAGTGCTTGTAGGGAGTCTAGGGACATATGTATATTGATTGGAGGCAGAATACACTGACCACCAAGGCTATACCGCCCCCACCATGGTTGAGCTAGAGAATCGACCCGTCCATGCTTATATTAGTATATAAGTCATAACTGGATTGGACATACAGGCAGGATTGCGAGCTATATAGTTTGAATAATAGCTCATAAGATTCTGCAGGCTCAAAGGTAGCTGGCTAGCTAACTGCGTTGTAATGTTTATGTATAAGCCACTGATGACAGCATAAATCACAGGTTATGCCGTGCTTAGGTAATAATCACCCTCTTCTCTTTCCCAGCACTCGTGATCCTGTTCCAATCTCAGTTTCCATCCCCAACATCGCAGTCATCGTATCTCAACGTGCTCAATCCCAACGATGAGTTTTATCATTTCTTGAACCGTTATCATCAAACTTATACGCTTACTTGCTCCATGAACCTTCTCGACGATCAGATCCGCTGCAGCAGTGGATTCAACTCTTCGTTGACAGCTCGATCTTGCAACGGACCGTCTGGATGTCCGCTGATCATCCCTATTGCAATATGGAACTTCCCAGAGGATCGAGGCTACCGATAAAATTGCGGATGCGGCAAAACCAATGTTTCTGATTCCTGAAATTATTTGACTATTGATGATCCCGATCATGCCGTTTGGCTTGATAGACAAGCCAACTGTGTAGTCCTCAGTGGCTGTAGCCATCTCCACCCAGGCAGGCATGCCATACAATCAAGTTGATGTCACTTGCTGGCGTCTTTTGGTCATCACAACAACTTTTGACAAGGCTATTGAGGTTTGTCTATGATGCTTCGGACCCCACGGAGTGAATTCTTGTAAGTGTAACCTTGTCCCAGCATAATGGGCGGGAATGACACCACCACTGTGGTTGTGGGGCCGAGTTTATTTACATGAACTGGTGTGTGATGTCCCTCAGCCCGGACGAGGAGTTGTGTTGTGTCAATACACAATAGTGTTGGAGATAGTCGATATTGATTCAACATCCAATGTTTCAATGGCCATTGCTCCATCATTTTCGCCCATGTTATGAGTCCGTCGAATGTTGCCCGACTTCTCATACTTGCAAGGGAATACTTAGCACAAGCCAAGATATACCGACCGCCTGATGAATTGACTTCGATGACACCCAAGGTTAGATCATCATATCACCCGGGGTTCGCCTCCCATATGATGCGATGGACTTCAAATGGAAAGATACGAGCTCTCCGTGCATTCTCCAGTCAGTTTACGGTATCCCCTCATGACTTCATGATTTCGGCATGGCACAGCTGTAAGCTTCTGAGCCAGCAGACATATAATATCACAAGTAGCTTGCCAGGCTACCTTCTTCTCTATGACGATATGACAATTTCTTGTGCATATATTACTGTAAATCCGATGTGAAAACAACCATTTTATCGACGTTCCCCCAAAACAAACTATACACACTCGATTAACTACGGAATATGGCTTCCAAACGAGCAAAAGGATTGAACAATGCTCAAGGGAGCGCTAGAGGGGCTTCAGTGCTCCGTGGAATGGTTCAGACAGTTTCCCAGGAGTGCAAGCCACGTCTTGGATTCTCCGCCAGTGACATCGAGGCAAAGGCTCCCACCGTGGATGTTTTCTTCGATGCGATCGCCGCGGAACGCCTGAGGCGCATGCCACCCGACGGAAGTCGACTCGATGGTGCTCTGAGACGTGCCTCTAGACTCTCCTTCGCTGTAGCCTCTTTGCGCGATGCGGTCGTTTCATTCATGGACGGGGCCAATGACGCCTCCAAATTAATCTGGGGCAGCACCCTACTTCTGCTAGAGGTATGTCAATCCGTGGTCATACCAATGCAATGACTGACAACCTTAGAATGGCATCGAGCATGTGGATGTCTTGGACAGTGTCTTTGGCCGGTATGGAAGCGTGACATTGCAGATCTCCCTCCTGCTCCAACAGGAGGGTCACTTCAGAGATTCCAATGAATTGCAAACGGAGGTGGCCAGGATTTATGCGAGCCTTTTGCAGTTGGTTCTGCATGTTACCATGGAGCACAGTGCCGCCTCACGGACCCAAGATTGGGTGACCATGGGTGAGAACGTGGATGCTTCCTTCTTCCGATTCCATAACAGCTTCAACACCAACTGCCGGAAGATGTCGGAACTGTCCTTGTCCAAAAGAACGAGTATCGATATCGCTGCCGTCTATCAGTTCCTTGATCTACAAGACCGCCCATTGCAGATGATTCTCGAGGGCCACAATCATTCCCTGGCGGATGGCTCCTTTGGGTGGTTCGATCCTCACCTCACCACTTTTACTCTTAGCAATCGTGAGGCGATGATGGTCACTGGGGACCCAGGAGCCGGAAAAAGTGCGCTGGCGCAGTGGACAATCGAGCGTCTCCAGGTCTCATCTGAATATGACAGTTGGAATGTTATCCCATATTGGGTCCGGGATGATGTGCCCATCACTACTTTGACTCTTACAGTTCTCAAAGGATTGCTTCTGCAGATGCTCGACAGATGTGTCAGTTCCTGGAAAACCCAGGAGGCTATTATTGCGTCGTGCCAGGAGGCTGCGCATATGGCCTCCAGGGGTGGTACCGACTCGCAGGTGGAGGATGTCCTCTGGTCAGCCATTCACACAGCATTGCAGTCCCACATGCATTTCATGGTAGTCCTGGACGGGCTGGACCAGATTCAAAACTCCAATACTTCGATGGCCAGGTTCCTCAGCCGCCTTCAAAGTGCCATCTCAGGTACGCCGTCCAAACTTATTATCTTCTCCAGGAACCTTCCAGCCCAGCAACAGATCGGTAGAACCACGCAGCATCTCTCTATGACACCTGCCTTGACCGAGAATGATATGCTGGCCGCTGTTGCCGAATCAATCGGATCGGACGGCGAGTTCTACGGCCTAGACGCTGAACAGATTGATTCACTGGCTGGATCCATCGTCACTCGTGCACGAGGGTCCTTTGTGTGGGCCCAACTCACGCTCGAGTACATGAGGCGTGAATCTACATTCAAAGGAATGTTGAAAGCAATCCAGCAGGCGCCAACGGACGTTGGTGACCTGATTGACAGCCACCTGAATACTCTGGATCTCTCGCGGCTCGACACTCGCTCTCTCCTCGCCTGGCTTGTAGCTGCCGAGCGTCCACTGCGTATTCGGGAGGTCGATGAGCTACTCAAGGTAGACCCGCAGACGCTCAAATTTGGGTCTCGCCCAGCTGGGCCTGACAGAGCCATATATAAACCTTTGGGTCGCCTTGTAATGGTTCGTGATGGATTTGTCGCCTTCCGCCACCCCATGATCCGAGAAGATCTCAGGCTACGCGCCGAGTCTGCAGACAGTAATTATTCCAGCAATCGTGGGTTCCCCTTCAACCTAGAGGAGGCCCATTACGATATCTTGACTCGTTCTCTGGCCTGGACGCGTCTTTCTGTGAAACAGGAGGTTGACGTCTCCATGGATAAGCTCCCCGTCCAACAGCGGGACGCTCTTTTCGACTCGTATATTCTCTTGGAATACACTTCGCGCTACTGGTTCTCCCACCTTCTTTCATCTCCCATGACTACACCCGACCACGAGTTCGCCTTCACCCCCCTCTTTAAGAAGTCGCTGCCGGAATCCGTCCTCTTCACACAGATTGAACTTACCAGTCGTGAAGCAGAATTCAGCCGATCCAGCATTCTCGAGCTTTACCGCCTCTCGGTTGCAGTGCGTCGCGCAATTTTGGGCGAAAAATCCAAGGCTTTCCTCCAGAGTCTCATCCTGAGTGCTCGTGCATCCGACTTGGCCGAGACCAACTGGGCAAATGATCACATGTACGAAGCATGGAATTTGAGCCGTTCGCAGCTTGGCCACTCCTCTCCCATCACCACTCAACTGGAACAGCTCTTGGTCAATTCCCCTCGGCGTGCGAATCGTGGAGACCAAATTGTTGGCATGAAAGCTGATGCCATTCGGGATATGGCCATGTCAGATTGGGATTCCAATGATCTCAGTTTCAAACGTCGCCTGGAGTATCTCGGAACCTTGATCCAGATGTACCAAAGTAACAATCAGAACGAGGAGGCATATTCTGTTTCCAAGCAGTTTTATCGCCAGACCCTTAATCGTTATGGTAGCCACTCGAAAGAGAGTGCACAGGCAGCCGACTTCCTGACACAGCACTTCCAGATCTCGCCTTCCGACGATCTGTCGCTAGAGATTTCTCATCTCAAGTATGAGAACATGATGCGATCCATGGATGCCACGGACGCCCGGCGCATTGCATATTCTCTGTATCTCGCCCAGCTGTACGAAGAGAACGGCAAGTCCAAGCAAGCTGAGTCTATCTTGACAAGCCTATGGGCAGGTGTCTCTTCACATGACCTGGACACCCAGGCTACCTGGGAGAAGAAGACAAAGGTTGCCTTCGTGTACTACCAATTCCTGCGTCGTCACGGCCGCTATGAAGAGGCTAAGCTGGTACTGCGTGAACTCTCTTCGGATCTGGAGTCTGACGGTATACACACTGATGAGATGGCCGATCGTGCCAAGGAACTCAGCAGCGAAGCACATGAGTTGGGCCTTATCGACATGGAACGGACGCTCGATACTTTGGTGTGGAAGTACTACGTCAGTTCCGGCAAGCAGTACTCCAGCGACGCTGTGACCTTGGCCCGAAATCTCTCTGCCGTCGAGATGTCCCGGTATACGACGGTGGACGACCTGGCCGCGGTGTCCGAAGATGAACGCTTGTTCCTCCGCAGCCTTATGGACACATTGGCTTCGTCGGGTAGTGGTAGCCAGTCTACCTCGCTCCTGACCCTTTGTCACAACCTCTGTAGCGTTTACATTACCAAAGCGGAGTGGAAGGAAGGCAGCGATTGCGCATGGTCTGTGTTGAAGCACGAATGGCCAGACGTGCATGAGCCCACATCTGAATCCAGGTTCCGTTCCGATCGCGCTCCTTTGATCGCCAATGTTGCCTTGGACTATGCCTTCTGTCTCTTCCGACGCTTGGATGTGCAGACCGCTACTGCTGTATACGGAAATGCATTCAAGGCCTCTATCACGGCCGAGAAGGTGGCTATCCCTCACATCACCGCTGTTGTCAAGACCGTGGTTGAGTTTTATGAGACCACTTTCCAATTTTCCAAAGCCCTTGTACTCCTGCACCAAGTCAGTGAATTTTTTATCTCCCGCCTCGGAGATTCCGACAAGCACACCATCGATACACTGTACTACGAAGGTGACCTAGCTGCCCGCCTCGATCGTCAGAATGAGGCTGAAGCGGCGTACCGTCATATTTACAAGGCGAGCATCCATGGTGCTACAATTAGCTCGACTGGAGTACCCGCGGCCGTGGCTCTTGTGGGCATATATGAAAAACAGAACAATGCCACTTCTGCCTTAGATGTGTACCGCCACCTTTGGCCCACAATGATCCGGTCTGACAAAGTCAATGATTCTGACCGTTCCCCTGTGGGAAGCTCCTTGGACAAGACTTATACCGGGTACATGTCCACGCTCGGAAGTGGTGCTGAAGCTGGCGGATATACTGAGCGCTACACCATCGCATCTCAGTACCTGGCCATGTGCCAAAAAGTTCACGGCAGATCTAGCAATATCACTCGTGATGCCACCATCAATCTAGCGGACATTTGTGCGGACAGTGAAAGTCACATTGACCAAGCGATTTCTCTCTATCATAGTGTTCTCACTACGGACGCATGGGTGCCTCAGTCTCAAGCCTCACTACCGCTACCTGATATGACCGATACTTTGGGCATCAGCATTAAGCATAAGTTGGCCGAAATGTACCTTCGGAAGAAGAGCACTTCCAGCGAAGCGTACTCCTTGTACATGGAGGAGCTCACCATGGCCAAGCAGCAGCACGGATTGTCTTCCTCCTATGCGCTGGTGTGGCTGCGCCAGATTGCTCTGCTCTACGCTGCGAAGGGCACAGTTGAATCACGCAGACAAGGCTCGAAAGTCCTGCATGACTATGTCGACGAAACTATCCACATCACAGCCGGCCAGGATACGTTGGTGGAACGTGCCCACCGACTTGGAGAGACCTATCTGTCATCTGGCTACACAGATGCCGGTAATGAGTTGATTGATGAGCTCCACCAGCAGGTGATCCATGAGACCCCTGCTGCCCAGCGATCCTCGCTTAGCGAGCATCGTCCCGCAGTCTTTGTTGCCGCATTCGAGGAGGTATTCCGCAAGAAGTTGTCTTACGGCCAGATCCTGGATCAACTATCTCAGGAGAGTCGCGTAGTCAGCGACTTCCAGAAGAGTCTGTCGGGCCATGATCTAATGCCTACCCTTGTGGCTGGCGACCGACTCAGTCGCCTGCAGAGCGATCAGAAGCGCACTTCGGCCGCTAAGACGACACAGGACAGTTTATATGAGTACTTCTGCAACACACTTTCCATCTCCCCCAGCCTGCGCTCCAAGAACGTGGTTCGCCAATTCTATTACCTATGCTGCCGCGAAGCCTCGAACCCTGATTACAGTATCAACATTACCACGGCAACCACGGGCATGGTTCGCGATCTCTGTAACAAGTCACTCTTCCAGGAGGCGGCAGACCTGACGGGTGTGTTCCATTCGTTTGCGCACTTGACTGACGGTCTGCGTTCCCACGAGGCAATCTTCACTGCCATCAAGCTCTGTTTGTACTTGAATGGATACCAGACGAACAAGTGCTCAGACCCCGGTATTGCCAAAAACATGGGCTTTGAGTCCCAGATGCTCCTGGAAGAGATCCTGAATAATGCCCGTGAGCTCAAGATAGAGTTCTCTGATCTACCGTTCGGAGAGCTGAATGATCTCGTGACTGTGCTCGGGGAGCACGAGATGTTTGACGATCTCGAGGTAAGTAATTCCAACCCAAACTGCGTCTCCCTTTACTGACTGATTATCCAAGGCCATCCTCACTGATCTCTGGACCTCGCGCATTGTCCAGAAGACATGGTCGCTCAACGTGGTCGTGTGGATCGGACGGCGCCTGGTTGAAACACGCTTCTGCCGTGGCCGCGTCCACGGCGCGACCCGGCTTGGCAAGGACATCTGCTACAACTTGCGCCAGGTCTGGGGCAACTGCGATCCGGTGACCCTGGAGATGAACAAGCTGCTCTCCGGCCTGTACACCGCGTCGGGTAACTACCTCGCGGCCGTGGCCTTGCACGAAACGGCCCTGTACGAGCTGCTCAATGACCCCGATGTTGACAAAACCCACGCAGCCGACACCGTCAGCCAACATCTACAGCTGCTCAAGCACGCACAAACCCGGTTGAGCCGGGAGGGTAGCCACGATGTAGACGAGAGCGCATATGACGAGCTGGTGCAGCTGATCGCCACCAAGTTCGGCATCAGACAGGAAAGTCTACAGCACGGCGACTATGATGACGATGTCGGTATGTGGCAGCGTCCGCGCCGGTTCAGCCTGGATGTGGAGGAGCAGCAGATGCACTCGAACCATCTGCGCAACAGCAGCGGATCGGCATTACTGAATGGCAACGCGGGGGCCAAGAGGATCTCGATCACCGCGCTGTAATTTGTATCTTCTAATGATTTGTATGATCAGAATGCCTGTGGGTCTCTAGCAAAGAAAAGTAGTAGTTTAATAATAATAATATCATGTTGGTTGTTTTCAGTCTTGCTGCTCCTCTCTGCCTTCCTCTGCGCTGAGTATCTACTCACAACCATGATCTACTCTCAACAGCCTAGAACACAAAATACGGTCTAATCGATCTCGTTTCCTTTTCTCAGCCATGGAACCCGGTGAAAGCATGGTGCCGGCAGCGATCCAACGTCATCTCCTTAATCTTCGGACGAAGGGCCGCAAGCGGACTTAAAAGCCTCTTGCCCCGGTGGCTCCTAACTCCGCTATGCCCGAAGGAAGTTAAATAGCACTGCAATTCTGCCCTCATTATGGCCCTGTAGAATGAGCTATTGTCTATCCAATCTGATACCAAAATCACAACAAAAATGGGCTTCCTCTACTCGCAGCTGTGCATTACACCCGCATATCCGACTGCTTCGTTCACGGGCCAAACAATCATCGTCACCGGCTCCAATGTCGGCCTCGGCCTCGAAGCTGCCCGTCACTTTGTTCGCCTAGATGCCGCGAAAGTCATCCTCGCTGTCCGCAATCGAACAGCCGGAGAGGCGGCGAAGAAGAGCATTGAAGAGTCTACGCAGCGCCAGGGGGTCGTGGAGGTGTGGGACCTGGATCTAGCCAGCTATGCCTCCGTGCTGGCCTTCGCAGAGAAAGCAAAGCAGTTAGCCCGATTGGATGTCCTGCTGTGCAACGCGTCCATCGCCACAGAAAACTTCCGGCTGGTGGAAGGCCACGAGAGCAGTATCACCGTGAATGTGCTCGGAACCCTGCTGCTGGAGATCCTGATGCTGCCGGTTCTGCGGCGCAGCGCAAGGGCGTACGGGACGCGGCCGCGGTTGACCACGGTGGTCAGTGAGGTACACGCCTGGTCGAAATTTCCTGAGTGGAAAGCAGAGAACACATTCACCGCACTGGACGATGAGAAGCACACGAGCATGGGCGAGCGGTATGCGACGACGAAGTTGTTGCAGGTGTTGGCGCTCCGCGAGATGGTCGCGCGCATGGAGAAGGATGAGGCGGTCATTATGAATATGGTGAATCCCGGCCTATGCCACTCGCAGCTCGGTCGGGAGGCTGGGATTGGCCTGGCGCTGCTGAAGATGGCCCTGGCACGGACGACGGAGGTGGGTAGTCGGACGCTGGTTGCTGGTGCGGCGGCGGGGGAGAACAGCCATGGGGCGTATATGACGGACGGGCTGGTGGATAACAATGCCTTGTCGCCGTTTGTGCGCAGTGAAGACGGGAAACAAGCGCAGGAGAAGGTATGGAGGGAACTGGGGGGGATTCTGGAGGAGATCCAGCCGGGGGTGATGAGCAATTTGTAGGAGATGCCAGAGACAATGTATATGAATTCAGTGAGACTTGTTGTATATACCCTAATTAATACCTTTAGTGATACAAGACACGCAGAATATCTATTTCCAATGTCCTGCTCGAATTAGATTCCTCGGTGTCTTCAATGCTCACTGCTATGCAACAGCTGATTTATCATTGGTACCAACACTCCTCAAGCTTCATTTACAGACAGTACCTCTCTCCCAGAGAAGTGGTAACAGTCTGGTCAAATCGCCACACTATGTTTGAATGAGAGCTTAGATAGCAACGACATCGACCCAGAAGCGGGTGTCATCTTTCTGGTACTTGGAATCACTCTCAATCTGCTTCTGGATCCACTGGATAGCGGATTTGTAGTCTAGTCCCGTCAGTGATCTTAAGACTCTTGGTCGGCACAGTGAAGGAACATACTCTTGATATCCTGCGTGCCTGGGTTCTTCAGCCCGGAGACTCCATTGCGATGGCCAGAAATCCAGGTGTCAAAGCCATAATGCTTCTCGCTCTCCTGGCGAGCCCGAACATCCTTTTTAAGGTCGGTGCTACTTCTGTTAGCACACCAGAGGGACTCGACGGGGAAGCCGAGACAGACTTCAGGATAGCACCATTTTTGACATTAGCGGCGGTCTGGCCGCTGAACTCACTGGTGGAGGTACGCAGCATCATCCAATTCTGTTTGAAGATGCCAAAGTTGGTGGCGTCACCGGTCTTGCCGTCACCTGCGTGGATGAGCATTGGTCATGTTGAGGGGGTCAAAGCCATACCGTAGGTATAGTCAGTTCCCATCTTCTCACTGGCTCGGATCAGTCTGATATACTATTATGACATTATGAATGCAAGGAAAGCTGACTCACGCCTCGAGCATGGCAATGGCCAGGTCCAGGGTGCTTCCACCGGCACCAAGGACGGCCTGCTTGCGCTGACCAAGTCCACTGACGGTATACTTGCCACGATCTGCGGCGCAGAGGCCGAGCTGGGTGAGACCGCAGAGGGTGATGAGGGTGGTGAACTTCATTTTGATAGAGCTTGTTGTTATCGCTGCTGCTGGGAGTATTGCTGGTGTTGTTGATGTTCATTCTCCAGCCGGGGTTCTTGAGGTTTATGTACTTGAGGAAGGACAAAGAAACTGGCAAATAATCCGCTCGCTTCATACAATCGTATCCATTCCTTTCTTGACAATGACGGCCCTCGTCTCGGACAATATCCACTTCGTCAGGGGTAAGTTTTGTTACTGCCGATCAGACGGCCGTTTCCTTTTGGGTCACGGATGGTCCGTTAATTTGGCTGCAGATCAATTGAGATTGGTGTCGACAGGACGGTCTGAACTATATGAAAGCGGGAGACATGGACGGAACATGCGCCAAAGATCCGAAAACCTGATGTTTCAAGGTACTATAGTTAGAAGATAGTCGACTCTGTAGGTTAGGGTTGGACTCTTCAACGCGATATAGGGCCCCTTCCAGCTTGTTTCGGATGGTTTGATGGAAGTTAAGAGAGTGGATCTTGTGTCAGACATTGACGACAATCCCACTTGGTAGGCTAGCTGGGAGGTGAGATATATTCCCTGGTGCTTATCTCAACCGTGCTGACTGCTGTCTCCAGATTGAAGCTATTCAGCCTCGTATTCACAATGCAATGCAACGTTGTGCTGACGCGGTGACTCACCATGTCGACATAAAAACCAAACGCGTCTTCATCGCAAGATCAACAAACTACATTTCTCCTCAGGAGGTCGAAATAGAAGCTGAGATTGCCGTCATGCTATCTCCAACCGACAAACATTACGTGGAAACCGTCTCCACACGGCCCAACAAGCTCATTGAGATCGTGGACTACAATCCACTATGGCCCGCTCATTTCTCTGGCATCGCTGACCGCATCCGAGCCGCTCTGCCATCAGTCTTGGCCATTCATCATGTCGGATCGACCAGCGTCTTCGGCTTACCGGCCAAAGCAGTCATTGACATCGACCTCGTCGTGCGTGATCCCACTGCTGAGGCCGAGTTCGTTCCCGCACTGCAGGCGGCGGGATTCCAGTTCCTTTTCCGGGAACCCAACTGGCACCAGCATCGGTTCTTCGGGCTGGAGGAGCCGTACGCCAACGTGCATGTCTGGGGCCCCGATGCCGTCAAGTTGATTCGCCATCAGCGATTCCGAGAGTGGTTGTGCGCCCATCCGGACGACCAGGAGAGATATGTGCAGGCCAAACGAGCGGCGGCGCAGGCGAGTCGGGCAGCAGGAGAGTCGGTGATGCAGTATAATCTCCGCAAGGAGCCCGTGATTGAGGATATTCTGGAGAAGGCGGGTGTGTTACACTTGGGTGCTGTGCCGGAACAGGAGGGATAGTCTCTTGGTTCTATATGTGGTCCTGCTGAGTTGCTCTACACAACGGGGGAATATATCAAATGGTGACAAGCGACTTGCAAATTCTACCCTTAGGATTGTATCCTAATCGCACCTTACAATTGACACATAATCTGCTCAGTCTCTTGCGTCTCATATTCCACCCCCCGGGCCATCATATCCAGCGATCCTCCTGACATGTTGGCGATCAACGGATGGAAATGCCGTTTCACATACTCCAGCACCATGTCCATGCCTTCATCTGTTAGCATCGTCCTTCACGAAGGATAGAGAACAGCTCACCCGCTACCGCACCGCCGCTGGTCCAGAACTCTACATGTCCTCGTTGGTCCACCACCCAGCGCTGATCCTTCCAGTGGACACTCGGGTAGCTATCACGGGCCGACTGGAGCAATCCTCGGTTCGTGGTGGCGTTGAGACCATCCAGGATGCCTGAATCAGCGACCCAGGCGCCGCCAGTGCAGACGGTCATGATGACCTTGGGTTTTGGATCCGCGTAGACGGCGCGCATGTACTGTAGACTATCCTCGTTGTGGGTAAGCGAGCCTCCGACGAAGACCATGTCGACATCGACGGGAGCCTCCGCGTAGGTCGTGTTCGGGACACAGGTGAGTCCAATGGTCATAGGCGATGGGGCGGACCCGGACGAAAGGTAGATATACTCCATCTCAACGGCATATGGGAGGAGGGCCGCAAAGGCGGGGACACTAGCGAGAGAGGAGATGTACTCTTTGCCGCAGTTGCCGAGGACATCGAGGCAGGCGACGTCGAGGGTCTGGCAGTTCTCGAACAGGACTGCGATCTTCATTTTCGTTGTGGATGGATGTGATTGATTTCCAGAACCCGGGTGCATCGCAACATATTTATATTATCGATAACTCCCCATGATCTATCCAAGTATTGAGGAAATTCGCGCAAATGTCCTCACCTGCAGCACGGGACCCATCGCCGCTGCAGCCACCCGCACGATTCACACCGGCAGTAGATCACAGCGTCACGGCAAAATCTAGATCAAGCCATAGATGAAGCCCAATTGATCCATCTCATCGCCATCCTGCCCATAAAAGCCTACGATTTGCCACCCCTCGGGCGCCACAAACTCCCTGCAATCGTCCGTCGCCGTGCCTGCTCTGACGCTGCGGCCCGCGCTGGTCGTTGCCAGCAGGTAGAAATTGCGCGTGCGGTCATTGTACTTCGCCTGGCACAGTCTGGCGCGTGTCCAGTGCTCGCCATCCTGCAGGATCAGCTCGGACAGCGTGCCTCCCGTGCCGCCGTGGTTGTAGCTCTTCCCGGAGGCCAGCGCGAGACCGACGCTGTCCAACCGCTTCGAGCCGCGGAGGGAGATTTTGGTGGGTTTGTTCGCGCCCGTGGAGGTGCTGGGAATGGATTCAATATCATTGAACCAGGTTCTGAAGAGTTAGCTGTGCTCGCCGCTGAGGATTTCGACAGGAATCAGAGGCCTACCCATGGGGTCCGCCCCAGAGGTCACTCTGGCGGATGGAATCCGACAGCGTCCAGGTGAAGTTGGAAGTGACGGGATTGTGATCGGACAGGATCGTCCCACTCTCGCTCAGGAACTTGCTACTCTCATAGTTCCAGAAAGTGGCCTGCAGATCGATCGCACGGCTCCCGCGATAGCTGTCTGGTCAGTTGATGATGAAAATGATCTAGAGAGGTCTTACAAGATCTTGTCCACTGTCTCACAGGTGTTGACCGTGCTGGGATTCTCGCACAAGAGTGGATCCGTCCCTTCCTTTGGCTCGTCACCGTTCAACACGAGCTGCACCCACGGGTTGGTCATGCCATTCTCTGTCTGGAAGACGCGAATCTTCTCGCCGGACGAGGTGTACCGTGCGTTGGTGTCGCCAAAGACCACGACCGCGTTGCCGACCGAGTAGGTCCTGATATAATCCGCGACTTGCTGCAGGTTGGCGCCGCGAGCAGCGACATCTTCAGTCTTGGAGCTGATCGATGTCAGATTTCAACCGAGCAGAACAGCCGGTTCGGTGGACTCACCCGGCATCCGTGTGCATATTGTAGAAATCCACATACACGCCCTCCGCCACCCTCACGCGCATCGAGGTGAAGCCTTTGGGCGTGAGGCAATCCGCGCCGGACGCATTCGAGCACGTCGCCCATTTCGTGCGCGCGAAATTCAGGAATTCAAAATTGGACAGCGTATTGAGACCAGATCCGATCGCTGCACCGCCCGAGGTTGGGGTCCGGTAGGGGTGATTGTCAGTCTCGTAGATGGCGGCGTGGTAATTGAAGTCCTCCCTCGTTAGTTTGACAAAGAGGGGCCAGAGGACACTCAACAAAGACGAACCTCCTGCACATGGATCACGTCGTAGCCATACTCAGCAAACTTCTTCCCGATCAGCCGCGAATTCTCGGTTTTGTCGCCAGGCACGTCGTTGCCGTTGAAGATCGGTGGGAGACCCGCGACGTTGAGCGTGAGGACATTGAACTCGCCTCCGATCGCAGCCAAGGCTGATGGCAGACCTGCAAGGAGGAAGTAGGTCGATCGCATTATAGCGGATGCTCTCTAAGTACTCCGTAGTGGATACACTCTGTCCTTCTAAAACGCCTGGCTGGACTGCGCAGCGGCCGGCGATATTTATACCACTGGTTTTTCACACACTGGGACGCCGATCGTCACAGGCTAATCCATCGGGTTCCAAGGCGAAAGGGCAATCCCTCGGAGGAATTCAGGGGGAAATGACCAGATGGATATTGAGGATAGATTGCTTCGGCAGAGACATAGCGTCATTTAGGCTCTATATAGTGCTCTAGCAGACTTGGCGCAATGTCGCTATAGAAGAAGGGGACTTCGGGGCGAAGATTCGACATATTAGAGAATCGCATGATGGGATGTCGACGATTGTGATGACGAGCAGGTACTGGGACAGTCTGAATGTCAGCATATATGACACTCTACCAATGCCTCGGTGGGAATAGGTTAGAGGAGAACGGAGAGATGACTTTGTGGCCGGAGAAAGGCGTAGTCCAGGCAGCATCATCTCTATCTATCTATCTATCTATCTATCTATTTCTATCTCGAACAACAGGCTATGGCTTCTCATTCAGCCCTACAGGGAAAAAAAAAAGACTACAATGTACGCTGACGACCCACACAGATGACTCGAATTGTGCCACCCTCCGTTACTACTCATGCATGCATGTCCCAACATCGGTCCATCTGCCATAACCATCGCATAATCTTGACTAACGCATTTTCCCCCAAGGCAAACGGCAGAGGCAACGGACTTCGGAACGCCCGTCCCAGCCCCTCACGAATCTGCATTTCCACCACTTTTCGCCAATCCACCTGGTGCGCGAAATGAAATGGAAAGTGGTGCTGGCTCAGCGTCTTGACCGTGCAATCGATCATCGGCTGGCCCTGTAGCTCGATCTGCGGCTGCAGGATGCACGGCTGAAGGCCCTGGCAGTCGATTTCCAGTCGAATCACCCCGGCCCCGACAAACTCTCGAACTTGGACTTCAAGGTCATGGTTCTGGTTCTTTCGACCGGCAGACTGCAGAACCGTCAAATCGATCAGGGGTTCCGTAATCCGCTCCACGAGATGGAAGCCCGGCGCCTGGAATGGTCGGATTTCCACGACAAATTCACCCTCCAAAATCATATTTCCTGGTTTTCCGTAGTGTGAGATCCTCACCCGGTTTAGCCGCAGCGGTCGCTCAACGGATGCCAAAGAGCGAAGGACCACCCGCTGACCCGGCGGTAGCCCTGCGTTCACCTGCCGCACAATGTGTTCGCAGATGGGCCGTTCGTAGAGATGCCACACTTTGTCGAGGACGTGGTTCACCCAGTGTACCGTCTCGCCGCGGCCAAGGATCTTCTGTGCATGGTAGCGGCGCGACTCATCGCGAATGCTGCGTTGGGCGCGTTGGATAGATAGTTGATAGGCGGTGCGACAAATGCCGAGGAGAAGAAACAGCCAGATGGAACTGAAATGGAGGCGACAAAGGGTCCAAGAGGTAAGGCAGGCGACAATAATGATCTTGGATTCGGCGTACGTTTGCTCGAGGATGAAGAGGATGGAGGATATTTCGGGGGTTGCTTTGGCGGTAGATTTGCCCATTCTGATCTGAACCCGGGGTACATGATGTGTCTGGAGTTGAAATCAAGAGAGAATCTATGTCGAAGAGAAAACCCGGGGTTAAGCATTTGTTGCAGCCTAGAGGAAAGGGATAGCATCACCTCCATTGGCTAGTCGATCCACTGTTCAATAATAATTTCCTAAATTAGCTTGCATGCTTGGTATTGGACGCCCCACTGACTATTATTGATATGTGAAATCTCATCTGCAGCCTTATAATAGATGCTCCAATGTCATGCCGGAGATGTGCCAATACCTATCTCCCCATCCTTGGCAATGTCCATCCCCCCAGAATAAACGTGTCAAGCTCCTCGCCTGCCACACCAGGTTGGTATCAGCAATGACAGCTGTATCTATGCGTATGCGAGGCAGTGCTAACCTATGAGGACGTGGCTGGTATGGTTAGGATATGATAATATGAAGACAAGACGCAACCCAAGCAGAGAGCTCAGCTATGAAGGCTGCCAAAAGCGTCCTCATTGTGCTGCATCCTGTGCTTCTAGTATGCATCCCCTTTCTCCATGGACGCCGACGGTCAAGTGTGAAGGGTTTTCTCGCATGAAAATGACGTCGGAGATTATGCGGGTCTTATTCCTGAGGATGTGTGTTGCAAGTATCGATTGTGATGAGACAGAGCAGATTCGAGAACTTGAGTGTCATCACATCCAGATCGTGGGTCTGAGGTACTGACAGGTTTTCCAGAAGAGAAATGTGAACAATTTCAGAGCAATCCAGTCCAGAGCGATGGGGATAACACGAAAGTAAGCGTTCCATCCGATCCGATACTCATTCTCGCACATCATCTGGACACCCGGTTGCTTGAAGCTTGGACTTCTGCTAAAATCGCTCATGCAATTAGCAGCAAAGTAAATGATGACCGGGTTTATCTCCCTAGGCTTGGTATTCTTCGTGTCGCTTCATGCTGTGTTCCATTCGAAATAGCTTCAGTTGCGATCTCTTCTCGCTCGGTAGCTGGGAAGTGATGGACGCAGGACCACAAGCACTGCGCCAGCTGTGCTATGCGTAGGGTGGAAAGATATAAGAGATGAAGTGACGGAGGTAAATCGGACAGCAGGTGATGACCCCGTGACCTGCGCTGTCCTGGCCTCAGATTAGTTCTTCTCCCATCTTCAGCTGCCAGTTCCTCGACTACCTTCATCATTCGTCTATCATCTCTCAATCGAGACTTGGTCTTTCATCTCTCTGGTTGCGGAACCAAGATCTGTATTGCGAAGGACGTCTCAGCTGCACACTAAATCACTCATCTCAGCTCAACAAAAAGCCTCGCATAAGGATTGGAATCGCAATACGGAGTAGATTCTGTGAAATGCCCGGTTGATCAAACTTTAGCATCGCTGGGCCATCATTCCGTTCAAAGAAGAAGATGGCATCCGATTAACTTGATAGATCATTCTGAAGCAACGCTTTCAACGCTCTTCCAGACAGGGATTGATACTGCTGTAGCGCGCCATCTCCTTGCACCTGTTCAAGAAGAGATCCAATTACGACATATGCAGCGATATGATGAACCCCTTTACCACAAACCACACAATATTCAGTATCCGTCCAAGGCAGCATAACATCAAGAACCAAACTCAAGAGGTGGGTGGGATACCATGATCGACGGACCGACTCGCTCATTGCCTCATTCAGCAACTTGCATCAAGGAGCCTGGCTCGCTAAAGGTACGTCGGCTAAAGGCTGTGGGGTTGTGGATCAAGATCATACGACAATTGCTTGAGTTGACAAATGCTAAATAATATATATTGACTTCAACCAAGCTAAGATCGCGCGTGTAAATCCAGCATTCGAATCAAACGCCCTGAGGAGTGAAGACATACAACGTCCAATAATACCGCTCGAGACCACCATTTTGTCCCTGAATTGTCAATACCACGCAGCTACATGTTGAGAATGTCAGGATTACCATCAAATTAGGGAATTCAGTTCGCTGATCGCTGCATATTACCTCAATGATCAATCCGGGAAAAGCGCCCACTAGTCTGGAAGAGGAATGTTGGACAAGACGCAGTGGAACACGCCGTCCAACAGTCATCCGCACCTGTGATTCACCCGTTACTCAAAGTCTCAGATGGGTACCACTGGAGTTGACAGTTCTATTCAATACTCGGTATCGGCCTTCTTGACTGATAACCCTGATTCAAGAGCATTCGAGTTGCTCTTCACAGCATCGCTTCTGACCTTGATCACCCCTGGTTGAGGAATCAGACCCGTATCCAAACGTTTCGTTGGGAACCACACTTACCATTGCAATCGACCAGTCATCCGTGAGACTGATCACAAGCCAATACTGAGCACTGCACCTGTCCCGTGCCCAGCCGAGTAAGCCACCCTGGACAACTGCTTTACTCAAGCCTCTGTTGCAATGATGAGCGGCAGGAGTGGTGGACAGTGAAACCGTCTTTGTCCAGGATTCCTATCAAGTGTTCTTCGCCATCCCACCCAAATCGAACAGGGTTGAAATTCCAGATAACGATTCAGTCCCGATTACGCAGGTCTCAGAACTTTGTCAAGGCCCGTGTCCACCGCACTGACACACTTGAATTGCAATCACAATCATTGGCTCAGGTGTTCAGGAGTCAGCACCAGAAAATTTCTCATAGGCAAAGCTCACACAATTAAGCCTCTTAAGCAAACCTAAAGGCCTACGGCCGCCCGACCGGCAAACGGGATTTGGGGCCCCGTGCTTAGTGTCGCCCACCTCAGTAAGCGAATCCACAATGCTATTGTCTCTCAATGGCCACCCCTCTGGTTGTTTTCCCCACGACCAGGCCTTGGCCGCTGTCGTTGCCAGTCGCCACTCATACTTAATCACCACTAACTCTACTAGCACCCAGCACCTCTTGCCCCGTGCTTCGTTTCTGCAACTTGAACTGTTGAACAAGACGGAGCTGGCGCTTGCTACGACGTATCTCCGCGCCGTCAGGTTAAGCTTGTGCTCATTCGATGAGTACTGGCAATCTGACAATGAGCGAATCCGAGAGGAACCAACAGCAACAGGACGTGCCCGCTTCTTCGGTGATAGCAAAGGCGGGCACACGCAAGAAGATCCGACCCACTTACTCATGCTTGAATTGCCACAAACGCAAAGTTAAGGTACGGTAGATGCACGTTCTTCATCCTCCTCCATCGATCACCAAAATGTCGCGCATTCAGCCTAACTAATTCTTATTGAAACATTCAGTGTGACAGGGTGAAGCCCTGTGGGGCCTGTTGTCTGCGAGGAACTCCGTCCGAATGTGAATATGGCACTAGCAAACGAGACCGTCACTATATCCAGCAGTCGGCCTTGATAGAGAATCTCATGCAAACATGCGAAGACCTCAAGACGCAGCTAGCGGAAGCTCGTGCCTTGGCCAATCTTCCACCCCTTAAGGAAGAGGACGCAGCATCAGTTTCATCGCCCAGCAGCCATTCCTTGGCCCGGTCGGAAAAGACAACGTTTTATGAGGAAGACGACCGGGGAGAAGTCGTGGGTCCGCACATAACACCGAGCATCAAACAACCGTCTAGTTTATTGAAGGAATTACCTTCGAAAGAGAGTGAAGAGTTGTCTTCCTGGAAAGCATGTATGTCTCTTTTCTTTTGCCCGTTTAGCAGCTGACTGGCTCTCTGCAGATGCCTTATCTGGAGAGGGTAGGCCTGACCGTGTAGCAGATCAAATGTCGCGATCTCCATCTCATGATAAGAAGGTACTGACAGATCCAGCGCTTGCCAATTCACTCATAGAACTCTTTGTTGAACGTCTCATCGACAACTTCAGCCCACAGCCAGCCGAGGTGTATGGCGGTACCATAGCTTTACGGGAGGCGTCTGGAATGCGAGTTTTCTCCCCGTTATTGTGCAGTGCTTTTGAAGCTGCATGTCTGACGTTCGCGGGCCGACGTCATCAAATCCGAGAAGTCGAGACCGTGGGCCACGCACGATATGTTCGTGTCCTTCGATTGCTCCAGACCGCTTTGAATGACCCCAAACAAAGCAAGTCGACAGAGGTGCTGGTAGTTGTGTTGCTATTCACCATCATCGAGGTAATCCCAGTCCTACCATCCTACGCTTTTCAGGCTGCTGAACGTTATCAGGCATTCAAACAAAGTTCCAAAGACTCGCTTTTGAATCATCAACTAGGCGGACTGCAACTGCTACAGTCACGGACACCGTATCGACACCGCTATGGAATTGAACGGTCTCTTTATGTCGATCTTCGACTCTACTGGGTATGGACTGATGTCTTGCCCTTTTTTTAATCAGCACAGCTGACCTTGGCTAGGTGACTGCGGCGCTAGTCAAGCGGAAACCCACCTTCCTAGCGAGTAAGGAGTGGCTTACGGTCCCATGGCCGGGAGACGCTCCATCAAAGGACATTCAGCATCGACTCTTGGACATTGCTGTGGACATCCCAGCTTATTTGGCCCAGGTTGATGAGTTCGCCGACGCGCTCAAGTCCGGCACAACATCTTCCTCCGAGCTGGTATCAATACAATCGTCCATTTGGGAGCGGGCAGCAGAGCTTCACTCCCGTTTGCGGTTATGGAAAAGCATGTTCGCAGACACAGATCCCCATGGACAGCCATGGGAAGAGTCCAACACCAATAGCGAGAGTGACTTCCCAATCTTCCGGTGTCGAAACCCCACGACCATGGAAGTGGTGACGGCCCAGTTGCTCATGTATCCCAACGCCATGGCAGCCACCTGCATGACATATTACTGGGCGCTGGATCTCATCATATCTACCCCCGATAGCGGGCTGGCGAGCATGCTCAGTCCGCAGGAACGATACCAGCGCGCGTGCAACATCTGCCGCAGCATGAAGTACTATTGTGAGAGCGTTCCGGGATACCTGGTCTCACGCATCATGTTCGTCCTACGGACGGCATTTGACGCATTTTCCGATGGCATGATTGAAAAGCAATTTGCTGCAGATGTATTTCGGTACATTGGCGACAAATTCCAGTTCGCAGTCTTTTCAAACCATTGCGCTTCTTCGTCTGTCAAGAGCTAGTTTTATGTCCGGCAGTTGTGGTTCTCGTATGCAATCAAACCCCTCACTCCGGGGACTGATTCGCCTAAAGGTTTCTTCAACATTACAAGCATTCGTTCGGCGCATGGTGGATTGGGACATGGATTTTGGTATCATCAGTCATTAACTTAGAGTATTATATATACTATAGACATTATATGTGTCACGAGGCAACCGGTACAGTAGTGCAATTTCATCTTCATAACCTGTACCCCGTAGTGCAGAAGTCCGAGCTTTACGGCCGGTTGATAGTTCTGGTAATTTGGAGCAGCATGCTCGGCCGGCTTATGCGGTGCCTTCCAGACACCCACTCACCTGCGCGCGATAAACATCGCCAATGCCCGTTAACACAAGGCCGACCATATTTCGTGTCGGGTGGTGAGCGGTGGCCTGTGACAGTGGTCCGGAAGTTGGCCGAGCGCCAGAGGTTTATGAATTATGATTCTGGCGAGGGAGGAGAAGGTATGGCACCATGCAGTCAGTGCTCCGCAGTTGCGCCCGTTTGCGGCCCGAGCGTGAGGGGAAAGAGGGAAACAGTCCTATCGACACAATGATTCTCTCACACCGGCATCATGATAAACGCCTCCTTGCTGAACTCCACAGGCATGGGATCGTATCTGTAGCCATGCGCCTGGGGAGCATCGCGACCATAGTCGAATCCCGCGCGGGATTGCCCGCGCGTCATCGCTGAGGCTGGCGACACAGACTCAGTCCCGATGGTGAAGCCTCCCTGCGGGTCGACGGGCAGCCAGTTAGCCGTGAAGCGGATACTGCCATCGGGCATTTCGAGCGGCGTGAGCTCTTCTTCGGCGTCCCAGTTTCTCGGTGGGGGAGTCTCGCTGTGCACTCGGGCCGGTTTGTGAGGGAAGCCAGATTGGTACTCGGACCGGGCGAATGGTGGGGTCTCGGGCAGTCCATAGAAATGGTGGATCTCGCGATCCCAGTCGTCTTCGCTGTGGCTGGGCGTTGTCCCTGGAGAGCTGCAATCCAAGATAGGAGATTGGTAGTGGGGGAGGTGAGAGGCGGGCGATGCCGACGATGCTGATGGTGAGGTAATGCCGGCGGTGGGTACTGTTGATGGGATAGTCATGAAGAGCGCTCGTTCGGTTGCATTCTGCGAGGTGGAGCGGAGAAAGGTGAAATCGGATGAGAATGGTCGGTTGTTATTAGTGTTGGTGTTGTTGGCACCGGTGACTGGTGTGCAGGGCTTTTTGCCGTGTCTGTGAACACTTTTTCTTGTGTCAGTTACTTTCGTACTTTTATTACTTCGCGATGTATGTTGTCCAAACAACACAATTCAGACCAGACCAGACCAGACCAGAGTGGAGGTACTCACGTAAACGGATCCACAAAGTCCAGCTCGTGATTCGCAAACCCCAGTCCCGTATCGATGTCCAGCATCTCCATGGGGGCCGCATCCGAATGCGACTGTGACGCATAAACAAAGCTCGTCCCCATCTTTGCCGAAGTTCCTCCGCGCAAATCGTGTGGTGGGCAATTATCCGACCCCAGCCCCAGCAGCATCTCCCCCTCTGCGCTGTGCGGGGGGAAGTCGAAGGGAGCGATGCAGAAGTCTTCATCCATTCCTGCGAATTGTGTCTGCTGTCCCAAGGTGTCGTAGAATTGCCAACTGCTGTAGTCGTAGGGGGTTGAATCCGCCATTTTTGAATATGTCTCCTTGTGCTGCGAGTGATTTGGTAAGGCGTATGGATTAACTGCTCATCCCGTTGTCGCAGACAATGCCGTCAAGTGTCAAGTGTTGTAGTCGTGATTGTGGGTAGCACTGATCCGATGGTTCTGCAACAAGCAGACAACCGCATCGCATGTATATATATCAAGTGAAAGGGAGGACAAGAAATCGGGGTCATCGCTCTTAATAAAGCAGTCCCATGACCAAAAAGGAATCAAGAATAAAAACTTGAAGCTCCATAGCTCGCCCAAGTTCCATTTAGGACTCGCAAACAGACATGTCATCGGCAACGAAACTGTCAGGCATCGCGAACATAGCTCGGTAAAATTGAATCGACGCGATTTGGATAGCCCAATGCTCTCCACAATTCGACACGGTGGCCTCCAACGGTCCAGCCATGCTGCAAGGTTGGACCTCCTAGGAGATCGTCACGCTGGCCATGTGCTTGGAGCGGTCCCAGACCAAGCAATGGAAATTAACCGAGCCCTCTTCCCCGGATTTCGAAGTTAACGAAACCTTCAAGAGCCGGTCAATCAGGAGCATGTCGACACAGACAGGCGCCTGGAACACAGACCACCTCTTAGCCTCGTCTTGTTAAAAGCCTGAGCCATCTCCCAGTCTCGTGGCTTACCACTTTCTCCGCATCGGTTGATATGTCGGTAAGTTTCTATTTAACCGAGTTCTCTTGTAAATCTGAGCCGGTGCTCGGTCCATGTTAAGAGTTTTAACCGAGTCATCTGGGAACAGGCTCATTCAACCGGTCGTGAGTTGGGACGATTGGTCTGAATATACGGGGTAATTGTCCGAGATGAAGAAGCGGCAGGATAGATTGTGCCTCAACCGCTGCTGCTGGGTTAAAGCCTGTGCGAAGATCTTGATTTCGCTTGGATTAAAAGTGTTCGCTTCAAGATATATACCAAAACTAAAGGTTGAGTGAAAAGGACATGGCACCCAAAAAAATATATCCTCTACATCGTAGGTATCACGCCAAAAAAGCACTATCTTGCTTGATATAGCCCAAAAGAAAAATAAAAAATTGAAGCTCCCTTTATTGAACTCACAAAACGCCCCGAAAATTTACAGGACAAGTAGTATAACAGACAATAGCTGCCAGACATATAACTACCCCGACCGAACCTCCGACTAGGGGAGTCCGGAGACACGGGGTATGCTCATTCTCGAGCACTCTGCAGAGCGCAGATAGCGCAAGATCTGCGCTGGAGTTAGACCCAAATGCCTAGCGACTCTTGTAAGATGGTCGAATTACCTGTTCCAGACCAATTCTTACTCCGAATCAAGGAGCTTGCCAAGACTGGGGGATCCGATGCACCTAAATTCAAAGAGCCAACCCGGTGCCGTTCCTCGTCCACCGGTACAGAGCCAATACGGCTTTGCGTCGATGGCGGATCTCGCTATGATTGACAGGACGTCCGCGCGCCTGTGCAACCGCGCTCCGCATGACTTGGCGGAAATTTCGCTGGTATTCGGTGTTGAGTGTGACGACGCAGGACTCAGTCGCGCGAATCATCACCTCGCAAGCGTTGAGAATGCCTTCACCGGCCTCTTTCTGGAGCCGCTCTACAATAAGAAGGAGGAGGAAACTGCCTTGCAAGAGCTGGATACCAAAGAAATAGGGCATGAAGCTGACATCCGGGTCATACCGAAGAATCTGGTTGACCGAGTCGGCCGCATCCAAGGCATGCGAGATTGTCGAGGCAAAGGCCGGAGAGGATGTCCAGAAGTCTTTGTCTTCGATCAGCGAGACGGGGTCCCACTTCCCGACCAGTAGGATGTGTAACACATGAACCAGGTACGATGCATATGCTATGACGGTTTGGGTATGCCATGAAAAGGCTTGGGAAAGGGAGGTTTCAGTAGAGGGGTCGGGAGATGAGTGACCGTACGTGGTGGGAAGGGGGCCGTCAGGGACGATCGCAGTTGTCGCAAAAGTGGTGAGGCTGGCCTTGTAGATCTCGAGCTGTCGCAGCACCTCCCTGAGATGCGCATCCCAGGCGTTCTTTCCATTCAATCGGGACCCCAGCATGGGGTGGTTCCGTGCCTGGTTGAGGTCGATCAGCTCACCAGTAATAGTCATCAGCGGTAAGAAGAAGCCGAAAATAGAGTGGTCATGGCATGTGAAATCGGGAAAGACTCGGCGTTTGGTCTTGTCGCCAGCAATAGAGCACTGAGGCCCGTCCGGCTTGGGACTGTTACTATGCACATTTCCAGCCTGCCACAGCCCCTCATCTAGTGGCAGCAACAGGTCTTCGCTTTCCGCATCGAGCAAGGCCAAAGGCCGGTTGTAGCACAGCGCCAGATGACGATCCATGATATATAACAGCCACCATGTCCGGCGGCGCTCCTCGCGATGCTCCTCGGTGATGGGAACATGTGGGTCATGACTGCGATCGCAGACGCAGTTCAGGCTCGGTCGCGTCGGATTCGAATAGTCAAAGAAAGCACCAGTATCAACGCCGCTCCACCCAGGCAAGGAATAATCGAATGCGGGACTAGAACCTTCGGGTTGACCCTCCACGTTGGGCATCATTTCGATCTCCTGGTTCAATTTCAGTTCTCGCGCCAGGGTAAAAGCAGCATGCCACCTGAATCAGTTAGCAGGGATCTCAGGTCTGGAAGAAACACAAGAACAAACCATCGCATACTAGCCGCCTTCTGTTCACTCGACGAAATGATAGAGGCGACATGAATATAGGTGATCACATCATCCAATGAGCCGGCAGGACCGACCAAGCCACGATCGTCACCACTCGATTCAAACGGATGATGCCCAGTTGTCGGCGGGCAGTCTGGACCGACGCCAGGAAATGGAGGGTCACCGGCGGCCGGGCCTCCTTCCTCCTTGAACGACACATGAATTAATGGTCGAAGTAATCGAATGGTTAAAGCGCACAAAAACTGGCAGATCTTCTTTCGCTGCGGCGGGGATATCGACAGGGCAAATGCCCGATCGTCCAACGCGGCGACCCAGAGCATGCTTGCTAGTAGAGCGGGACTGCTGGGACGCGGGTCCTCTTTGCTCAGAAAGGAGGCCTTACGGAGAACATAGCAGTGGATGTGGTGACAAACAGGGTGCATGTGTGTTGAGAAGGCGCTGGTGAAGTACAATTCGAGGAGATCAAAGACTAGCCTCCTAGGAAGGTTCGCCTCGAGGAACGGCATGAGGGGCTGCAAGACGGGATATTTCAAATCTGGCGCCGATGCACTAGATGTCTTGGTGGTACTCGCCGTCTTGGATCCTTGAGCAGTAGGAGCACCGTAGCCGACCAAGTCTACCCCGTTCCAGATGTCCAGCACCCGTGGCAGTGGGCCGTCTGCCCAGCCTGCACCGCTCAAGACCTCGTGGGATTCAGGGGATACATGCGCTGCAGACAACCACTCCTCCGTCACATTTCCATTGGGCCCTGGTCTGCGTGGTGGTAGCGACAGCTCAGCCTGTGAGCGTCGCCCATCTATGCTAGGAGCGGATGCGCTCGTGACATTTGTCGCTGGAGAACGGTGCGGGAACGGCATAGTCGGCGATGCATGGTTTATGACCGGAGTTCCTGCCGGGTCTGCTGTCGCGGGGGCCGCGGGCCTCTTCTCGACCGTATCTTCATTCGTCGCCGGTGGCACCTGTTTTGACCGAGCAATGCGTCCTCGTTTTCGCCTTTCGCGCGTGAATTCACAGTGTATCTCACTCCGAAGACAACGAGAGCACGGAAATGCCCGGTCGCATCGTACCCGGCGCGAGTGGCAGGAATCGCAGGCTATGCGGTTCCGTCTCCATCGGCGCTTTGCAGCGGTAGCAGACTCTTCGCCCGTCGCTGTGATGTTGTCTGGTTGTGCATCCCCCAACTGGGTCGAATCCATTTTAGACCGACATTGACAGATGAGATGGAAACAAGGATGAATCGAAGCTCTAATCTGGAAAGAAGAAAGGGAAGAAAAACCCGTCAGCAGTAGGCCAAGTAGGTAGTGGCAGCAGAACTCGAAGTTTGGGGTAGTGTGGTACCGAGGCGCACGGAGGGTGCAGAGAAGCCAGTTAGACGGGGCGTTGTGTCAACGGCAGAGAGTCATCAGAGATACTCCGAGAAACGACGATGGAGACATATCCGGAGAAGAGAGATGAAGGAGCCGTACTGAATTGACAGTTTAACGGGGTGTGCCGATGGTCTTGATGGGAGCTGAGATAGGCCCAACTTCGGCCACGAGAGAGAACAAAAGGTGACCGAGCCGATCGCGGGGGAAGAAATCGAACTGGAGCGCAACTCCGCATCGAAGCATCGGCTGACTTTCGAAAGATTAAATAATAGTGCTCTTGGCGCATCCAGAGTGGGGATTTCTATCACCAAATCGACCAGCGTTTGAGTGTGAGAAATGAGAAGAGTGAAGAGTGAATGAGTGAATGAGTGGAATTGGAAAGGGAGAGAGGAGAGGAAGGAGGATCGTTAGCGAGGAAGAAAGTCAAGAAACTGCCCACGTCTGCCTCTGGTCGCGCATAACCAGCGCGACTGAATCAACGCTATATGACTACCTATTCTATGTTTCCGTGTATGATTTCTGGTATATATATTAGATCAGAAATCTGCGAGCTGTCCAGATTTTGCCTTCCCCAGACTGCAGGGTCTCACCCTCAGGAATGGCAATACAGCATGTGAATATACTATATAGGTCATTCTACGGAGTACCCCGGACTGGTTAAAGTAGCAAGGATGCACGCACTGGCCACTGATTCTTGCCACGGCGTGTTCGTTCCTACAGGAGGGAAATCTCCCCATGAAATACAATGGGAGACTGAAGGGGAATGCCTTGAATACCAGACACTCCGAGTCAGCGTGATCGTCCATAAGCGACCATCAAGGACCATTCTCGCTCGCTCTCTTAAATCGCTCCAATGCTTGGGCTCGACTCTTGGAATGCTCAAGTATCGGTCGCGGATATCCGTTCTTCTCTGCCGTGGCTCCTGCTCCCCGAGCGTAGGGCTCATGCACGGCCGACCCTTTGATACCACGCAGCTCTGGCAGCCATTTTCGGATATACTCTCCATCCGGATCAAACCGTTCACTCTGGCGAAGAGGGTTGAAGATCCGGAAGTAGGGCTGCGGATCGACGCCCGTACTGGAGCCAAAACCCCATCCCCCGTGGTTGGAAGCAAAGTCGCCATCGATGAGATGTTCCATGAAATACCGCTCACCACGGCGCCAGTCAATGAGGAGGTCCTTGGAGAGGAAGGAGGCGACGATCATGCGCGCGCGGTTATGCATCCAGGCGTCGTGCTTCATCTGTCGCATCGCCGCGTCCACGATGGGGAAGCCAGTTTTCCCTTCGCACCAGGCAGCGAACTTGTTCTCGTCGTACTCCCATTCTAAGTTGGTGAATTCAGGCTTGAAACATTTATTCATGCTGGAGTGGGTTAGCCAGGTCCTTCAGAGGTGTTGGTATGACTCTCACCAGATAAACGGCCAGTGGACGAGGACGTGCTTGTAGAAGTCCCGCCAGGCCACTTCACTGATCCACGAAGCCAGACCGGGATCACCACGATCCAAAGAGCCCTTGTTGGCCTTGCGCGCATGCACAACAGCCGTCCTGGCGCTGAGCGACCCAGATGCAAAGTAAGGGCTGAGGATCGAGGTCGTCTGGCCGAACATCATGTTCCGGGCATCCGCGTAATCCTTCACCCTCTCTTCTACAAACTTCTCCAACCTATCAAGTGCCTCATGTTCGCCTGCGGGGTATAGTTGACCGAAATACTTCCTCTGCTCGTCCGACAGTCGCTTGTTTTCTGGGGCGGCGGGCACCTCGCTCTCAAACAACTTCGCGAAATGCTTCCGCGCATTGCCCGGATTTGACCCTGGTTCCTCGGATAGCTCCAGGCAGTCTGGATTCTCCCTCAAGTGCACCAGCCACGCACGATACCACGGACTGTACACGGCATATTGCTTGCCTTGCTGGCTGGCGACCGCTCCGGGAGTCACGACACAAGCATCGTGGGCGGTCTCAAACTTGATCCCATTCTGAGCACACATCCTGACCAGTTTCGCCTCGCGCCGCAGCTCATCGACCTCGTACTCCAGATTCGCAAAGATATTATTGACGCCCCATTCCTGGCACAAGTCTATGATCCGCTGCGGGATGTCCTTGCGCGTCTCCTGCGTCTCCATATACAAAGGGATATCCAGCTCGTTCAAGTCGCGCTTCAACTGATCCAGTGTGCGCAAGGTGAGATCCACTCGCGCAGGACTCGACAGGTGCGCTGTCAGATCCTGCGGCGACAGGATATACAGCCCGATGAGAGGGATGTTGTGTTCCTTGGCGGTCTGGTAGGCCATTTGCAGGGCGCGATTGTCGTGGAGTCGTAGATCGGACTTGAACCAGTGCACGACAGCATTATTAGGTTTGATGACCTTGCGCTGGTTCTGTGTTTCCTCGTACGCCTTTTGCCGTGCCTCAATCGGCCGTTCCAAGGTTCCGTCGTTGTATGCGGCGCAGCGCGCATTGCTCATCTCCGCGGGATAAAACTCGCGCAACACGATGCCAAAATCCTCGGACTGTTGCGCGTTGGGATGCGGTTGGGATAAATCGGGCTTGCTGCGTTTGCTCGCCTGCGCGGTGCCATTGCTGCGTGCGCCTGTTGAGCTGGACGTCGTCTTCCGTTTGGGAGCCATTACAACGTGAGGATGGGGGAATCGAGGTGAGAGCACAGATATGCGAGGGTGCAGTGTGCACAGTCTGTAGAAGGATCTCATACGGTTGTCAGCCTGGGAAGAAATTCAATTCACCTTGGATCGCCCACCCCTGGCTTGATGCGATTCGGCCATTAAGAGCGATCTGGTGAAGGTCGATCTGATCGATGAGCCCGATTTCTCGATCTCCTCTGACGTCAGTTCCTGTGATCGGGGAGTTTGAGTAGAGTTTATGGACTATTCAGTAATTCATTGAGGAAGACTTAAGTTATGCTGGAATGTTGCTAGGAGGATACGTTGCTGAATTACCCCTGGTTCGATAGAGTAGTAAGTCCAGCAGAGGTCTACTATCCCAGTGATCCTACCATAGCAACATTCTGGGTCACTATCCAAAAACTACAGCATAAAACACCACCATTCTTTCATAGACTCCAGAGAGTATTTATCAGTTGATTCAATAGTATACATCTCTACGCATGAGGGGAAGAATAAAGAACTTTTCATCGTAGGTTCAATGGTAGATATAATTACATACCTTATATACCAGGTATGTTCTCTTCCATCGAACATCATTTTCTTAAGAATCTAAGAATCAACTCTGTTTGGAACAAAAGAAACCACCTGTTCAAACAAACATCTAGATCGACAGGAGAGACAGCTGCTCCAAGTCAAACAGTTGAGAGAAGTTGACTCGTTTTCGGAGACGCCGTAGAGGGGTGGATGCCCCAACATTGACCAGTCAATTCTCCATGGTACAGGAAATCCTCTGCATGAATGAAGGGTAGATCTCATGCATGCTGCCGTTGACAGCTCTCAAGCAATGATGATCTCGCTCACATTGATCATCTCCATGTACTGAGCCCGAGGAAAAAGTCGGAAGATGAGTCACCAGCAAGGTTATCCTGTGAAGTCTAATTTGAAACATCGCCAGAAGCACCAAAGGCACTTATGCGGCGATGACCACGATCAATAGGCGTAGAGGATCCAGGACACTCGGTGACAGAGTTTCCAACCTCGTCATCGATCACTCGAAGGTATGCCCGAATCTTGGGGAGAATGGTGTCCATGGTTCGCAGGTAACGCCGAATCCGACATCGCCGTTGGCAACTCCTGGGGAAAACCGGGGAAGTCTAAATACCCCACGGGCGCCTGCTTGCCGGTCAATCCGCTTGGTTCTCTTTTCATATATGTATTAAAGGCATTCATTATCACGGTGGACGGCAACAGCTGGCAAGGTGACGAGGAGGAAGACTGTTCCCTCACAACCACACACTCCCCTGACATCCCATCTCTATGGAGTGAGATAGAAAACGGAGAAAGTCCCATCATGGACTCAGAATCGCACACATGTCGTCCAATATACTCACAGACTTCCCCTCCGGCTCCATCCTAGGCGACATCCATATTGACCAGACACAGAAATACGTCATCGCGGCCTTTGGTGCGGTGGTCTGGTACAACTCAATTGAGCTCATCGTCCTCTGTTTGACCACCTTCAAGCGATATCATGGTTGCTACTTCTGGTCCCTCTTCATTGCCTCTATCAATCTTATCCCGCACGTCCTCGGCTTCTTCCTTCTCTTCTTATTCCCCGGCAACTCGTCACCGTATATCGCTGTGAGTCTGATCATACCCAGCTGGTACGCCATGGTGACGGGTAATTCGCTTGTGCTCTGGTCACGGCTGCATCTCGTCATACAGAGACCCAAGGTGCTCCGCGGCATTCTTGCCATGATCATCATCGATGCAGTGATACTCCACATCCCTACCACGGTGCTCTTGTACGGCGCTGTCTCGCCCCATCCCGCTAGATTCACCAAGGGATATGACATTATGGAGCGTATCCAGCTCATTGGCTTCGCGATCCAAGAGTCTATCATCTCTGGAATCTACATCTTCGAGACGGTCAAGATCCTCCGGCTACGGCAGGCGACGGCCATCCACCGCCGGATCTTCCTACAGCTCCTCGCCATCAATGTCATGATCATGATCCTAGATCTAGCAGTCGTCGGAACGGAGTATGCCGGGTACTACGCGGTGCAGGTCATGTTCAAACCGGTGTCGTACAGTGTCAAGTTCAAACTCGAGTATGCGATTCTCGGGCGGCTGATCCAGATCGCCCAGGGAGTGAACTCCGAAGGGGCGCCGGTAGCCTCTGACCTGCAGAAATTCCACTCAGACCCGTTCCATTCAAACCCGTCCGAGCATGCTGTTGACTCGGGGGAACTGGGGCATCGGGGGAGTGTGAGTGGAATGCCCCATCTTCAGGAGGTAGATACATATGCATCGATGCGGTTTTGCGAACGACACAGTCTTTGATAACTTAATCATGGCTCCGTGGGATGCAGACGTCCTATTATCAGATGAAATAGTTAGATGATTTAGTTTAGAAGAATGAAAACATGTCGGATAGCCACCGTACACCTGCAAAATATTTTTAAGGTTACCATGGTTTTGTCCTCTTCTGTCGATAACGCGAAGCATTCAATGCCATTCTTGCCCATCTCATACGAATTGGCTGAGATAGAGGCGAGATATATCGATTTAATATTGATGCATCTCATGGAAGGCGTCCGGATGTCCCCTCCGTGGCAGGGATCAGTGCATTGAGGTGCATCAGTAAGACTCCACGATCAGTAGTGAGTTTTGGTGACAGGGAACAAGTGTGTTGGTATGAGATAGATCGAATTACCCGTAGTAAACAGAGAGGTTTGTTATGGAGGCGGATTGTCTGGAGTCTTGCGTGTCAAGAGCGATGGTTTGTGTTGGGAGGTTTTTCCCATCGACTGGGAGGCCCTCGACAGCAGTTGTCAATTTCACGTTCATCATGTCAATTGCATCAACACTACCCATATTTCCATTCGCGTGCTGTGAGACTTCGAACCCACGATAAAAGCAGAGAACAGAAAAAGAAAAGTGAAGTGAATCGACGAGTGTTCAACTCCAATCGTCATTGCATCCCCGTACTTCTTCGTTGATAGATCACATTCACGAGGATTGTCCATCAGCCATGCCTCGTCCTGTATTTATGTCCCTCTCCAACCACTCTCTTTCTTCAGTTCCTAACAACAATCTCATTCTCTTGAACTGAACATTCAAAATGACTCCTGATCTTTGTTGCGCCATCTGCGGCGTCGGCTTTAGGAACTTTCGGATCGGGTCCAAATCGCGCGGGGCCTTGAGACGCCGAGATAGACAGCTAGAAAAGAGAAACAAGATACGAAGAGAGGGAAGATCGGAAGTTGAGTTGTCCGACGATGAGTTCAGCGCCGGCGAGGAAGGAGACGACGAGGAGTCGGACCAAGTGATCCATGTGAGACGTCTGGAGGATAGTTACGAAGAAGACGACCCGTATCTACAGCCAGATGAGAGAGATGATGAGGTGGAGGAAGAGGACGAGATTGATCGTACGGCGGGATATGACCCGCGACTGCTCGGACGCGCGGACTTGCGTTGGCTCCAGGACGTGTACTGCCTGGGTTGTCATCGGAGTACACCAGATGGGAACAGGAAGTAAGTCTTTGGGATGCATTCGTTACATTTGACTGTCGCGATTCTGACTTGAATTACGCTACAGAGCTTTTATGATTGGGCCAGGACGTGTTTTGGATCATGTAAGTGCAATAACAATGGCCTCCAGGTTGATAGTGATTGACTGACTCTGCCAAGGGAGAGATAGAGGTTCATGAAGGAGACGGTATGGATTTCCCCTGTATGAGTCTGTGTCAAGATCATCATGAAGCTAATCATTTTACAGACGAGAACAGACCAGATCGCCATATCTTCAAATGGTTCGAATCCCTCTGCCGTGGTTGATTAGATGCTTATACTCCCCAGCTACGATGACACGGATTTCAAATCCGTGATCCCTTTTCACGAGTCCTGCTGGGATGTCCTGATTCAAAAGCTCACCTTGGCTTGTGGGAGTGGCAACATCAACCGGGAGATGTTGTTTGGCGTAATGATGGAACTGTGCCGTGACGATCACGCCGCCCTGGATTTGCCTTATGGCCCAGAGGTTGAAGCATCTCAAGACCAGTTCTGGAAGTGTATCCCAGGCACTGAAGTAAGCGCATGCCCCAGCAATGGCCACAATCAGGTTACCAAACAGGCACTGACGGTATCAAAGTACTGCACCGCAGATCCCTTGGAATCCTTGTATCTGCTTGACAGTATCCTGCAAATGTTTCATCCCGACGACAAAGAAGTAAGCAACAAACCAAGCAGAGAGCTTCTGATACAAGCGCTCCAAGTACGCAGTGATCCATTCTCCAGGCTGCCCCGCGAGCTTACGACCACAATATGCCGGCATCTGCATCCAATAGACCTTAACAGCTTTATGATCTCCTCTCCGTGGGCCAGACTTGCGACCATGCACAATTCATTCTGGAAGGATTCCATCTATCGAGACTTCCCATGGTTCTGGGAATACGCCGAGCACTACGACCAGGGTCAGCTTCCAAACACACTAGATTACATGGCTTTGCATCGCCTTCTCCTAGACACTTCGGCCGGCTATCATCTCAACCAGCAGGAAGTCCTGTCGCTCGCGAACCGCTTTCGGATCTGGAATAGCTGCTCACCGATCGTCCGCTTCTATCTCAACAACATGAGGCATCTCACAGAAGCACATGTATGCAGGCCCACAATCCCTGCTGATTGCCTGCCAGATTTAGCGCTACCGATGACAGCCATTGCGCATCCACAGCCGCAAAAAGGGCTCCGCACAGTGGCAGCAATCTGGGTTCCGCACTGGGGCGACATGCACAATACACCCGCAAATTTTGTAATCTATCGGAATGCGAAGCGAGAGCTCATTGGCATGGCCGTGATCCGTGAGGGGGAGAAGAGCCCTTTTGGAAGCTGCAACGAGGATAAGATGGCTGGGAAAAAGATCACTCGAGACGCAGCATTGATTCAGCAGGGAGATTGGATTGACCGGCTTCTCCTGCACATTCCCACCGAGCACCGATTCAGCAGCGCAGATCAGGCTACTGCTGTGAAGGGAGTTACTGTAAGTGTCTTTGTGATACCGTCGTATACCGGCCGCTTTCCTGAGTGACTAATGGACAACCAGATTTTCACAAGGATAGGCCGGTGTTTTACCCTGGGAGATGGCAACCCATCGTACAGTGTGAAGCTGCTCATACCAAAGAAAAGGTGTGCCTTGATCGGTCTACAAGGTCAACAAGCAGCGGTATGATTCTTTCCCTTGCTCATGTCATTCACCTCCGCTGATGTCAATGCACACTGCTAGGATGGTACGATCGTGCGTGTTGGTACTGTGGAAGCCCTCGACCCTTATTACGACGACATGTTTCCGGATGAGGATGAGATGATCCCGCGCAAGTCGCGACCCTCCATGGCCGAGAATGTCTTCACCGCGCAAGCTGTCTGGTCTGTCGAGGCCATGGCCATCAACATCCGAGGCACCGGCCGATGCTGCCTGCCCATCTGGCGCCATCCCTCCGTACGGGTGCTACCGTTGCAGGATGAACAGAGCGACGAGGATATGATGATGCCATGGCAGATTCTTCACTGGTCATACGACACAGACGAAGTCCGCGCCGTGAAGAGGATCAGTGCCTGGGTGCACAACGAGGAAGTGGTGCTGCCGGACACAGGCAAGAAGGGACGCGTGGCCCGCGTGCTGGGTATGACCACCCAGTATCACCAGCGATACTCAGAGCCGGCGCGGCACTTTGGCATGAACCGGCGCGCAGCGCAGACCAAAGACACCAAGTTCTTCAAGAAACTGCGGCACTTTGACATCGATGGTCGCAAGGGCGAGTATGTGACCGAAGTGGGCGTTGCCACGAAAGAATCATGGTCAGCTGTCAAGGTACGTAAGCCTCATTCTAAATATCTGATCCAGTTTCTGACCATCCTCCTATTAGATTCAAACCAACTGGGGCCGAGAGGTTGTTTTCGGCCAGCAAGGCGTCCCGATCACCGACGTCAAGACTGCGCCGGACGGACACATGATTGTTGGACTGGCTGCGCAATTTGTCAACCAACCTGACCAGAAGAAAAAGCCAGGATTTGAGGTGAGTTGCAGCGAGTCTCTACTTGGAATGACGCTCTGACACCTGTACAGAAATGGATGCAGCTTTCGTCGATGGCCCTGTTGACCAAGGAGATGAAAATGGACTAGGTTAGCTAGGCTTTCTAGGTGCTATTGTTAGTTACTCTGTATTCGGGACATAGTTCATGCTTGATTCACAAAGAAATGGTCTTTCTGCCTATGGCTCAATTCTCTATGGGTATAGTGGTGAGGAGTGAGCGGTAAGCACCCAACTCGAAGACACCAATGCAAGGATCCTTACCTATAATCAGTTGTCAAGGCAGCAGAGGACTGTTTGATTCCTCATATCAGGCTAGATACTTTAGACTGGCGCGACGCTAAAATTTTAGAGCGTCTGAAGTCTGAACTACAGCCCATCCCGATTCCTCCGTCCCGAGTCTCTTCGGGCTTCTTAATGTCCCGTTAACTCCAACCTCATTTAGCCTTATACTGTAATGTCGGTTCTCGGAGCCTAAGTCCGTTAATCCCGGTTCAACTCACGTCAGATCCGAATTGAAGGATCAATAACTTTGTCTCCAGCAGAGGGCAGTTCTATAGTCTTTTATCGGAATTAAGCCTGATCTCCCCTTTCGCTATCTCCGCAAGAACATTGGGGGCCGAGCGCACTGTTGAGTAGACGATGGAAACGGTATATATTCACGGACAGAGCATGTCGTCGAGCAGACAGTTGAATCAAAAGCCAAAGTGGTAAACAAGACAAAGCTGAAGATGTCACCCAAATACGCCAAAGACCAGCCTGAGGGCTTCACCAACCGCATTGAGCGTGTTGCCATCGTCGGCGTAGGTACACCCTTTTCTTTCAAAGGACCTCCACTAACATATGCCAGGCCGGCGGCTCAGTCGGCAAACACATCGCACGCGAACTCCTCCAGACGGGCAAACACACCGTGACAGCGCTGACCCGCGCCGACAGTTCCAACGTCCTCCCTGAGGGCGTGCATGCCGTCCAGGTCGACTACAACGACGAGTCGACGCTCGTTTCCGCACTGCAGAACCAGCAGTTCCTCATCATTACGATGAACGTCATGGCGCCCCCAGACACGCAATCCAAGCTGATCCAGGCGGCGGCCAAGGCCGGCGTGCCGTACGTCATGCCCAACAGCTACGGCGTAGACGTCACCAATAACACTCTGTCGCTGGAGTCGATGACTGGCGAGCCGATTCGACGGGCATGTGCCGAGATCGAAGCGGCGGGGGTGTCGAAGTGGATGGCGTTGGTGTGCGGATTCTGGTATGAGTTCAGCATGGTCACCGGGGCGGAGTGGTTCGGATTCGATTTTGCGGCGCGGAAGATGACCTTCTATGACGACGGGGAGACGAAAATCAACGTGAGCACTTGGGAGCAGTGCGGACGGGCTCTGGCAGGGCTTCTGAGCCTCAAGGAGCTACCGGATGACGAAAACGACCGCAGCCACACTGTGAGTGGGTGGTCGAACAAGCCGGTTTTCATCGCGAGCTTTCTCGTCAGCCAGAAGGATATGTTTGAGAGCTGGAAGAGGGTCACCGGGGAGAGCGACGCGGACTGGAAGATCGAGTATGAGCCCACGGCTGAGAGGTACAAACGCGGCCTCGAGAGGATGCAGCAGGGTGATCGTAGAGGATTCGCACAGGCAATGTATGCGCGCGTCTTTTACCCCAGCGATCCTGGAAACCATGAGCGTGTCCATGGCCTTGATAATGAGGCGCTTGGACTGCTCCGGGAGGACCTGGATGAGTGTACCAAGAATGCGAAGACGATGCTCGAGAGTGGTTATTCCTATTTCTGATTCCACCGGATATGAGATAGGATGGTGTTTGCAACCCGAGAAGGGTACATCGAAATCAGCCATATGGGAAATGTATTTTTGCATTATCAGTTGGCAGTTTTGAACAGAGAGAGGCATGGTTTTAGAAGCTAAGAAGTAGCATAAGACTGTACAGGAAGAAGACCTCTTCATTTACTGGCCACAGGCCCTTGACGATGTCGTAGATAACAAGAGCCTCCTGGTATCCCGGGTCATACAACATACAAGATGGGCAACCACTTTCACTATGGCCTGCTTTTGCACCTCTCCTGTGACTTCCTCCACTTTGACTGCTCGTCTGAGCCCACACCCCAACCATGTTCAACGGACAAGGAAGAAGATACCTCAGAGGACCGCTACAGAAACCTCCAAAGGAAGGAGCTGTAGGCTTCTCGACCGATGAACTGTCTGCTCCGAAGTGACGAGATTCCATATACCGATGGCAACCTGTTCATTTGGTAGCAGCATTGGAGGAAATGTGAGTGTTGCTTGGGTTGAAGGTGTGAAGCTATTCACAGATAAGGTTATTGGTACTGGTCCCAATCAGGAATGTCAGGCAAGCTGGGAGTGCCTCAGGCAGCATTGGGTGCCTTACCAATTACCTCTGTTGACTACTCTGTACTCTGAGAGTCTCTTTCAGGACCTCCCACCATCCCAACAGTGATACATTCTTGAGTAACTTCATAGTGAGTTATTTCTACAGTCCTGGAAAATCATTACTATGGTCTTTCGCGTTTGAGGATACGGTTGCCCCCCCCCCCCAATCAGCCAACAGCCAAGACACCAACGGTCTGCTCTAACTATGATCTATAGACTCACGAACGATCTGCGGGATGATACGAGCGCCGGATCAACCATGAACCACCCCTCAATAACGGCACGAGGAGTGACTAGTTAGCGAGACATGGCGTAGGTGCCTAGATCACCCGAGTTGCTCCACTCCGGGGACTCACTTGGTCTTAAGTTCCTTCTGGTAGCCAGCCCAGTCCAGTCCAGTGCAGTCCAACCCTGTGTTTACATCGAACTGAACGAAGCATAGCAAGATGCAATCCATCAAGGTCTTTATCCGCTGGCGTCCTCTGTCAACAGCCGAATCGGCTGCTCCAGAAATCGACCGAACACAGCAGTGTCATCCCTCCAACAAAAAGGCCTCTCTCGCAGTCACTCCACCCCCGTCTCACAAGCTTGCCCGCCCCTGGAAGAGTGATTCTGCATTCACTCGTATTTTCGACGCATCCGATACCAACAAAGCTGTCTTTGATGCTGTCGTGGGGCCCACCCTCCCGCGTGTGCTGAACGGGGGGTCATGCAATTTTTTCGCCTATGGACACTCAGGGAGCGGCAAGTCACACACGATCATTGGATATGACTTTGAACACTCTGATGAGTTCGGGCTGTGTCTATCCGCTGCCCGCGCCCTGTACGAGCATCTGAACGAGATCAATAATGGTCTAGAAGAAAAGGGGGGGTTTATGCTTGGATTGTGCATGTACGAACTACGCAAGAACGTTGCTTTTGACTTGCTCAATGACAGGTGCAAGTGCCACATTCGAGAGGGCTCTGATGGCAAAACTCACATACGGGGTGAGACCGAGACGTTGGAGGATGGGAAAGTCCGAGTTCGTCCGATTGCCACGAAGGCAGGCCGAACCTTTGACGAGTTTCATGCTGAGTTGCTGGGTGGAATTCAACGCAGAGCCACCGGAACTTCCACCGTACATGACCAGAGTTCACGAACTCATGCGGTGTTTGAGATTGAGATTCTCACAGAAGAACTATTGGAAGCGCGCGATGCTGTCGTTGAGCGGCAGTCCGAGCTCGTCCCTGTGGCCAAACGAGCGACGGATATCTATCTAGAGGAGAACACGAAAGCATTCATCCTGACACCTGAAGGGAAATACGCACCCAACCCAGACTATCAGATCAACCAGCGAGTCATCGATGAAGCAGAGGCCAAGAAAGCGGAATTTGAGTCTTATGTCCAAAAGGCAGAGGACCATGTTTCAGACATCATGAAATCATCGCCGCATGCCTGTCTTGGTGGGAAGCTCGTATTTGTCGATCTGGCTGGGTCGGAATACTACCATGACAAGAGCACGCCTTCCACCCCTCGGCCAAAACAGTCGCCTCAGGAGCAACAAGAAGGGCGACAGATCAACACCGATCTACTGTCGCTGAAGGAGGTGATCCGTGCCAGGGCGCAGGGACAGACTCGCATTCCTTTCCGCTCGTCGCCCCTGACCATGGTCCTGCGCGAGCACTTCTTGGCCCGTGATGGAGATGACAGTGTCTCGGCAATGATTCTGACTGCATCACCATCTTCGCAGCAGTTCACCGCGACCATTGATACTCTGAAATATGGGAATCTGATCGGTGTGGCCGGGGACAAGGCGACGGGTCGTAAGTAGGTGAACTTGAGACAGGGAAAGAAGTTTTAGCCATCTTTCGACCATCATCTTGTCTGAGGAGCTACTAGGGTGTCATTATTCGTTATTTGTCTACCAAGATCAGCCAACCGTTGGTGGTGCAATGTGCTATAACTGCAAAGTGACCAAGTATATAGTGGACCACCAATAGAACTCCTCTTCATTCTTCAGCCCTGATCCATTAGTTGTACAGGTAAAATGAATACTTACGAAGTCACCAGCAGAAGTGCAAGATACGCCACGTCCCTACTACAAGCTACGGCGAGGGTGGCTATCGGAGTTCTGTTCCGCATGTTTGACATCTCGCTGGTCATCTTGCCACTGACTGATATACTCAAGCGCAACTGTTGTTCATCGGGATCCTTCATTCTCTCTATCAATCCCAACGATTACTACACTACAATTCTGAACGATCGCATTCACAGCCTTCTTCTCCCGATTAAGCCGACAAGATGACAACAACAACTCCCAGGTAAGCAAACTTCACCCATCTACTTCGGCGGAGAAATACTGATTTCCAGACCAATGGCCATGCCGAGCACGCTCCCCAAGCCTCACCCCAATGAGAAGATGAAAGCCGCGCAGTGGATGGGCACGCGTACCGTCCATCTGAGCACCGTCGCCAAACCGACCATCACCGACCCAGGCGACGCGATTGTCCACATCACCCACTGCACCATCGGCGGCGCGGATTTACATCTCTACAACGGCGAGCTCAGTGACTCCATCCACAAAGGCGACATCCTCGGCCACGAAGCCATTGGGGTCGTGGAGGAGACCGGGCCGGAAGTGCATAGTCTCTCGCCCGGGGATCGCGTCATGGTGCTCCCGATCATCGCGTGCGGGAAGTGCGATTACTGCCAGCGGCAGGAATACGCGCTGTGCGATGCGACCAACCCTTCGCGTGAGATGGAGGCGGCGTACGGACACCGCATGGCGAGTATTTTGGGATACACACGGTTGCATGGCGGATACCCCGGCGTGCAGGCGGAGTACTGCCGAGTCCCCAATGCAGACATGACCTGCGCCAAAGTACCGGCTGATGCCGAGGCAAAGAAGCTACTGGGGCTGGCGCATGTGACCACGGCTGCGTGGCATGGCTGTGAACTTGCCGGGGTTAGCAACGGGGATATCGTGGGCGTCTGGGGCTGTGGGCCGGTTGGACTGTCCGTCCAGCGGCTGACGATGCTTCGGGGTGCGAAAAAGGTCTATGCCGTGGACAAAGACGCCACTCGACTGCAGATTGCTGAAGGGTTCGGGATGATCCCGGTGGATGTATCGGCGCATCCGGAGGTGGGCGACTACCTGCTGTCGATGGAGCCGAAGGGGCTGGACTGTTCAATCGAGGCGAGTGGCTTTCGCAGTACGCAGAAGCCGCAGCATGCAGCCATGCGAGCGATTGGACTGGAGCATGACAGTGGTGATACGGTGTCGGCAATGATCAAGGCGACGCGAAAGGGTGGGCATCTGGCCCTGATCGGCGACTTTTTCTACAACACGAATGACTTCCCCATTGGACCGTTGATGGAGAAGGGGCTGACCCTTCGGGGAGGCCAAGTCAATTCGCAAAAGGTAAGTTCCTTTTTTTTTTTTTTTTTTTTCCCCTTGTGTGATGGAAGGTATTGACTTGTCGTCCAGTATCACCCGCTTCTGCTGGATCTGGTAGCACAGGGCAAGTATGACCCCTCGTGGGTGTTTACACATGAGGGTATGTCTCTGAACGAATCCATCGCATGCGCCAAGCTAATGAAACAGACGACTTCGAGAATATCGCCGAGGACTATCGCCGATTTGCGCGGCATGAGATTCCAGGAGGGCTGAAGGTGTGTTTGGTGACTGAATTTGGCCGCCGGCAGTCTGGTTGATGTGAATCTATCTATGTATACTTCCGTTCTGTCTGTAGAAGAGACATGAGGATAGAAAATTGGGTAAACTTGACAAGAGCATGACTCATTCTGACCTCAGCTGCACCACTTTGTCTGCTGTGCTTGTTGTTGTTGTTGCCATTCAGCTTACTACTGAGTTTGTTGTCGTTGTCATCACGACTTGTTACCCCTCATAATGCCTCATCTCTCTCTACTTCTCTTCTTCTCTTCTTCTCTTCTTCCCTTCATCCCCCAAACTTTCCTCTTTGTTTCTGCAACCTTCATCAAATCCATCTCTTCTAACTATCCCATTGACTAGCATTACTAGCATTACTAGCATTACTACGCAAACATGGCATCCTTTCCTCCTCCGCCCGTCGACTCCATCGACTGGTCCAACGTCGGCTTCAAAGTCCGCGACGGTACCTCGCCCCTCTTCCCTCCACGACCCCCACTAATGATACCCTCGTAGTGAACGGCCATGTCGAATGCACTTTCTCCTCCAGCACCGGTGGCACATGGTCGCGCCCGAAATTCGTCGCCTCTCCGTTCATTCCCCTCCACGGCATGGCCCCCGGCCTGAATTACGGCCAGCAAGCCTACGAGGGTCTCAAAGCCTTCCGCCACCCCTCCGGCGCCATCTCCATCTTCCGCCCGGACCGCAACGCCGCGCGTCTCCGCCGCTCCGCCGAGTTCATCTCGGTCCCGCCTGTCCCGGAAGATCTCTTCATCGAGAGCGTGCGACTAGCCGTCGCCGCCAACGCGGAGTTCGTGCCGCCGCACGAGACCGGCGCCGCGATGTACATCCGGCCGCTGGTGTTCGGGTCGTCGGCGCAGCTGGGGCTCAGCCCGCCGGACGAGTACACGTTCGTGGTGTTTGTGATGCCGACGGGCGTGTACCACGGGGTGCACGCGGTGGACGCGCTGATCCTGGAGGACTTCGACCGGGCGGCGCCGGAGGGGACGGGCTCGGCCAAGGTCGGGGGCAACTATGCGCCGGTGCTGCGGCACAGTGCGCGGGCGCACGCGGAGGGGTTCGGCATCACGCTGCATCTGGACAGCGCGACGCGGTCGGAGATCGACGAGTTCTCGACGTCGGCGTTCATCGGGGTGCGGAAGGACGGGGCCGGCGCGGTGACGCTGGTGCAGCCGGACAGCAAGAACGTGATTGACTCGGTGACGGCGGCGTCGGTGTGCGAGATCGGGCGGCGGGTGTTTGGCTGGAAGGTCGAGCGGCGGCGCATCGCGTACGAGGAGATCGGCGAGTTCAAGGAGGTGATTGCGGCGGGGACGGCAGCGGCGCTGGTGCCCATCCGCAGCATCACGATGCGGTCCAAGGGGGACAAGTTCGAGTTTGAGTGCGGCGGGGGCACTGGGGGCGAGGCGTGCGTGAAGCTGCTGCAGACGCTCAAGGGCATCCAGGCGGGCACGATCGACGATCCGTTTGGCTGGAATTCCATGGTGGACAAGGCACCGCCGCAGGCCTGGCTGGACGGTGCCGGTGGCCATGATGAAGGGGATGACGGCATCAACGTTCCATAGATGTCATTACTCAACTGGATTTTCCCCAATTCATTTCATTATCATACATGCAGCAGAAGGAAGAGAAAAACAAAAACACCCTTCCCCCCCCCCCCCCATAACCTACTCCCTCAGACTCACTTTCACCCCATTCCTCGACGACAGCGTCAAGGCCAAGCTCTCCTCCCACGGGCCGGGATCCCGACTCTCCAGCACAGAGAACCGCTGCGCCAGGCGCACGGTCACATATCCAGCCTCCGTCAGCGCATACTGTTGCCCCACGCAGATGCGCGGGCCACCGTTGAAGGGCAGGTACTCCCAGCCGGGGCGGAGATCCGCCCAGCGCTCCGGGCGAAACTCCTCCGCGTCCGGGCCGTAGAATTCCTCCCGGCGGTGCATGGCAAACGGGCTGTAGACGACGACGGTGCCCTTGGCGACGAAGACGGGGGCCTGGCCGTCCGGGCCGCCGCCGAGGGGGAGGACGGTGTCGGTGTTGGCGAAGCGGGCGTTTCCGGGGACGACGGGGTGGATGCGCAGAGCTAGCAGCATTTAGCACGCGGGGGGGTCTCTAAACAGCGCGAGTGGGGAGGGGGTAGGAACAAACATACATTCATTGAGGCAGTATTTGACATAGGTCAGGGCGCGCAGCTGCTCGTAGGTGGGCGGGCGGCCGTCCAGGGTTGCGATCTCGGCGCGCAGGCGGGCCCAGACGCGCGGATGCTTGGCCAGCATGAAGAAGAGGTTACTCAGCAGCGAGGCGGTGGTGTCGCGGCCGGCGAGAAGCACGTTCATGAGCTCGTCGCGGATGCGGCGGCGGTCGCCGGTCTGCTGCGCCAGGCCGTCGAGGAAGACATAGCGTTTCTTCTCGGCTGCGGGGGGCTGGGCTTTCTCCTCGTCGGGGGTGGCGCGCACGGCCAGCGCTTTGTCGACGAACTGCTCGACGAGCGCGTGGCAGACGCGGCGGGCGGCCTCGGCGCGACGGTCGGGGAAGAGGAAGCGTAGCGGGCCGAGGCGGTTGCCGTTGACGATGGCCTGCTGGGCGCAGTTGAAGGCGGCGGCGAAGTCGTCCTCGCTGCCGGCGTCGCGGCCGCCGGCGCGACGCTTCTTGAGGCTCTGCACGCTGTGGCCGAAGAGGAACTCGGTGGCGGAGTCGATGGTGTAGCTGAAGAAGAGGTCCTGGAGGTCGACGGTGGCGGCGTCGGCGGGGATGAGGGCGAGGAAGTCGACGAGGAGGGACTCGAAGACGTGCAGGTCGGCGACCTGCTCACGGACGAAGTTGGGGCGGATCATGGCGCGCGACTGGGCCCAGTGGTCGCCGTCGGTGGTGAAGATGCCATGGCCGAGCAAGGGGCCGAAGGTGTTAATGCGGCGGCCGAGGCCGTAGTCGCGGAAGCGCAGGGAGAGGACGGTCTTGACGTTCTGGGGCTCACGGGTGAAGATCATGCGGGTGGCGAAGCGCCGGGTGGCGATGGTGTTGCCGTACGTGTCGAAGCGGCGGACGGTGCGCTCGAGGGATTTGTGCTCGCGGCTGTTGCGGATGGCCTGTAGCATGAGATCGAGGCCGAAGAACGGGTCCTTGAGCGGAAGACGCACGGGGGGCTGGCAGCCGTGGGCGCGGGCGAAGCGATACTGGGTCCATTTGCGGTGGAGGACGGAGAGGATGTAGACGGCGAGGAGGACGGCGACGAGGAGGAGGCTGAAGCGATGCGAGGCCATTGTAATTCTGTCGTTGAATAGATGACAAAATCCACTTCCTCTGCAATCGAAAAAACCCGCCCGTTAATAAATACCTAAACAAGTTCATCAAGAAGCATCCCTGGATTATTTAACACTCACCCCGAATCCACGGGGCAACCATCTCTCCGACTCTCTCTTTCCCTCCCCGGAAAGACGGAGACACAAGCCTCAACCGGCCGCTTCGGCGCAAGACGCGCCCGAGCCGTGGTTATGCTTCTGCCTGGATGCAAGGTCCTGACTTGTCATGACTTGTCTTGTGTTGTGTTGTGTTGTGATGGATCTGGGATCTGGGGCGGATGCGATGCGCGTGGTGGATCAAGCCATCAGTGGAGATGGGATGATGCTGCTCAGCCACTCCACGGCCAGCTATTGATTCATTTTGCTTCCCATTGGGATCGGACTGTATTGGGATCCACTATTAAGTGTCGGGTACTCTGTACGGAATACATGGACCGATCTTGTACTCCGTAGGATGGGTCTTAATGTGTGTAGCTTGGAGAGTGTTGAAGACCCGATACTGGTTGACTGTGACTGGTGGCAGTGAGTTGCCCGTATCTCATCGCCCAAGCAGCGCAGCAGTAGACCAGAGTAGCTACAGAGGACAATGAAGCATAGGATAATCAAAAAAAAACGATGGATACGCACTCATGGGCAAACTACATACATACATACATCACCATCCCGGCGAAGACAGACCATCGCGATCGGTACGGCAAGGACAAATCCCAACCCGCAACACCAAAGTGCGCTTGAACGCAGAGACAGGCTGAACAAAGGACGAACGACGAACGACAAAAGGACCACAATATCCCCTACTTCTTGCGCGCAGGACGCAGCTTCCCCACCGTCCCGCTAGACATGATATCCCCCTCGTCGTCGGCGCTGCTGTCGCTATCGTCCGAGCTCGAGCTCGAACTCGAACTCTCGCTCTCGCTCTCATCCTCCGAGTCGTCATCCGAAGGCGGCGAGAAGATGTCGCGCTGGCGCTTGGGCGCAGTGAGCGACCGCTTCGCCTGCTGCGCCTTGGCTTCCTGCTCCTTCTTCTTGTCCACCAGAAGCGACTTGAGCGTGGCGCGGCTGCGGGCGGCGTTGATGGGCTGGCCCCACGACTGGGACTGGGATGCAGATGGTTGCGACGCGGCGGGCGATTTCATGCTGGCTTGGGAGGGTGTGGCGCTGCCGCGACGGAGGAGCTCGGCCTTGCTCCGGGCAGGCGTGACGTTCTTGTCTTCGACATCGCTCTCGTCTTCCGACTCGAAGGAAGAAGACGAACTCTCCTCTTCCTCTTCCGACTCGGAGGATGTTACTTCCACAGGTTCGGCGGGCGAGGGTTTCTTGGCGGTCTGGCTTGGGGCCGATGTGCCGTTCGTCTTCGGAAGGTCAGCCCGCTGAATCTTGGGGACAGGAGGTAGCTTGGCGTCTTCCGACGAGCTCGGCGGGGGTTCGTTCGGGGTACTCTTCGGCTCCTCGCCGGGGGTGCGAGTCTTTGCCGCGGAAGCTGGGGGCGTTGGTTGGGCGCTGGTGGGAGTGGCGGCCGGCTCTGCAGACTTCGATACCGAGCCCTTGCGGTCAGCCGATGGCGTCGGCTTCTTTGCGCTGCTGGTAGGCTTCGCAGGCGCTGCGTCGGGCTTGGGAGCGTGTGTCTTTGCAGCTCCGTAGGGCTTTTTCGACTTGGCCTTTGCCTGGGTGGTGTCTTCCTTCGGTTCTTTCGCCGTCTCTTTAGGCGTCTCCTTCACCGCCCCTTTCGGTGTCGTCTTCGATGGTTCTTTGGGTGTCTCCTGAGGCGCCACCTTGGACGTAGGGGTCTCCTGAGGCCTCTCCTCCGGTGTCTCCGCGGCGCCCACGATCTCCGATTCAAACTTGGCGAGCTCGTTCTGCTTCGCCTGCAAGTCCCTCCGGGCGCGGTCGAGCCTCTCTCGTTCACTGGTCCGGTTCCTCTTCTCGAGCTTCGCGACGCGCTCAACCAGTACCTGCAAGCCATCCAACAGGCGCAGGTACGCCGGGTTGTCGCTCTGCTGTTTCTTGGCCTTGATCGTCGCCTCCATGGCGTCCCGGTCCTTGTTCTGCTGCTCGAGGCGCTGGTTGGCCTCCCGCATCAGCTGTTCAACGCGTTCCTTGGGCACACTGTCCGGGAACACCATCTTACTCGTCGTGGACGCCTTCTTTGCAGAACTGGGTGTGCCCTTGGCTCCCTTGTTAGGCGGGACTTGAGGAGTCGATTTGGGGATCGGGGTGGAGTCCATGATGACCACGTCGTCGCCCTCAGCAAATGACACGGACCGCCGCTGGGACGACCTGTCGGCGGGCGAGTCCTTGCGCAGCGCCGAGTGCAGCTGCTTCACGCGATCGAGCGCGGGGGTCTGGCGGGACGGCGTGGCGGCGTTCTCCAGTGATCCTCGGCGGATGGTGGCGGCGCTGCTGGAGAACAGCGGCATGGCGATCGAGGCCGTAGATTCCTGCGACAGAGGCAGCATGACGGGCTGTTTGCCCGGCGGGCTCTTCGTGATGCCCAGGCCGAGGCCGGGCTTGGATAACTCCACCGGTTTCTCGGAGAGACTGGGTCGTCGGCCGATGCCAGAGAACGACGGGGCGCGATCCTGTCTGCGCAGGGACGCCGGGCTGCTGGTGGGGGGTTCAGACAGCCTCTGGGCCGGGTTATTTTCTTTGTCGGACCCGGAGCTGGCACCGTGGTCCAGACGAGGCTCCTTGTTGGGCTCTGCTGCTTCCGGGCTCTTCTTTCTCTTGCGTTGGCGACTAACTGGTACTTGGACCTGGGGGGCAGGAGGAGCGGGTACGCGCGCTTCCTTGGTGCTGGGAGCTTCCACCACGGGTTCTTCCTCGGCAACCGGCTCATCGCTATCATTCATCATCACGTCGCCGTCTCTGTCGCGTGCGTCGGCCTCTTCCTCGTCGGATTCCTCTTCCGGAGGACGTGTGCGTCGTGGGCTAAGCGGGGATTCCGATCCACGGGCGTGTTCCTGATTCGAGACCGGAAAGTCCGGCTCGGCGGCGAACTGCGAGATGGACCGACTGGCCGACACACTCTTCGCGGCCGAGCCACGCTTCGCCGGCGAGATCTGCTTCTGCTTTGGCATCTGCGTCTGCGTTTTAGGAGTGGGCGTCCGCATGGGGGACGGCGAATCGCCCAGCTCCTGGCTCTCCATGCGCCTGTGGGACGGCGGCGGCGGCGGGGTGGCGGCGACAGTACTGCCCAGCGGATCCTGCGAATCCTCCTCGTGGACGGGCGACTGGCGGCCCCAGCGCGGCGGCGACATGGGGATCTCCTCGTTCTCGACGGATGACAGCGGCAGGTCCCTTCGACGCGCGCGGTCGTCCCCCGCCGGCGCGCCCGACGTCTCGCTCGGGGCCGGGGTCTCCTGCTCCTGCTCCTGCTCCTGCTCCTGTTCCTGCTCCTCCTCGGCGATGGTGGGGATGCGGCGCATGGACGCCTGCACGGCCTCCTTCTTGATCTTGATCTGGCGCTCAAAGTCCTCGGCGGCGGCGTCCCAGTCCTGGGTCACGGAGGGGAAGCGGACGGGGGCATAGGGGGCGGGTTTCTGGATGACGCGGACGGCGCCGCGCTGGTCGGTGCCTGCGGCGCGCGCCTTGCCTTTATCCACGAAGACGTCTTCAACGGTCAACTCGGCGTCCAGGTCGTCGGAGTCGTGTTCGTCATCGAGCAGTTTTTTGATCTCGAGGGGTCTGTGTTCCCGTCGCCATCGCCATCAGCATCAATCCTCAATCCTCAATCCTCAATCCTCAATCCTCATACTCTTATCACCCTCTGAGGAAGGGGAAGGAAGGGGAGGAGAACACAAAACAGAAATACTCACTCCGCATTTGGCCGCAACTTCTCCCACTTCTCACGGATCATCCCCGCCAATCCACCGAGGGTGACCTCCTCCGGATGCTCCAGGACCAGCAGGAAGGAAGCCGGCTTCCCACCCACGGCGGTAGCGGAATTCTGGCTGGAGGCATCGGTGCGGTCGCGGTCGCGGTCGCGGTCACCGAGGAACGAACGGAAGGAAAATGACGAGGCAGCGGGCTGGGCCTGTTCGCGCGGGTAGACCTTGACCGTGAGGCGTAGGAAAACCATGGCCTGGTGTAGTATTGTAGGGGGTCGAGGTCTAGTAGAGGGAGGGAAGGAGGGAGGGCGATATCAGGCTATCATGCTCGACAGGCTTGAGGAGGAGGATGTGTGTGTCGTGTGTCGTATGTCGTGTGTCGTGAGCGAGTTGTTGGGAAGCAGCAGAGGTGGAAGATTTTCGCGATGGAGATGATAAAAGTGGTGGTGGAAAACAGGACGGGGGGGGAGGTTTTCTGCAGCAGTAACAGTAACACAGATGAAGTACAATAACAAAGGCAGAAAGAAGAATAGACAAAAAGGGTGGAAATAAGAGCCACCACACCACAACACACCACAACACAACACACAATCTGATTGTTTCGATGGTGCTGGAAGAGAAAAAGTGACGGGGGAGTTGGAGACGGAGAAAAAGTGACGGCCGTCGCGGTCAACTCCACGCGTGCAAAGACACTTTAAACTGCTGAGGTACCTAATCCCACATCCACACCCGCACGTCCAGCCACCACAATTCAGCAGCGTCCGGGTGGTCCTGTCGGCAAAATGTGACAGGTGTCGATCAGAAGGCGCTTCATGCACGCTGATGAGCTGCTGGTGAGACCTGTCGATCGATGCCTACGGAAAGAGCGGACGCTGCCCCTTTTGCTGCATTCCGGCGGTCTTACGTTACAAACAGACGATCCATAGTCCTCATGGGATAAGTACAGCGAGTGATACTTGGTAGATACAGACACAAGAAGACGACAAGTACAGGCAAATATGCTAGATAGGGCCGAAAAGAGGACGGGAAAAAAATCAATATCACCTACTCCACAGGAGTAAAGTAGCGCTTGAACCGGTCAATCTTCGTCAACCGCAACTCCCCAATCACCCAGTGACAGCTCATGAGCAGACTGGGGAACCGGACCGTCCAGAAATTCAAGTAGCCCTCGGGCAGCCCGCCAACATGGGCCTTGAGATGCTCCGGCATGTCGTTGTAGTGGTTGCGCTTGTTGCGCAGCGCCCGGAGCAGATCCAGCATCTTGGACCCCGTGTACTTGCGCTGCTTGCCGAGGTTGTCCTTGAAATCCTTGGGCAGAAGGCGCAGGAAATCCAGGTCCGGGCCCATCACATCCGGCGCCACGGACTCCAGGCAGAGAAGAGCGTCCGACGGAGGGTCGCGGGGCTCGAACTCGAAGTGGTCCGAGACGTCGCAGAGGAAGCTCAGACGGTCGGACGGGTTCCAGAAGAAAGGGTGCATGAGAACGGCGCTCGCATCGGGTCTATTCAATCGTTAGTCAAAGGGTTCCACAAAACATCCACAAGAGTGCAACACCGCCGTACCGTTGACGAGGCTCAAGGCACAGCATGGAACGAATCAAATCATCCGCCTCAAACGCGTAATCACCCAGCCGCTGGAGTTCATCCAGGTTGAAATTGCCCTTGACGATGTTCGCCTCGCGCATGAACTTGCCATTCTTATCAAACGGATGGCTGCCCCGCGTCAACACGTAGTAGAAAACACAGCCCAGGGAGAAGATGTCGATGGCTCGGGTGGCGCGTCGGTTCGTCTGGGGATCAACGACGGCCGGTTCGGACGACTCGGTATGCTGAGACTCCCCTTGGATCGCCGAGCGGTTGTCGTCGTCGACCAGCAATTCCGGGGCCCGCCAGCCCGACGTTCCGGCGGCGTGCGCGGTCGTCGCACGGAACGAGCTCTGGTTGTCGTCCAGCTTCTTGCATAGGCCGAAGTCGGAAATGAGAAGACGCAGCGATCGGGACCCGGTGCGGCCCCGCGGCATCGCAACCAGAATATTCTGCGGCTTCAGATCGCGGTGCACAATCTTGAGCGAGTGCAGATAGCGGACGCCAGCGATGATCTGACGCAGGATATCCGGCAGATCTAAGCCGGTCTGCACGAGCTGCGGGTAGTCCCCGGGACGCTCGATCAAGTCCTGCAGGGAGGCAGGACACAGCTCCAGCGCAATGTACAGGAACCCGGTGGCTTGCTCGCGACAGAAATACCGGATGACATTGTTGTGATCGTCACTTTCCTGCAGCAGTCCCACCTCGTGGGAGGCAATATCGTAGAACTCGACCAACATACGCTTGACCGCCACGTCGCGTCCGTCGAAGGAGCCGCGGTACACGACGGTGCCATGACTGCCATGGCCAAGCACGACGTCGCTAAACACCTTCAGTCGACCGATCCGGAGAACGCCGTCCATCTCGACGAACTCATTGGACACGCTCCGCACCAGCTGCACATCGGGCTCCAGACGGGAGGGAGGCTGGAGATTATTCACCTCCTCCACCACTCGATCCGGCTGGGCCTGCGATTCGCCGTCAGTGCCGGGCTTCTTTCGACGCCGATGTGCCTTGCCGCCCCGGCGACCCCGGCGAGCCTTCTTCGGTTTCTCAGCATCCTCGTTGGCGGTCGGATCGTCCAGATCTTCCTCATCGTCGGGGCCGCGGGAGGGCTCTCGGATCTTCACCCGAGGCGTCGAGCCTGGGACGGCAAGACTGCGGTCGCGCTTGGGCCGGGGCGTCTCATCGCCCCCTTGCGGTTCGTCGGGGACCTCGACATCGACGGTGAAATTGGCGACAGGTCGCATCGGACTGGCATCGCGCTTGAAGGTAGCACCCACGACGGGACTCGCGGGAGTCGATAGGGGTGGCTGAGCGTACGACGCCATGATGTTCTTGATGTCCAGCTTCTGCTTGGCCAGCTCCTGGATATTATGGGAGTTGAAATAGATAAAGGCACCGAAGAAGAGTAACAGGAGCGTCACGAAGATGTCCACGGCATTATCCCATCCCTTTCGGATAATGGTACTGTGTCGCAAGGCAGGTGGTAATGCCAGCTCCGACGGGCTGCGAATCAGTTCCCGCGGCGTATCGTTGTTGTTGAGTTCCAGGTGGTGAGAGGGTCCAGAGATACTGGGGATGTTCCGGACGATCCGCGGGCCATTCAGCGAGTGGACGCCACTCAGTGCATCCCGCTGTTGGCCGGCGGACAAGCTGTTGAGCGGCTGTCCATACCGCAGGTAATCCTTCTCGTAGCACTGGGCCATCTTGGCACGCCCGGTGACCAGTGGGTACGTCTCTTCCGACATGGCATACCAGCCGCCGCCCTCGGTGCGGTCAATCCAGACTCGCGCGTCTCGCTCGTCGTTCAAGGGGCCATAGTCGGGATCGGGAGGCTGCGCCGGCTGCGACAGAAGCACCAGCGGCGGGGCGGCATCGGGCGATTCGACGTTGACGGGGCGGGCGACATCGAAGACCCGCACCACGGGAGTGGAGAAACGCTGCGTGTAGCGGGGACGGTCCATCCGCGAATGATCGAAGCCCAGCACCACCCCGTCATGCATGCTGTAGATGTGGCTCTGATCCATCGTCCGGAAGTACTGGCTCTGGAGGTCCATGTCGCGGTTGTTGGCGGTCCATTCGGAGTACTTCAAGGTGCAGATCGCGTCGCCCGTCTCGGTGTTCTGAATCGCCACGGCATACTCGACGCGACCGAGGACCAGGGTCCCCGACGGCGAGTCACACTCGTCCGATTCCTGGTCGAATGCATCGACTTTGCGGCAGCCCCCCTGCCCGGAGCTGATGGGCCCTCGCGAACTAAAGACCCGGAGAATATTTCCCGTCCGCGCGTCGACGGTGTACAGCGTCGTTTCCTTCCGCGCGGTATACGTCACCGCGGGGTCGATTCCCGAATAGGGGGTCTGCTCGACCAGTTCCTTGACGGTCAGGCCTAAGCGCTGCAACCCGGCATCCGGATCGGGACTGTAGATGTACAAGCTCCCATCCTGGCTGGGCTCGACGATCCAGAGAAAGTCGTCTTCGGGCTGGGTGCGATCGAAGCTCGAATGGTTGGCGCGATGGTAGATGCTCTCGATCATGGGGCTGCTGGGGACCTCGAGGGCCCAGCGAGCGGCGCCGGTTTTGCGGTCGCGTGCGTGAATGGAACCGTCGACGGTCGCCAGCAGGACAAAGTCCTCAACCTCCCAATCCTGCAGAGACCGCGCGTGAAGCTGCGGTGCCAGGCCGGCAGAGGAACTGCTGGCCGGGGCAGGATGGGCTCGAACGGCGCGGCCGGAGCCCGCCAGAGCCATGGTTGCAAGGGCGCTCGCATCGTTGGATTTCACGTGGATTGTAGCGAGGGGGTCATACTCGAACGCTCGTCCGGCCGGGGGGTACGGGGCGGAGACGGTGGAGGGGCGGTCATCGTGTTCCTGCAGCTGCTGCGGAGCAACAAGAATGGGGAGTAGAAGAAGGGCGACGCTGGCGGGGAGGGTTGTTCGGGCGCCAGGCAGCCGCCACCGCATGGTGAAAAGCTACAATGCTGAGGAATCGAGGTGGTATATCAGATGGATCAGTCCCTGGAAGGTGACGATGAGGATGGCATGAGGATTCCCTCTCTCGGGAGAAGACAGGGCGAGGGAGGTAGAGGAGAAGGATGGGATGATAGAATAAGAATAAGAATAAGAATAAGAATAGTAGTAGTAGGGAGAGCGGGAGGGAGTGAGGGTTGGCCTGGACTGTGTTGGACTGTAGTCTGTCGGTACCTAGTCTGTGGAATGTGTGGCTCTCCGTGGGACTAAGCGTAACGGATAGCGTCGAGAGTGGAGGACGATCTGGCCGGGGAGAGATATACGTTGATCGGAGGAACGCAGGAGAGCGATGGAGACGAAGAGAATAGGATGTGATGGATGAAGATGAAGAAGATGAACGAAATGTGCGAAGTCTCTAATACTGAAGCGATCAAGCGAGTCGAAGCTAACTAAGTAACTGACTCAAAGGGCCAAAGGGGGCATCAGGGGCACTAAAAGGGAGCGAATCCCATTAGGAAATCACGCAAGGCAGACAGAATTAGCATTAAGCATTTAGCACTCAGCATCAGCATCAGCATCAGCATCAGCATCAGCAATAATAATGATGATAATATTAATCACTAATAATAATCAATTCTGTGACGCGGATGGAAGATGAGAGAAAGATCGAAGGCTTGGAAGTTGGAAGACGGCAGCCAACGGAGATATTATTGAGACATCCACAGACACTGTCAGTTAAGGATGTTGTACCTAGTATCCGTACCTCGGAGGCAGTTCCATCTTGCTGCATCTGCACTCTGCACTCTGCTCTGCACTTCCACCCGGATAGACATTAAATTACCGTACAAGGCATCTTCCTCTTCTTCGTCTTCTTTCTCGTCTGCACTGCCCTGCAATATGCATCCCCTTCGGGTGGCACTGTTATTTCTGCCTCAGAAGAAGAACCTGGAAAGCGGGTGTGCTGTGCTGTGACAATACGCGTAATGGATAAGTGGGCTTGGGGGCAATGATGGCTGCTGCAATTGGTTGGAAGATGAAACATGGCCCCCTTCAGAGTACACCCCTCGTTATTATTACCGACACCCTCATGGATCGTGAGGGATATATCCATCTACTATGTATCTATCTATCCATCTACTGTAAACTGCGGAAGAATCATGGTTGATTAAGATCCTGCTAGATCCTCGGGCTCGGAAACACAAGAAGAAACGAAAAGGGGGAGGCAAAAAAAACAAAAAAAAAAAAAAAAAAAAAAAAAAAAACACCCCAAGAGTCCTGAAGATCCTCCCAGACACCCCAACTCCGCACACTCCAAGCTCCCTAGATCAGACCACAATGAATGATGAAGTCCCCCCCCCAAGTAGAATACGAATACACTATGCACCTTGCATTGAAAGAGAAATTCCCGAAACGAAAAGAAAAAAAAAAAAAAAAAAAAAAAAAAGCTCGGCTCCTATATACACGCCAGGCGAGTAGGGGGTGAACGGAAGGTCTCGATGGGATCATCGGCCATAGACCATCCAGGTCACGGCCCCAATCCAAGCGCCCAGAAAGACCACCGTCAAGACACCCGCCCCCGCGCGATCCCCCGTGGTAACGGGCAGCGCTTGCGGCGCGCTGTGTTCGGTCCCCGTGCCCGCGCTGGAGTTGCTCTTGCTGGTCCCCCCGGTATCTGAGGTCAGTGGTCCCTGGGCCTGCTGCATCTGTTTGTGGGTAATCATGGTCGACGAAAACACGCTCAGCGCACTCATGTCCTCCTCGAGCGAGGTCGTCCCATCCCACGTGTCTTGGTGCCACCGCCGCCCGCACTGGGTGTGGCTGTCGCCGCCCGAGCATTGTTTGGCCGCCGCCAGCGCCGACTGTTGGATCCGGGGGACGATCTCGTCGGCGGTGTACGGAGCAATCGTGGTCGTAAACGTCAGCCACGACGACAGAAATCCCTTGAAACAGTCCTGGTTCCGGTCACACATCATGTTCGGCTCACACGCGACTTCGGACATCACCGTGCCGTTCTGGAAGGGGAAGAAGAGGGAGAAGGTGGTGCCCAGCAGGCCATCCAACCCCTTCTTCCATTTGCTACCTCCGTTGGTCTATCGGTCCGTCAGTCCCGTTACAATAGCCTCCCACGGGGCCAGGAGGCACGAAGGGGGGGGAAGGGAACAGGGGACACCCACGTAGTTGAACATGTACGCGGCTCCACTGATGTAGGTGCCATAGTTGTAGGTCCATTGGAGATCGCCATGATCCGTGCACTGCTTATCCGGCGAGGTGGTGTCGGCAATCGTCCAGTCAGACTCTTTGAGCAACGGCGTGGTCGCACTCCAGTCCCAAATGCGCTCCGCCCAGTCCGCGTAGGTGGCGTTGTTGGTATACCGAGCGAGTCGCGCCGACAGCTGGAAGAGCCCGCCGTTCGAGATGGCGTTCTTGGTCCGGTAGCCGTCCTGGTAGGGCCAGATCTGCCAGCGCAAGCCCCCGTGGCAGGTGGATGTGTCCCATCGGGGCACCTGCGTGTTGAACACCCCCTGTGCGAGCGACACCCAGGACGGCTGCCCGTTCTGCTCGGGATAGTTCAGCTCCGCCGCGGTCATCGCCGCCAGACCCCAAAACACCTGGTCATCGTTTCCGAGATAGTTGCTGTAGTTCGAGGGGAAATAATCATCGTTGCCCTTCTGCCAAAGCATGCCCTGCGTGACCACATCGTTGTAGGACGGATCCCCCGTCCAGTACCAGTATTGAATCAGAGTCATGAACATCGCGCCGCCTTCCCACCAGGTGTCGGGAAGCTTCCCCGGAATCTGGCCGGTCTCATTGCCATGGTAGTCGCTCATCATATTGAAGGCTGTGGTCGCGGCGGCATTCTTGATGGATTCTGCGTGACAGGGGGATTAGCGAGCTGGTCATGATCCGAGGAATTTCGCGTGGTGTGATCCGAACAAGGCGATTCACTTACGAACGTCATTGATGTCCAGATTCAGCGACGTGACCGTTCCTTGTCCGGCAAGGAAGGCGGTTAATAAGAAGATGGACGAGGAGCGACCGAGGAGATTCATGGTTGGATCAAACAAGGGAGACGGATACTACTACTAGAAGTATCAAGTGAGAGACAAAGCAAGCCGTCGCAGCATCGAAACATAAAATCAATATTTGTATTTTTGTTCTGGTTTTGTTTTTTTTCTTGTTCTGTTTTTTCAAGAACAACCCAACGAGCGTAAACTGCGCTGAAAAGCCGAAGGCACACCCAATTGCAGGGAGGGGCAAGTCAGGTGAAGCGACAGCCGGAAGGCACGAAGATGGCAGTAATAGTAGGAGTAGGAGTAGGAGTAGGAGTAGGAGGACTATTGCGGTCCAGGGAAAAGCCAAGCGCACGATGCGCCGTCACTCGATGGTGAAGCACCAGATGGACTGGGTGGTTAGATGATCAGAGAGATCGATGCGAGAAGCGTGGTGATTTGCTGATTTGCAGGTTTGCAGAGATCAAGAAAAGAAAGAAAGGATGAGGAAAGGAGAGGATGGATGGAGGGAGACAGAGGTGATTATGATTGATGATTGATGATTGTTGACTGTCAGCACGGAGACGGAGACTTAATCTTAATTCAGATGATTGATTCGCTGAATGCGGGCAATTCGCAGTGATGAGCGAGCACTGCCCTGGAGGATTGGATATGATTATGATAATAATTAATATACACAGTAGGTAATCGTTAACTACGGAGTACTATGAGTATCTAATAATCCTTGATTAGATCTTTTCTTCCTGTCTGTCAGTCGTTACTGTCTTACAGAGGTGCTGATGATGGCAGTGCCACGGTGGACAGGTAGGTCCTCCTCTCGGTAAGGATTTCCCCTGCCCAAGAAAAAAAAGAAAGAAAAAACCCAGAGTCAAGCATCACGCCGAGCTCTTAGGGTCTCCAAGTCCAAGACTCCAAGACTCCCATTCATACGTACACAGTACTCCAATTTCCAAGGTCATTCATCCTTGACTCCATCGTTAAGGAACGGACTCAACGGAGGAGTCAAGAGTCAAGACTCAAGACACGCAATGGAGCCCCAGCAGCCTCGTTTCCCAGGCCTCTGAGTGGTTCCGATGTGCTGTCTCACGGGCCATGGACCCAGGGATCGTCTTCAGCCAAGGCGATTATCAACCAGAGGACAGTAGTCCATGCCATGGTAGTCAGAGAGTTATGGATGGTGGTTATGAATCTGATTAATATCCGTTGCACGAGTGTGTATCTCTGGAGGAGGGAAACAGGCTCACAAGCAAATGGACGGTATTCCATTTCCCGCACCGAGGCTGGCTGTACATAGTAGGTAGGATGCATGGATAATGTAACTACTAAGTAGTACTCCGTAGTAAGTACTCCGTACTGTACGAGGAAGTCTAGAAGGACTCAGACCTCAGACAGAAGCATTTCGCCCGCTAAAAATAGCGCCCACCACCAAGACCTTGGCCCAGTGCTTAACTCGCTTGACAGGTCGACATGTGCATACAGCATACAGAGTACAGAGTACAGAAATAGTAGTAGTATCATAGTTATTCATGACAGTGAAACCAGTCAGATATATCCATCAATTCATCAAATTCATTAATTCAACGAGCTAGGTGTATGGCTTTCAGCTTGGGTTCCCCCTCTTCCCACTGCATGTATACATACACACATACACAGTATATACTGGTGCTGGATGAGCAGAATGGCCAAGCTGCTCAAAATATACGGAGTAAATCAACAAGAACGAATGAAAATTGAGTTATACTGTAGTATATACGCTTCTAACCGGACAAAGACAAAGGCTTGTTTCTCCCACTCTAATAATACTCTCCAGGAAAATTCCGAGTCTCCGTCGTGACTGATCCCTCCGAGTCTGAAGTCCAGTAGCAGCGCACACAAGCCATAGAGTTAGTGAATGGAGTGCTAACTGCTCACTGCTCACTGCTCAATCTGCAGCTAGCAACCAGTGTACCACCCACTCAAAATAGGATCAAGCACCAAGACCGGAGCGCCTTGCTGGAACTAGCTGAGGTATCTTGCATCTGGTTGAGGCAAGCACATTTCAGTCGAGTACGTCGAAGCCAACAATATCAGGGATATCACTGAACATGCTCTTAGAAACATACGTAGATGATATAGTTCTGATGAGCCATGGAGCGGTAGTCAACTTCTTTCTTCGACTATGCAGACGGCGGAAACGAGTAGATCGCGTCGAGTCTCTGTTGATCCCTCCCAGACTAGCTTGAAACGTCCTCAACTACATGCAAATGCAAATTTCCTTACTAGGACCTGATTTGGGCAAAAACCAATGACATTGACCTTAATTTATTTATTATCCGCGCGCCGTATCGTTAAAGTTGTAAGAATCCACTGCCTCGTTCATCCATCCTCTACATACGCTCACGTCGGCGAGGAGCAGCCCGAATGATGTTGTCGACACGTAGGAGAAGCTGTAAGCAGTAGGTGTTAGTCAAACAGGGCCCGAGAGACAAAACAAGAAGGGGGGAAATTTTTTTTTTTTTTACCTCTGCAGCCTCCGACGCCGAAGAAACAACAGCCTTCTTCAACTTGTAGCTCTCCACAACACCCAATTCGCGCATGTCGGCAATGCCACCGCCAGGGGTGAGCAGGTCCAGACCTGAGCTAGTCATGCCGTTGTTGATGGCCTGGCGCAGGCGGGTGACCAGATCGCTCGAATCCAAACCGGCGTTGTCGGCCAGGATCGTAGGCAGCTGTCGAAGTGCGAACGAGAAAGAATCCACTGCCAGCTGCTTCTTGCCGGTGGTGTTTTGGGCCGCTTGCTCGACCGCCTTGGACATGACCATCTCCGCGCAGCCACCACCCAGCGTGACCCGGGGATCCTTGATGGTCTGAGAGAGCACGGCCAGAGCATCGTGCAGGGACCGCTCCGCCTCATCCAGCAGCTGCTCGGTCGCACCGCGCAGCACGATGGTGCATGCCTGACCGGCAGCCACGCCCGAGAACTTGATGAGGGTGTCTTCGCCGATGATCACTTCCTCGATCACATCACAGTGGCCGAGCTTGACCTGCTCAGGGTGGTCGAAGGTGGAGGCGATCTCACCGCCGGTCACCAGGGCCAAGCGCTCGATGCCGTCGAAGTCGGCATGCTCGATGGTCATGATACCGGCCTCGGTGAAAAGCTGTTCGGGCCAGTTGTAGATGAGCTGACGGTTGACGAAGCAGTTGATGCCGTGAGACTTGATCTTCTCCACCTTGGCCCTCATCTTCTCGCGCTCGGCCTTCTCCAACTCCGCCAGCTTGCCTGTTGATTCGACCTTGACCCGCGCACCGAAGATCTTCACTTTGTCTGTGTCCATGGCCGTGTTGGCGACCAGGATCTTGGCATTCTCCAGGCGCTTGGGCTGGTTGACACCGATCTTCTTGTCGAGGATGAACCCCTCGTCGAGGTACGAGTCCATCAGCTTACCACCGGCCTTCTTGATGATCTGGATGTGGCTGAGATCGGTCGAGCCACGGAGGCGAAGCACAGCATCGCAGGCAAGGGTAGCGAAGTGGTCGCGGTCCTGGGCCAGGACCTTGGAGCTGAGGGTTGTGCGGGCAATGGCGTGCAGATCGTTCCGGAACGCCTCCATGTCCTTGCTCCGGTCAACGGCAACTTTCTCGAGCGCTTCCAGAGCCGCCTTGCTGGCTATCCGGTAGCCATCAATAATGGTCTGGGGATGGATCTTGCGGTTCACGAGTTTCTCTGCCTCACGCAGCAGCTCCGCCGCCAACACCGTCACCGACGTCGTACCGTCACCGACTTCGTCGTCCTGCACCTTGGAGATGTTCACCAGTACCTTGGCAGCGGCGTTATCGAGGGCAATAGCCTTGAGGATTGTGGCACCGTCATTCGTTACGAGGATTTCGCCCGTCGACCTATTTCGACCTTTCCAGTCAGCTGTGCACGCCCACGATGGCAACACCCCGCATTCCCACGACATCCCACCACGTACGCTGACTGAAGGATCTTGTCCATTCCCTTGGGTCCTAATGTGCTCTTCACCAAGTCACCGACGGCGATGGCACCGACGAAGGCGGACAGACGGGCGTTCTCGCCCTTTTCTTCAACTACATCGTCCGCAAAGATCTGGGTGGGATTGCCGAAGGACGCCTGAGAAGGTCAGTTTTTTATCCGGAAGAGTATATGTGAACATGGGAGATCACATACCATGATTGATAGAGAATGAAAAAAAATATGAAACTACCCTCAAAAAGGAAGACAGGCAGCTCAGGAGGGGGATGCTGGTTCAAAGACACAGTGGAGGATTCATCAATTAATGCGGGACGTCCAGAAAAGTTCGCGATGTGGCCCGAGCTCGAGTTGGAGCTTCAGACCGCCCGCCCAAAGTCCCTCCTTACCATCCAAGCATCGGCTCAAGCGCAACATTCTGTCATCCTATTCCTTTTGGACGTTGTTTCTTGCTGGATAATCTTGTTTATTATGGCGGATACGGATGAGCAAGCCAAGCTTGCCATCAACAAACGTCCTCACGCTGCCATTGAGGACGAAGATGGTGGGTTACTATCCCCAGCCAGCCTCCGATTGCGATTCTAAGACACGATACAGAAAAGGCTGATGCAGGAACATAGACAATGGGTCGTCCTCCGATGATGATTACGGACCAGCTCTTCCTACGGCCGATGCGCCCAAGAAAAAGCGACGCAAGCTGCCCTTCGAGAAGGTCTACGTGAATGCGCTACCAGCGTCGCCTCGGTATTCGAAATCGCTCATGCACAAGGACCAGCTGTCCTTTGTCACGATAACCCCATACACAGACTTTCTCATCACCTCGTCAATAGATGGCATTGTGAAGTTCTGGAAAAAGATGGCTGTCGGCGTGGAGTTCGTCAAGGAATTCCGTGCGCATCCTGCGGAGATCAAGAGCGTCAGTGTCAGCGCGGATGGGAGAAGTTTTGCGACGGCGGGGGCCGACAAGACGGTCAAGATATTCGATGTTATTACTTTCGGTATGGCTTCTTTTTTCGTCTCATTAAACTGTTCACTGAACTAATGCTTTTCGAGATTTGTTGGCCATGCTCCCCCTTGACTTCACACCACGCTGCGTCTGCTGGGTCCACCCCCGCGGTGCATCGCTGCCATTGCTGGCTGTGACGGACGAAGACAGCTCGATGATCCAGGTCTTTGACGGCCGTGGAGAGAATCACACCCCGCTGCACACTGTCAAGTCGATACATCGCAGCCCCGTGGCCGCCATCGCCTTCAACAACGCATTCGACTGCGTCGTCTCGGCCGACCAATCCGGCATGATCGAGTACTGGCGCGCAGGCGACGGCTCCTTTGAAAAGCCTGATAACGTGTTTGAGCTGAAATCCTCCACCAACCTGTTCGAGTTTAAGAAATCCAAATCCGTGCCCGCATCCATTACTATCTCTCCCTCAGGCGAGCACTTCGCCACTATCTCCTTCCCCGACCGCCAGGTCCGCGTCTTCGATTTTGCTACGGGCAAGCTCTACCGCAAGTACGACGAGTCCCTGGCTACGATCACCACAATGCAGCAGGCCGGCACGGCGCTGTACCAGCTGGACGAGGTGGAATTCGGCCGCCGGCTCGCCGTCGAACGCGAGCTGGAAAACCCGGTCACGCAACCGAAGGTGAACGTGATCTTCGACGAGTCGGGCCACTTCCTGCTGTACGGCTCCCTGTACGGCGTCAAGTGCATCAACACCTACACCAACCGGGTGGTGCGCGTGTACGCGCGGGACGAGCCCTTCCGCCCACTCAACCTCGCCATGTACCAGGGCCAGCCGCAGCGCAAGGGTGTGGTGACGGTGTCGATGGCGGCCAGCGCCAACCCGCTGCTCCAGGAATCCGAGGAGCGCGACCCGATCCTGGTGTCGACGGGGTTCGCGAAGATCCGGTTCTACCTGTTCACGAACGAGACGGAGGTGTCCAAGGCGACGCGCGACGTGCAGAACGAACGTCCCACGCAGGCGGACGCGCGCGAGCCGGCGGCCAAAAAGGCCGCGGAGACGGGCACGTCGGCGATCCTGCATACCACCATGGGCGACATCCACCTGCGGCTGTTCCCGCAGGCCGCGCCCAAGGCGGTGGAGAACTTTGTCACGCACGCGCGCGCGGGCTACTACAACAACACCATCTTCCACCGGGTGATCCGCAAGTTCATGATCCAGGGCGGGGACCCGCTGGGCGACGGCACGGGCGGCGAGTCGATCTGGGGCGGCGAGTTCGAGGACGAGTTCTCCAGCCTCAAGCACGACAAGCCGTACACGCTGTCCATGGCCAACGCCGGGCCCAACACGAACGGGAGCCAGTTCTTCATCACCACGGAGAAGACTCCGTGGCTGGACGGGAAGCATACCATCTTCGGGCGGGCCGTGCAAGGGCTGGACGTCGTGCACAAGATCGAGAACACGAAGACGCACAAGGAGAAGCCCGAGCAGGACATCAAGATCGTGAGCATCTCCGTGACCTGAGCTGTTCCCCTTGTTTTGTATCTATTATTTATGCGTTTCTTCAACTTTCAACGACTGGCCTGTTGTATGAGTGGCATGGCATCCAATTGTATATTACCCCGTCTGTTTCTAGCAACAGCCCACGACTTTTTTTTTGTTTTCTGGTACAGAACCATCTCAGCGAACCCATTATAACCTAATCTCCACCCACAACCCCAAAGGCAGGAAGATGTAGAGAGCCAAAACCGGCTCGAGGCCAAGATCCGAATTGAAAGGCGACTTAAGTTCCGCGAAAAAATTTTGAAAAAAAAGAAGGAAAAAGGATGTATCAACGAATGTCAAGAAGATAGGACTAGATATGCACAGAAAAAAAAGAAATCAATGAACAAAAACCTCGTAGCATACCGCGGAAGGGTATGCGTACTGATTCGACAGAAGCCAAGATGTTTTCACAGAAAGTTCAAATACAGACACAGAAACGTAAACGCCGGATATATGCAAGGATAGCGACACGTCTTTGGACGGAGAAAAAAAGAAAAAGAAAGAGGCTGGGATGGAGGTATTTCGTCCCATGGTTTCCTCCTGGATGATACTACGAGATTTCCGAGGGATTGCTAGACAGAAACACCGGTATTCACCGGGGTACCTCCCGAATCTCAACGTCGCCATCATTGGGCAACTCTGGTGTCTTTTGCAACCGCGTTGAGGACATGCCCGACCGGACCTTGGAGGGCACGACGTCCGTGCGCGAACTGCTGGCAATTGACTCGCTCTGGCCGGAGCTATACCGTGACGGCGGCGCGGCCCCGACATTCGTCGAGAAGTGGCCCGGTTGGCTGGGTGCTGGACTCTGGTCTTGCGCACGACTGGCGAACAACCCGCTTCCCGTCCCGCTGCCACTGCCACTGCCGGCGACGCCGTGGTACAGATTGGGATGTTTTGCATCGTGGCGTTTCTTCACCCAGACTCCGACGGCGGCAATGACGCTGAATGCGACGATCAGGACGATAACCATGATGACCCATTGGTAGTGACCGTCCCACCTGCAGTCGTATTGTTAGACAAACACCGAATCCTAGAAAAAACGATTGGTCGTGAGAAGCGACTTACCAGGACTTGGGTGCTGGCGAGTCAGGCTGTGCTTTCTGGCCGGTGGAGGAGGAGCCCGTGGTAGCTGCTGCAGGCTGGACGGCGGCGGTTGTGGTTGTCTCGGCGGCGCCCCCCGAGCTGCAATAGTTGTTGTACCATGTCTTCAACAAGACACGATCGGATTCCTGCGTACAGGTATCATCGCAGGTCCCGTCTGGAACATTGTGAAGCTGGGCGATCAGGGACGACTGGCAGAAGCACGAGACGTGAACCGAGTGCGCGGGATCCGGGCTGGCCAGACAACTGTCGGCGGCTGCATTGAGCTGCGGGCAGGAGAGCCCGCACTGAGGGAAGGAAGCGGAGGGGGCGGATGGGAGGATGGAGTCGTCCGCCGCGAAGACGGCGGTGGTGAAGACGAGAACGATGGCGATCAGGTGGAAGAGTCGACAGGTCGAGTTGAGCACCGCATTGTTGGCGGTCCAGGCCAACCGCCCATATGCCATGACGACGCAAGTTTGAGACTCCGGTGGAGACCGGTCGGTCGGGGGGGGCGCGGCGTGGGAAAGCTCACAGGAACAGATGGCCCACCATCATACGAAGATGAGGAGGGAGCGAGAAAAGGAGGTAGAGGGGGAAGGGGGAAGAGAGAGAGAGAGAGAGAGAGACTGGAAGATTTTATGGAGACCGACGATGGGGGAACGAATGACCAAAGAGAAGAAATGAGGAGGAGGAGGATGGTGATGATGATGATGGAGATGGAGAGATGAGATCGAAAGAATGCAACGATCGAAGGTGAGATACAAGATGGACAGGAAGATCAACGGAGGAGACGGAAAGCCGGATTAATTATTTGACAGGACTAATTGATTCGGCGTCAGCCAGACGAGAACGAGAAGAAAAGCTGGTGTAGAATAGAATAATAATAATAATAATAATAGAGGAGTGAGTAGAGGGAGTGCCGAGGAAATGATTGCTACCTTAGCCTGGTGTCGGTGCACCTGGTTCTGTTACTACTGTCGATGGAAAGGAGCTCCGGATGCGGCTGGAGATGAAGGGACTTTGAATCAATTTGTTTCTGACTCGATTGATAGATAGATGTTGAGAGATGGGATGAAAGACCATGATTCCATTGTTGACTTTCTCTGGATGTACCTTTGGTGCCCGCCTCAGGCACCGGCTTCAGTTTCATATCCGTATAATAATGATTCCTAGTCAGGCACATTTGGATCTATCCAATGCACTCTTCAGGTTTACTACAACTTTTCCCCCTTACGATAGGCGATAATGATCTACTACTACTACTACTACTACTACTACTACCACTACGACCATGGAATTACACGATGAGACGCCCGTTTGCGGCACAACGTCCGTCATCTCAGGGTCAGGATGAGTCGTTCTTTCTCGCCAGACCGCAAGACTTGAGCTTGGTGCAGATCTCTGGCTCCATCAGCAGCCCAGCTAATTATGAAGTAACCAGGTGGTAAGCAGATGCAACCTTTGGTACAACTTCAGCAGCTTGTTCGTTGATGCAGATTGTTGGCGCTCTGACTTGGCAAGGAAGAAGCAACCCATATTAGTCATCAGCATCATCAGCATCAGAAGCATCAGATGCAACAGGAACAGCGACATTATTATTATTATGATTACCATCACCAATTCAGCATCAACTCTCATCACTTGGAGTGAGTTTGACTCTCGTGGCTTTTAGCTTTGACATCTGACAGATTCGGCCCTGGCATTGCTGACGTTCACCCATCAGGAAAGGATCCACGGATCGTCCTTCCAAGGGGTCTTAGTCTCCTACAGATTACAGAGTAGACCTCTCGGATCTTGGACTCTGCACAAAAAAAAAAGGTACACAGCCAGGGGCAGGAATGTCAGCTGGAATCTGACTTCAAGAATCCTTCTATCGAAGATTCCACCAAGCGGAGTTGACTGCTTATCTTGACATTCACCCGGTGCCGCACCTACCGTCAATGCGCCCGACCGATGAGGTATCTTATCACTCGCTTCTTGCGCAATAAGAATCCCTTCCTTGGGATACGAGAATAACCCACTCGATGCGCCGTGGACCCTGGATGACCACGTATCCCAGATTGATTACGGGAAGATGACTCCAAAGATTGAATCCATCCGGATTTGTGACTCCTTCACCACCAATACGAACTGCGGAATTGCCTCCGCCCATTCCCGCGATGATTCATAGCACACACAATGCGGATCTCGGGTACATCACAAGCGTCCTTGTCGAAACCGATATAAAGGCCTTTGCACGAATTCAGGATGTCAATTGAGGGCAGAAAACCCGCAAAATGGCTACGTCTCAAACCTGGCTCATCACCGGTGCCTCCTCCGGCTTCGGCACCATCCTCGCAGAAGCCGTGCTCAAAGCCGGTCACCGCGTCATCGCGACAGCTCGCGATCCCGTCAAAGCCGCACAGACGCATCCTCAGATTGAGTCGCTAGGAGGCGTCTGGTTGCAACTAGACGTCACACGTGCGGACGCGAAGCAGACGGTCGAAGATACCGTCCGGGAACAGGGACGGATCGATGTCGTGGTCAACAACGCGGGCTACGGCTTGTTTGGATCTGTGGAGGATATGAGGTACGCGAGCTATCCTTCCGTATCCAGCTGACCCAGGTCTGACCCAATGAGCAAGTGAGGAGGAAATCCACCAACAGATCAATACGAACGTCTACGGGCCAATCCGAGTCATCAAAGCGGTTTTGCCGTTCATGCGTGCTCAAAAGTCCGGCACAATCGTCAACATCAGCAGTATCGCGGGTCTACAAGCTCGACCTTCTGTCGCGCTCTACAATGCCAGCAAGTTTGCTCTCGAGGGTACCGTGTCTTCCAGCAGGATACCATGGGCGCATTGGCTAATCAGCAGCAGGTTTCTCCGAAGCCCTGTCCCAGGAAGTCGCCCCATTCAACATCCGCGTCCTCATCGTTGAGCCGGGCATGTTTCGCACCAACTTCCTCTCTGCCTCTCAAGCCCCCGCCGCCGGGTTGAACCCCGCCTACCAGGGAACAATCCTCGAACAGGCATTACAGGCCTATGGAACCTTTGATGGAAGACAAGCCGGGGATCCAGTCAAGGCTGTTGAGCGTCTCATCGACGTGGCCCAGGGCACAGGCGTTGGCGCGGGCAAGACGCATCTGCTCCGCTTGCCGCTGGGTCGGGACAGCATCGCACGGGCCAGAACCAAGCTGGAGGAATTGAGGAAGAATCTGGATGAGATGGAGGAGATTGCCTCAAGCACCGACTATTAGCAGAGCATCCATGCATCCGAACGGATGAAAAACCCAGAAAATGTGTACTGTGAACCGAGCAGTAAATTGACGTAGTTCTTTCGTTGATACAAACGATACCGTCGTCAATCCGTCACCGGAGATCATCTCCGACGGGCCGGGTTGCTATCCTCCCATTTCCAGTCAATAATAGAGAGGCGTCCATTGGCATTAAAGCGTGATAATGACTTCATCAAACGCATCAACGCACAGATACAAATATCGTAGCTCATCAGCGCGAACACCACGACTCCCTCCCCCCCCAAAAATAGAGCATAGTAACTCTCCAAGCAAGCACCGCAATGTCCAAAACAATCGAGTTCAACATCTTCAAAGGCTCCTCAACTGGGGACATCATCCCGGACACGGTGCGGCGCACCATCCAGCCCTTCGAGGTATTTGTTGAGATCTCGCACGCGGGCCTCTGCAGCACGGATCGGCTCTTCAAGAACAAGAGCGTCGCGCTCGGCCACGAGGGCGCCGGCACCGTCCGGGACGTCGGAAGCGCGGTGTGCAACTTCAAGGTCGGCGATAAGGTGGGTTTCGGCTGGGGGCATAAGGTATGCGGGGACTGCGACTTTTGCATCGGCGGTGAGGACGCAACCCGCTCTCGCATTGCCTGTAGACCAGGGCTGACAGGGAGAGATAAAAAGGCTGCGATCAGTACTGCGAGCATCGCGAGCAGTACAGCAAGGAGAACACGGAGATCGGCACGTTCGCGACGCACGCCGTGTGGGACGAGAGTATGCTCATCAAGCTGCCTGCGGAGCTGGAGCCCGAGTACGCCGCGCCGCTGATGTGCGGCGGGGCCACGGTGTGGTGCGCGTTGACGTGCTACGATCTCAAGCCCGGGGATCGGATCGGCGTGCAGGGGATTGGAGGCCTGGGACACATGGCGATCCAGTTCGCGTCGAAGATGGGGTATGAGGTGGTTTGTCTTGCCGACTGCGCCACGAAGAAGGACGAGGCGATTGGGTTGGGCGCGAACGAGTTTCATGTTGTCGAGGAGAATGCCCCGAAAGGCGCAGTACAGCCTGTCAAGCACCTGCTGTGGTGCGTGGATGAGGCTCCTGATTTCTCCAAGTCTGTGGACCGATCCTCCCCCCCTCCCCCTAAGAGCTTTGAATAGAGCTGAGCGTATTTCCAGGATCATGCCCATGGTGTGTTGCGATGGCACCATTCATGTGCTGACGGCGAGCACGCAGCAACCCCCGCTGCCCATCACGGATCTCATCTCGAACGGGATCCGCGTTCAAGGCTCTGCGGGGGCGCCGCGGGTGGCAGTCCGCAAGATGCTGCGGTTTGTATCGCTGCATAGGATACGCCCGATCATCATGTCATGGCCCATGACGCGGGATGGCATCCAGGCGGCATTCCAGACCCTGGAGCAGGGCAAGATGCGGTACCGTGGAGTGATCGTGGGGCAGAGGCATCTGATGGGGAAGCCAGCGGTAGAGAGGATGGCTTGATAGCTGGTATTGGATCAGTCGATAGATGAAGAAATTTGAAGAATAATAGCCTAGTTCGTTAGGTGGTGCTTGTTGCTCTGGACCCGTAGTTTAGTCTAATAATCGCAGACAAAGGTGCTGCAGGAACTTGGAGTACTACGTAGTAAATCGACTCGGTCCGCGCCGAACACGAGATTTGAGGCAAACTCCAAGCCGGCCACCACCTCTTTTAACTCACCACCACCTTTTTTTTTGTTTATTTCAACTCCCACTCACGCTCCAACACCCTCCTAGACAGGACACCTTTCGCAGCAATCCAATACTAGTCCCTCATGAGTATCACATCATGACCCAACCACAACCACCGATCGCCTCCTGCCCGCTGACCACCCAACGCGCCCCTGACATGCCCGCCCGCCCCGCGACCCTCCCCCACCGCCTCACGGGCATCTTCACCTCCCTCTCCCACAACAACCGACGCTGGTCGCTCCTGCGCACCCTCCAAAGCGACAACCCGCTCGACATCAACGGCGAGCTCCGCGGCACGGCAACCTTCACGCCCCTTCGCCGCCGCCGCCGCCGCCCCGCCACGGAGGACAAGCCGCACGAGATGCTCTACCGCGAGGAGGGCGAGCTCCCGAATACCTTCGGGATGGGCCTGCGGTGGACGAAGAAGTATATCTGGCAGCGCGGCGAGCAGGGGGCGATCAGCGTGTGGTTTGTCAAGGTGAAGCCGAGTGCGCGGCGGCAGGGAGCAGCAACAACCGCCGAAGAAGAGGAAGAAAAGGAGGAGGAGGAGGAGGACGAGGACGAGGCGGATTACCTGTTCCATGATTTCGATTTCGAGGTGGAGGCAGAGCCAGAGCCAGAGGCGGACGGGGAGGGGGAGACGTTTGTGGCGCCGCCTGCGCCCCCGGCGGTTGCGGAGGGGGACCAGGGTGAGACGGACGTTGTCCTGGCGAGGGGCAACCACCTGTGCATCAATGATATGTACCGCACGGCGTATGCGTTTCGGATCCGGCGCGCGTCTGGGGAGGTGGTGAGCTGGTCCAGTCGGCATGTGGTCAAGGGGCCGAAGAAGAATCAGGATATTGTGAATCTGTACAGGTTGGAGGAGTAAGTGGGTGATGAGAGGAGTTGCTTCAATTCAACTTGGCTGTTTTGGGGACATATCTACAGCTTAGTGCTTGCGGTGGATCAAGCGTGAGCTCTATCTACTCGTGGTAGTAGCTTACAGTACCATACGCCGATAGCATTCTGGGTCTTGTATGCATCCTCCTCCAATCCCATCGTCCTCATGCTGGTTGCTTTTACAGCGTGTAAATGAAGTCCGGCCGTTGATCTCCGAGAAGCTCAATCTGGCTCTGATCCAATCCTTGCACCCAGTGGTCGCGTTCTCGGTTCAGCCGCTTCCGGTTCTCCCGTCGCAAGAGCAGATACTGCAACACCGAGCCACCGAACAGGAACAGCACCAGGTACGCCAGCACGGTGCCGTGGCCTGGATAGAACGTCGGCGCGTCCTTGCCGCGGTAGATGTTGGAGGACACGATGCCGTTGAGGTTACCCCAGCCAATGACGATACCGAGGGTCACGCCTCGCTTGTAAACACCTGCGTGTGGGGTGGGTGTCAGCTGGTCAGGAACTACTAGCGGGGTTGCGACATATCTCACCTTCCGTGTTGTTGCTGGCCCAGGAGATGGTATTCGAGATCGCGGGGTAGATGCCCATGGCACCGAGAAAGGTCCCCGCGTACCGCGCGCCGCCCGATTTGCATCCCAGGAGCATCGCGAAGCCGACGATACCGAAGAGGGAGACGACAATGTTGCAAAGGCCACGTTGGCGGGTTCGATCTGCGATGAAACCTACCGCGATCGTGACGATGGCCGCTGCGGCATATGGGGGGACGCTCAGCAGCTGTGCCTTGAAAGCCGTGTATCCTGTCTGTGTTAGTCATCTTCAATGCAGTGGAGTCTATCGCACATACCCTAGACAGTGTCAGTATATATCGGTTGGGATTGACGAAACGACGACTTACTAGTTGGTTGATGATGGTTGGGACGAAGAGCGAGAAGGCGTACAAGGATCCATCTGCTCCCATATAGATGATAGCACTGGTATAGGTCTTCCAGTCCTTCAAGCTCGCCCAGAAATAGGTCATTTTGAACTGCTCGTGCTCGGCACTAGCCTGTTGGTCCTCGGCCAGACGGCGCAGGACACGCTTGCGGTCCACATCGGACAGGAACTTGGCTTCATCGGGAAAGTCATACACCATCCAGAAGGACAAAAGGCCTACGATGATGGTGGCCAGACCCTCGAGGATAAAAATCCATGACCAGCCCGGCTTGCCGCCAATACCATCCATCTGCGCGATAGCGGCCGCGAGGAGCCCTCCGAAGGAACCCGCAAGAGCAGCCGCGGAGAAGAAGATAGCCATGCGGACACCAAACTCCGCTCGCCTATACCAGCACGACAGGAGGTATCCGACACCGGGGAAGAGACCGGCTTCTGTGAGACCAAGGAACCATCGGACCTGTCGATGTCAGTACAAAAGCCAAGGGCCGAGTGGAGCACGAGGAAGAACGCACCGCCATCAAACCAGAATAATTCTTGACAATACCCATCAGCGCCATACATACGCCCTACGTCATGTCTCATCAGCAGGATCCATCACAAGACAACCCCAGTCAACCTACCCATCCCAGCATGATCGTGGGTATAAAGATGCTCGGTCGCCATTTTTTCAGCAGCACGTTGGTGATCGGCTCAAAGACCGAGTACGAGATGAAGAAGATGGTTAGCGAATTGTTGTACTGGTCGTTGGTCAAGTGGAGGTCTCTCTGCAGGCCGGCGAGTTTCGCGTTGCCGATATTGGTCCTATGAACGACGCCAGTCAGTGTCCGCTTCTGGCAGGGTGAGATGAATCCGGGGGACCCACCGATCCAGGAACGAGATCAGATACAACAGGCTCAGCCACGGAATCAGCTTCAGGTCGAGCTTCCAGAGCAGAGCGCGATCCTAGAAACGCCCGTCAGAGTTTCGCACATGGACGACCAATCCTGGTGCAGTCTCACAATCTTGGCCCGCTCCTCGTCACTGAGACCCTCATCAGGGTCTTCAAAGAGAGCGAGTTTGGACTTTCGAGCAAAGTCGTCCAGCCCAGACCCCTTTTCCTCATCGGAAATCCGGGATACCTGTTCGACGACAGGTTTCTCTTCGGCGGCGTGAGACATGGAGGGAGATAGCAGTGATAACAGACGATGAATAAGCAGGCCGAGCAGGGGGGGGGGGGGATGAAGAAGCAGAAAAACAAAGATGACACGGGGACGCAAGGGATTTAGAGACGATAGATAAGCAAGTGAGATGAGGCAAGAGATCGACACAAAAATCGAGGCGAAAAGGGTTATATTTCGTCCGCTGTCGTCCTTCTTAACCATCATCCTCCGTACTCCGTCTCTTCACGGCCATAATATACCAGTGGGATAAGCAAGGTCCATCCATCCTTCGTAAACCCCTCCATCCACCTTGACCAGGGTCATTGCCAATCGAATCCCACGAAAGTTCCAGGCTATTGTGACTCGTGACTAGTATCTGCCGACGGGATGACAGCGAGCTTACCCCAGATTCTCCGCGAGGACGAATGATCATCCCCAGAGGGAAAATAGAGCATCGAACCGACTGAGGATTTGACGACGACAATGACCATTTTCCCCTCTGGACTAGCGAGTTACGACGGAGTGAGCGACACAAGACGCCAGGATGTGAGTGACGCTAGTAGTGTCTCTTTGCCACTCTGCCTTGATAAGCAATCGCCAGATAAAGCAACAAGTACACAATAATAACAATAACGAGGCCGCCAAGCCCGAGGACCCCAAAGCGGAAACTTTCATGTTCTTTAGTGTTGCTTCTAGCACGACCCGCCTGGAGTCTTGGGCTCCTTAGGCGGTCTTGGAGACCTGGAGTCCTAGACACGCATCTAGTGCGGGTTAGCGCCATCAGTGCACCCATTCCCATTTCCCAATCTTCGTCTCCATACTCCAGAGTCCAGACTCCATCCTCCACAATGACCCCGCGGGGGCTGAGCCGCGGGTGGGCGGGACATGCGGGATATTCTATTCGGTATCTGTCCGGTGCTTGACTTGATTTGACTTGACTTGACTGGACTTCACTGGACCGCCAATGCGACGTCGTTATTTGTTATCTCTGGCCCGTTCTATGATTCTCTCCTCTGAGTGGTCGCGGTTCACGGGAACTTGCTGGATGTTGAATACAAGCAGCCGTCATTGGAGAGACCCGTCTCTTGAATGTTGTTTTAATTTTAGCTATAAAATTTTTTATAAAAACCCGCGCAGGCGGGAAACCAGCAGTATACTACAGAGTAGACTACTAGAGACTGTCTGTAGATATGTACTCTCTACTCTGCTGAGGACTGATAAGAGCGGCAGTTTCCGTTCCTTAGACCCGAAGAACCTGTAGTAAGAATCTCTATGGTCGTGGGCCACGCGGAATATGCGCCCAGTCGTCGTCCTTTGACAGGGATACTAGGTATGAATATGATCCCTCCATCAGCATTCAGTAATATCCAGCTCATTCGGGGTCCACTCTTGTCGCTTCAGTGGTGAATGCTACATTGGGGCCGGGGACTAACTACTAGGTTGAATCAATCTGGTCGATTTCTAGCTTCCCCAACCAAGACAACTTTTGTGGAACCAGTATCTGTCGTATCTGACACACCAAAGAAAAGGGGGGGGGCGGAAAAAAAAAGGACAAAAAGAGAGAGGATATCAGCTTCATGCATGATGACGAGCACAGACGAAGGAACACGTTTAACTCTAAACCCCAGAATTCCCTTAAAACAGCGCTAAATGAAAAGACCCAACGCCTAGTCCAAGTCGACAGGTTCCCCCGGGCTGATTTACTCGGCCGAGTTCCTCACAAAGCTGACCTGACAGTTCCCAAAGCTCGGATGACCTTTGAAGAGCTCATACCCTGCCGCAGCTGTCTTGATCGAATGAAATCGAACATAGACCTCCCCCGCTACGTGGCCATCCTCCACACTCTGAACGTAATTGTGATAGGCCGATCGCTTCAAGACACGTTGGGTCTCCTCCTTCAATGACCTCCGCAGGTTGCTAATGACCAGGGTCCGTGTGTAGCCTTGGTGGAAGATCAACCGATGCATCTCGGCCGTCATGGGATACGTTGGGGTAGGGACAAGCACCACATTAGCCACGAAAAGACCCAGGGCCAGTCCCTTGCGTGACGCCCAGGCGAATTGCAGCGCCTCGTGCTCATGAACAAACACGATGATTGCGCTGCTGTATCCAGTGATGGGCGTTGTGTTGAACAGAGATGCGGAGTAGATATCTCCGGTGACATGAGGCAATATCTGGTTGAGCGCCACATTCGTCGGAATCTTCTCAATCCGAACGGTGCGATACACATCTGTCTCCTTGGCTGCAGGGATATAGCGGAGGCCGTATTGAAAGATCCACAGATCCGAGACGGGCAGGCGGGAGAGGACATTCGGGCGATAGAAATAGGCGTTGAGTTCCTCCTGGTCATCCTCGAAGATGGTGCAGCCTGTCATGGCCCACCGGATCTTACCATCCCAGGGCACGGTCTGTGGTAGTCGCTGTTTCGGCTGGGTGGTGTTGCTATCCTTGCGTATTCGAGTGACGATGATAGCTTTCTTCAAACACATGTGTTAGAGACATTTTGTTTTAAGATACCAGGGGGGACACCTACTCGCTCCGGCTCCAATACCGGAATCATTAGATCCTCCAGACCGTCATCCAGCAAGCCTATACAGCCTGCCTTTAGCTGCGTGAGGCCAGTCCCAGGAAAGACCGGCCGTTTCTGAGGTGGTATTGGTTGCAATGCCGGCACTTTGATATCATCTAAGTGGCTGTCGAGGATATTGGAACACTTCCGGGGCTGAAGCCCAATGACAATTATTTCCTCCGAGGGCTTTGTGTTGCTATTGTTGTCGTCTAGTTCATTGTGTTGTTGTCCCTGGTGGCTTTCCTCTTTGGTCTGATTGTGGGAGGAATTGACTTCAGGGTGAGGTGATTGCGCCATTGCCATAAGCTGAGCCTCCAAATAATAGAATAAGATGACGAGAACAAACAGAATAGGCCCAAGCATTGTGAGATGTGCCTGGGGAGGATCGGAGATGAGGGGATTACAGACTTCCATTTTAGGAAAGGGTCAGGTGGCTGGAATTGTGCAGTGTCTGCAGAGATCAGGTATATAGAAACACTCTTCTCTCTGGGATTATAAGTGAGCTCTCATTGAGATAAAAGGTTATTATATGTGAGGTGAGGTGACTAGAAGTAATTAGTGAGGGCTAGCAAGTGAAGCTCTTTTCCGCAATGTTTTAACCTGTGTTGGAAGAAAGCTTTGTGAGTAAAATCTGAACTGAGAGTTCCGTCACAAAGAAAAAAATTAATAGGTGAGGTCTGTCTGGAGCATGACAAGGAAGTGATTGTTAACAAAGAAAGCAGTGTGGTGAAGCCAGGACAGATATCTCTCCTTGAATGGAGATTGATGAGCAAGCAAAGTCTCAGGCAACCTGGGGATGGAAGGTCTGCTTTAAGGCTTCTCTCAGCGCACTGCTGGTATCACAGGATTCAGAGTGAACAAGCTGTCAGAGAGGGATCATATGGGAGATGTAGAAGGAAGAGATCAGGATGCTGGGAGCTCAAGCCTTGAAGGCCTCCACGGTATGCTTCCCCCAAGCATCTCCTAGCCTCTTATTAAGAGTGAATGAGAAGGGAGAAATGTACCAGCATTACCAGCTGGGACGCAGGATGTCTTCCTAAAACAGTAGACACTGAAGCTTCACCCTCCGGTGAAATACCTTGAAAGCATACAACAACAGTCATTGTTCCTCTAGAATGCCTCAATATGAGAGTGAGTGTACTCTTCCAACTAAAGATAGTAGAATCCATTGTGGATAGAAAGGATAAGGCCTCAGTACTGAGCAGACCGATTACAGCACTTGGCTCTTCCACAGGGTTGCTAAGGCAAGACAATATTGTAGACATTACGGTGGACTATTTATATAAAACAGTTAAAATAGATTTTTACTATTATAGCGAACTTCTAGTCCTAAGCTTCTTGTTACTACTATATAACGAAAACTTCTCGATGAGGTTGGCATCCATCCTCAGCCGGGCCACCAGCATAAGAGCCATTAAGACGGCAGCTGTCCCACCCGCATAGAACGGCACGATGGAGCTCGCCCGGTCCGCATGCATGGCTGCAATCAAGAAGCCCGCAGTCGAATTCCCCAGCAGATCACCGCCAACACTCCACCCTCTGATGGCCATGCAAGCATTGTAGCAAGCCATGACGGCCGCATCGAATCAAGCTCCACGGGGGTGATCAAGCGGGCAGCCATCTCTCCCAGATGAAGTGATGTAGGCTCTGGCGAAACAGTAGATAGTAGGAGCAAACAGCTTCCTTCTCACTCCGACTTCAACACTAATCATAATAACATGGGTTTGAAAAGTTGATTGTACGAAGGACTCTCAAAGGGATGCTTCTCTACTTGCCAGCAGTCAAGATGAAAACGCTCCCCCAAGCTGGAGATAAGTTGGCGCAGACAGGGCCTGTGTGCTGAAAATAGTTAGCGCATGGGGAGATATCTTTGTTGAATAGAACTACTCAGCTCAAGAACTCCAAATAATCTAGATCCACCGGTGGAGAGATCAACTAGTCCAGAAGCCAGACGCCTTGATTCTTGATACAAAAGTAGTGGGATGATTGAATCGTGCTGGATCGACGGATCGAAAAAAAAAAAATTAAAAATATCGCCGATTGTGGGGCACCCATCAACTCACACAAAACAAAACAACCGCAAGACACAATAGACTACTATCAAGATAGCCCACCATGCCGAAAAGCATCCTAGAAATAGTCAGAGACTGCGACAAGTAAGTTATCCCCTATTTCTCAAAGATAAATACATCACTGACCACACGTCCCCCCCCAGCTTTCCCTACAACCAACCAGGCGACACAGCCGCCTACGAGCAACAGCTCTCCACACTATGGAAATTCTACCTCCCCAATGACCCGCGACCCCACGGGTACCTCGTTGACTGGGTTGTGCAGCGCATGCCCTGGACCGAGGACTTCCACGTGCTCCCCTCCCCGCACAAGGAGATCCACCTGCTGCCGCCGGCGTCGGCATCCGACACCGACGACCCAGCGAGCAGCAGCGGGCCCTGCGACTCCTGGACGGAGCGGTGCGAGCGCAGCATCGACGCGCTGCTGGATGCGGCGCGCGCCACCGCCGTCTTCCCGAAGCTCGGCCGGAAGCGCGCGGACTCGGAGCGGTTCCCCATCGTCGGGGCGCGCGTGCCCGTGAGCATGGACCGCGCCGCTATCTCGCTGTTCGGGATCATCGGCCGCGGCGTACATTTGACGGTATATGTGCGGACGAGCGCCGGGCTGAAGTTCTGGGTGCCCCGGCGGAATGAGCGCAAGGCGACGTATCCGGGCTTGCTCGATAATACGGTTGCCGGGGGTGTGGCGGCTGGGGAGGCGCCGTTGGAGTGTTTGGTGCGCGAGGCGGAGGAGGAGGCTGGGATGGATGCGGGGCTGGTGCGGCAGGCGCGCGCAGCGGGGACGGTAACGTGGTTGAACGTCAGTGATGAGCGGGCGGGCGGGGAGCCCGGGTTGATGAATCCGGGGTTGCTGTATGTGTATGATTTGGAGGTTGGGCCGGAGGTGGTGCTGCGGCCTGTGGATGAAGAAGACGTGGCGGAGTTTTGTCTGATGGATGTGCAGGAGGTGCTGGAGGCGATGGCCGAGGGGAGGTTCAAGCCGGCGAGCGCGAGTGTCATGGTGGATTTCTTCGTGAGACACGGCTTGATCACCGCCGAGGACGAGGAGGACTACGCGGACATTGTGTCCCGACTGCATCGGATTCTGCCGTTTGCTACGAGTCCGGGAAGTCCGGGACCAAAAAGGTCTTGACTAATTTTACGACTAAGCGAAGCATTGGGATGACTATCGCGTTGTTAAGCGGTTTGAGAACTGTGATCCGGCTGACCCCTCGTAGACTAGAAAATAGCCGGAAGACTACCCCAAGAACTCCCCCTGTGCCAAAGTATACCAGGGTATATCCTCATCCCAGCAACGCTGCATGAGAGCACGAGCATTCTGAATCTATTGAAGTCGGTCAGCTAGAGCACTGCTGGGCCAAATGGTATCCCCACGCACCTGTTTCATGCCGTTCTTTTCTAGGCTCTGGATCCGCTCCATGATGCTAACCCTCCGATGAGAGTCCCGTGTTTCGCAACCCGCAGTGAACAACGGAAATAAGGCACCCGCCTCCGCGGCACCGCCGGGTTGGATCTGCTCCAGCGCGTCCAGCAATGCAGTCAACGCTCCCGTGACGGCAGAGGACGCAGATGAGTTGCACAGTACGCGGCGATAAAGGTGCAGCAGTCCAGCATATCGGAATGCTCGATCGATAGCGAGAGTGTCTGCCGATGCCAAGTGTTGCTGATGGCTATTGCTGACGTGTGCGAGCATATCGTCAACGTGAAACTCCGCAAGCAGAGATTCAGCTGCGGCGATCACATCCGGTGACGGTCTCCAGCTAGGGTTGAAATTCCCCAGATCATCAAAGCGGCCGCTATCGCACTCGTAAACCAATTTACCCACTTGCGACAAGAACATACTCGTCTTCGGCGTATATCCGGTGAAGCAGTCCACGACGTCTTCATCATTTGCTCCAGGTGGACAGCATGTGTTGATAATGGACTGGTACATGAACAGAGGGGCCTCGTTCTGCCGACAGGAGAGAGCCCCGAGAACATCGATATACCCCAGCCAGCGCGCAAGGAAGGCCCCCACTCGGTTTCCGGCATACGCCATCTGCACTCCGCGTGCGAGAAAAAGATCACGGGCGAGCTTCAGGTGGCTCTGCCATGGTATGGGCACCTCGAAAGTGGTTGGCGAGATGATCTTCAGAGACAAGAGCATGATTGCGGCGGCAAGATGGTTGTCCGTGATATTTTTGTCTGAATCTTCCAAAGCCATGCGGAGAGTCGGGAAGACATTGCTGACCCAGTGTGCTATCCTGTTGGCAGGTTCGGGATGGTTCAGATATCTGGCGCGATGACTGGCGGAGTAGGCTAGAGCCAAGTTCAGGATGTTGGAATCACTAATGGCCACTATTTATCTGTCAGATGCGGACAATGCAGCAGACGAAAGGAAAACGTACTCGATGGTAGGACAGAAATGAATGGGTTGTCACCACAATCGTGTGCAACAAGCATCTTGGCTGTGTGGTTTAGGAAATGATGAAAGTACATCAGGTTAATAGGAGTTTCTACCAATGTAGACGGCACTGGTGACAGATATCGCGGGATATTGATGGGAACAGGGGCCGCGTAGTACCCATAGCTGGTGACGCGCGGAGATTCCTGGTCCGAGGGGTCTGTTTCCACCGTCACATGAGTTTGATGCCCCGGATTGATCAGATCCAAAGCATAATTGATATCAATGGCGGAATGGTCATTCATATTGTTGAGATCCAAGTCAGGACGGCCATGATCCAAGCCATAATGGTCTGTCACAGTGGTCAGGTAGACGTGCCATCTCTGCTCCGGGGTAGGATGCCCGGCGGGCGGGTTGGTATTACGATCAATAATGACGCCTGGAGATGATATCTGAGGGGACTGGGCAGGAACCTGCCGATAGCTTGACATGCACTCTGAGATTGGAAGAGGGTCATTCATGATCTTATTGAAGTATGTGTCGGTATGACGGCCATTGTCGATCTGCAAAGCGGGGTCGACTGGAGGTACGCTGGACAAGCTGGAACAGTTCACAGAAGATCTTCTCTCCGTCTGGATTACTTCCTCGGCGACAGCAAAAGGATGAGCGATGTGGATTGCATGTGAGACTATTCCCAATCCAGGTTGATCGCTCGCTCGATTTGACTGCACCAAAGAAGCATGGCCTATAGATGGATCTGGTCCCATTGTTGACTGCGGCATGAAGGAGACCGGCGTGACGGAGGAGCCAACAGAGAAGTTAAGAGTGGCAAAGGATCCAATACTAGAACTGGTATCCGCTGGCGAAGGGTAAGAGATGTCTTCCGTGGCATGGGAATATGCGAGATGGGGAGAGAACGCCTCCTGGGGCATCGCCATGATCCTCGGGGACAGCTCTGGCCATGGGCTTATTGGATCGTTCATCCGTGAGGGGAATTCAATTCCTACTGCGTTCCTACCATTCATCTGGCTGGAATTATTGATTAATCTCCCAGAGAGAGCGGGAGAGGATGCAGTTTCAGGGACGCTATGTAGACTTCTAGAGCGAGACGCCTCTGGTGCCACAATTCCTCCATGCGCCATGTCCCATAGCAAGGTCTGCGAACTTGTTTCTCGCGGGCTGTTGAATGGTTGGCTGGATTCCAGGGAGTCCCTTGAAGCCGTCTCAGAGGACAAGAGAGCCAAAGAGAGGAAATGACCAGAGTGCCCGCTGGACTGGGAACTTGGAGACCCCACGGAGGATTTTCGCCTTGTTCTTCCCTCCCAGTTCAGCCTGATACTATAGTCACAAGGCTCGTTTTGACGCCTGCAGTTAAGACAAGATGGTTTCTCTTCACCACTGGTGGCCGCATCTCCATTAGCAACGATATAGCTTTCAATGTGGAAGCGAAACGGGAAGACTCCCTACCATTTGACTTTGCGCGCTTTGCACGGCCTGGATCTCCGTTTATTAAGCAAATGTCCGCTCTATGTCTTGGGATGGGGCACTTACCAACACCCTTTACGGGATCTTCGTTTTGGCTCTGGCGCGCCAGGCCTCCTCGGACGAGGCATTGCACTTCAGCCGCGGGTAGAGATATTTGGCTGCGTGCAAAGGTCCGATGAAAAATAGCAGTAGCGACTGGATGAATTGACGGCACGTACTCTGCAAAGTATCATCGCCATCCGGATACAATGATACCTCACGAAACTGGTAGATGATTGATCGGTAGCTTTTTCCGTCGATGCAATGATTGATTCCAACTGGCTAGATAGCGATAATCAATAAAACACCCACACCTAGTGTTCGTCCTCATCGAGGAGTGGGATGGATTGAGACCAAGATACGTTAGTATAAGTATGACGGTGTGGCCTACGTCGTTAGTCTGACAAGCAAATAGATCGCTGACGGGGATGATAGTGATGATGATATCAGATGATGATGATGATGATGATGATGATGATGGTAAGTAGGGAGAAGAGATGAGCAACAACGGAGAAGAATCAAAGCAGCGAGACACCTCGATTGACGATTCAACAGCACGCGAAAAAGCGGAGAAGCTGGACCAGTCCAAGATATGCAGAAAGTTAGAATATGCGTTACAATCGGTCTAATCGTACTTTGGAAGCCCAGACAAGTTGATAACAACGCCCGCATGTCTTAGTTAGGAACCTAGGAGTAACATAGTTGAACTGATTATCGGCTGTTCTGATCAATCGTGTTCCGCTCTGTGTTCCCCAGGTGGAGCTGACGATAGCCGGCATCGAGTCTCTACTACTCTCTAGACCAGGAACGACCAAGCGTGTCTGAGACTCTGGGAGATGCTGATAAGGCCGCGCTGTCATTAGTCAATGACGCCGGCCAAGTTCGGCAGCATGGTTTTTCCGGCTACCGTCGGGCCGGTCGGATTCCGTGAAGAACGAGGCACTTAAGTTATGAACTTAATTATTAGTAAGATGAATAAAGGATTGGATACCTATGCCCAGGATCCAGGATGGCCATGATGGGTCAACTGGCGTCATCTCTGATTAGCATTGCAAATTTGTATAGAGAGTTCTTCATACCTTCATCTTCATCACTTGATATGACCTCCTTTTCTTAGAACAAACAACAAATAAACAAATAAATGGCTGCATCTTTGATTGCAAAGCATCCTGTACAACGGATGTCCAATCCATCCAGAGGCTTCTCTGCTCTGGTTCATGTGAGCGCCTGCTGCTCCCTTGCGCCGGTGTTCCATGGCTGACTCCCAGGACTTAAAAGTTGATGGGGTTGACGAGCTTTATTGGGTCATTCAAGTTGTAGGTGCTATTCTCTTCCTTTATATAGGGGAATTCCCACAACAGAAATCCCTCAGAATCTCATGGTGGACGAGACTGATATGGTTATCATTGGACTAATAATACCTCAGTATGCATGACAATCCCAACCGAGTGTAAGCCTTACCCAACGCCATGGAGCCGGCAAATTCCCACATATTGATCGCTTGGGTGCTCAATATTCAGTAATAATGAGGCCTACGGGTGGCATTTCCAGTACTTGACCGTGATTGGTCTCGCCTTGTCGACTATCACCTTTGCTATCGGCCTTCTGGCAGATGTGACTTTGTCTCCTCGCCTGTTCCTAGTCAAGAATCTCTTGTCGATATGTTGTGCTCCCATGGAAGTACTCATCAGTATTCTGTACTGGGGTCTTCGTATAGTCAGTTGTCGGGAGAGCCTTAGCCCTCGAGTACGCATCGCTAAGATACAGTTCAGATCGACAAGCAACTCGTCGTACCGGATTGGGCCTATCTCCCAATGCATGCTGGTGAGCCTGACCTTCCACTCTTCGATCATTCCGATTGGTCTTCTTGGATGTGTTAAACGGACAATCAGATATTGGTTTCCATGCCGTCCCTTCCATGGTTTTGTTGATTGATCTTCTCTTCCTCTCGCCCCCATGGACAATCACTATTCTCCCAGCCTTGGGCCTCTCTAGCGCAATCGCTTTTGGATACTGGTTTTGGATTGAGCGGTGCTACAAACACAACGGCTGGTATGTCATGATACGCACCTACCATTAGCGAATGATGACTGACTGACCAGGTATCCCTATCCCATCTTCGAGCAAGTGCCTTTCGAAGGTCGAGTGGGACTCTTCGCGCTCAGTGCTGTCGTCATGGCGCTGAGTACTGCAACTCTGAAATGGCTCTATGGGCGCATCAATGGCTTTGGGACAGCGACGAGACCCCGTTCTCATCCCGCTGCTCTGAAGCAGAATGGTATCCATTGATCGCCACGGGTCCTTCATACAGCTGAACTACCAACTAATAAGGTCATGATCGTACAAAATCCCCCCAAAGTGAGCCTATGATCATTCTCTTCTTGCAGAAATTGTACATCGTCGCATCTATCAAAGACCTACATAGATACTCAACGCAATTATGCATAAAATTCCTCGAATTCAATTGCAGAGACCAACCCAATAAAATTATATATTTAACTCACGTCGCTGGAGATTCAAGTATGCATCGTAATCTAGAGTATCAGCGTGGTTGCAGACACCCTCAATATAGATCACGGGAGCCATCACATAGAGTCAGCCTGATCGATTCAGCACGCAACTGTTGTACTGATCCCAAAGATGTCCAGGCGTAGATGAGAAAATGGGAATCTAACTGTGACCTCACAGTGCAAAAGCTCTGGTTCCACTTCCTGCTTACATAACCTCCGGTAGCTTCTCCCGCCTGTTCTCCGAACCTCTTCAGCAACCATCAGTCTCGCGACCACAAGTCTCTTTCTACATTCCGGCAGCACTCACCATGCATCTCACCTCAATGAACAGCACACTACGCACCGCCGCTCTCAGCAGTCGGTTTTCCCTAGCGGCCTCAGGACCCCTTCCTGCCACAACCCCATTGTTCCAATGCTGCCAGAAGCTCTCGCCCAGACCACAGGCCCGGCCTTCCAGCACATCAACCACACAATTCAAGGCGCTCAAGCCATCGGCACGCCCTCAGAAGACCATCACTCCTATTATTCGCAACACCACCGCTTTCCGTCTGAACTCCACTGCCACAAATGCCTCTCACATCCCACCTGCGAAGCTCGACTGGAATACCTTCTTCAAGCTCCGCGCCTCTCGCCGACGATACTCCCTTGGCTCGTCGATCATCGCCTCGATGGCCAGCACCATCATCGGGGTGCAGGTGCTCTCTGAGCAGGATCTGGAATCCCTCGGAGCGCAGGTGATGGGTCTGGACCCCTTCGTTGTGCTGGGCTTGGCCACTGCGGCATGTGGTGCTGTCGGCTGGCTTGCTGGTCCGTTCCTGGGGAATGCTGTTTGGGGACTGGTATATAGGCGATATAGGCCTGCTGTTGCGGTGGTAAGTCCCCGAGGCTTGACGTGCTGAGCTGAACTCTAGCTAATATCTTTACAGAAAGAGAAGGAATTCTACGATAGAATCAAGCGTTTTCGTGTTGATCCCTCGTCCAACTCGATTGCCAACCCTGTGCCGGACTACTATGGTGAAAAGATTGGCAGCGTGCAGGGTTATCGGCAATGGCTGAAGGACCAAAGGGCCTACAACCGCAAGAGACGCAGCTTCATTGTCTAATGTGATGAATCAACCTAGCCTGTCATTTATCATTGATAGGTCTTATATGTCAGCCGGCCTCATGTCTTCAATTGAGATTTTTTGCTCTGTACCGAGTTGGATGTCTGCCATTGAGATTGAGCGATCAGGCACACCCTTTGTCCATGCACGGAGGCTATGTATCACCATCAGCAATAGCATTTTCATTTGTCTGTGTAAACCAAGCCTTCCTAAATCTACTGCAGTAACCCATCTCCATCTAACAGGCCCGGTGCCTATCATCCTGTGATGGTCGGCGACATGCTGCACGGGCGGTATCTCTTCATGGACAAGATGGGCTTTGGAGGCTATTCTACCATCTGGCTCGCCTAGGACACACAGGTAAAGCAATACGATGCTGTCAAAAATCGGCCTAGTGGATGTGCCTCTACACGAAACTAATATTCTGCAAGCTCTCTCGTCTTCCCCTGCGTGTTCCAGGCGTGAGTCCATACGTTCCAGCCCCCTAAGATGAGTTCAAGGTGCATGGTCGCAATAGAACACATGCATGTTCCAAGATGGCTCCTGCGTGACGCGATCTCAGAGATACGTCAATTAGCTCTCTCTTTCCTCTTAAGGTTGCACGGGCCCTGTCGGGCGGTCTTGCGTTGGCTGTTGTGTATACTCATTCAGAAGGCTTCGTCCATGGAGCCTTGGGTATCGCCTAATCTCGACGGAGGGTTGAAGGCAGAATAGGCTCCTGAGTAAAGTGGGCTACAGCGCAAGTCGTGTACGATAGAGGTCTGTTTCTGCAAGTCATAGTTGGATTGAGCCACAGATGTCTCAACATTCGTCTTGATATAAGTCTACAGATACGGTGTTCGACAATGTAATCAAGTGGCTGGTTCACCATGTTTTGCTGATCGCCAGAAGGATTGGCTCGGAAGATATGACCACTGAAGATCCATCTGTTCACAGCTTGGAAGGCTCTTTAAGAGGCTTCACTGGCGGGTCGATATTCACCTCCGACCACCACGGATAGTTAGCTGGTCCATCCTGCTCCAACGTGGCCTGAAAATTCGGCTTCCGTTTCTCAAAGAACGCCGAGACGCCCTCTTTCTGATTCCTGCGCAAGTTAGTAGCACTCTCCACGCAACACATGCAATGCACATCACCGTACAGAGCTCCGAACATATGGTACAGAATCCCGGACTCGAGCAGATGCGCCTCTTCGGCGGAGTCGGAGCAGCGCCACATCAGGGCGCGGTTCAGTGCGGATGCCATGGGGCTGACGTTTTCGGCGATATCGGTTGCGAGTTCTAGTGCTCGAGGCAAGACGCGTGATTTGTCCGGGAGGGTTTCCGCGAAAAGACCGTCAAAGTGCTTCGAGGTGGAGGGGAAGACGCCGCCGGTCGAGACGAGGTACATGGCGCGGGAGTAGCCGATGAGACGGGGGAGGAAGTAGGAGGAGCAGGACTCCATGAAGATTCCGCGGCGGGCAAAGACAAAGCCGTATTTGCTGGATGCGTGGGCGATTCTGGGTCTTTCAGTACCTGCACTGCATGACAGGAGCGCGGCTGGAGGGGAAGAATGTGGTTGCGACTGACCTGATTGCAGCAGGAAGGGTCATGGTCATGCCGACACCTACAGCGGAACCCTGCATCGCCGCGATCGTGGGCTTGCGGCATCGGTGGATTGCGAGGGCCACTCGACCACCACTAGAACGCGCGTCGGCCATGGATTATTCTCTCTGTTTCAGACCCAGAGAAAAGAAGGACAGACCTATCCCGATGATCCGTCGTCCTCACTCGTTCCCGTCCTCCACCGAAGCCGATCTCGAGATCCGCTCCTGCGCAGAAGGCGTTTCCGGCGCCGGTCAGAACGACCGCCTTGACGCGCTCGTCCAGGTCAAACATGCCGAACACCTTCTCCAGGTTCTCGGCCATGATCTGCGTAAAAGCATTGTGTTTCTCGGGCCGGTTCAAAGAGACGATCACGACCGGGGTTGCGGTCGGGGAGCCTGCTGGGTGGTGGGCGACTTTGATGTGCGTGGTGGGAAGGGCCTCATATGAGGTTGGGATGGTAATTGGGGGTGGATTGGGATACATTGTCGATGTCCAGTCAGTTGCAGGTAGGCGAATGGATGCGAATCAGGTAAAGGCAGTCAATATCGCAAGATTCAATGTTATGTTAGAATCGAGCAACCTGCAAGGCATTCCCTGATAAAGTGTCCTTGGTGAATATTGATACTCTCAAAATGGGCTTGGTGATGGTATCCCCAAGTATGTCACGGATGAGCTGCCTCGGTAGCCCGGCTGTGGTTGCCCCGCATAGCGAGTGGAGAAATGATCCGGGGTGCATTCTTAATCCAGTATCCAATAGTATCGTCTTACTAGATAGCATTCTTGTGATAGCTGTTGGCGAGGATGGAAGAAGATTCTATTATCAACAGTGGATGCCGAATCCATGTACGGAGTATCCCACTCCAGTTCCACATCTAAACACACCACTACCAGCGTCGGATGTCTGGGTTTAGAGCAATGGAATAGGCTATTGCACAGGATGAACAAGGGTCTCTGTGCATCACAGATCGCATGCATCGTGCAACCAGTATCGGATCCAATCAAGTCGGAATCAATTTAGGCATTCATGAACTTACTGAGGTCCTCTATCATCATCCGTAAATAAGGGACATGTTTTGATACGATTGGAGGGGCAGAACATAGGCTGAGAGATACAAAGTACAGATACTACAGGACTAAAGTTTAATCCTATCAGGGGTCCCCCAATGTGAACTAGCGGTGTGTGTTACCAATAGTGTATGAGCCCAGGCTACAAATACACGTTGCTGCCTACCACTATAAAACTAGCATTACCCTATCCATGCTTCACCCCTTTTCATAGAAGATATATCCATGCTCACAACTCATCGTGTCTAATCCCTCCAACGCTCATCTCTTTGCCCAAAACTCACCCTCTTCCATAATTCCTACCCCCAGCTCTTGCACTAGCGTAGACGGTTAACGCAGGATGCAGAACTTACTACGAGACTCACCAAGCTCATTACCAGGGGCAACCAGGTGGATTTGCAGGAGACTGCTCGGCAAGGACAATTCGACCTCCTCTGATCACTAGCATACAACAGGACATGGGGTATCAGTCAAAGGTACTGCCAGAGTGGGTATTCCATTGATTCTTGTGAGCGGCCTCTGCATGATCTCTGGTACATCTATTACCAATACAGCAGATATGTCTCTCATGAAAGCTTTGAGCAAGATAGGGGTGTCCTCGACATCGTCCGTACTCGCGGACGAGGACCTCTAACGAGACCAGCACCGGGCGGTGGCGGCATTGATATTGCTAGAACTTGTGATGGTGCTGTCTGGAACGACCTACCATTCCTTGCTACGGGCATATCAAACTTTTGGATCAACGACTGCGCGGCAATGGGCGCAGAGCAAGGACCCGCGGCCTCTTGGTAGCTCTAACGATGTGGAAGACGAAGATCCTCGCCGACCAATGCACGCACTTACGATTGCCGCCTTACTCCCATCTGCATGTGCCTGGATCGGAGAGGCCGGGCAGAACATCATACTCCTATCGGAAGTATCTTGGAACGTGGCCGAGTTTGCCGCGAAGGCCATTGATACTATGTTGGATGATGTGAAAGAGAGAAACTCTATGATTCTCAGGGTGTTTGAGACTGCAGGCGGTGCTGTTCACCAGGACAAAGACTTTTGGGGTCTAAAGAAGAAATAGTAGACCCAACACGACCAGACCCAAGATGAGATCCTAGTTTCCAAGGACTACTATGGGTATCTATTGTTATTTCTCTTTTGGCCTTTTTTTTTTTTTTTTTTAATACTATACCGCATATCTTGAATTTGATCTGACTGTTGTTGACGTTGTCGTTGGAAAGAAGTTCCTTTCGCGAGGAGAGGTACTGCTGAAGGCCAAGGTAGACGATTCAATGAAACCAGTTGACCGTATCCCTCCATGCAAGAGCCTTTCCGAGGAAACTTGATTTGAACTGAATCAACCGCCAGCAAAGAGAACACACCTGACTTCATTGTTTCAGAAAATCCTCTGACAGGCCAATCATAGAACATGACACATCATCCTGATAATGCTGACTTGCAATGTATCAAACGATGAATAATAATGGATCCAATGTATTGTGTTTTATAATCAAATGTGGAATATGGATCCCCATCAGTGCTAGCTCTGGTGGGCTATAGAGGCTATGGGTGGTCCCTAAACCATATTGGCCCATCCACATTGGTTAATTTGGCAGCCATGGCGCCCTAATCTCACCTGGCCAATCAATCAAGGTCTTTGTACCCAAACTAAGACACGCTTGGCTTTGGGGTCGTATTGCTTGTTTGGCCATTGGTGATTTTTTTCCCCAAGTGGGCTCAAAGTCTGAGTTCCTACTCCCTGAGTCTTAGTAGTACTAGTAGTAAACAGTACCTACTAGCTACTACCTAGCGCCTACTAAGTACCTAGAATCTAACTAATTACCTACCTAAGTACTCCGTAGATTATTATTGAATTGGGTTATCTAATCATCTCATTACAAAGGAGGAAAGTCGACTCTAGTCTATGTGCTTGGTGTGATTTTCGCACTACTATCTCACCCAGAACTTCCTTCCATTTTCTGACCTATCTATCCATCAACACATCTTCACCCAAGGTCCCATCATGTTGGAGACGAGATGCCGTTCTTCAACAAGAATCAAAGGCTTCTTCTAGTCGCCTTTGCCGTCTTCTATTTTCTCCTCCTTATCTTCTGCCACTTCAATTCCGCACGCGACCCTGGTTCGTTCTTCTTTCGCCCTGATGAAGGCTATCGACCGCATTATAGCGTCAGGAGAATCAAAGAGTCCCTCGATTTCGTATCCCGTTTCAATCAGTCCAGCACGTATCCCGAAGCATCCGCGAAGGCCCCCACTTCGGCTGAAGGCGGCTCGAGCATCTGTGCCGGCATTGTCACCGTGAAGCGGCCCTTGCAGCAGAATCTCGACGTCACCGTTGGTTCGCTGCTTGATGGTCTCTCGGCGAAGGAACGTGCAAACATCGTAATCCATGTGCTCTTTGCGCTCAGCGCTCCTTCGGATCACCCAGACTTTAGGCAACCATGGACTTCCAACGTCATAGACCGCGTTCTCACCTATAAAGATCTCGGCGCTGACGAGCAACAAATGGAAGAGTGGGAGAGAAAGAAGAATATCAAGGAAAAGTCGCTGATCGACTATCAGCTGTCCCTGAGATCATGCTACGAGGATACCAAGGCCCGGTGGATCCTCCTGCTGGAAGATGACGTGGTGGCACAACGGAGATGGTACCGTCATACCCTGAAGAGTCTGGAACAGGTCAAGCAATGGTCAGATCGCGGGACGGTCAAGGACTGGCTGTACCTGCGCCTTTTTTATACCGAAAAATTCCTCGGTTGGAACTCGGAGAATTGGCCCACTTATCTGATCTCCAGCGTTGCGGTTGTTTCAGCTATCGCTTTGACAGGTGTCTGTGCACGACGGCGGACACGACCCATGCAAGGGATATTGACCAACACATTCCTTGCCGTCATCTGTCTGCTATGCGTCCCACTTCTCATCAGCCTGTATTTCTTGGCCGGCCGTGCGACCGTTCTTCCGATGCGGCCTGGGGTGCATCTTATGAACAGTCACGGTTGTTGCTCGCAGGCACTGCTCTTCCCTCGAGAAAAGGCTCCTTTGCTCATCAATCACCTGAAAGAGATCCAGACCGTCAGACCCAAGCCGGTGGATAGTGTCATTGAGATGCTCGCAGATCAGAAAGGGTTGGACAGATTAGTCATATCGCCCTCCCAGATGCAACACGTCGGCGCGGCCTCATACAAAGAGAACCGCCAGTCTTATGACTGGGGCGGACCGTATACTGTCAAGGGTGCCCATGGCGTGTGGAGCATGGGCTTTGAGAAGGCCTATGATTGAGGCATTGGGGGCCCAAGTCCTTGGATGGAGCCCGTATATCCGGGAGCTGATATCAAGCCGGCTGTCGCAGGATAACCTAGCTGCACCACTCTCATTTCAAGTTCGAATAATCTGCGGGTGATCAAAAATGTCGCTCTGAAGCGTACCACCATCTTCAATTTCGATATATTCTTGTTTCGACTAGACTCCAAAGAATTGATGTCAAGAGATGTCGCCATCTGATGAGCATGCGGACCAAAACGAGTTCCTTTCTCGCAGCTTTTTTAAGGTGATAACAATCTCCGCTGGAACATTATGCCGCACCAATTTCATGTTTGGAGATATCGATTCTCATATTCAGACCACTGTCAGCAGGATGACAGTTCTTGTGTGACCCTCAGCGTTGGGTCCATACCAACAACTTGTATCCATAATTGGGAGGCTCTACAGAAGTGATTCCCTGTCACAGTGGGAGAGGCTGACTTACATGGATCTGGAGTTCTCATCCCATGATCTGGAATGTTGTGCACAACATGATGAAAGATGCATAGCCCCCATTATGCAATATAGTTGTACAGTACAAACATCCGATTGCCGGACTTTATGAAATTATAGATATGGGAGATCAATTTTATAGAAACAAATGTCTCTCAAAGATTCCTCACCGCTCCAATCAAGCTCGATTCCATCTTCAATCTCATAGAGCACTACCTTAGACATAGTATATTCTCCCCTGGGCAATGGGGACATCCCTCAAGCTGTCAACATAAAGTGATTAAGGTGTGGGCAATGAATCAGCGGATCCATAATCCAACTACAGCAGACAAATTGATTGGATTAGCCGGATATGCCGAGTGGATAACTGAATCAGTGTTGACAATCAACTGTCTTCGCAATGCTCCACTATAAACTATGTTGTGTTTGAAAATTGGAGTAGATATGGAGGTAAAGCTATGGCAGAACACCATCGCCATGCACTATCCGGAGGAGGTGGCTTTGTTAGGACTCTCCGATGTCTAATTCAGATCTGAGAGCTTGGATGGTGCTGAGAGCCTCGTTACTGCATGATAATCAAGGATGATTTGATCCATAGTTATGCATTTATGCCAGTGGACCAGCCTTATATCAAGGTCAGCGTCTGAGCATACTCGCCGGGATGACCCTCTTATAAGATTCTTCGCTGATCATCCTGGGACTTGTAACTTGCTGAAAATCGTTCTTCTTGTCACCTCGGTGCCTTTTCCAACCTTCTCTTTCTGGCTACCTGACTTCAAAGCTTCTTTTCTTGATCATCCCTAGCGGAGATTTCGTTGGAGCTCTACCTATCAGTACTCATTGGCATCCTTACTGAGGCTTTGATCACTCCCGCCTGCTTCTACGCCACTTTTCTTTTCTATCTGTTATCTATACATCGATAAATCCTCGCCTGCAACATGAACGATCTCGAAAAGCAACGACCGCCGAGCCCCTCGCATAGCCACCGAACGGAGTACTTGTCCTCCTCACCCCCTCAGTCGAGGCATTCTCCCACTCACGAACCACGCGACTCCCCGGAGCCTGAAGTGAAGCGCTTTCCAGAAACAGACCTCGCGCGCGGGGTTGTAGGATGGGACGGACAAGACGACCCTGAGAACCCGCAAAACTTCTCCGGGGGGCAAAAATGGAGTCTGCTGGCGCTCATGAGCTCGATCACTCTCATCTCGCCTCTTGCGTCTAGCATGTTCTCTCCTGCTGTGGAATTTGTGGCTGCTGATCTAAAGGTCACTGATCCGACGCTACTGTCCTTTAGTGTAACGGTTTTCTTGTTAGGATATACTGTGAGTGACGGGACTCCTTGCGGACATAATCGGGGAATATGAGGACTGATGCACAGACCTAGTTCGGTCCTTTGCTGATTGCCCCTTTAAGCGAGATCTACGGCCGGAGAATCCTTCTTAGCTTTGCCAACTGGTTCTTCGTCGTCTGGCAAATTGGCTGCGCCCTTGCCCCCAATATCGCTTTATTGATTGTTTTCCGATTGTTGGCGGGAATCGGCGGTGCTGGTTGCATTACCCTGGGTGCCGGTTTGATTGTGGACTTGTTCCCGGTCGAGAAGCGCGGAATGGCCACATCGATCTGGAGCATGGGTCCGCTTATTGGCCCTGTGGTTGGGCCCATTTGCGGAGGGTTCATCGGCCAGCAGATCGGCTGGCGCTGGATATTCTGGATCTTGTTGATCGCAAGCGGTGCCTTGTCTTTCGGCATTGAGTGTTCGAATCGGGAGACGTACGCTCCCGTCCTGATAAGATGGAAAACAGCCAAGTTGGCCAAAGAGCTGGGTCGGACAGACCTGCGCAGCGCTTATGAACCTGAAGGCGACGATGTTTCTGCGGCTGAGACTGTGAAGCTGGGTTTGAAGCGACCCATGCTGATGTTCTTCAAGTCACCCATCGTCTTCCTGCTCTCCGTCTACATGTCTCTCGTCTACGGCCTGCTCTACCTCTTCTTCACCACCATCCCCGCCGTCTTCACGGCCCAGTACGGCTTCACCACGGGTCTCTCTGGATTGGCATATCTCGGCATCGGCATCGGATTTTTCATCGGTCTCGCCATCATTGCGCTCACGAGCGATAGGATTGTGATGAAGCTAACCGCGCAGAACAGCGGCAGATTCGAGCCCGAGATGCGACTGCCCACCATGATCTTCTTCTCGTGCTTCCTCCCCGTCAGCTTCTTCTGGTACGGCTGGTCAGCAGCCAAGCATGTCCACTGGATCGTGCCGATCATCGGCATGTGTCCGTTCGGCATCTCCATGATGGGCCTTTTCATGCCCATCCAGACGTACATCATTGACTGCTATCCCGCGTACGCGGCGTCCGCAAGCGCCGTCCTCACTGCCACGCGTTCGCTGGTAGGCGCGTTGCTCCCGCTCGCTGGACCTGAGATGTTCAAATCGCTAGGGCTGGGCTGGGGAAACTCGCTGCTCGGGTTCATTGCTGTGGCGTTTGTTCCGATACCTATCTTCTTCACCGGATATGGCAAGGCTGTGCGGGAGAAGTTCCCTGTGGATTTCAACGGGAAGAAAGGATGATCAGTACCAACCCTATCAGATTTCCAGGGGTATTGCTGGTTCTTAGTATAGCAAGAGAGAATACTGCACATATGTCCGATGTTATATTTACTTTGTGCTTATATATAGGGTGTCGCTGTAACTCCTCCCTCTATATGTTCCAAGCTAATAAATTGGCAAGTGACTTATGTAAATCTGACTTTTTTGAAACAATTAGCTGTTTGTGTCGTACCGTCTTGCATAGACAACATCGTATCCGTTGGCGTTGCCATGATGGATGCCAATTTCATGTAGGTAGTCATTGAACAGATGGGCAATGGTGTCTCGCGGCCTCGCCACTAAGATCGAAGCATTCGAAGCAGGCTATGATGAATGACAGCACAACTTATGCAGAGGATTATGCATTTGCATAATCTGACCCACAGCAGATCCACAAATCTAGAACCACGGAGTAACTACCTATGGGGTAGGCGTGGTAAATGACATGAATTTTCTGAAAATGTCATAATGTCAGATGACTGAAGCTGCTTTTTTCCTGACAAATGCGGAATGTCACGTGAAGATAGTGGATACCATGGTTTCGGCCAATAGGAGAGCAGGCTTCCCGAAATCAACTAATCAAATCATGTAGATTGTTAAGTCACCTAACTTTAGCAGTTAACTCAGTACAGAGTACTGTAGGTAGGTAAGGTAGAGTTAACTAGGAGATATCATCACACCCCATCAGAATATATATTGTTGTAAGATGATTATTGTATACTAACCAGCAAAAATGGGTGGCAGCTCTAGGAGGCATGGATTGAATGATGCTCTTATAAAAGAGAATTTTGAACTGACATACATCGATGATAAGGGTAAATTTGTATGGAATTTAATGGATCTTGATTCATTTTAATGTTTAATAACATAGCTCCGCTGGCTAAGAAGCCAAAGATAGATAGTTCTCAGGCTTCTCAGCCTATTGAGCTACTGCAGGTGCTTGGAATGAAAATTGGATTCTACACCTAAAATTTGATTAGATTCGCTCTCTCCTAGGCCTGAAAAGCTTCAGATTTTGGTGTAAAGTTCGGTGATTTCTACTACTTCTTTTTGTATTGTGGGGGTAAGTCACCTAAGTCATATCCTCCCCTTATTTCACTAGTAAATTTCACTTTTTTTCTGACAACAATACTTTTAGCTGCAAAAAAGGTCAAAATGACGTGTCATTTTGTCATTTTGTCATTTAAAAAACCTGCCCTACTACGGGGTAACGTCCTGCAGATAGATAGCAGGCACCAGCACCTTTTAAAACTTCACGTAGACCCCACTTAAACCTGTCCTAAAGCCATCCATGGACATGTTACAAACTCCGCACACGCGGCCAGAATGGTCTCTAATCGCCACAACGCATCTCTGACTTCGTCCGAGAAGAAGCGCCTGCGGGACAGGAGAGCGCAGAAGAACCTGCGCGATAAGCGGGAAAGCCGTATCAAAGCGCTCGAAGAACGCGTCGAGTACTGCGAGAAGCACCATGCGGGTGTCTGGATGCAGAAACTGCTGACGACTGTAGAGAGCCTACATCGGGAAAACGAGTTGCTGCGCGCCCGTCAGGAACGGTTGCGGAAGATGGTGATGTTGTGGGAGACTGATGAGGTTGAACCCGCCTCGACTTCGCTGGCGGTGCAGCAGCTCCGTCGCTCAATAGATGGTGGGAGGGGGCTTCTGGCTGCTGATTACTTCGAACCTGAGAAGGGATTGTCGTTTACTCCTGACGTGGTCCTGAACAACACTCCAGCTGGCAATCCTGATCAGATTACGGGTTTGACTCTGAAATATGCTGCAGATCGCACGAGTGTGATAATTCCTGTCAACCCTTTGGAAGATATTCGTGCCACTGTGCCAAACATCTCTTCAGCCATTCGGCTGCCTGGGCTGCCCGCTTGTTCCCCCGTCCAAGCTCTACCCAGTGCCGTTCCCGCACGGTGTCTGATCCCCATGAATGAGTATGGAAACGATCCAGCCTTGATGCCGGCAAGCGCACCCTGGCTTGGACGCTCAGATCTGATTGCCACATGCCCACCCGAACCGTGTCCGCTGGACCTACTGCACGGGACCCGCCGCAACTGGCTAGCCAACGAGATCCACCGCGCCATCCGACGCCGTGCGATTCGCGACGCAGAATGCCTCGCATTTGGTTGGCTTGCCTACGTCTACAGCAAATGGCGTGTTTCTCCAAATTCCACGACCTTTGCCCGCTTGGCACCTTTCCAGCAACCCGTCATGACACAGATCCAGCAAAGCCACCCCACAGCCCTGGACATAATTATCTGGCCCCAGCTTAGGGCGAATATCATAAGAAATTGGACCAACTACGACTTCGTGGAACTCACTGGGTATCTGGGCGCGTGCACCAAGGTGCGCTGGCCCTGGGGGAAGGATATGCTGGAACGTGATGCTAATGACAATCTGCAAATGCGTCGGGAGTTTTTTGACGTTTTTACCTGTGAGAGTGGATGGGGTCTTACCTCGGAGTTTATCGATCGATATCCGGAGCTGATGGAGGGTATTGATATTGAGGCTTTACGCTTTCGGATGATTCTGCCAAATGAGCCTGAATGAGCATTGGAGAAGGCAACTTGATCCACGCTGTACATGCTGATTTCCAAAGCAAATCTAAATGACTCATTGAATGTACAGATCGCACCGGAGTCGAGTATCAGAGCATAGTTCTGTCTGGTAAGCGGAGTGAATGAACTCATTTCTTTTGTTTCTGGGCAATGCTCTCTCTCGACCATAATGTGTCTCACTCTGCAGCCTAGGAAATAAGGATGTGCACAATGAACACATTGACAATCTGGCCAAAGGCAGGAAGAGAGCAGGGTAAGGTATAGAAGTAGAAGATAGGAGATTATTCCAGGATCAACTGCCGGGGTCAAAAGGTGATTATAAAGACAATGGTTATCATTGCTGTATTTTCTCATTATATCAGAAATTGAATGCGAGAATACCCCAGCATAGCACTTGACCGATGAGGGATTAATCACACTTTTCTCGTCACTTGTGTTCCTGCAGCATCTTGTCAAAAATTGTTTGATGCACCAACCTTCTCCTTCTCCCACTCAAACCAAACACATTGTTCCACCCTCGAAATAGAATACTATCCCAGGAGTCGCTGTCTCTCCATGGGCTTACCGCTCCCAGGTGAGACGGGGAGTTGGTGGGACCATCAGATGACCACTATCTGGGTACTCGTTAATAGTGTATCTTTGGCAGCTCCATGCGGAAGAAATACCTAAGCCCCGGAAAGAATCACCTCCAAAGAGAAAATCGCCACCTCCGAAAAGGCTGTTAACACTGGGATAGCGGGAACTGTCATTGGAAGAATGTGTGGCTGAACCGAAGGCGGGAACTCCGAATACGATAGGCGGGCTGGTCTTCACAGTAATAGGTGCAGGAGTACCAGATCTTGTGGAGGAGTGAGCTGTGGCCGGGCCACCTCCAAGAGGGTAAGGCTGCGCGGGACAAACGGAGTCGCTGGCAGCCTTGCCCGAAGAGGACAGACAACCTGTCTGGCGTAGACCGGTTTCCGACTTGATACACGGTGGTGGTCCTTGATCTTTGTTACCGAATCGAGATCCGCTTGAGAGGTCTAGCCATGTACTGAGCGAATGCTGAACCTTTTGTAGCAGGAGCTCCTATGGAAGCTAGATCACCATGAACATCAGCTATAAGCCATTTGCATAATAGCAGCGGACTCCACATTTACCTTCTGACTTGCTCAGGTCCTTCCGGTGAGGCTCGAAAAAATTGTTGGAAAGTAACGTGCTCAGTCCAGCTCTCAGCTTGTCGCGATAATCGATGAGGCGCCGACGCTCCAAACATACTAAATCCGATTCCATGGCAAGATCTTGAATCTGTTGATCATCCATGCTATTCACCGTCAAACATGTAAATATACTCTTTGCTGGTTCCAGTAGGCAGTTCTCGATAGATAAAATTGAGATGTTGTTGATGAACATCATTATTGCATCCTGTAAATTTGTCTATCAGTCCTGTATACATTATGACCGTAGTCGTTTTCCAGGCCATGTCTCTAGACTGGAACTTACATCGTAATACGCCTTCATGTCATCGATGATCGCAGATGCAACAATGACCATATCCGAAGAGTCAATGTCCCATGAAGCTTTCTGCAGACCAGCACGCGAGAAGGCTTCTGCAGAAGGACCTCTGTTCGTGGCGGTTGGAGGTCCAAATTTCTTCTTGAGTGTTTCCGACTGACACTCCGACCATGCTTTCAAGACCCGAGAATGATGTCTCTGGCTGATAAGTAGAGGGCAGCCTTTACTCGCGACTGTGGCCAGTTCTTCGAGCTTGCTCAGCAGACCATCCTTTAATATATGTAAAGCTGGGTCTATGGCCGAGCTGCGGAGTGCAGGATAAGTGCACTCGTCCGTCAGGTCCCGAAGCACAAGGTGAAGAAAGTGCTTTGTGGCATCCCAAACGGTCTTCAAATGGCACTTAGCAATCTCTTTCCATGGCTTCGTCTGGTTACGGTACAGATCCACCACGAGGAGGCTAGAGCCCCGGTTTTCACGGATTTGCATAGCCACCTCTGCCTCAAGGGCAGCGCGAGTAATATACTCAGGTTCCCAGTCCCGAAGATAAGGGTTGGAACTCATTGACTGGCTCTCTTCGATTGGTTGTTGAGCGCCCGGATCAAGAATGATACAACTGCTGCCTCGAAGTTCCATAGCTTCAGCAAAGTCCTCATTCAAATCTGAGATGACGGCTCGAAGCTTTCGTAAATTGACAGTCTTCGCCTTGTCGTTTGAATCATGAAAGAACTCGTCGTTGTACATCCCATTCAATGCTTGTCCAACGATCCGCTCAAATCTCCTGCTGATGCCAAGTAGATAACCTTTCTGATCCTGAACTGTAGCACGCGATGGGCCAAGCTACAGTGCAGTGTGAAGACGGTTCCTGAGGCTACTGATTCCCACGCATGATTTGAGTATCTCAGTCCACTGATCACCCTCGAATGCACCCTTTTGGTAGGCGTCATGGATATAATTTGTGGTCTCAGCAGATTCCTTTGGTAAAGCAACCCACCCCAATGGTAAGTATCTGTGGTTTGTTCTCGAAGGCTCGTTCTTCAAAAGTCGGATGAGAGTCTGTTCCCTTTCCGGTCCTGGCTCGAGGGCATTCAGATAAGTGACAACTCCAATCGTTCGGCTGTAGGACGGATCAAAGCGCTTAGCAAGGTCCAAGGCGTTTTTGGCACCGAAATTTGTTGTTGCACTGTTCACAACCAGAATGCTGTTTCCCTCATGTTTCCAGTACGCCTCGACCAGCTTGCGAGCGGTAGTGGGTTCGTCAGAGCTCTGGTCCTCCTTGATACACTCTGGAAGACTTGGAAGGTCCACCAAGGTCAACTCATAGTAATCTGGGCCTTGTATCTCGATCTTGAGAACGTCATCTCGAAATCCTTCCTCCGCTCCTTCTGCCATACCCATGCATTCTTTCGCCTTCTGGATCAACGGAACCAGGTCATTGCTATGCGTTAGAGCCTCGAACTTCTGTAACTTCCTAACCTCCTCCTCATCAGTTCGAGAAGATCCAGGCTCGATAGTCACTTTGGCCTGTGGCACCTCACTCTTGCGGATGATGAGCTCAGTTGCAAGACGCGTGCTATTGGTGGGCAAACGAACACGAGAGATTGCCTGGATCACGGTGGTTTTGCCAACAGATTGATCTCCACAGACGACGAATTTTGGAAACTCGAAGGTAGTGCCAATGCCAAGGGCACGTAGCTGCTCGATCGTTTCCAGCAGTTTAAACTGCTTTGGCTGAAGTCCATGTTCTTTTAGCTTTGCCTCCGCCATTGTGGAAAGCCGGATGCTGTCTCTATGCGAGGAGGGAGAGACACACGAATCAGTCTAGGGGATTAGAAGAGAAGGTATTGAGAAGTGTGGTGAGAGAATGGGGTGAAACCCAGCTCTTCGGCGGCTGATAATTTGTTCACATCGTTTCCCCCGGCAAATTGCAGGACATATTCATCGTTCCCTGACTCGCCCCTACGCAAAGGCTCCAGTACGGAAGGTTGGTCCCCGAAAGCATGCTCTCAAACAATTGTAGCCATGGTGGCTCTGCATACTCCGGTCCATACCGAGGCTGGTCGGGCGACTCTAGCGACTAGGCTGTGAGGAAGAGCAAAATCTCTACGGCGATCCGTCATGTGTCAGCAGGATGGATAGGTTCTAATGGAAATGTATGATTCAGAAATCCTTTTACACGGATCCAATTAGCTGCAAAATCTCAACGGTTCTCCATTGAACGTATAGTAGTATCTAGTATTTGCTGTAGAATATTGTCATTGATTGGTCTGTGGGATGAGCTTAATAGAATTGAACCGTGCCATGCTGATATCAGGAGTTAAGTTAAGAGTTTAGTTGCGCAGCAACATGCAACGGGAAATACGATATATGGTATGCGGTTCTTTTCTCATTCACTTCGACTAGCTAATGATAGTGAAAAAGATAGAACAATAAAAGGAATTTGACAAGGGTGGGATTCGAACCCACGCCCCTTTCGAGACACGGAAACTGATGAATCAGTTTGAAGGTTCAGTTCCTGAACCGTGCTCCTTAGACCGCTCGGACACCTTGCCATTGGATGAAAGTTGGCCACTTTAGTACAGAACAAGTCAAGCTAATTCAACTTGTGGTGGTAGTACCGGAGCCTGGGCAGCCTGAATCTGAACCCTGTTAAAGCCATAAGCGAGCCTCTAGCAGTTTTATCTACTGCTGCGCTGCACGTATAAAGTTAGAGACCATATTTGTAGACTCCAAAGGTATCTGATCTTGACAACGCATGTATTCATCCAGTGCGGCTATTCGCAGAGTCGCATAGAGATGGACCATGGATCCTACTCATAGAGGTGCATAGTGGATTCCTCTCAGTCTCAGCCCATTATATTTTTTCCATCGGAGAAGACCACGAGCCAGAAAACGCGGGGGAGAGCATCCACGCGCCAGGAAGAAATTTCAGTGGTGGGGTCATTGCAGCAGCTGGTGTCAGCCACAGTCCGAGACTCCGAACTCCGAAGTCCTTTTAGCCGGCGGAGGCTGGAGCCCTGTAGAATGGAGAGAGTAAGGCTTCGATTCTGAGAATAAGCTGTATCCTGTAGGTTTTGGACAAAGTTAGTAAAAGAATGAGAAGTAGATGGAGAAGTATTAGACAACTAGAATATGGTGAAAGAGAAAGAGACCGACAAAGGCAAATCCAGCAATGACGCAAACGGAGTCATGTTCTACCAAGGGAGGATGAAAGCTCTTGGCTGCGGTCTCGCCAGGGAGAAAAAAAAAAAAAAGAAAAAAGAGACAATCACCAGACCGTCTGATAGTTATCGATTGCGCGAGTTTCAAACCTTCCCTTGACCTTCATAGATTCTTATACTCCGTCTTGAAGTCTTTTGATCTCAGATCTTTCCTTCTCTTTCTTCATACTCGGCTCTTCCCATACTTCCAAATTGTGCGAGAAAAAGTCTGCTTCAGCGCGAAAACACCCTACTACTAACTACTTCACTCAACCCCGCCGAGCCGATCGCGCAACCACACCTCCCAAACTCCAAACACACACACAATGGCAGGAGGACGAAACGTTTCCCACGGCCGTGGAGGCGCCGGTAAGAGATCCATTTTGTCGAAGAATGCCATTCTGCGTCGAAACTCTCCGTGGCTGACCCTCGCCCCTCGTCACAGGAAATATCTACTCCACCACCACCCAAACCCAACCCACCTGCAAAGACCTCATTACCCCAACCATCAAGCAAGATACCTTCACAACCGGCCGCGGCGGCTCAGGCAACATGGTCCAGTACGATCCTGAGCGACCGGAGATCGCGCGCGAGCTGCAGGACGTAGAATCGCCGCCGCAGCGGGTGGAAGAGGCCCCGCATCACACGGGTCGGGGTATGTTTTTTTTTGCGCCCTTTTCTCTTTGCGTTTGTGTCTGCCGGAAACCTCGCAGATGGCTATTCCGATGACATTGCTAATCTATGTTTTTTGTCTCCGTACAGGCGGCGCTGCGAATGCGTACTTCCCCACGCCCGAGGAGGAGAAGAGAGTTCGCGAGCAGGAGGAGGAGAATCTGCAACGGGTGCGGACCGCGTCGAGGGATCGGCTGAAGGATGTCACGCAGGCCAGTAGTGAGAAGCGCGGGGATTCGTCTTCGCGGTAGCTTTCGCAGCGGAGCGTATCGAGGTCGGTGGATCAGGCGGGTTCATGCTGTCAGCGACTCGGCAGCTCAGCAGCTGGGCCGCTATGCAATCCTATAATAAGCGCGAGAAAAGCAAAAGTACTGCTGGCGGTGCTTGATGATTCGATTGTAATGCCATTGAGAAAACTGTTTCTGTTTGGGTGAATGATCGATCCTGGGTTGATCGTATCCTGTTCAGTGTTTGCTTTGGATGTGGTTGTTTCTTTCTTTCCTCTTCTCTCTTTGTTTTTTACCAGATAATACCCCTTTCTAATTGAAGGTTTTCTTGAATCCACTGAACTTTCTGGTTATTTCCCTGATTTTCATGTTCATTCGAGGTTGCTTGCTTAACGTTCGGAATGGCTGGAGTGACTCGGGTTATCTAGATTGAGACTGCAGGGGGCTATCTATATATGTAGGCATGATTCCATCACAATCCCTATATGCGGCCATGCTTGAGCGCTAGTGAGAAGTCCAATAACACTTCACAGGCTTATCAATACACTTGGTTCTTCACAAGCACAAAAACTGGCAGGTGACAATGCTCTTAGTGGGTTTTCCCCGTATTTTCCATCTTCCCAAATCAGCATTAGACTATGCACATCCAAGCTTGGGATCTGATCAAAACGCGGACTGGGAACAGTAAGCTCATACTTGGGCCTGATTATTCTAACAATGGCAGAAAGCTCAAGGTCATCTTCCATACAAGACAAGCGCTTGAAGTGTACCTGATAACTTATCTACACAAGAGATATTATGAGGACATGACCATGTATCCTCGCCGGCGCGTCTCTTGAGAATTTCCCGGGATAGTTTAGAGCCACGCTTTGGCTGTGTCACTCGCAAAGCTTTACTTCTGAGCCGGGCCAATTCTGCCTTAGCATTGTTGCTCCCATACATTCATGGGTCCATTGTGGCCTGCCATGGCCCAGCCGTCCGGGATTCGGTGCATCACCCCCCCGGAATCTGAATTTTATTTCCACCGACTGTAGAGTCGTCCAGTCAGCCGTTCATCCCTGGCGACCAATTTGCGGAAGCGGGGGCGGGGTTTTGTGAAAGTGAAAGGAAAATCTCGGTGCAATGGGTAGCTCAAGTTGAAGGAATATAGCATCCGGTGGCATCCACGACCCAGCTGATCGATTGCTGCCACTGACTGTCCAGATGTTGACCGATCTGTTGTATGACGGGGGAACCCCATTCACCAATCCACCATCGGCTGCGCATAAAGTGAAGAATCACGGCGTAATGAGCCAGGATGACCAGCGCGAATGGGCGTCGCTCTCTGACAAGGTCCAAAAACGTCGATGGGATGTGATACATCCATTGAAAGGCGACAACGGTGGCTTCTCGGCCCTGCGCGAGTTTCTCCAATGACTCCCCAAGTTGTGCGATGGTGGACTCATAAATCTCTTTTTCGTGGCTAGGATCACGCGTAGCTAGGCGTGAATTTGTCATGGCGAGGGACATTATGGCAAGCCGCGAAGTGTCAGGCATTTTCGGACCGGAGTCGTCTTTCCCGAGTAACGGTCTCAGCTCGCTGTTCTCGACCAAATCAACAATGTCGGCGAGAACATTCATTGAATTTTTCGCAACCCTGAAGGCCTCGCAAAGATCCTCCAAAGAAGTACGCTTGTCGCTCTTGTCGGCGGCGAGGGGAAAGGCCAGAGAGCAAATAGTCATAAGACTGCACAAAGCAAAAGCGGCCTTGCAGTTGGACTGATTGAGATCTCCGAATGATTCCTTAAACCCACCAAGAGCGAGGTCCTGATGCATTGTTGCCATCTTCGAGTACCGTTCGGTCACGCTTCCTCCAGTCATGGTGGCCAGATGCAAGGCGGACAAGGCAAGGATACCGTGCATCAAGGCCGGATGTTTCATAGCTTCGCGTGTCACTGCAGTCTGCCAGACACTTTCGACCTCGGTGTTGTAAGAGATGGAGCGATATGTGTTCGTACACCACTGCACCATCAACTCCAGATCTTGGACATTGAGATTGTCTTGGACCGCATCGGCACTTGGACTCATCTGGCTCTGGGGTGGAGATATGCTTTTGACAGACATTGACGGTAATGACTCCATTGCAGACTCCATTGCAGATCGAGCTGGTGAAGCGGTTGAGCGGGAGTGCTTCCAGATTAAAAGAGTAGACGGCATGTAATGGCATATTATATCGCGATTCGAGCAATGGGAACATCGAGGATGCTCTTTCCCGCACTGTCCGAGCTAGTCAGTAAGAAGCAGAACCATAGGTTGATATGCGAAAGAGACTATATATAAATACAAACTCCAGGAGACGCAAGATCCACTAGAGAAGCCCATGGCCTGATGATCGTGGCACAGACACCCCCAGGCACCGAGGCTCCCAGGCATCCCTGTCATGGTCGTGGAAGCCAAGAGCACCATCGACAATTATAGAACAACATCATCTCCATCACACATCACACATACTCACATACCTTGACTCGATGATTTCGGCATTGGATGCAGCCGTTTCCCCTTCGAAAAGAGCTCCTCGCTTTACCACTTAATACTGGAGGCATTGTGGTAACCGTCTTCTTTTATCAATGAATTCTCAAGCGCAAGCAGCAGCGTCCCCGGGACTTCTCAACCACAGTTCGCTCTGACCACCTGTGACCACTGTGACCAAGGAAGGTGACATAGATCTTTCCAACTAAACCAAATCCACAAACGCTTGAGGGGCCTCTGTTCCAGGGTCTGGTATTTAATCTATTTTGACTTCTTACCCGTTAGCACGAGTCAGACCCAAGTCGGCAGGCAGGCAGGCTAACAAACGGATTTACAAGCTCAGTGGGTCTGACATCGATCGTTCCCTCACAATTTTTTTGATGTTGACGATTCCCTTCGAGACATAAAACGACAAATCGAGTAAATGCATCCTCTTCTTCGTACACCGTACATGTCACTACACCGGCAGCGGTCGGGCTTGCCGGGCGCCGGATAGACAAATCCATGCATCATGCATTTGATCAACACACTCAAGGAGAGGATTAACATTCAACAAGTCACGGAGAGGACCAACCAGTTGGACCACAATGACTGAACTAGGAAGGAGGTGAACAAGTTCTATATGGAAGGGGAGGGTCGATCAGGAAGCTCGGATTCTGCTTGCCTGCACAATATCTAGGTGACTATCCCCCTTGACTGCTATTGATTGACAACATTCATGAGGTGCACAGTATGTTTGTCTTTTCGTCCTACCGGACCCCTACTGAAGTGAGACACATATCCGTCGCTTACACGGATTGGAATGCAGATCGAATGGGCTATTAACAATTATCGAATGTATCGATCTTCAGGTTCGACAATATCTTTCATTCTCCTTTTTCCCACTCGGCCCCGTCTATCTAAACCCCCTGAAAGACGATGGATCAAAGGCCATTGCCTCTTACGAAAACGAATCCTCCTCAAACTGTACTTGGGGGAGTAGTTATTGCGCGTTTGATGATGCGCATGATACTCCTACTAGTCAATACTATCGACTCATATATCATTGGGTGATCGTCCCCATAGCTTCCACTGTCCCACATCTTCGTAATGCCATCTTCGGACAATCTGCCCATGGCTCCACATGTTGGTTCTTCGACTGGCCGAACCTAGAAACCAATTCGGCAGATATCCACTCCGGCGCTATTCTTATCGGAGTATGGCAGTATGCAACGATGCAGATGCCGGGCGAGACTTGCTTTTACCCATTTCGGTAAATAGTATCCTTGGGCCCGCTGGTCCCTGTGATTGGATCGACGACCTAATGAAGCACTAATCAACGGAGTACTCCGTAGGTATCACCATCATTCAAGAATCCATAGACAGCTAACGGGTTATCCCAAGAGCAACGCATCAAATATATGGATTATGGAGACCACTAAATCAGGAGAGTCGTTTTTTAGCATACGCTTTGACGGAGTTTAACCTGATCTTGATCGGATCTTCGAAGCGACTAAAAGTGTTCCAATGCAAATTGATAGATCAAGCAATCACCCAACAACACATCCTCCCGTTTTCAACACAGCATTCTGAGCATCGACCACCCGACGGTGTTATATCGTCATAAAACAACATTCCTAAAAACTCAGACCAATGTGATCCAGTTGAAGGAATCAGATATTGGATCTATTATTGTTTGTCAATGGAATTTCCACCCTAGCTCATGCCCTAACTGGTCATCAACCCTTCAAGCAGTAATATATCAACCAATCTCCGCCGATCGATACCCCAACCTACCTTACTGTACTTACTTACCACCAATCCACCATACACACCCCTGTTGGTCTGCATATGCCAGGACTGCTACCACTTCTTCCTGGACAACCACACGAAGTGCGGAGTAAGGCTGCGTGAGTCAGTCGGATTCCAAATTCATGCCGAGGAAAACGAGCAATGGCCATCAACACCCCGTCCATGCAGGCTTAGGGAGCAATACATGCCCATTGACGATATCTGTTCGCTAATTTGATGCACTATCCTTCCAAAGAGGTAAATGCTCACTGTTGCGCTCATGGGTATCTGGAGGTGGTTTCAGACGTGGATGTTCAGTCGTATGTTTACAACATGCTGGTCTATCCCTCGCGGTCCTACGATGATCAGCTGTGATACTCCCCGCTGTGGTCAATATCCAAACGAGATTAAGTGCAGTCAGAAAAAGGCATTCGGCGGGATTTGCTCCGCAGGAGACAGGATTCAATCTGTTCCCGACCCCCGAGGCCTTGGAGCCATGTCAATCTGACATCCCACGCATATATTGACCTGCATCTCTGCCTTCTAGAAGAGGGCAAAGCAGGAAAATGATGCCAAATGGGGTCAGGCTGCCAGGACAGGTAAAAGGTTCGAGATCAAATAGGAATGATAAAGTGACAGCTCCAACGAAAGATTTTGAGCATCTTGGATAGATTTAGCTTCTAAATTAAGGTTATATAGACTCATCGATAGTCACATTGTCAACTACATATGGTATTGGCATGACTACGAACTACAATCAAGATGATCTTCAGGCTAGTGATATTTGCCACCGAGCGCGCAATCATTCTTTGACATTCTTTGCAATGGACAATCCTGGGGTTGACGCAGCATCAAAGAAGGTGTGTCCATGTCTAATTATACAGAAGACTTGCACCCCCCACACTTTTTCTGACCCATTTTTGTGAATTTCTGGCCTGCCGTCTCTGTCTTTGACAGAGCTTTATCTACTTGAAGACAACAAAATGCTTGCATCTTGGCCATCAAATGGCCCAAGGTCTAGTCAACGTCTTGGAGACGATCTCGTACCGGTATTTAAATGAGATCAACTGCTGGCGAGAAGACTCACGAGGCCGACCTCGTAGTGAACTTGATTGTCTCGTTGATAGGACCACTTGGTCAGCTCATGCGCGTGGGAGTTAAGCATTGAGGCATGGAAGGAGACAACGGATGGACATTCAAGAGAACCACCACCGCCAAAGTCATACAATTGGGGACTGAGGATGTGAGTACAGTGTGGGTTTTCAGCTTCGGTTTCCAGGTCTATCTTTGTTATTGTGGCATAACAGCGGTCGTTCATATACTCTACTGACGGCTGGGCTGGCAATCATCAAGATAGGCATCGTCAAGCAACGTACCTCCACCCACCCCACTTCTTTCACCCTCACGCAAGAGAAACCTGTTTCATGGCATGCACTCCTTTGGTTTGAAGAGCGCATTATTCATGATGATACATGTGTCGCTTTCGGGTGGCAACTTGATCAATTATCTCTCATATGGACAAGATCACATTCTGCAAGCCGGTGGAGGTATAACAGAGAACTATACCTCATGTACCACATCGACACTGATAGAGCGCAAGGTTGAGCTAGGACCTGGTGATGTAGCAAATCCGCGTGCATTGCGACGGCGCAAAATGGCGAGAAGCAGTCTCTCCAGTTACTTGCCAACGTTATGGCCCGCCCCTCAGCAAGACCTCTGTAAGTGACGCATCTAAGGCTTCGATGGACATATTGGATAGTCCTGACACCTCACCAACGGTAACTATAGGTCGATATCAGCGATAGAGTTCAGACGTGATTATCGGCCGGGAGCTGGCAGTGTCTCTCCCTCTGCGCCTAGCAAATCAGATCATTGGCGAAGCGACATCGAAATTTCCGGTGATGAACACGTCACCCTCAAATCTAATTGCAAGGACTACCTCTGCAACGCTCATGCCATGATTGCCTTAATGCCTCAGAAGACCAGCTCGAAACAGTTGTGAAGATCATTGGCAGGTTTGTTCTAGATAGCAGCAAAGCCATGTCGTCAGGAGGACGGAATATTCTACTGGCCACTCTCTGCCGCGGTATTTTGCATCGGCAAAGATCAGGAGAAGGTAAGTATCATCGATGGAATGGTCGTGGATCTTGTTTTTTTTTTTTTTTTTTATGCCAGAGAGTGCATTGAGCATTCTTGGCTTCCGATTCTCGAAACCAGGGCTCGTTTGATGCCACGTCGTGTTAGGCACTAAGACACTCTGCATACTACTTTCGGAGCATCGGACAGTCGAACAGTGAATTTCGAACTACCCATCGTCCATCGCTTCTGTCTAGTGACGTAAAATAGTTAGTGACGATGGAGGGACCGAAAGTGTGACTTCGCTCGAGCCATATACCCAATGTCTTTCATAGGAGCGGATAAATAAGCCGAGCCGGTCCAAATAAACCAAAGCGGCCGCCTGCAGTAGTGGAACATAATCCCCTAAGTGATCTTGCCTGAGATTCGCTCCGGTCGCAGCGAACCCGACACATTATGGGGTGTGGCTATTGGAGGGCGGTAACATGTCGAGCTTTGGCATTTCGTTAGTTTTGTAGATGAGCAGCCACGGTGGGGATCTTCCGGGAAGCAGCCCAACTAAAAAGGGGGGTTCACTTGACATCTGAGGGTGCTACATAAGTACTTCACTCAAGTGGTGTGTCTGACTGTCTGCAGGGAGGCTGTAGCCCAGTCATTTGCTGGCAGTACTGGACGAATATTCTCCGACATTTCGATCTCACTGGTCATGATCATTTCATGTTCGTCATCTCTATTGTCTTCTGCTGCAGAAGCCAGAAGGTCAAGAGAAGCGGCCCGCAGTTCACGACGAAAACGGCCGAGCGAGTCAAGCTCATGATTGTCTAACCAGATGCGGAGGTGGCTTGATAGAGTAGTTTCACTTGCACTCCTGTCTGGATATGATTTGTAGCAGAGATAGACCCAGCCAGGAGGATCGCCGGTAAGAGTTCAACAGCTCACAGCAGACATTGAAGATGGTTGGTTGGATGGCGGCTTCGATCGGTTGAGTTTGTAATCCATTTTCCAACACTCCACTCACTCATCGCATCATGCTGCAGTTCGATGTTAAATTCTCGTCAAATCACCATCCTAGTACATCAACACTGTTACATCGCCGGCCTAAATGACGGATTCCCGTTGTGCATAAAGGTGGTAGACAAGGAGCCGTCTTCAGCGAAAGCGTAGGTATGTCCGAGTAGTCTCGCATACTATTCTGTCAGGACCACCGTTGCGAGCTGAGAACACACACACAAAGTCAGAACGAGTTCCTAAAGGACAAAATGAGATCCAAGATGGCAACCCAGCTTAGAGATGAGCGTCTTAGATGGCATCGATATAGATGGATGTACTATGTATGTACGGAGTAGTAGGCTGTCTAGTATGACCGAGGGGAAGAAAACCCGACCGTCTGGGTCGAGGTTCCTGCGGCGGGCTGACCTCCTGATCCGTGAGGCTCGCTTTGACTCTCTCAGTCTGCAATTTGGGGGGGGGGGGGGGTGAAGGATTTCCAGTCCAGAATCAAATATCGTGCAGCTCCAGAAGCTGAAGTATAACATACAGTATTTATCGAATAGCATATCGAGGATAGAATCAGTCAAAGAGACCGAGAAAAGTCAGTCGAGTGCCTCGTGGTTCTGCGCTCTTTGATTGAAGTACACCCATACCCGTGACTTCTTCCTCTCTCTCTCTCTCTCTCTCTCTCTCTCTCTCCCCGCCCTCCATTTTTCCCTCTCCTCTTCCACTTTCACCCCCCGCCATATCCTGCGACTGTCCGTCTTCTCGAGCTTCTCACTCACATATTGCACTGATTCTCAATCCATTGCCGCTCAAGAACCGTGTCCATTGACTTCCACCATCTGTATTCTCTCAGTTACACTTGCGGACCAACCTGAAACCCGCGCTGGCGAACCCTTGGTCCTCAAGCGACCCGTGGAAGGCTCAGCGAATCTCCCGCACTTTGACAGCTTCTCAGTACGGCTCACCCAAAACGATCGGCTTCATTGCCGCCGGGAAATCAAAGCGGTATTGCGCGTTTTCACACGGGTTGATTGAACGTCTGTTGATATCGAACAGGAGAAACAACTTTGATTGCCCGCTGTCTTCGAGCGCCAGTCGCAGGCTGAATCGCTTCAACTGCACAGGTCTTGCGGTTGCCGAGTATTCTCCGTTTGTGAATTTGCCACTGCCGCTTTTTCTGCCTCTCCATCTACACCTCGCGCGCTCAGAAACTGCATCCCCGCGACCGTCGAGATTCTTGCGACGTCAACCCCCACCAACCGGCACGAAATTGAGACCCTACAAGTGGGATCGAATGAACCGAGCACTTTGATCTGCCTGCACGCAACTGTACACATAATACTCGCTTGAAATATTCTTGAATTTCGACGTGAGCCAGCCCGGTCAGACGCCCGCTTGTGCTCGTAAAAATTACAGTCTTCATTCCGATCGCGGAGACATCACCCCTCTTGTGGCCTAGAGTCGATGCTTCAACAGTGACGTTGGAATCCCGCTGCGTCGCATGTCACATATATACCTTTCCTCTACATCCGCCTAATTACGGTCCCTTATAACCCGCGACGAAAACAGAGCATTCTCTTTTCTATTCAACTGGCGTTGTCCTCGGTTCCTTGAGCTCACGAACCATGTACGCCGTCGAGGACAGGTCCCATCCAGTGCCACCGCCGCCTCCTCCTCTCTCTATGGATCGTATCCCTCCTCCCTCCTCTGCGTATCCGACCCCAGGTTCAGCCGGCCCGCTGCGATCTGCGGACCACCTGGCCACGGTTTCAACCATCCACGATGGCCGCATCTGGTCCCTGCAAGTGGTCCAGCAACCGATTCGCGCTCGAATGTGTGGCTTTGGCGATAAGGTCGGTCAACATATTGTCGGATTGTTTTATTTTTTTTTGTTGTCCGAGAAATGTGTTTCTGACGATGCCAACAGGATCGAAGACCCATCACTCCTCCCCCCTGCATCCGCTTGATCGTAAGAGATGCGCAGACGGAGAAAGAGATTGATATTAAGTATGTCATTGCAAGTTCGCCGCTAGATAAGGGCTGGTTACTGATTATTTTGGTACAGCGAGATCGATACATCTTTCTACGTGCTCACAGTGGATTTGTGGAACGCAGATGGAACAAGCGAAGTGAATCTGGTCAAACATTCGGCTACCTCTCCCTCGATATCCACTGCAATGTCCTCCTCATACCCGCCACCGCCGCAGAACTTGTCCCCTACTTATCCCGCCTTTGCGCAGAATCCCTATGGTCAGACAGTCGGATACCCTCAGATGAACAATTATTACGGCGGGAATCCTCAGCTGGCATATCAGAACCCATATGGTGCCAATCCCCAGGCTGGTTACTACCCTCCTTACTATGGGGGAGGCCAGATGCCTCCGGCTGGCATGTCGCCCGCTGCGCAGCCAGTCACCGCGGGCCCTGGCGGCATGTTCACGCGCAACCTGATCGGAAGTCTCAGCGCCAGTGCCTTCAGGCTCACCGATCCAGACAACAAGATTGGTGTGTGGTTTATTCTGCAGGATCTGAGTGTGCGGACAGAAGGGACATTCCGGTAAGTGTCTCCGACTGGAGTCAACTGCCAACCCCAAGCTAACGTGTGTCTCAGTCTCAAAATGAGCTTTGTCAATGTGGGTACGCATTCCGGTGACTCTAACAACAATACTCCTGTGATCAATCACGGTTCTGCCCCCGTCCTGGCTTCCGTCTTTTCCGAGCCATTCCAAGTCTTCTCCGCCAAAAAGTTCCCGGGTGTCATCGAGAGCACGCAGCTGAGCAAGTGCTTCGCTCTTCAGGGAATCAAAATCCCTATTCGCAAGGACGGTGTCAGAGGGCCCCGTGGACGTGGGGGTGACGGAGATGACGATGGAGACGATTATGAGTGAGAAACGGCAGCTTCGATTATCCTGCAGTCGATGCTATGAAAACCTCAACAACGATTGGTTCCTTTTTCTTTTCTTCTCTACGGTTTTTATGGGTTAAAATGTGGGGATTCTGGTTTGCGGTGTTAACGGAAGGGTTTGTATTTCAACTGGGTGGAATGTATTGCTATAAGGACTGGTGGCGAAGGTTTAAGTGTCTGTGCTTTTTGCCTGTTGTTGTTGCTTGTTTTCTCTTTTCTCTGTGGATTTCACGATTCCCTTCACTGTGCGCGATATCCCGGACTCCCTGGCTGCCATGCATATATCAGATTAGAGATGAAATAAACTAAAAAAGAGCCATCTTGTCATCAACAGAAAGGTTACCTGTCACCTCTTTGGTCTATCTTCTGCTGCTAATCTATATGTTTCTGGCTTCTACGCTGTTCTAGGTCTTGAAACGGAGAATGGCTTCTATTGCTCTGCATACCGATCAGATTGAGCAATGGCGTTGTCAGTTTGTGCTCATATCATTGCGGGATCCATGGTCAGGAACTGCTGCCGGAGCTTCAGATCATCATGACATGATGTCAACGCATACAGAGGTCATGACTCGAACAGCTCAGTCTCAGCCCCTTTACACCCGGGATGCGTCAGCCTAACATGTAAGCCTTCTATCATGTATTATCCGAATCTGTGGTCATGATGATCAGGCCCGTCGGGACAGCCAGACCGATCTGCTCAGAGGCAAGAACAGCTATTAAACGCAGGGGGCACTACCTACAGAGTAAGAGCAGCATCTCTCGTCGCCTCGTCACTATCCTCCTGATCAAGTTCGCACACCCAACCCTACGTCCGGAGACTCATCGCACAATCGCCTATCGCCAACATGAAGCTCACGCTCCTCCCCATCTTCGCTGCCCTCGCCGCCGCAGGAAATCAAACCCTGTTCCCCTTCGAGGTCATCGCCAACGCCCCCGGCACACCCGTCGACCGTCTCAGGCTCGCCGCGTCGAACCTCTCGTTCTCGCTGGGCGGCCAGACGACCACCTTCTGCCCCCTGCAGGACGGCTGCCCACCGGGGAACCACACCGTGATCGACGCCTCCGGTGGCGCCCTGGTACAGCTCCACTCCACTCCTTTCCCACTTCCAGGGTCTTCGACATACTAACCCCATATCAACAGGACGTGATCGTCCCCGGCGGCCAACGGATCTTCATCAACCCGGCCGGCGCCGTGAGCTTCACGCAGGCCCACTCGACGTTCATCCCGCCCGGCTCGACCCTCGGCCCGTTCTTCCAGAGCCAAGGCGTCTGGCACTTCCGCGGGCCCGGCGCGTTCGACTTCATGGCCTGTCCGACGCCCAGCCGCATCTGGCAGGTGTTTGCGGCGCAGCGCAACGTCACCGTGCCGCTGGGGAATGTCACGGCTTGTGTGAGGTTCGTGGCCGTGGTGATTCCGTTCCTGACTGGGCCGGGTGCCTTCCAGTATGTCTGAGTTGGAGAGTGAGGATTTCTGTGGAACCGCGCTGCATGCTTTTCCCCCCCCTTCACTAGCCCTAGGCAGGCTATAATAGACTTTAAACTAGAGGAATAGAGTAGTAATGGGAACATTGAGAAAAAAAAAAAAAGGGTATCTGCATTTGGTCTATGATGAGTCTATATCAATTGGTCCATATCCGCACTGCTTTGTCCTTTCCACCACTGCCCACCCGCTGTCCGTCAGGACTCCAGTCGACAGCAAAGACCTCGTCCTTGTGTCCGGGTAGATCCATGGCGAGCTTTCCGGTGCGGACGTTCCATACCTTCAGTGTTGTGTCCTTTGAAGACGACACCAGCAGCCGTGAGTCGGCGGAAAAGCAGCACTGGTAGACCGCACCGACATGGCCGCGAAGGGTGGTGATGAACCTGCAGGGCGTAATGTGAGTTTATGTAGACCTAGAATGATCCCGCTGGGGTCCACTTACTTTCCATCCCGACCATTCCATAGCTTCACATGGTTGTCAAACCCGGCAGAGGCAATGTAAGCCATGTCTGGAGAAAATGTGACGTGGTTGACTTCCTTCTGGTGACCCAGCAGCCGCGCCACAGGCTTATTTGAGCTCTCTGGATCCCATAGGTACATGGTGAAATCATCACTGGCTGATACTAGTTTCTCGACAATCTTGTTGTTGATGGTCGCAGCCTGCTCGAAGCGCTTCTTTGCTGCAGCCACCTTCTCCACGTCAGACTGCGGGACCTTGCCGGTGTGATCGTGGTAGGCCGTGCGAAGGGCAAAATCTGTTGATAGGGCCAGATGGTTTACACGATGAGCGTGCGCGGAAAGCGTCTGGATCAGTGATCCGTTCTGTGCGTTCCAGACCTTGATCGTTCGGTCATGAGACGAGGTGTAGATCTTTCCTGTCCCGCCCCAGCGAACGCACGTGACTGAGCCTTTGTGTCCAGTGAGGACAATATCGATTCGTTTCCCTACCACATCCCAGATGCGCACTGTCGAGTCCTTCGATGCAGAGGCCAAGCGCGGCCGGCCCGTTGCCTGTAAATGGTATGGCTCCCACGCCAGACTAGTAATCCACTTCGCATGCCCCTTGAGTGGGCCTCCAAGGGCCTGTCCCTTCTTTGCATCCCACAGTCGTACAGTGTTATCCATGCTTCCGGTAGCGATAATCGCTCCATTAGGTGAGTAGGCGACTGCAAGAACCCAGCTAGTATGTCCCTTGAGCGTGTGCTTGGGAGTGCCTGTATCGCAGTCCCAAATACGGGCTGTCGAATCACCACTTCCAGAGACCATGGTCGACGAGGAGACTGGAGAGAAAGAGGTCGCAAGAATCGCTTCTCCATGTCCAGCAATGGAAGCAGAGCATCGTGAAACAGCCTTGACTCGGAAGACTGCTTGCGGGGTAAAGTAAAGGTGGATGGTATCTTCGGTCGTTTTCAGACCCGGCTTGAGCAGAGAGTGGTAGAGATCTGCCAGAATATCAATCGTTTGAGCATCTTTGCCGTCAGATTGGTAGGTGAACCGGTACGGTACTCGGTCCTCGTCGTCTTCCTGAAAATTCGAAGCAAATGTCTTAGTTATACTCGTCCGATGCAATCAATTCTTCCACCGCGCACTTACATTGCCTTGTAATGTGTTCAAGAGCGTCTCGAGATTCTTGACATTGGCATCGGCCACTGGAACGGACACTGCAGGACCTGTTACAGACCCCGTTGCTTGATCGAAGAATTGTACTCGGACGCTTCCCAGATTGTCTGGAATACTCTCGATCTCCTGCTGTAGTCGCGCCTTCTCCGCAGTCTCCAGCTTCTGTCGCTTACTTGGAGGAGGAACAAGCGTCGCCATCTTGTCAGAATGTGATTATAATCAGCGACTGCAATGATTGTTGTCTTGATCGGAGAAAAAAATTCATTCCGAAAATCACTTATCGCGGGGAGCGAATCGGCGCTAAACCGGATATGGACAGCCATTCGTTATCGTATACAACAGTGGTTGTTGACCATCCTCTTCTTCTCTTTTGAACATCATTCCATCAGTTAAACTTCAGTTTCCTTCGAATGAGGCATCTTTAGCCCTTTAGTCTGCTCAGCATGACAACGGCATTGTCTCGTGTCCCCTCGCTCGGAGGCCCGAGTCCATTCACACCTTTCACCTCCATCTCCAGACAAGGTACTGAACGTCCGAGGACAGCGAGACCCGCTACAACCGCTACAAGCATTGCCTTTCAGGACATTGTTTGCGCGGTGAGTGAATCTAGAGGTGTCTCATCCACAGTTGGTCTGGCATTCGTCAATCTGTCAACCGCAGAGGTAGTCCTATGCCAAATCTGCGATAGTCAAACCTATGCCAAAACCGTGACGAAGATCACCGTGTTTGAGCCAACGGAGATTCTTTTCATGGGCACTGCTAAAGAATCTAAACTCTTCTACATCATCCAAGAGAACATTCCGGATACTACATTTACTATCCTCGATCGTAGGTACTGGTCAGAGAAGCTTGGTCACGAATATGTGGACCGATTAGCATTTCCGCAAGACATCGAAATAATCAAGACCGCCCTTGGAGGAAATTACTTTGCAGCCTGCTGTTTCGCGGCTGTAAGGCATTTGTTCTCAAGTCTATTGTAACATTCTCTGATTGCCTAGTAGGTACTCAAGTATGTCGAGCTTGAGCTTGACCAGACATTCACGTCGCATTCGCTACGAATTAGATTTGAACCATCTCAGGGTTCCATGTCAATTGATCTACCCACCATAACTTCACTTGAGCTCATTCAGAATCTCCAGAACGCAAAATCAAAGGATAGCCTGTTTGGACTACTCAATGAGACTCTGACCCCGATGGGTGCTAGGCTTCTCAGAGCCAACATTTTACAACCTTCAACAGAGGAATCAAAATTGCTAGCGCGATATGACGCCGTCGAGGATCTCTCTACCAAAGAGGATATGTTCGTCTCGATCAGACAAGGTAGTATCTAATCCAGTATCTATTCTCATAACCAAACTGACTTGGGTATTCCATAGCCCTTAAGGGGTTCATTGATGCAGATAAAGTCTTGACGTCTGTCAGTTGCCTCACCTTCCTATGTTGATGAGTGTCGCCAGCTAAAAGGACAGCTTATTCTTGTGCCCACAAAACACACATTCCTATACGTCGAGCAGTCAGTGAACAATGTCATTATGCTGAAGACTTATGTGTCATCGATCAGGTCGGTATATAAGGCACTTACCGCGGCTCAAAGTAGTCTCTTGATGACCGTAAGAGAGGTAATAGTGCACTCAACTGTAGCTCGTTCCATCACTGAACTTAGCTAGCTGTGTGCTCCAGCAAATCATCGAGCTGTCGAAGAGCTGATTGAGCAGACGCTGAATGAGCATGTAACGTACCAAAGCAAGCCTCTTGACCTCAGGAACCAACGTATTTACTGTGTCAGGGTACGTGCTGTTTTGATCCCTAACCCGAATGTCGTTGACTCTCCAGTAGGCCGGTGTCAACAGCCTCCTCGATGTTGCAAGGCAGACGTACAAAGAAGCCAATGTGGATGCGGCAGATCTTGTGTCAAAACTCTCTGGTAGTGCCACGACACCACGAGGTCCCAGCTAGTTGTCTAACATTGTCCAGAATCGCATAATCTCGATCTAGACCTCAGGTTCGATTCTGCTCGCCAATACTATATCGGTATCCCTATCACAGAGATGGAGTCACTACCTGAGGTTTTCATCAACGTCTATCGCAAGAAGAACCGCATAGAGTGCCAGACTCTTGATCTCGTCAAACTGAATCAAAAGATCATAGATGCGCATAATGAAGTAATTAGCATGAGCGACCAAACCATTCAAAGCCTCATCAATGAGGTATGTAAGGAGATCTCAGGTCTTTTCCGGGTGAGCGAAGCTATTGCCATGCTGGACATGCTAGCTGCCTTTGCCCAACTGGCCACCTGCAGCGAGTATATAAGACCTGAACTGACGGATGTGCTTGCCATCAAATCCGGACGACACCCCATACGGGAGAAAATCCATACAAGAAAGTTCATTCCTAACGATGCTTATGCAACCAAACAGTCTCGATTCCAGATTATCACTGGCTCCAATATGAGTGGCAAATCAACTTACATTCGTTCCTTGGCTTTGATGACCATCATGTCGCAGATTGGCTGTTTCATCCCTGCTGAATATGCGTCTTTCACCGTGATTCACCAGCTCTTTGCCCGTGTCTCAACCTCGGATGACCTAGAAGCCAATGTATCGACCTTTGCTGCTGAGATGCGAGAAATGGCATGTATTCTTCGTAACATCGAGCCCCGGAGTATGGTCATCGTGGACGAGCTTGGCCGAGGCACCAGTACCACAGACGGACTCGCCATCACCATTGCAATCGCCGAATCACCTGTGGAGAGCCATGCCCTTGTATGGTTTGTCACGCATTTCCGTGACCTAGCCTTGATCATGGCTGAGCGCAGCGGCGTGGTGAGCCTCCATCTCGCCGCCGAGATCTCACCGGACGCCTCTCAGATGGTCATGCTGTACAAGATTGCAGAGGGTCCGGACACAACTCAATTCTACGGTCTCGCCGTTGCAAGGCTCGTGGACCTACCGCCTGGTGTCCTAGAAACTGCTCAGCGGGTATCCGAGAACCTGAATGAGCTTGCCAAACGCCGGCACAGCAAGTCTAGAACGCAGATGTTGTCACGCAAGCGAAATTTAATGCTTGCACTGAGGGAACAGCTAATCCATGCACGGGATGGGACGCTGGAAGGCGAAGAACTCAGAAAATGGCTGAAAAGACTGCAGGATACTTTCGCTCTGCGTATGGCGAGCCTCGAGGAAGAGACTGCTGCTATCAGTGACGATGAGATTGATATGGAAGAAGCCGATGAACTACAACAGAAAGCTTTAGCGCCTTCTAGAGAGACCAGTGCAGATGCTTTTGTTAATCGATCGCAAGCTAGTCTTGTTGCCTCATCTCCTCCGGAAGCCTCAATGGACTCCTCGTCATCCGAGGTTGCTGTGATGGGTACAGAACAGGAGAATGACTTCGAACATGAATGATGACGGGAAGATTATATGACAACCTGTAATATTATGTGGTTATGCTTGATAAAACATCTTACTACTGTAGCCTCAATATAGCCTTATTAGCAAAATCAACAGCAAGCCCAGAGCTATTTGCAAAAAATTTCTCTCATTATCTGTACGGTCACCATTCATGGCCACCTGAGAAAACTTTTACGCTACATGCCTGATGTCGAAATACCTCTAAATACGATAATATCGCTCAAATACAAAACTCAGACAACGAAACTTGCGAGCAGGCAACATGCACAGATGCGTTATCCAAAATGGAATAGTGTCTGCTTGCCCTTTTTGCCTTTCCCTTTCTTTCCTCCACCTGCCGAAGACTCCCCGAAATCGTCATCAAAACCGTTGGTCGGAGTGGCGCTGCCGGAGGATCCAGACCAGGCATTGGCTGGTGACGCACGGCGGTCGTCCCAGCGGACAGTTCCGCGGGTAAGGCCAGCCATGAGGACGTTAGGCTTAGGCGCTGTAGGAAGAGCAGGGAAGGCTTCTGCATTGTTTGTGTTCGCTGGTGCACGTGAGGAGCTCGGGGTTGGACGGGAAGAGGGATTGATGGTGCTTGCCATGGATCGAGGAGGCGGGGGTGCTGCTGCGGCCCATGGAGTAGCAGACGCAGTCGATCTGGGAGCTGAGCGGGCTGTAGCAGCAGAGAGGGGTGGGAAAGGATTGGTGGACGATGATGAGGATGACGAAGGGAGATAGCCGCTTCTGCCAACTGCAGATCGAGATGACTGCGCTGTTGACGATTTGAGTCGGAGAACACGCTTTCCTCCGCCTCCGCCCCCGCTCGTAGTGCCAGGGGACATGCCTGGAATGAGACCGCCTGGTCCTGGTAAGGCCGGGTAGTCTTCATTGATTGCACGCCAGTCATTCCAGGCCTTCAGCAATTCGTTCCTTTTGGCATCCTCCTCATATATCTCGGCAAGCTCTTTGACGAGCTTCCCTAATTCGGTGCTTGAGGTGTCAAACAACGAAAAGAATGCATCAATAAGTGCGGTGGCCGAAATCTTAGAAGTGCGGTATTGGGAGACTTTGGCGCGAAAGTCCGCAACCTTGTTTGCATCATTCCGCAGAAGATTGGAGGCGCGCTCAATCACAGCAGTATGTCGCAAGCGGCGTGCCTGGTCTTGAGGAGTAGCAGGCCCCGAAGGAGCACCAATATTGAGAGCGTCCATCTCTTGAACCGGAGCACCAGCGGTGGGAGGCGTTTGGACAGGGGTAGCAACACCGGATCTAGCGGGAGCCTGAACAGTCTGAGTGTCGTTTCGCGTAAGCTGGCCCCCAAAACTCCTCGTGGAGACAGACTGCGCGCTCTGAATGGCCATTTGTCGCTGGTATGCAATTTCATCTCGCCGCAGCGGCTGAGCACTCGATACAGGTAAGGGATCTGCGTTCGGGTCTCGGCCTCGGCCAGCGCCACGGCGTGGCCTCTGAGACTGATATGGCGTCCTAAGATCAAAGTCCGACAAGTCCACCAGCCGTGCGTCTCGTCTGGCGTCCTTAGAGAGCCCATTCGGGTGGCATTCAAGCTGGTGGGCCTTCAGATCCATCTGAGACTCGAAAACAACAAACTTCTTCTCCAGACACTCCTTATCCAAGCAAAGGAAGTGATCCCGCTGGAAGTGATCCTCGAGGGCGTTGTAGTCAATGTAATACTGCTGCTGTCGATTCACCGAGCGACGATCACAAATATGGCATCTTTCGTGGCGGTCGCGACAGTGTGCATACAGTTCGTCATCGCCATAGAATCTCTTGTGGCAGAATCCACACTCAGGATGTCCTTTGAAACCACTTTGGTCCAGAGCCCCGGGGACATCATCGCCGTATTTTTCGTGCTTGCGCAGTTCTGCCATGGTAAACAGCTCGTGCTCATGTGTAAAGACCTTCTTGTTCCGAGTGCAAAGATCGCTGTTTAACAATTAGCAGACGGTCCACTTAATAGCAAGAAGTCAAAGATGCATACCACATCACCTTGCCGTGCTTACTCTTGACATGACGATGCAAGTCAGGCCAACCCAAGCAAGCCACATCACAGTTATTATCGGGACAATTGTACCGTAGCAGCAGAACAGTGTCCTCAAAGATGTCATTGTTCTCATACTCGATACCTAGATTCTCGTCTTTCTGGGAGAAATCACTGTCTGTGAAATCCTCAAATCGCTTTGTGGGGTCGTCTGTGAAGATAACGTAGTTCGACTCGGTCTATTGAGAGAGAAATTGTCAGGGGCCGTCGACGAAATCCAAGTTATCACAGTCGCAAACATACACGACAATGCGCACAAGCTTTGTTCTTGTACAGAGCCCGCAGCCTGAGAGCGCAGATATGACAAGTCCGGTGGTTGCACGGCGAAACCGAGGTGTGCGCGACATTTGACGCACAAATGAAGCAGACCTCGCCATCATCCGCGTCGTCTGTCGCGGGTGCCGGTATTAACTTGCTTTTAGTTTCACTCAGCTCAGCAGCGCCTTCTGAAGCAGCTTCCGCACCCGCTGGGGGGCCGCTCTCGTCAGGGACGCGAGAACTGTTGGCATTGCGACTTTGCTTATCACGTCCTCCGGCGCCGCGTCTAGTCCCGAATCCTCGGCCTCTTGAACCCCTTCCGCCTCCATCGGTCGCGCGTTGCGGTGCTTCCCCTTGACCTCCCTGGTGGGATCCACCCCGGCCACGCCGTCGACCACCACCACGATTCTGGCTTTGCGATGCGGTTGGTCGGGGTTCGGTTTCAGACATCGTGGCAGATTTGTCGAACTCAGGTGAAATGCGGTAAGTGGAACAAGGGCCCACAAGGGTGTGTTAAATGCTGAGAGGCGGCTCAGTGCTGGCCCTTGGTTGTTGAATGAGCGATATAAGATATAAACAGGTGGTACAGAGTAAGAAATATCGATATGCAGGTATGAATGCGGGCAGTTTGCAGTGGGGTGAAATGTAAGCGGCGAGCAAAAAGGGACTTTGCTTAGTGATCATGGAGACAATGCGGAGAGCTTGTTCACAGAGACTTACTACACAGTACTACTGGATTGTTGAATCTCTGAATCTCTTACACTCGGCATTCAACGATAATGTTAATGAAAATGAAAATGAGCGCACATAGTGTACCGGATGGATTAATTATGTGCACCTACAACACACTCTGCAATACCTTCTTCATTGCGAATTTTGGTACACAAGCCTATTATAAATGACCCAAAGTTGGGGTAGTCTCGCAGTAGTCTGTACAAGTGTCATGCATGAATGGGATCGCTTGAGATGATTCGTACTGAGAAGCTATAGAGAGCTATCAACACTCAACCTCTAAAGATAATCTCCTGTCGGCCTGTCTTGGAGGCAACACCAACTCCCGCTGGAGAAGCAAATGAACAAAAGGGAGAAAAGGCAACAGTTTGCCAAGGAAAGTAACCATAAAGGCTGTTCAAGTAAAAAAAAAAAATGGTAGCGCCTGGAATCCAATGCGAGATGATGAATGGAAAAGAAAACAGAATAGGAAAGGAAGTCTCAGAATGGTCGTAATGAGGAGCGGTATCCGCGCGCTGCAAGGGAAAGTGCAAATGAAAGAAGATGTCGTGTGGCGGTCATGTTTCAGAGATGGACTATTCATCGGGACTATACAGGTTTTGGTTCAGAATCTTGGTCATGGTAAACATGTGTATGCGATCCTGTTTGAACACGGCTCGCATGGCGTCGTCGCAGCGGATCTGACGTCGGTCATTGGGATCTTGAAGATCGTGCTCCCGGATATACTGCCAGAGTCTCTTCACCGTTTGAGGTCGCGAAAGCTACCAACCCATCAATGTCAGTTTCGGAGGTAGAAACGATAAACCGCAAAAACAGGGGGAAAGCGTACCGTCACCTCGCCGTCGAGTAATGCTGACAGTGGGGGAGACAAATTAAGCGGTTTCTAAGTGAGTGTCCTTGTCAGCAAAGACCGACATGACAGAATGGGACAGAGATGGGAGACCAACGTGAAAGCCACCAGATCGGTTAGGTTCTTTCTTGGTCTCAGAGCCCGAATCAAGATCCGAATCATCCTCCGCCTTGACCTTCTTAGACGTCTTGGCCTTTGCCTTCTTCTTTACTGGCGGCGCCCTACGCGTACTAGCACCTCTAGTAGGGCGAGCCCGCATGTTCTCCTCCGCCTGCAGTTTGGCAGCATAGATGGCATCCGCGTCAATATCATGATCAGGTTTCTTCTTCTTCGCCGGTGGGGTCTTGCTCGCGGTGTCGGACTGTTCGTCACTCTCTGCTTGACGCTTCTGTGGAGAGGAGGACGGAGCGGGGGGTGACGGTTCGACTGGAGTGACTGAGGCATAGTTCTCTACATGGCCGTTGTTCGTAGGGGCAGTGGATGAGGTAGCCGCATCGGAGGAAGCTCCTATACCGCTTCTTGCGGCAAATATATCGAACCTCTCCATGATGAGCTGCTTGATTGCAGCCTGATATCACAATTCGAATTAGCGGAGATTTCATAGTCACGGCATTGGAGCCACATGAATGCGAGCATGTTGCGACGGGGTCTTGAGCGGCAATCACAGACCTTTTGCGGAGTAAGGTCATAGCCAACCACTTCCTGGAGACCTTTGCGAATGCGCTTCTCGGAAATAGTATTCAGATCGCTCTTAGCCAGTATCGCGTCGATGGCCTCGATATACTGATTGCGAATATCCGGAGATACTATCGCGAAAGGCATGATGTCAGCTCAAGAGACCAAACTCGGACATTGGGCACATGGAAATATGGGATCTTACGCGACATTTTCGGTCAAGTAGCTTCGTTGCGCGTCTGTTTTCCCAAGGGAGTAAATAAGAAAAGCAATAACTGGAGAGAATACAATTGCTGTACGACCGAAAGTAAGCTGCTGATGGTCCTAGAATGAGTCCAATGAGGAACACAGTGGTGATAGTTGAGATCGTCTAGATCTAAGCGGTCACTCACTTGGCGCTTAGTACCAGCGGGGCATCAACGAGAGGTAGATGAGATGAGAAGAAGAGGGATACTATGGAGGAAGATGGGATGAGAAGAGAGAACTCATATAAGTCTCCTATCAACAAAGGCAGCGATGAAAGCAATTGACTCAACGATTAACTTGTGCCCTTCACCTGCAGGGTCAAAAGAAGTCCGGGATAATGCGTCCGGAGATCATTTGATTGTTATGCTGCTCCTCTTCGTTCTCCAGATGTCTAGACGGAGATCGATACATGGTGTACTAGTGTGACCATCATTACTGGGCTGCGTCTAGTAGAATTCACGTATGTTACGGCGGCCATACGAAGCAGGGATCAGGCTAGGCTGTATCAGGAAACCATGCAGGAAGCCTAGCTGGAGAAGCTGCTTTGCTAAGCTGTCACATGATTCTAGATCAGCTGACTAGCTGAGTCATAATTGAGTCAGCACATCGCACACAAGTGGCTGCGGTTTGGATTTGCTCTTTTTGCCCTAAACTCGACGGCGAGCCAAAAACGGGGTCGACCAGCAGAAAATTAGACAGGATCTCATTCTTGATATTCCCAACCTATTCCCCCCCCCTCCCCATCGCCTTCGCTCCGCCCTCCCCGGTTACGAATAGCCATGGCGCCCAGTTTCGATACTCTGTCCGAGCAGGACCTTCACGAAGAGGAGGAGGAGGAGATTGACGTCTCCGGTGAGTGCGATTGTTTGGGTTCTGGTGTTTCTTTGTTGCCCCTCTCGACTGACGCGGCTTGTTCTTCGGCTTTTAGATCTTAAGGCGCAATATGAAGTGAAGCTCGAGGAGGGTTTGGATACATTTGTTGTCATCGATGGGCTTCCGGTCGTGCCCGAGGAGAGCAGACAAAAGCTCGTGAAGTTCTTGATGAGGAAACTCAACACAGTGGGCCACACATCCGAGGATGCGGTCTTCATGCCCGTTAACGATAAGAACATGTCTGAAGGGTATGTTTAGATGGAAAGGACTGGGCCAGAGAGCTGAGAACATTAATTTTTGTTTCTCTCCGTTAGTTATGCCTTCGTTGAGTACGAGACCCCAGAACAGGCCGTCGCCGCGGTCAAGCAGTTGCACGGCACCCCCCTCGACAAGAAGCACACTCTCCTTGTCAACAAGTTGATGGATATCGAGCGCTATGGCCGCGAGGGACGCATCGACGAAGAATACAAGCCCCCCACCATCGAGCCTTTCAAGGAGAAGGAACATCTCCGCTCGTGGCTTTCGGACCCCAACGCCCGTGATCAGTTTGCTCTTTACCGTGGTGATAAGGTTGGCGTTTTCTGGAACAACAAGAACAACCCGCCCGAGAACGTCGTCGACCGTGCCCACTGGACCCAGCTTTTCGTCCAGTGGTCTCCCAAGGGTACTTTTTTGGCATCCGTCCATCCCCAGGGTGTTCAGCTCTGGGGCGGTCCTGCTTTCTCGAAACAGAAGCAGTTCCCTCACCCATTTGTCCAACTTATTGAATTCTCGCCCGGTGAGAGCTATCTGACCACCTGGTCTGCGCGTCCTATCCAAGTGGAAGAAGGCCAGCCCATTTTGTCTTACGAGGAGGATGGAAAGAATATCATCGTCTGGGATATCGAAACTGGAAAGCCTCTGCGTTCGTTCGTTTCTCATGATCTCAGCGCGCCGGGAGGCGAAAGCGACGCGCAGCCCAAGAAGAAGGTGCAGTGGCCTGCATTCAAGTGGTCTGCTGATGAGAAGTACGTCGCTCGGATGCTGCAGGGTCAGTCTATCTCGATCTACGAGCTTCCCCGGATGAACCTGCTTGGCAAGACCTCCGTTAAGGTCGATGGAGTGATGGATTTCGAATGGTCGCCCGCCACTGTCAACCGTGAAGGTGTCAAGCAATATGAGCAGCTGCTCTGCTTCTGGACCCCTGAAATCGGCAGCAACCCCGCCAGAGTCGCTATGATGAGCGTACCATCTAAGGAGATTGTACGAACTCGTAATCTTTTCAACGTTTCGGACGTCAAACTTCACTGGCAATCCCAGGGTTCATTCGTTTGCGTCAAGGTCGATCGTCACTCGAAGTCGAAGAAGTCCATGGCCACTAACCTAGAGATCTTCCGGGTACGCGAGAAGGGTGTTCCTGTTGAGGTTGTCGACAGTCTCAAGGATACCGTTATCAACTTCGCCTGGGAGCCCAACGGAAGTCGCTTTGTTCTCATTACCAATGGTGAGACTGTGGCCGGTGCCGCCGTGGCCCCTAAGACGGCTGTGTCCTTCTTCGCTCGCGAGAAGAAGGGTGGTGCAGCTGGCAACTTCAAGCTGGTGCGCACCATTGAGAAGAAGAACAGCAACGCGATCTACTGGTCGCCGAAGGGCCGTTTCGTCGTTGTTGCCACGGTTCACTCCCAGACCAGCTTCGACATGGACTTCTGGGATATGGACTTTGAGGGTGAGAAGCCGGAGGCAGAGAAGGATCTGACAGCCAACGTCCAGTTGATGAAGACTCTTGAGCACTACGGTGTAACTGACATTGACTGGGATCCTACTGGTCGCTACGTTGTCAGCAGTGCTAGCGCGTGGACTCACTCGGTAAGAGGCCTTTTGTCTTCGCTTCTCATCATAAAGTTACGAATATACTGACCCTTGCGACTTTGTAGTTGGAAAATGGCTGGAACATGCATACATTCTCCGGCAACACACTCTCCGAAAACCCTACCGAGAAGTTCAAGCAATTCCTCTGGCGCCCCCGCCCACCCACCTTCCTCAGCAAGGAGGAACAGAAGCAAGTGCGCAAGAATCTTCGGGAATACTCGAAAGAGTTCGATGAGGAAGACAGATACGCCGTCGATATTGCCAACACAGCCGTCGTGGAGAAGCGCAAGCGTGTTCTCAGCGAGTGGATTGCCTGGATCCGCCGGGAGAAGGAGCTTCTGTCCGAGGACAAGGATGCTTACGGGCTCCCCGAGGATGTGGACGACCCAAAGAAGGCCAAGGACGCCCCTGCAGTCACATCCGAGCAAGGCGAGGCCGTTGTGGAGGAGATTGTCGAGGAAATCGTCGAAGAGAGCGAAGAGGTCATCGGTTGATTGGGGTTTTCTTTCCGTATCTAATGCTATCCTCTATTTACCTTTTTTCCTTTCTCTTATCCTGTCTTGTTTGTCGAGATTGTCGCCAATTTCCCTCCCAGAATATTGGGATTCCTTGTTTCCCTCTCCGCCTTGAGCCTTCTCCCATGATCTGTTGGCTTGGTTTCAGTCCAGTGGCGCCTGGCACATTCAAAAAGTGGATAGATTATGTATTGCATCTCCCAAGATGGGAAGTCATGCACGCAATGTTGGTAGTATGAGAGATGACAATGCATGAGCGAGCAACCTTCGCGTCGTATATAAATCCGATCTGTCAAAAGTAATATGAGGCGCTCTTTTCTTCATTCAGCTGGCCCCTGTTCACTGTTCTTACACAATCCTCAAGTCGTCCAAGTTCGCCACGACTGTGGTTCCCGGCGGAAGCCAGAGATGCCTCGCTCGTTGCAGGGTTAGCTGGTACACGCCTTTTACATCTAGAAGAATTCACATGTTTGACCGGAAGATGTCGTTCTCGAATACAACTAAACCATATTCACAAACAGCATCAATCCAACCAAAACATTCCGAGTTTCAGCACCCAAATACCGGTTATCATACATTCCACCCACACCACTGGTCCCCGTCGAAGTCGCAACAGCACCAGTCTCAGCACCAGTCGCCGTTGGCCCGGAGTACGTACTCGTCGACTGCACATTCACCCGGAAGAACGCATTATTGTTGCCGATAACATTCCCTGCAGGCGAGTACTCGCACACGACATACCACCCCTGCGCCCTCGTATACTGCCCGTGCTTATCCTTCGCATCACTCCCGTCGCTATATCCGCAATCAACGGCCGCGCACCCGACCTCTTTCGTGGCCCGCCAGACCAGCTGCGTGAAATGGCCCGTCTCCTCGGTAAAGCCTGTCGGTAGCTTGAAGTTGTATTTCTGGCCCTCGTCGCCCCACGCCGAGACGGCGGTGATGGGGTCCGCGTAGCCGAAGGCGAGGTTCTCGCCGTATGGCCCGTCCTGTGGCGGATACGTTAATAAGGCATGGGGGAGGTGTATGGTGGTGGTTGGGGGGGGTGTGTTGGAGGAGTGACGTACAGAGTGCCTCCATTTGCAGCCCTCTGCCCAGTCTCTAGCGTATTTTGTTAGTGTCTCGTTCCAGGTTAGTTCGCTTGCGTTGTGGTTTCGGCGATAGGTGTTGCTGGCGGAGAGGATTGTATCTTTAAAGAGCTCTGGGGAGGTGTATGAGGGTGGGTGTGGGATGGTGGGTGTCACTGCTGCTGAGAGTGTGGTTATTGACGCATGGCTTGCTAGGCAAAATTGGAACCACAGCAGGAGCTCGAGTAGTCGGCTTGAGGTATGTGTATGCATTCTGGCGAGCTTCCTGTGTTTATCGGGTACTTCGTAAAGTCCTCGGTCTCGCTATGATAGGTTTATATCTTGTGCTTCGACATCCAATGACATAGATGGCTTGCTGCGTGAACTTGATTGTTGCTCGCTGCTTATACAATCGATGGAGCAACAACAAAGTCAAGGCGCTCTTTGATTCGATCAAGGTACAAGTACAGCTTTCATAGCAATTTTAGTCAAGCAATCCCATCTGTGTGCCGTTAGAAATGACTCCAAATAGCGTAGATGTGAGGCCATACTGTTCAATGCATTATCGAGCTCCATATATGATGTACTTTCTGAACAATGAGACACTGTTGCAGACGTTGTCGGCCGTCCGAACCATAAATAACATTGAGAACCGCCATCATTTGATTGATGAAACATGCAGGCGAGAGTCGAGAAGCATGGCTGGATGACAGCGCTTACACTTTGTATCAGCAGTCGCTCATTGACGTCAGCCCCGTGTCTCCAAAGTCAAACCACAACAAAGTCAGATCGACTCGGAAGATGGACTTTGCATGATGCGGATACCTGCAAGGATCTAGAACGCTTGGATTCTGAAGAATTGATCAGACTCTGTCTCTATGATTGTATGTCAATATGACTGCAGAAGGTGATATCAATCCTTAGCCGCTGTTGTCCCAGAACAAGCCATACCCCATCCGTCCTATCCGTGAATCATCGACTGTATATAACAATGTGGGTATTCTAGGCCATCTAATTTATATATATTATGACCACATACACTGGTCAATCACATAACATTACATCCGATCCCGTACATGGCGCGTTCAACGTCGCGTTTGACCTGGTACCAGTCGGCTCGTCGCTCGGCAAACTCGTACACTTCCTCAACCCTCCAGATCCCGTAGAACCGATCGGCATCAGCTATGAGCGTTGCTAGTTCTTTGGCGTCGGATGGATCAATAAGATAGATCTGTGCCAATTCGCAGAGCGCCTTGAAATATAAGAGAAGGTCGCTGTTCCTCAAACTTTGCACGAATTTGAAGTAGTGGTTCATATCACTGGTCTTATTAGAAACAATGCATTGATACTCTGGAAGAGAAATGGAACATACCTGATGAGTTTCAAGGATCCCTCAACGCTGATCCTTTGACGCTTCAGATGCTTGCACAGGGCTGCAAAGAGTCGGAGCCCAACCTCCTGGTTGAAGACGTCTAGTGTACTCTTGTCAGTGCTTCCTATCAGCATCTGCGTGTGAGATGACACCACATCGACTACAGCGGCGGCCGCATCGCTGACAGCAACATCCATAGTCTTTCGATAAGGGTCTGTGGAAACATCAGGGTTGAAGTCAGTAGCTAGCTGTCTGATCGCGAGGATATAATCCACTTCCTCCATCAGGACATCGATGCCTTTGTTCAATCCAGCAGCGACACGTTCATCCAGGATCTGTTCAAACTTTTTCTTCTCCTTGACTGCAGGATCCAAGAAGTCACTTCGATCCGTGATCTTAGAGCCGAGAAGCTCCTGTTCGTAAAATACATCAATCATCTGCAAGATGAGATCGCCGACGTTGACAAGTTCGAGAAAGGTGACCAGTGGTTCAACCCCGGCTTGGTCGCGATCTCCTTGTTCACGAGGTCGATAATTGGACAGATGGTCGACAGCCTTGTTGAACCCAACAATGAGATGCTGATGTCCAAGAATGCGTACAAGCGTCACAAAAATCGCCTCACATTGCTGCTTAGCCGCTGCGCCGGTCTCTCCGCCGATTTTCACAAACTGAGCTGCACGTTCCAGGGTTGATTTGGCCGAGTGAACCAAGTTTAAAGCAATCTCAATGCTGAAAAGAGATCGAATACCCTCCATCTTCAATTTCATCACAGCAGCTTTGGCTGCAAGTTCTGTTGTTGGAGGAGCCTCTAAAGTAGGAGTAATGGCTGGAGAAGCAATGGTGGAAAACCGATTGGGGCTTTTCATCGTCGAGGAAGGCTCATCCGCAACAGGCTCTTCGTCGGATTTGGTTTCGCTAGGTTTAGAGCTTGAGAAACTAGGGAGAATATTGACGGGGGCCATGATCACCTTCTTGAACGATGTCAAGAAATCACGTTTGTCAGCCTGTCGGTTGACATTAGACATCAAAAACGATTCAGTTGAAGCCGCCTGTTCTGAAAGTTGCCTGTCCCATTCATCTACCACTGCTGCGGAATTCTTTCGGAAATGATCGAGCTCTTCTGCGAGGTATAGATCAGTATGAGGCTCGTAGACTTTCGCGACAATATGATCCAGGAATTCATCGAGACTATCGGTAGTGCTCTGTATCGGTAAGAGTGCTTCTGATAAGTTGAGACACTGAGCGAATGTCCCCGAGATGGCAACGAGGTATGATTCAAGGTTCGTGCGATGCAACTCATCAAAGATCGCAGTCAGAAACGGATATAGCACGTCTTGTCCGACCTTTTCAACGAATGCGGGGCCAGCTCTCAGCGCTGGGGGAAAGGCACGGTTGATGATTGACACCTCCTCGTTATAAGCCACACTCAGCCTGGTGAAGAAAGCCTGAGTGTGTTCAAGCCTGATCTCCTGGTTTTGCACATCGATACAGTCCGCCACAGTGCCTAGATCGGATTTTCGAGTGATAATATGATTATGATGGATGAAGAGCTCGACCGCGGACTTTCCCCCATTTAACATAAATAGGACATGGGCATATTTGCGCATCGCACCGTCAATATCATCGGTCTCATAGCCTTGTCGAAATTCATTCAAGGCCGCAGTTTCGAACATGGATATGGCAGTTTGTAAACGTTCATTTCGTTCCCTCCAACCCTCCGTTGTATCGCATTTGGCGAAGGATTGCAGCTGGGATAGGATTTGAGCTTGTTGTTGCGGGTCCGGATATTCCTTGAAAAGTAGATTATCTGGAGATGGACCACGCGCGGCAATATCCTCGTAGAATGGCGCCAATGCGGCATGGACTTTCCCATACTCAATGCGTGCGTCCCCACGCACTGATCTGACCTGCTTCAGCACTCCCAGAACAGAATCCTTTTCCAGCTCTTTAACATCGTCGGGGGGAGCAGATGTGGAAAGCTTGATCTGGTCGAATCCGTCGGAGAGCGTGCTCAAACTAATCGTTGGTATCTGGTCACTGGATGGGCGTCCCGGCTTCTCCTCCTGCTGTTCCTCAACCGATTCCACGTTCGCGATTGTACCAAAAGTCGCCTCGGCATGTTTTCGGGCCTCGTTCTCGTCCCAACAGCCCATGCGCTTCAACTTTTGCACCCATCTGCTATCATCGTAGGCCATTTCGCGGAGGAGTCTGGAAGACCGTGCGGCGCGAATGAGGTCGACGGGCGAGAGGTAGTCGATAATCGAGGACATAATCTCTGAGACAAGTCAGACTACTCATCGTAACCGTGATTAATTGTGCTGAGCATACCTGCTGGAAGGGAGGCTCTGGAGATTTCCTCCATGGAAGCCAGCTTGAGCGAAGCCAATACATCTCGGCGCGGTTTCCCGCCTGGCTTTGGCCCGTTCCTCGCATTCGACATCTTGTGCTCTTTGGCTCTGCATCGAGAGAGGAGCTGGTAGTTGTTTGAACAGAGGTAGAGAAGCCTACCACTGTCGTATCAATCGAGGCTGTTGAGCTATCGAGCCAACCTGCGGGGAAATTGAGATAGAGGATATGATGTGATGTGATTGTCAATCTGTCATTTTCATGAGCAGTATGTACTCATTCTTGGTAGAAAGGCATTATCCAGGTCCAAAAGATTGGACCGTGGCGTGTGTATCGATGATTATGTTTGCGGCTGAGATCCGGTAGACTATCGAAGGATTCTCGACTCTTACTGTGGCTATTTATGACTGCTGCCACCTGAGCTCGCCGCAAGCTCTCCAGAAGATCCATCAGTGGGCACACCCCACCCACCAATCAAAACTGCAGGATAGACAGTTTGATGCATTCAACGGCAAATGGCAAAACAACAGAGAACTACGGGGAGTGGGATTTATAGCTACTACAGGAATGAGAGGTAAGTCCTCTAGTAAAATAAGAATAGGATCGCAGGGTTGGGAGTGAATTGATTGACTATGGCAAGGAGTTATGTGTCGTACCTCCATCTGAGACGTAAGAATATATACAACGCTTCATATTGTTCTAATTTTGCTCTAGTAAAGTATAAAAAAATATTTTAGAGCTTTGAAGGAATTAGCAGAGCAACCAATGCCCACAATCAATGAGAAAATTGCAGAGCAGGACGTCCCAATGCTGTCAGTTGAACGAGGACAACTTGTGATGACAATCTTGTGAATGATTTGAAGACCTCAGGCACTACCTGACTGAAGATCAAAGTAAATACAAACCACCCACCACAAGGGCAGTTTCCAGTCATACAAACCTATCGCTTCTCTACAAAGCTTCCAGGAGCAACGAAAGGAAAGAATGAGCTCCACTATTTGCTTACCACCTTGCAAGGAAGTCGCTCATCAACCAGTGCTTCATGTCGAAGCTCGCGTCAAAGGCAACAGTGATGGAATCATTGTCCGAACAGACTTGGTACTGAACACCTTACGATCCAGCTGCGATCCTTCAAGGCTCTAAGTCAGGACAGCAGATCCGCAACGAGATTACACAGTGGTTAACTGACAACTTTGTCGTCTTATCTCTTGGACAGGAAATTCACTCGTTTGGTAGGTTGCAAACCACATCTCAGACATATGGAGCTTCTAACGTTGTGCTAGACGGCTTAAGGGAACCGTATGCACAAGCTCTAGATTCTATAACTGTGACAGAGTGTACCGGAGGTGATGTCGAATCTGGTGCGTACCGTCTTCGGAATGTTGAGCTCGACGTCCAAGCCTATCAACTCCGCACACAGCTCGACAATGAAGGCTCTCAACATACTCAACAGGTGGAGGACGCCACGGAACTTGACGATGATCAGGGAAAAGTAAGGGTTTTGGTGTTACCGAGCAGAGAACTAGACGGGCTATGGGAGTCGTACGGTCACACTTTTGAAAGATGGCCACGGACAGCGACTCACGATCTTCAGCAGATTGCACTATGACCAGCCTCTACAATCAACACTGCTCCGAGCCATAAGCCGAATGGGTTGGTATTCCTCATAGCAGAATCGACATTGAAGATCTCAAATAACGACCAGACAGTGTCCTTTTCTGCTAGAAAGCTTGACAAATGGACGATCAACTGGAACAGACTCATTCTGCTCTGGGGTCCCCCAGGCACAGGGAAAACGAGTTTATGGTGCGTAAGTCCAAAGATCGTCGCTTGTTATTGATGGCTGAGAAACGAAGTCGCGGCCTTTCTCAGAAACTCGCAATTCGTCTCGGAAAGCATTACCCACAAAGTAAGCTGGTTGAGATCAATGCACACTCCCTTGGAAGTAAGTTTTTTGGAGAAAGCGGCAAACTGGTTAGTAAGGCTATTGAGAATATCGAGCTACTTCTTGAGGAGGAGGAAGACACTTTTGTCTGTGTGTTCGTAGATGAGATCGAGACACTAGCAGCTCGAAGGGAACGTGTGCTGAGCGGCAATGAACCGTTTGATGCGGTTCGAGCAGTGAATGCCTTGCTCACGGGACTGGACCGGCTCAAGCAGCACCACAATGTCGTTATAATTTGCACGAGCAACCTGGTAACAGCATTGGTGAGTCTCATCTGCAGTCCATGCCAGTCGAAAGTCCAACTGAAGTTCTTCTAGGACCAGGCCTTCCTTGACCGCGTTGATATCAAGCAATTCGTCCCCCACCTGTCAGGTCGAGCGGTGTACGGGATATACAAGGAATGTCTGGAAGAGTTGAGTCGCCGTGGCATTGTCGAGGGCGGTTCATTCGACGTTATCCAGACCAACCCAGATGATCCACAGACGGCGTTGCAATATGTAGAGCAACCTGGAGATTCTCTCGTATTACCAACATTTGACGAGATGCTTCTCAACTATCAAATGTTTTCAGACGCCATACCCAAGCAGCTTGCAGATGCTGCTTACGCCAGTATGGTAGGCAAAACAATCATCGCAAAAGAGAACAGACTTGCCATTTCTAACAATGGGCATAGGGATTGAGCGGCCGTACTATCAGACGTCTGCCGGCTCTTTCTATAGTGCTCCATAGTAATCACGCTCGATGTGATGTTCGACATGCAATTCAAGCATTGCAGATGTGCATAGCTTCGGAAATCCAGGCCAAGGCTGAGGCCATGTGACGAGCCTACCCAAGGACGGTAACATACGGGAGGCCGGGGACGATCGGATGACCTCAACCCGACAAGGTTCACAGTATGTTAAGGGTCAAGTAGTATTATCCAGAGCCTGATGGTCATCGCTTTTCGTATTTAATTGAATCTTCTCTAAATATCATTGATTCTTTCTAATTCAAAGCTCATCGTCTGGCTCGATTGCTGAATTTTGTTGTTCCGAGAATTCGCGGTTTTCACCGAAGGCAGCTAGAGCCGCTCCGGCAGCCAATCAGAGCGAGGGTTTAGCCAATTCCAAACCCAAGAGAAACTTGACGGTTCGACAACCTCAACTTCACCTCCAAAAGCACATCCTCCTGTGCGCTGAGCCTATTCCAACCCCCCTCCCTCCCCTCCCCTCTCCACCGTCTGTGGCTATTGTGCCTTCCTCTTAACCTATTAATCGGAGGGTCCCAATTACCGTCAGTATGCTGGCACGTACTGTTCTGCGCAGCGTGCCCTCCCGGGGTATCGCCCGTCAGTCGTTGAGCAAGACCACCACGGTACGCACTGTCCCGGCATCTGACGTCCATTGAGCGAAATGGACAAGGACAATTGTTCTACAGTTGCATTGTGAAAATGGAGCCAGGGTTGTTTACTGATGAACTACGCAGCGTGCGTCTTCCTCGACAGCCGGTGCCGAAGCCGCCAGCTCCCCCTTCCACCTCACACTCACTGCGTCCGTCGCAACCGCTGCCGCCGTCGGATCCGCCGCCTGGTACTACACTGTCTATGGAAAGGAGGCATTTGCTATGACACCTGCTGAGGAGGGGTGAGTCAATCGATCGCGATGGGTGGGACAACAGGCCATATAATGAGCTTTTCCGTTTCTCCGATACCGATCGTCCATTTTCGATTTCAGGATAAAGAGAAGGCTGACACATGGAACCATAGTCTGCACCCTACCAAGTACCCCTGGGAGCACGAGAAGTGGAACAAGACCTTCGATCACGCCGCGTGAGTTTGTTCCTTCACTCATATATTGTGTGCTTGCAGCGCAACACGGGTTCTTGTTTGCTCATCATTTCTTTCCATAGTCTCCGCCGTGGTTTCCAGGTCTACCGTGAAGTTTGCGCCAGTTGCCACTCGCTCACCCGTGTCCCATGGCGTTCGTTCGTCGGTGTCATGCACACCGTCGATGAGATGAAGGCCTTCGCCGAAGAGAACGAATACGACACCGAGCCCAACGACCAGGGTGAAATCGAGAAGCGTCCCGGAAAGCTTTCCGACTACATTCCCGCCCCCTACAAGAACGAGGAGGCTGCCCGTGCCGCCAACGGCGGTGCTCTGCCCCCTGATCTCAGCTTGATCGTCAAGGGCCGTCACGGTGGCTGCAACTACATCTTCAGCCTTCTGACCGGTTACCCCGATGAGCCCCCAGCTGGTGCTACCGTCGGAGAAGGCATGAACTTCAACCCTTATTTCCCCGGAACCGGTATGTCGTGAATCTAGCTTCTTTGCCTATCAGATCTTTTACTAACCTCAATTTAGCCATTGCCATGGCCCGTGTCCTGTTCGATGGTGTCGTTGAGTACGAGGATGGCACCCCTGCCACCACCTCTCAGATGGCCAAGGATGTTGTCGAGTTCCTCAACTGGGCCGCTGAGCCTGAGATGGACGACCGCAAGAAGATGGGTGCCAAGGCCATTACCATGCTCACCGGTCTCTTCGCCCTGAGCGTCTGGGTCAAGCGCTACAAGTGGTCTCCCATCAAGACGAGAAAGATCGTGTACAGCCCCCCCGTTCCCCGTCGCTAGATGCTGCAGCGGACATGTATGAAATACCAAAAGCGAAGGGTTAGGTGCCGGGACTGGGAACCTTGAATGCTGCTAGGTTCGTGTCGTTGGTGCACCTTCATGCATCGGTTTTTGTCTATGCTTCTGCTGCGTGTTTGTTTGTTCCACGTTACTCAGGACACCTGTATCTGTACCCTAGATATTTCTTCTCCTTTCGAAAATCTTGTTTGAAGATTCAAAGATGTCAATTTCATTTTCCTTTGTCATGTGAGAGCCCTCTTTTCTTGCGCACTTTGCGCGGTACAATATCGCACTGTGTGGCTATTTCCGAGGCATCCGTCTCCCCTGACCTGGAATTCGTCCAAACCTGTCCATGAGGAGTATCGTCAACACTGGGATGACATAATCAATAAATTTGTACTTATTTTTTTGTGGATTTCTCTGCTTATTTCCGTCAAATAGTAATATGTACAACCAGAGCCTGCGACTAGCGGGTACTTAGATTAATAAATGGATTATCTACTGAAGAGATGACTTCCCATCTTGGATTGTCCTCTCCCCATCGCCAAAAACCCTCGCGAAGATGTTGTCATAAGCACTCCACATAGCGAAGAATACCAGATCCGCCAATTTCATTAGCCACGGCGGGCTGCGGCCATCAGGACCGGCCAGCACTCTGGACAATGTCATTAGCGTCAAGAGCACGGGGCCCCACGAGAAGAGGAAAACGAATTTGCCAATCTTCTGACGGACAGAGGTGATCTGATATGTTTTGATCTGCTCAAGATGATTTCGATACGCAAGGGGCAGGTTATGTTCAGCCGCGCCGGTCGTGATCAAATTGAGATAGCGAGCGGAGGGCTGGGCATAGCCAGGGTTGGGTCGGACAGGCTTCCAAGGCGAGGAAAGCGGACGCTTCCCCATGGCCGGGAGTCTTGAGCTTGCGTCGTCGACGGGGGAGAGGAGGGTGTGAGACTTGCAGGGCTTCGTTCCGGGATATTCGGGGATTGGGTCGGCGGGGCTGTATGACTGCGGGAAGGGGTAGCAATCGACAACGACGTCCCGGTAACCGCGTCCTCCGCCCTCTGTAGCTATGATTTTGGCATAATCGGCAACCGTGACCTCATATACGACGCCGACAAGAGGGATGGAGTTCTTCTCGTGCGAGATAAGAGTGGATTTCTCCGATACACCTGCATCGACTAGCTCGGTATTCCCGTTCCCATCTGTCTGTATATCACTCGGTGTGTGGGCACGGTGTCGGGTTCCTGCGAAGCATGGCTCCGCGTACGGTAATCCGGGAAGGTCAAAGGTCAACCGTAAGCTCGGCACGACGACATTGATCTGCGATAAAGGCCTGATGCCTCGCTGGCCCAAGAAGGTTTTCGCGGCCAAATTTGAGCCGTAAGCAAGGTATAGGACGGTCTCTTCGGGAGGTGCGACTTCTTCGATGCGGTGGGTTGCGACTTTCTCGGCGAGGTATTCGTCGTTGTCCAGCGACCTCTCCGTAATTGAGGCCCGCCGCCTTGCAACCGTGGTCTTGGGAGGGTGTCGATTGGTCTCTTGGATAGAGAGGCCCTGCTCGGTGCTTGGGCTGGCTATTTCCCAAAACCACCAGAACGTTTGGATGGCATTGAACTTGTAAGCAGCAAAGGTTCCAGAGCGTTCTTCTGCATCCGGGGTACTAGGTGGCTGTATGGCCATCTTGTCTATCGGTTCATGCGCAAGGGGCTATCGTTCCTGGCGTCAGTTTGCTTGTGAAATTTGTCAGTTCATCTCTTTATTACGACAGCAATGGAGGCATTTAAAGCCTTCTCATTTGAGGCAGCCATTGCTTATGCGTTTTCTTTCTAATCAAGGAATATCATAGTCATTTGCACGGATCATCGGGATGCGGAGCAATAGAAGCCCGCCTCGGCACGGAGTCCGCTAACTCCGTTCTCCGTTTATTCCTCCGTATAAACGGAGAACGGAGCATGATGATCTTACAGCTCATGTCGCTGGAGTGGCCGGCGGAGTTGGCTATTTCACCCGTGACCCAAGTCATTATTATTTCGCGGAGGTAGGGAAAAGTAAGGTATAATTCGCATTATTATCTGAATTACTATCTATGATACGGTGCAGATAATCTTCCCCTTGGTCTGATTAGTTTCCATCAACTTGTGCGCCTCAACGATTTGCTCCATTGGGAAGACCTTCTCCACAAACACCTTGAAGCTTCCATCCCTGAATTTGGGCAGAGCATGTTCCACGAGAGTATCCCGTAGCTTCTTTTGGTATCCCTCGTCTCTGCTTCGCAGAGTGCTGCCCTCGAATCGGATCCTCTTGCGAAGGAACGGAGAAATGTCAACACCTTCAGGAAGCTTGGTTCCTCCCAGGAATGCGAGATTCACGATGTGACCATCTTTGGCGGCAGCATCCAAGTTTCCTTGAAAATAATTGGCTCCAATATAATCAACGATGACATTCACACCTTCTCCGTTGGTCGCCTTCAGGACTTCGGCGGACCAGTCCTGCGTATGGTAGTTGAACCCAGCAGTTGCACCGAGCTCTTTGACGCAGAAATCTATCTTCTCCTGAGAGCCGGCAGTCACATAGATTGCCTTGGCCCCGTCTGCCTTTGAGAGTTGGATACCAGCGATCGAGACTGAAGATGCACCGGCATGCCAGAGGACAGACTGACCCGGCTTGTACTCTCCGACTAAATACAGTGCCTGAGTGGCTGTGATCCAGGTCTAAAAAGAAGGTTAGGGAGCCGCCTTCAAGTGTCTCGAATTGTTCTTGAGATGCAACTTACCTCTGGAATTCCCGCTGCTTCCTCCCAGGAAAGCTCCGATAGCTTGTGAATAAGCATATTAGTAGACACGGCAATGTACTGAGCATAGGCACCTATGGAGCGGGAATTTAGCAGTGATATGTAATGGGAACCTTCGATGTGCTAACCTCCATAAGCCAGACCGAACACTTCGTCTCCGACCTTGAAGTCCTTGTTGGCATTAGGCCCCAGAGTTTCGATAGTACCTGAAAATTCAACTCCCAGCGTCTCTGGTGCCTGAGGTGGAAGTGGATATTTTGCCTCTCGCTGAAGTAGATCCATGCGATTTAGGCCGAATGCCTTGATCCTCACGAGTGCCTGGTTGCCGCTGACGGTAGGCAATGGGATATCGTCAACATCGAGGGCATCCGCAGGGCCTTTGCCCCCTCGCACAACTATTCTTGTATCAGCACCCGGTTCATGGCTGGTAAAGAAGTAGAATACTCGAACTGACCAACTGCCCGCATAGTCTTTGGATGAGCCATTTCTGGGATAGAAACAAAACGGTGTCACTTATCAGATCGGAAGTTGATTGTATGCTGGTAGCCTTCCTCGGAAATATTCCTTTTATATACGCTTTCCAGTTGGAAGAAAACCCTTCGAAGCAGCTTTAGGAATCAGGGTATATCATCTTTAATACTTCTTGAGCTCCACCGGCATGTTCGCTGTGATTGATAATCGTGCCCCACTACCGTCATCGGTAGGTGCGTCGTTGGGGAAGTGATATTGCCGTGCATTTAGCAAGAATGCTAATTGTACACTACTTGATTGGTTTTCCAGTAGCTTGTTGCAGGAGACCGAAGCGGCACCGATATTTTTTTGGGTATCAGCACGTCCTCGACATAAGCAATACCGAGGGAAGTTAAATCACGTCAGTTGTGCTGTGCCGATATCCTTGGCTTACAGATGATTGCTGTATTCCTATCTTTTGAACCCCTTGAAAAGATTGTGTGGCAGGGGCATCTGATTCTAACAGTTGCTGGTTTAATGACTCTGATCATGATGGCAATACTAAAGAAAAGGTTGAAATCATGTCTAGATACGTGAAAGATCAAGCAACTTCCACCTCCTTTGCATAGACAACAGTCTCATCTTTTGCATAGACAACACTCTCATCCATAGTCGAGTTTGCAGTCGCAACTACTCGAGTGAGCCAATCTAGATTGACCCCCTCTGATGCAGCCATAAGGGGTTCAGCGCCACGCCCCTCCCTCTTCAACATCAGCTCCGCCCATTCCGTAATCAATCCAATCAAGCGCTCGACCTGCTCAAACGTGTTATCGGCATGGAAGACGACCCGCACGCGCCCCTCTCCCTTCGGAACAACTGGATAGTCGATAGGCCAGACGCAGTAGTTAGCGAAATGGCAATGAGCGGAGAGGAGATGATTCTCAAGGCCGCGGTGATTGATGGGAACAATGTGTGTGAGGAACCGTCGCTGTTCCCAGTCTTTGCCCAGTGGGAGGGAGAGGATCCCGGCTGCTTCGGCGCGGATGTAGGTTGGGTGGGCAAGAATGTTTTTGAAGAAGTATCGGACGAGGTCTTGGATGTGGTTTTGCCGCTGTGGATGGGTACGTTAGTACCAGCATTTTTTCTTCTTTTTCAGCTTCAGGAGGAGTGTGAGTTACCCTTCGAGTCAAGCCGGATTTGAGAAGGGCATAGCCTCCTTTAATGGCGGCCAAAGCCGGGAATGAGGGGGCCGTAGAAAAGATCAGACAGCGGGCGAAGTTGAGGAGCATGTCTTTGATCGTTTGGTCGCACAGAACGACCGCTATCAAGTTTAACCAACGGGTGCTAAGAAGAACACAAATTAGAAAGCTCACTCACCTCCATGAGATCCCAGTGCCTTGCTAAACGGATGCAGCCGGATAGCAAAGCTCTCCTCCAACCCTAAAGCACAGACAAGGCCTTTCCCCTGAGGCCCCATTAACCCTGTACTATGCGCTTCGTCGATGAAGAACTGGAAGTTTCCAAGCGGAAGGATATCCTTCGCAGCCTGGAGCAGGTCTTCCACCGGGGCGATATCTCCATCCATACTATATACCGACTCGATGGATACCAGAACCGTGGATTTCCCAGATAAGATGGATGGCAGAGTCTCATGTAAAGTAGTAAGAACCTCACGAAGAGACTCTACATTGTTATGCCGGAAGGGCCTGCGGACTGTGGCACGACTGGTCCGCATCCCCTCGTGGATGCTGCCGTGCACGAGTTCATCGAAGACAATCGCATCTCCTGGCTGAGGAATAACTGAGAAAACAGCGCAGTTGGCGTCAAATCCACTATCAAAGAACAGGCCAGTCTTTGCGCCGTGGAACTCTGCAACTTCGTGCTCCAGTTCCTCGACATATGCATGGTTTCCATCCATGAGACGGGAGCCACTGCTCCCCAGGACAAAGTTGGGTTTCTTCGCCAGCTCGTCAAAAAAGGCCATTCGAAGTAGCCCGGACCTATGTTGCACACATCAGTAGGCTGCTTCTCACTCCTATAGTTGATAGAGACGGGGCTACGTACTTGGACAGCGACAAAATGTCGCAGGAAGAGAAGTCCACCACCTCACGGGCGGGAAGTAGAGTCAGCATTGTCTGGTCCCTGCGGCGCTTGTCTAGGACTTTCTCCAAGTTCAGGTAAAATGAAGGAGCGTCTTTCATCTCATGCGCCTTGGGCTTTTGAGCTTCCAAGACCTTGGCCATCATGAGAACAGCTGATTGGTCAGCCATGTTGTTCGTTGCTTCACTTATTTGAGCTGAGATTGATGATTGTTGAACACTAGAAACTACCCAAACACAACTACCCAAACACAACTACCCAAACACACTTTTATATACTTGTACTGGATACATCGGAGACTCGGGAACGGCAACGGTACAGACTTAGGGCTAAGACGGACGGACGGGGAAGGGGACGCCGTCGACAGAGTAAGACGGCTTCCGTCGCCGCTACATAGACTATAGCCCCCGTCTGCAACGCTTCAGACAAGGAGGCAGAGAACAGGCCGCTATGAATTTCTCTGGGCAGGTTAGAATTGTGCATCTCAATACGAATACAACAACTGACACAAGCAGACTATCTTTATTGGTGGTGGCTCGAAAGGGCTGGGCTATGAGCTCGCTGTACTGCTGATCAAAGCACATGCCGCGCATATAGTCCTCTTTGCGCGGAACCAGGAACAACTCGACATCGCAAGAACCTCCCTCGAGAAGTTGGCACAGAAGAATCAGTTGGTTCAGACACGATCTGCCGACCTTTCTGATCCAGCACAGGTGGGAAGTCTACCCGAGCAAAAGTCTCGCACGCTGATGTGTCTTTCTAGATCGATGATGCCTTTGGCGCCTTTCCAATCCCAGATTATCTATTCTGTGTCGTAGGCGGTGCGACAGTCGAGTTAGGCTACCTGATCGACAAAGACCCTGAGCATATCCGATCATGCATGAATACGAATTACTTCACGGCCGTTTTCATGGCTCAGGCCATGCTACGGATCTGGGTCAATGCGCCGCCGTCTCCCCAAGGAGGCCCTAATGGCAAGCCCCGAACCCGACATCTAGCATTCACCTGCAGTGTCACGGCCTTTGTTGGGGTCCCGGGATATATTGCCTACACACGTATGCCCTTTCCCTTCCTATTAGCTTGTTACAAGAGGAAACTGAGCTCGGATATTCAAATATAGCCACGAAATGCGCCGTCCGCGCCGTAGCAGACACCCTCCGACAAGAGGTCCTCCGCTACAACACCGCCGCCGTTAACTACAAAGTTCACTGCGCTTTCCCAGCGAACTTCGTGACCCCTTCCTTCATCGAAGAACAGAAATACAAGCCCGAGCTTACCAAGCGTATAGAAGGTACGGATAAACCTGTTCATGATTTGATAGAGAAGACGCCTTCGCCTACTGAAGTGGCGCGACGGATCTTGGACGGCGTGCATAGAGACGAGTATGCTATCTGGTATGATTTTGAAAGTTCATTCCTTCTGAGTAACATGCTTGGCCCAACGCCAAAGAGGGGCTTTGGCATTGTGGACTCGTTGCTTATGGTTTTGGCGTGGATTGTTTGGCCATTCGTGCGGAGACAGCATGATGAATTGTGTCGGAAGGATGGTATAGCCGGTTGAACATGGGACCATTGCTCTATAGACGAATATAGGACACGTTATCGATGAATCTCATCATCGCTGTCCAAGGTAAAAGGCATAACAGACTATAAGAACTACTTGGGTTACCAACGTGCGTATATAAACGATGTTGGCCGGATGACTCTCTCGACGCTTCCTAGCCTACAATATAGTCTCACGCCCTGACACTCCGATCATATTATTCTTCTCTTAGGGGTTGACATGGTCCTCGATTGCGGACCATCGACGCCAATAGAAGAGCACAATGAATATATTGGACGTGTATCGCGGTCTAAACACAACGCCACCTCTTGCTGCATACATCATAACGTCTTAAGCAAAGGTGTCTGCTGCAAACCTCCCCTTATTCATTTTTGCCAGCCAATTCTGATACTCGTCCTCGCCCCTGACCTCTCCATTCGCCTCAACGGTAGCCATATAGATTCTCCTCGCCACCGCGAGAACTGAGTCTCTCAGCTCAACCGGTCCGCATAGATAGAAGCGCGCCTCGCCCTTATACATATCAACGAGTGTCTCGCGCTCATCCCACAGTTTATCCTGGACGTGCTTTCGGTACGGAAGTCCAGAATAGGCATACCGCACAGTGACAATACCCGCTTCTTCCAATTGATCGAGTTCCGAGCCATAAAGCCTGTCATGTTTGGGTGATTTGCAGCCGATGAAAAGAAGTCCGGGTGCAAGTTTCTGTCCTTTTTCGGCCCGACAGACTCGTTCCTGGACGAACGCGCGGAATGGCGCAATGCCGGATCCAACGCAGATCATCACCATGGGGGTTGTTTCTGGATTATCCGGGAAAGTAAAACCAGAGTTGGATGGACGGATTGAGCAGAGGATGCGTTGGTCCGGTTTCAGGCGGGTGATGTAGTGGGTTGAGATGCCGAGGACTCGTGTTTCCCTTGCTGTTGGCTCTGGATTGTCTACAATGGACACGGTTAGGGAGCATGATCTTGCGCAGTTCAAGGGAGAGGATGAGATGGAGTATGGCCGGGCTCGAAGAGGTTGAAGCATGGAGATGAAGTCCGCGAAGGATATCGTAGACGATGGAGCATGCTCCAGAAGGTCTAAGATGCTGATTCTCTTGTCCTGAAGAGAGGTTGATGAGGCGGCCTGGTGGCTTAACTTTTCTCGTTCTGTCAAAACAGGGGTCGATAGTGAGATGCGTTCCAGAATCTGTGGTAAGTTAGTATGAACAATAATATAGTTGAATTAGATTGGAATTCTTACCTTTTGTGTGGCAGGCTGGGAGAGCTCAACATATCTGCTCAAGGCCTCCTCCACGGATATTTCTTTGCCGATGGGTAACACTGTGGATAGTCCTCCAGTCACTTTCATGTATGTGCCTTCCGCAAGGCGGAAAAATCCCATCGCCCTTTGAACAGTGACTGGGGGGTTCATTGGCAGGATATGCAGATAATCACCGACTGTGTATTCCGCATTGGGTGGGAGCGCAAGCTCAAGGTGTCTTTTTGCTTTTACACCTGATGCTGTAAGCAATTTGTTTTCGATCACGGAAGCTTCAATAAACTCCTGCCCGTTGGTGGCTTGTCTCAGATGGTTGGTGAACTCAACTGTTAACTTGCTGGGCAAAGGTCGGAGCTCTGAGATCGTGTATTTAGCTCGTAAGGCCGGCCACAGTTGGTTTCCGTACCAAGTTTCGAATGTCTCTTGCACAACCATTGAGGACACATCAGCGAGCCCTAACTCGAGCAAGCGATGTGCCCCCGCATCACTTAACAGTCTGTCAATAAGCTTCGGGATGCGGTGGAATGTCGCCGTCCAGTCGCGATTCCCACAACCGAAGACTGCAAACGAGACTCCGGACAGAATGGGCTTCTTGATTTTTTGCAGCCAGGAGACGAACTTAGCCGCGTTGGCAGCTGGCTGTCCCTCGTAACTGGCTGCTAGGATAATTACCGGCCAGTCTGTTGGTAGCTTTTCCAATGCTGAGTCCAACGGTAGCATTGTGGGATTGAATCCATATCGGGACGCATCGCGGCTAAACTGACGAGCTAGTGACTCGCATGTGCCGGTATTGGATCCGTAAAGAACGGTGATGGGCTTTAATTTATCTCTCACAGCTGGGGTCATTGTTGCTTCTGGGCCAGGCCTACTTTTGGCCTCCTGATCATTGAACAGCCGATTCGCGAGTTGCACAGCGTCGATGCCTGGTCGTGGTTTCACGCGGAGGAAGAAGTTCCTTAGCCGGAGAGTCACAATCTGGTCAATATCGAGTTCATAGTCGGGGTCATGTTGCTCGACGTCGAAGTTTTGCGCTAGCAGTGCGGTGATCAACACCATCTCAGTCATAGCAAAAGGTCGACCGATGCAGGAACGTGCACCATTTCCGAAGGCCTTAAGGGACGGCTAAAATGAGTACCGGTAAAAGATTAATGAGAAACAGATGTATGTACGTACCTTCCAGGCATTCTTTGGCAGAGCACTCAGCTCCTCGTCTACCATTCTTTCCGGCCGAAATTCATCTGCATCCTCGCCCCAGACGTCCGGGTCCCGGTGAATGGCCGGCAGGAGAGCAATGATCGTCTGGCCTGGCATCAAGGAATACTTGTCTTTGCCGATTACTGTAGGATTTTGTCTATCTTTGGGTTTAAAGGCGATGACAGGAATAGTCGGCCACAACCGAAGCGATTCGCGAACGCAGGCAGTTATATAGCGAAGTTTCGAAAGGTGCTTGGAGGTGATTCGACCACTTCCGACGACAGCATCTACCTCATTCTGGACCTTTTGCCAGACATCTGGGCTTTTGACAAGATAGTAGAGAAGAAAGGCAATCCCACCGGATGTTGTTTCATGGCCTGTTACCGTCAGCCGGAACTGGATGAGCATCGTCATGGCTGGCCAGAGCCTACATACCTGCTATAAGGAATGTGACCATATTGTCAATGATACTTTCCTCGGACATCTGTCGACCAGTTTCAGGATCGCGACCCTTGATCAACACATTCAATATATCCTGGTTCTCAGTCGGATTTTTCCGTCGAGCATTGATCAGTTCCTTTGCAAACTTGCGAATGAAATCGATATCGCGATCATATTGCTGCCGATACCACCATAAGAGACGAGTTGCAAAGGCTGGTCTCTGCGCCCGATAGTTGGACTCCCTCATAAAGCCGTCCATTGCCTGCGCGAAGGGGGGCTTTTCTTCCGAGTAGAGGGAATTCAACCGCACGCCCATTGCACACAGAGTGACAGCATCAAGCGTGAATCGGGTACAGTCCTCTTGCACATTGATCGGTTTTGACGGACCTTGACGGGCCCATTTTAGGATAAGCTGCGACGCAATATCGTAGATTCCTGCACGTTTAATTAGTGATTCTATTCTAGTTCGCATCAAGACACTTAGTCGCTACCATGGAACATATCCTGAATAGGAACGGGACCAAAAGCAGGCACGATAATCCGGTGAGCGATCCCCCAATTTTGCTCGTTTGGATGCGCCGTGAACAGGCTGTCATGGACGAGGTTTCTCATCTGTGATAGCGGACCAGACACCGACTTTACAAAGCGACTCTCGTCGCACAGCTCGTCGAATAGCTCATGGTTGCTGACGACTATGCGGGTGATGTTGACAATACTAAGTCTATATATAGGCCCTGTGCCCCATGAGCTTCTGTATCGACCGGGGTCATAAAGATACATACCATGGATATCCCCCAGTCGCCGAAGGCTCTTAACGGTATACTTAGGATCGATTTCAAGTAGACTCCCGATATAGGGGAGCCCTGGTGGTTGTGGAATTTCCGACATTGCAAGTTAGCCCCAAGGTCAGTGCTGTCGACTCAAAGGCCTTGCCTACCTCGGACTTCTCGTTCCAGAGATTGGTATTTAATTCCATCTACACTTACAGCCTCGAGTCCGTACGCCGTCTTTCGTAATCGAAGGATTATGAGCACACCGTTATACGGCTTCCGTCTCCGTCTGGCGGGTTACCGGCCTGGTTTGTCGGACCATGCCTGACAGCAAAATAGCCGAATCATGTTCTATAGCAGAAAGATGGCAGTACATACCCCTCAAAGGACACAATATATCTCCATGAACGGTGCGGTTAGAGTGGACGCATCGCAAAACATACATCTTACGCGTGTGCCATGCTATAGTCTAGCCATCCAGATACTTAAGCCCATACTCAAGACTAAGAGTCAATATCAGCTTACAGGTGTACAAGGAGCAAAAGTGTATAGATCAAAAAGGAATGAACAAATTTAGTGTATGAAGGAGAAAGGACTTACCTCACGACAGCCGCAGATCAAAGGATGGAACAATCGATGAAACGAACCTGTAGAGAAGCTAGGTCTAAACCAATCTCAATCTTGGGCCAACGCTTTCCGAGATTTCTACGGAGAAACCAGGTCTCTTGCTTGTCTGCCAGCCGGAAATCAGCTGTCTTCTACCCTTCTCATGTATCCGTCTCCAATATTGCTGATAGGACTTTCTCTTCTGTCACTGCACTAGCAAAAATAACATCAAAACTCTCTGGCAACACCCCAAAACACCCACATCGGGCTCTTTTTCTCTGCCTCCGGGACCGCGACCATGGCCACATCACTGCCGCCCTTGCTGAGTATCTACCTCCGGAGTCTAGCAATGGGCCAGGCGTCACTATTTTGTATGATATGCTGCTTTTCACTTTATGTAAACATGAAGCTATTTCGTCACAGTCTCACGTTGCCCTATGGTTGTGCCCTACTTAGTAGTCGGACTTGTTCGCTCCAATGCCAATAACCTTCACCTCTCCAATTCAGATTACCCCTTTACCCAACGAGCCTACCAACTGTAATCTTTCACTTTGCATCAAGTCACTGTTCCTTCAGTTCCTTCAACTGGGCGAGATGCACAGCCTTCCTCTGGGAAGGCCAACTATCAACTTCAGCTTTCGACGGTGGACTTTGCAAAGTCCGCTTTCCAAGATACTTTGTGTCCATAAAACGGTCCCAGAAAGTAAAGTAGTTCGCCATATTGCTCTTCACGACCAAATTAGCAAGGGGCCAAGCGCTGCGCTGGAGGGACCACGAATCACAAATGAAGCCAAGGGGAAAAAAATAAAGAAATGGAGACATACCTTCATTCCCCACATCTGGTGATGAATTGCATGATACACACCACTCGCACCGGTCAAACGCCCGTAGATCGTAAACGGACTCCATGGGAGACAGTATCCAGAGTGATCATCCACTTGCTTCATAGTAGCGAAGGTGAAGAGCACGATGGCTTCCCGATTACTCAGACCGACTATGACTTGCGCCATCACGCACGCCATGATATCCGAGAGGAAGCTTTCGGTGAAGCTGTTGTACAGGGCGCCGTAGGCGTACGGGGTGTGTAGCTCGTGGTGGATGGAGTGGATGTTACCTTTATTTGCAAGATGTCAGATACTACATTAGCTTGGGTGAAGAATGGGCTTACGGTATATCCACTGGACCTTGTGTGCGGTGAAGTGGAACCAGAAAACCCATGTATCTATCACTGCCAGGGCGAGGAGTTGACGGCCTAGTAGGAATGAGACATGGATGATAGTCGAGGCTATTCTCTGTAGTAAAATTTGGGAATCCCATGAGTAAGTAGAAGGATGGTGCGGCGGGTAATAGCTCCAGATTAGGTCTGTCCACCAGGCTGAAGTCTCATCGCCTGCTGAGCCGATCCCAAGGTAGTCCATAACAAATCCTAGGAGTAGTTGGCCTACATGTAGGGTCAGGACCGTCTTGATGACATGAGCTTTTGAGGGGATATTGCGGCGGTGTTCTTCTTCCGTCGGTTGCAGGCGATACTCAGGAAAAAGATCAAAGTAGGCGAGAAGTTCGTAGAATGTCGCCGACAGCCAGTAACTGGAGACAGGGATGACGGCTGTGAGCTGGGCTTCATTGAATCCGAAGTATAAATCTGGCCGGTGAACGCGGCTGTGCAAGGATTTCATCAGGGACTGGAAGAGTCCTGTGAGTTCCTGGGTTGAGCCCATCTTTAGAGTGGTTTTATAAGGCACTATGATCGAGTTGAGTAGTTAGGTCAAGTCGTTCCTAACCGGTCGGACGTATAAATACGTATTGGCTCTTCGGGCTCCGGCGAATGGACGGTGTGACTAGCTAGGTACATGGTGATGGAGACCTCAATTGAGTGAGCAAGAGCGGCGGCTTCCGAGTCCGACGGACCGCAGAAAGTCTGTCGTCGTCGGCAGTATGTGGAAGGTCAAGGAATATCCCTACGCTATCTTGCGTTATGTGATTTATATCGATCCTGGTCGTAGGTGTCTATTGTTTCTGCTTACTGTCAACCGGTGGTCAAACACTGCTGGATAAATCAGGCTACCTTGGATAATCATCCAACCTAACTGAGATAAAATTTCGCCCTGTCTATTTTACAATGCTAGATACGTTGCTCCTGAAGCCTTATGTCGGCAAAGCCCTGCCTTCCTGTCTCATCCCTGTTCAATGGCTTACACTTGACGAAGAGACTGGTCAACAGCCCAACAGGCGCCAGTACCGCCAGTGCTATCCAGACGTAATGCAAGCTGACGGCGTAAGTTTCAAGTATTTTTTGTTTGGCTAACGGATATCCGTCAAGAGACGACAACTTTTCGATGGCGTAGACTGCTGTACCACCGTCTTTATACTGCTCCGCTACCGCCGGGAGGTTCTCCAAGCGCGAAACACGAGCAGTGTACGTATTAGAAAAGATGGCGGCGCTGATTGCAAGGCCAAGTATCTGGCCAGTGAGCCTGAAGAAAACCAGGGTGCCCACTGCAAGACCGACATCATCAACATGCATCTTCGCCTGCAAGGGAATGGCGATTATCGTATACAAGATGCCCACACCTATACCCCCCGGAACCTGGAGGCTCAATTGAAGGCTTCTGGAAGATTGCAGGTCCAAAAGCGACATAATCCCGACACCCACGCTGATGGTAACCCACCCTGTCCACATGATCCAGTTGTACTGGGAACAGAAAGTAACCAAGAACGCCGCAACTGAACCAGAAGGAACGGCCAGGAAGCTGAGTGGAAAGGCACTGATGGCGGAATCTATCGGTGATTCCTGCTGGACGCCTTGAAAATAAAGAGGGAGAATATAGATAACAGAGGCTGTTATCAGCCCATGGATTAGAGACCCAATCATGCAGCACACAGAAGTTGTGCCTGCAAGGATCCGATGAGGAAGCATGGGGTCTTCAGCGCGATATTCATGGAGTACAAGGACTCCTAGTATCAGCGGCCCGATTGTCAGTGGCACGTATGTCTGCCACGCCCTCCATGGGAAAAGCACGCCTCCCCAGCTAAGGGGAGCGATTGTGGCAGCAAACCCAATGACAAAAAGCCCCATCCCGACCCAGTCAATGCGCTCCCATTTCATTCGCGAGGACATTTCGACCGGTTTCAGACGAAGAAAGAGCATACTGAGTGCTGCACCCACGCCTAGAAGCGGCTTCGACATATTAGCGCATGATGCTATTTCCTCTACTGGGAAGACTCTTGCTTACCAGATCTATCCACGCAACCCATCTCCAACTGACATACGTCGAAAAAGCTCCCCCTACCACAGGTCCCAAAACGGAGCCCATAGCGGTGGGAATGTTTAACAAGCCGACATAAAAGGCTCTTTCTTTCAGGCTAGTTATATCGGTGACGATAATCTCAGTCAGTACATCCACCCCTCCACCGCCAATCCCCTGGACGAGCCGGCCGGCAATGAGCACATAGATGTTCGGCGCCCCACCGACAAGGGCCGCTCCAGCTGCAAATAGGAAGACGCAACTGTAGAGTAGATATATTCGACCGAAGATGTTGGAGAAGCTGGTGACGAGAGGCTGGGTCAGCACAGTTAACAGCAGGAAGACCGAGTTGGCCCAGAAGTATTGCACGGTCGACGCGGAAAAGTCGTTTTGAATACTCTGCGCGAAATTAGAATCAGCATCGCAGTCTCTCAGGGGGTTCCTACCGGAAGGGCTATAGGAAAGATCGTAGTCTCCAGCGCATGCGTGAAGGCGTAGAGTGAGAGGGATAGGAAGGTAAGATAGAATCCCACGCTTTTGCCTTCAGTGGCCTGGGACATGGCAAAATCTCGCCGGTTCCAAGATTAAGAGGGCCAGGAGATCAGAAACAAAGGAAGGACGCGGGTTATAAAAATATGGATACCTATCAAGGAGCGGCTTCCGCCCCCGAGACGAGTAAACACGCTAACTGTGCATAAGACCGGGGTTTACCCCTCTGCCATCTTTCTACCACTTCTCCTGCACTTCAGTCGAATCCAGAATGAACGCTGTCGACTCTGCAGAGCCTTTCTGGGGCCCTCCGACTTCGAAGGCTAAGTCTGTATGCCATCTCGCGCGTTTCTTCGTTTGCTGACCATCGACAAAGCTTCTGCGAGACGGACTACGCGGTGAGCAGATACATCGCCGAGTTTATCAACAGTTTGACAAATGTCGTCTACAGTAAGCAACGGCAGCGAGGTATACCGGAACGAGTGTGTGCAACTAATCATTTTCATCAGTAATCTACGGCATTTACGGATTGCGCTAGCTGCGACAGAAAGCGAACAAACATGGTGATTCTTTGCGTGTCCTTCCTTATTGGGGCTTAATGGCGGTCGGTCTGTGCTCGTTGGCATTCCATGTCAGCCTCAAGTACCACACCCAAATGAGTATGTGCCGCGTATTTCCCCTCCCCCATCAGCTAACCATCCGGCTCATTATTCCCTTCACTAGTGGACGACCTCTCGATGCATTTTGCCACGACCCCTGTCCTACATCGTATTTTGACAGCCAATTCTAATCGCCGCGACTCAGTCGTCATGGCTATCGTACTGGGGTCTATGTTGCTGTTTCTGGTAACATACCATGTAAGAACCGATGAGCTGATCCTCCACTCCGTGTCCTTTGTCGGCACGGTGACGGTCATTGGGATTCACACTATGCGGCTCGTCAACAACCGGACGCTGCCGGGCTCAGCTTCCCGAAGACAAATCTGGGGAATGGTTCGGTTTGGAGCTGGTCGGTAATCCGATCCGGCAATGACATGCGAAAAGACTAACATGCGTGGATAGCAATTTTCAACCTAGGGTATTGGCTCTGGCTGATTGATCGGTGGGCCTGCGGCTTCTTGAGAGACGCGCGAGAGGCAATAGGTCTTCCTTGGGCTTTTGTATTGGAGCTTCACGGGTGGTACGTTTCAGAATTCCTATATGTTTTTCTTCCCCAGGACACTAAACGAATTGGAATAGGTGGCATATCTGTACTGGAATAGGCGCCTATGTCTTCATCGCTGTTGTAGATCACCTGGTCTCGGGCGAGGATCTAAGGGATATCCAGCAGTCATTTGCCTGGCCTGCTCCGTGGGCGTCGAGGTCAATCTTCGCAGGACGAGGTCCGTCCGTGGATGGGGGGGGTAAGGGAGAAGCAAAAGTGAAATCACGACTAGGTTTCTAAAGACAGGAGAGGCTGAGAGGGTGAGGCCAGAGACTCTCAGATGTTTCATTTGCTTATTCTTGAGGCTCGCCTAGTCCTTAGCTTAGCACCACCCATCGAGGTAGATGCTTTTGTCAGATAGTTTCCCTCCTTTAGATAGCATTAAGAATTTTCTTTTACGCCTTAATGCTATAGGTTGTATAGTCTATGATATATCTAAGAGATTATAAGCCTTTACCTTCTATTTAGGGATTTAATTAAAACTATTCCTGGAGTTGCATTTGGTCCGGATGGGGGCGGGTTCGTGGCCAGTTCATGGCACCAAACTGATCAGGGTTTAAGTCGAAATTTTAGGACTCGGAACCTACTCTAACCCAATCTAATTTAGTATAGATTTTAACTTAAAACTTAAGGCTGAATATAACTAATCTATTTATATTAAGAGCTAACTTACTATAGGTAGATTTAGATTAGATTTGGATTAGTTAAATTATTATTTAAAATCTAAATTTTTTTATATATACAATTTTAGAATACTTATTTATATAATAATAATTATTATTTAAAATAACATTTATTCAAATTTAGATATATAAAGACTTCTCTTTGTGATATCAGTGAATGAAAGTAGATCAATGATTACTAAGGTTGACCCTGGGTTACTAAGGTCAACCTAAGAAATCTCTATAATATCTATAACTTATCTTTTAGATAGATAGCTAGTAGCTAGATATAAATATAAGATCTTACTCTAGATAAGTAAAGAGATATTAACTTAGTCTATCTCTCTTTACCCCTAGTAATATTACTTTACCTATAGTAATTCTATCTAATAGTATATCTAAAATTATAAATAATAAGAAATTAAATACTCTTACTCTACTAAACTTATATTTATTTTAATAAATACTTACTACTCTTCCCTATAAGTAACTACTAAATTTAAGCTAAAAGATAGTAGGATAGTTATACTTAATAAAGAGTTTTTATTATAAAAGAACTCTCTACTAAGCCTTACTAGAAGAGATAAAAATAAAATAAGATATAGTAACTCTAGGTTAGAGAAATATTATTTAGTTATTAAAATAAGTCTTAACTAAAAATAATCCTTATAAGATAATATTCTTAACTCTCTCTACTAGAACTACTAGTAATAACTAGCTACCTATAATAAATAATCCTACTAAAGATTTATTAGAGGATATAAAATAAGCCTTTATTAAATTATTTAAGATAATAGCTTAAGGAGTACTACTTACTAATATTAATATATTTTTTTAGAGTATTTACTAAAAATAATATAATAAATAAGTACTACCTCTAAGATTATAAAAGATAAATTATTATTATAGATTATTATCTATCTTTAAGGTCTTAAATCTTACTCCTATCCTAGAGTATAAAAATATATATATAAGAGATATTATCTAAAAATAATAAAAAAGAGTTAAGAAATATTTTAGGGATATCTTATTAGTAATAAAGAGAGTTTCCTCTAATTTAGAATATTTTATTATTATTAAGTAGAAACTTATAGGATATATTTATAAGAGATAGAAAGTAGATAAAACTTAATTATAGATTAATCTTATATTAATAATTATTAATATAGAAATCTTTTATATATAGCTACTAAAGAACTTTAAGAAATATAATATAAATAATAAAAGATAAGAGAAATATAAAAGCCTTATCTAAGGTCTATAATTTATATAACTATATATTACTATCTTAGATAAAGCTATAGTATATATCTCTCCTCTAGTATATAAAGCTTTCCTTATTTAAAAATTTATTATTAGAAGTTAACTAGAGCTTAGGAAAAGATAGATAAAGAATTAAATATAATTATAAATATATAATAAAGTAGTTAAATACTTCTTTCTTTATAAGAATAATTTAGTTACTACTTAATAACTTAGAGGTAACCTATAGTTAAAATTATAATTTAATTAATATAATAAAGATTTAATAAATCTAAGTATAATTATTAACTCTTTCTAGCTAAGGAGAAACTTCTTATAACTAAATAAGAATTTATTAAAGTAGAAACTATAATATTATTAGAATAAAGTATATTTTATATATAATAAAACTAGATATCTCTAACTATATCTCTTAAAGATAATAAAAAATAGGAAAGATTAATAAATCTAGAGATACTTATTAATTAAATAAAGAAAGCCTCTAACTACTAAAATATATAATATAATCTCTTTAAAAATAGGAAGAAAGAACTACCTAAGAGAAGGAATCTTTAATTATTATAAAGAATTACTAAGATATATCTAAATATAATAGGTATTAACTCTATATATTATATAATAAAAGTATAAAGTAAGAGATAAATAATATAGATTAAGACTTTTATTAATTATAGAGCTAGTTATTTATTTATATTATAAATAACTACTAGTTATTTTAATATAATAGAGCCTTTTTATAATAAAAGAAAAATATCCTTAGTTATATAATTATTAAATAAAGCTATAATAAATACCTACTAATAAATAAGAATACTAATATAAATTAGATAATAGACTAATCTTACTAAGTTATAGATCTTAGATACTAATAAATATAAGATAATCTTAGGTTATAACTAGCTAAAAGTTACTAATCTATAGATTAACTAGTAATTAAGTTAGATAATCCTTTAAAATAAGAGAAGAATATACTTTACTTATTTTATTAACCTCTAATATAAGATTAAATATTATAAAGATAACTTAGTATAGTAGGTAACTATAAAATAACTAAAGTAGATCTTATAGAAAGGAAAGTTAATAATATAATTATATCTTTTTTAAACTAGTAAAAAGAAATTAATAACCATAAATTATATAAATAGATAAAAGACTTTAAGAATATATTCTAAGAAGAACTTAATCTAGGAATACTACCTATCTAAGGGATAGACTATATTATTAATATTAATAATACTAAACTAACTAATATAAATACTTACCCCTAATTATTAGAGAAGTTTAAGAAAACCTACTACTAAATAGAAGAACTACTATAAAAGGAAGTAATCTAGGCCTTAGTAAGCTAGTAGGATTTACTAGTAGTATTAGTCCTAAAGTTAAAAAGAAAATAATAAATATATATAGATTATTAAGTACTTAATAAAGTTATTATTAAGAATACTTATCTACTTCTAAGAATTTAGGAGTTAATTAACTAAGTTAGTTAGGTAAAGATCTTATTAAAAATTAATCTTCTCTTAGGGTACTAGTAATTATAAATAGTAAATAATTTAATTATTAAGATAGTATTTAATACCTTCTTTAGGAAATATAAGTTCCTTATAATATTATTTAGACTCTGTAATATATCTATAATATTCTAGATATATATAAATAGTTAATTATAAGATCTCCTATATATAATAGTATATCTTAATAATATCTTAATATTCTTAGTAAGTAAAGAGAAATATAAATAATATATATAAGAAGTCCTTACCTAACTATAGAGAAACCAGCTATTTATAAAAGCCTTAAAGTATAAATTTAGTTAATAAGAAATTAAATTCTATAGGTATATTATTAGAGAAGGAACTATAAAGCTAATACTAGCTAAGGTAGAAGTTATTACCTAATAGCTAAAACTAAAAAATATCTATAAAGTATAATAATTTCTTAGACTTATAATATATTATTACTAGTTTATACTAAGATTTATATAGGTTATAGCTACTCTTTATAATCTACTAAAGAAGTTAGATAAAGACCTTTAGAAGAAGAAATTCTACTTAATTACCTAAATAGTAAGATGCTAAGATACCTTTACTAACTTAAAAGAACTAATAATTATTATATTAGTATTAATAATTCTAAACCTTAATTAATCTTATTAAATTAAGACTAATACCTCAGAATGGGTAGTAGGAATAGTTTTAATATAGGAAGATAAGAACTATAAACTTTATCTAATTATATTTAATAGAAGGAAGCTTAGTAATATAAAAAGAAACTATCTAATATAAAAGAAAAAGCTACTTATAATAAAAGAAGTCCTTTAGAGATAGGACTACTATATTAATAATAGAAAGATAATAATAGTAGTAACTAATTATAAGAGTCTTTAATATCTTATAAATATAACTAAGTATTTAAAGTAGCTTACCTAGTAGGTAGAAGAATTTTAAAGTTATAACTTAGAGATCTACTATTAAAAAAATAGTAAAGTAATAGTACTAGATATAATTAGCTAATATCCTAACTTTATAGAAGAAGGGCTAGGTAATATTACTAAAAGAACTTTACTTAATATACTAGAAGTATAGGAGATAATAGAGATAAGATATTTTAAAAGCCTAAATAACCTTATAGAGTATAAATAGTATAATATTATAGTAGAATACCTAGAGCTATAGGTCTTACTATAGGATAAAAAGAAGTAGGAGCTTATACTAATAATAGCCCTATCTTTTAAACTAAAAAAAGAGGTGCTATATCTCTTACTAAATTAAATTATAGATAGATAATATCTAAGAGAATGATTTATATATTACTAGAAATTAATCTATATTATAGATATTAGAGATACCCTATATCTAGAGATTCTATTCTAAAGGGACTTCCTATAAGGAATATATAGAGAATATAGCTATATAGGCTACCTAGTATTACTAGGAGCTATTAAAACTTAAGCCTAGTGGCCTTCTCTATAATATAATATTTAAGCTATAATTAAGGAATGCCTAAATTATTAAATATTATAAGGGCTAAAGAAATATCTTAAATAGGAATAGTAATACTATATAGTAAAGAAAGATATCTAGCCTTTTAAACACTAGGGTATTAACCTTATTAGATACCTATTAGTAATACTAAATAGTAATAAATAGATTATTACTGCCATTAACTATGTAATAGGATAGGTTATTATAAAAGCTATTTTATATGCTATAGATAAAATAATAGTAAAGTTCCTATATAAAGAGATATTTACTTAGTATAGTGCTTTTAATAAGATAGTATCTAATAATAGTATAAACCTTCTATTATATATAGTAGAGATCTTTATAAAAATCTTAAAAGTAAAATATTATATAATAATACTAAACTATCCCTATATAAATAGAAAGAATAAAAACCTTAATAGACTCCTGGGCTGAATACTTATAAAATATTTAATAGGGAAACTAATATAGCTATAGGATAAATATCTTTATTTAGCTATATTTATAGTATAGATATATACCTATATAAATACTAATAAAAGCCCCTTCTACCTACTATATAGGATTAAACTAAGATTACTAGGAGATATAAGAGAACCTATAAAGGAAAATAATTATAATAAGCTTATAAGAGTAATATATATATAAGTATTAGTAAATAAGAAGCTATTAGAATATATAATTATAAGAGAGATAATCTAAGATTTATAAGTAAAAAAAAGTTATCTTAAGAAAGGCTAGTAAGTCTTTATATAAAATAAGAGCCCTTAGAAGTTTAAGAGTAAGTAATTTAAACTATATAAGGTAATTAAGGCCCACCTCCTTAGAATATATATATTATAGGAACTAGATAGATATAATCTAAAGAACCTTATTAATAGATAGAGACTAGTAAAAGCAGAGATAAAAGATAATCTATAATATCTATAAATATTAGTAAGCCTTAATACTAGGCTATAAAAAGTAGGCTTATTAATCTTTAATCTAATTAAAATATAAAAGATACTTAATAAGACTAACCCCCTAATACTATTATATAAAGAACTATTATAGTGTATAGTAGAAGGATATAATAAATAAAAATATTTAGGAGAAAGTTTATAATAAGTAAGGGAGGGATTAGGAATATAGTATAAAATAAGTAAGTAAAAAACTTAATATATTAGTAAATAAAAATTAGTAAGGAATAGCTACCTTATATAATAATAAATAAAATTATTAAAGCTATGGAATAATAAAGACTTAATTATTTTAGATAATAAGGACTAAGAGGGAATTCAAAGTAATAATTTAGAATTAATATCTTAAAAGAATACTAGAGAGATAGATTTTAAAGAACTATTTATAGTTATAATATTCTCTTATTAGGAGTAAATAGAGTAGTATAAAGATAATATATTTATATAGATAGATTAGAAAATAGTACTATACTAGAATTACTTTCCTAAGAAGAAGAAAAGGAATTATAGACTAGTAGATTTTACTAATTATAAAAAAAAAACTAATTATAATAGGATATTAAGAATTATACTAATTAATTAAAGTAATAAATAATTACTAATTAAAAGTCTAAGTTAAACTTTATATTAAGAACTCTATAAGATAAGGCCTTAGCTAATTAGAATAAATTATTATTATTACTAGGAGGAGGTGCTAATTCCTCTAGATAAGCCTTAATATAATAAGTAAATACCTAAAGATCCTAAAGAACTATAAAAAGATTATAATAATTACCCTAGTTAATATAACTTACTAGCTAGGGAATATAAACTCTATTAAAAGGATTTTTATAACTAAATAATAATAAAGAAGAATAATATCTAATAAGACTCTTTATTAGGGCTGCTAATAAGATACTTATTAAAATATAAGAAAGAGTTATTATAGTAGAACTAACCTAAGAAAGAGAGAGAGTTAACCTAACTAAACTATCCTAAATAAGAGAGGAAGTTATTAAAGAAGAACTAATCTAAGAATAAGAGGAAGTTATTATAATAGAATAATATCTCTTAGCTAGACTAATCACTACTACTATAAAATATTTTAAGAAAAGATAATACTTCTTAGCTAGAGCCTTCTCTACTATAGGAGAAGAGCCTCTACTATAAGAAATACTAGAAGAACTTATCTCTACTATAGGAGAAGAGCTTTTATTATAAGAAATACTAAAAGAACTTATTTTTATAGTAGAAGAATTAATATTATTTTTTATACTAGACTATATATACTTATTATTATCTAGAGAACCTTTACTAGTGCTATTATCTAACTTCTTATTATAATTATTAGTTACTACTGCTAGCTTAGCAGGCTAATTATATAACTTATTACTATAACTAGTAAGGAAACTAAGACTACTAGCTTAAATAATAAGTCTATAAAAGTAAAAAAAATTAGTAACTATAGATAAGAAATATTTACTAAGGAGAATATATACTTATTAAGAGTATTAGAATCCTATATATAAAGACCCTATATATAGAATAAATATACTAATTCTTAGTTACTCTAAGTATAGTTAGCATAGGACCCCTAAAAGAATATAAATCTATTATAACTAGGAGTAGAGATGCATCCCCTAAAGGAATCTTTATCTAAAATATAATTATTATAAGTTAGTATATAGTTATAAGATGCACCTTACTACTAGAGAATAATAGCTAATATATAATCTAAATAAGTATATTTCTTTATATCTAGCTTCCCCTTCTTATTAAACTTCTAGATAATTAGGTAAATAATATTCATTACCTTTAATATACTTTTATTAGCTCTATTAAGATAAGCTTCTATTATTAATAAGAGATAATTACTAAAGCTAAGAAGAGTACTTACTAAACTTATTAAAAGTAATTATATTTTTTTAGTAAATAAGATAGCCTTTACTTTTCTTTTATAGAGTATCTATATTTACTAAGTATAAGAAGAATATAAGAGACTAATATATAAAGAAAGAGACTCTCTAAAAGAGAGATAGTAATTAATATAATAAAAAGAAAGATACTTATAGGAGGAGAAAAGAGAAAGGGAAATATAAGAGATAAAAAAAAATAAGTAAGATAAAGTAGAGTTACTTAAAATTAAAATAAATAATATATAATCTTATCTTATCTTTACTATAATAATTATATTAATAACCTAACTTACTAAGTAATCTAATACTACCCTCTAAAGTAATCTAATACTACTTACTAAGTATAATCTAATATTACTTACTAAATATAATCTAATATTACTTACTAAAGATGAACTAAATTCTACTTACTATATATAATATTACTCCCTTAGACTATAAGGACCTTTTAATAAGGAGCTAGATAACCTACTAAGAATAGGCTTTATCTTAAGTAGGGGAGGATGTGATATTAGTAAATAAATATTATAAGTAGATTAATAATTATTAAGATTAACTCTAGGTTACTAAGATTAATCTAAGAAATCTCTATAATATCTATAACTTATCTTTTAAATAGATAGCCAGTAGCTAGGTATAAATAGAAGATCTTACCTCAGGTAAGTAAAGAGGTATTAGCCCAGCCTATTTCTCTTCACCCCTGGTGATACTACCTTACCCTTAGTAATACCACATATACGAGTCCTATTCTTAGTTCTACCTATTTAGATGACTAAGATAGGTTTCATCTTTTACGCCTTGATGCTGTAGGTTTCATAGTGCGCCTGAGATTTATTCACCATCTATGCATCCCTTCATCTCACTTGTGAATCTATTCAACTCTAGTCTACTTTCCTTTTCTATTGCGCTCTGGCTGATTATATAATCTATACCCTGTGGCCAGTGGGTTGGAAAAGCATGAGAAGACACCGCGAGAGAAGTAGTAACCCATCAAAGCAGCCGGTCTGTATCTAAGAAGGTGAAATCAACCGATTTATCACTAGATCCTAATTTACAGCGGATGTTAGAGCTCGCTAGAGTGGGCGACGGACACCAACATACCAGGAGTGAGATCTGTGCTCGGGCAGCTATCCGGGAGCGTTCTAACCACAGACACAAATTCCATTATGGCACCCACAAGAGCCTCAAGTCTGGTGGAACAGGTGATATGGGGACATATCAGGTTGGCTTTCATCGACTGGTGGAAGCTCTTGAGCAACTCGACGTCGCTGGTGGCGTGGGGATCTTGAATAACGTTTGATGCAAGCGCAGAGATGGCGGCAAGCGATTCGGTGGAAAATAGACTAGAAAGTCCAGTTAGTGACAGGGATAAAACCCTAAGAGAAATGATCCGAGCTTATAGATATAGGGGTAGAAGTGGCTGATTTTTGAGGTTTTCGCCTGTGTCCATTCCTATAGATGTTAGGATCAAGATCGTATTTTGCGCAGTCGAGAGGACTGTGTCGCGATATAGACTCCCCGGAAACACCTCGTTGATCATCAGTCTGGTCGTCAAGCAGCTGAGGGTAATCCAGAGTTGGAAGCCATCCGTTATAGGGCATGATGCGAACGGGCCAACATCAATACCGAGAGTTGACTGAAGTTTCTGAAGTTCTTCGAGATGGCGTATTGCAAGATCTTGGGCCGTGGGCACATGAAGAAAGGATGTGCGAGAAACCAACACGTCATGGCGAAGCTGAGCGACGCGAATTGTGGCAAGAAAATGTTCTCTGCCACGGCTGCCCGGTTGTTCCAGCGGCAGGGGCATCTCGATCATGGCGGATGAGGGTATTCGTTTAGATGCACTCGTCGAGATGGAGGTTTCCAGGACGAAGATACACCAGAATACGTTGATGTGTTCCTCGTCGAGTACCGGGCGTTGAGAACTCTGCAGTAGACCGCTCCGTAAATCCAGGAGTCTCCATAGAGTGTGTGAGAGCTGTAGGCATCTTCGTGCCAGATCCGTGAGGCACATAGACTGGCACACTAGGGACTGATTGTGTCAGTACAGGTTTTGACAGAAGCTCCAGAGAATCAACGGCCTCACCAGAGAAAGCAATGCTTGCACATTCGCTATCCTGGGATAAAGAAGGGATTCCAGGCTCCCGAACGCTCCCAACGCGTTGTCCGAGAATGTTTTTAGGAGCTCCAACTCAATTACAGCTGGCACATCCTGTGCAAGGTGGCGTCGAACTTTGGCCATAAGAGTCAGGAGAATGATATTATTGAAGCAGAGCGAGTAGGCAACGTCCTGGCTGTCGTTCCAAGACTCGTCGTAATGTTCCATGTGCTCCTCAATTTTGTCCCTGGAGAACATAGGGAACGAATCGTTCAGCATGTCGAAGTATGTTATCGCCATCGCTTGCAGTATAGCCAACGGAGGTCTCAATACTGTGACCCTCATATTCATTCCGTCCTGGAGCTTCTCCTGGAGCTCGGAGATCTGTCGCAGAGATGAGGTCAGCGTGGCTAACGGTCCACTTGTTTGATTGTTTCCAGCATATTTTGCAACTGCGATCTTCGTGCAGGCTACTGCGAGACATGTGATGCTGCCTCTTTCTTCCGAGAGCTGCTGCTGAACCTCAGGAGGACTCGGTGGCCATTCAAAGCTGTCACTTTGGGTAAGTTCGAGACCAGTCGTACAGGTCGATGATAGCTCTCCCGCTGCGGGAAGACTAAACAGCACTGATTCAGCCTCAATCCTGTCGAGGTAGGGTTGAATTCGAGACAGAGATGTTTCAAGACTATTAATGCGACTTTCTGCCTGGCGTAATCGGCGAATACTGGTTAGCACGTCAGCAGCCATGCACAAGAGAGCTTCAGACTGTTCGATACTGGGTCCTCACAGTTCGGTGTTCTGGTTGGGCTTCTTTCCTCGCCCAGAGTAGTCGCAGACTAGGTTCAACCGTTTACAGTTGCTACATACTGGCCGTTGCCGTTCACAGCGTTGCTTCTTAGATCGACACTGATCGCAGGCTGTACTCAATATTTTTTCTTTAGCTATGTCTCAATTATGTTCGATGGAATTTTCATACCAGGATCATGCGTAGACCACATGGGAGCCTGCGGCTCTGCTTGGTCTAAGCGGACCCCATCCTCGGGCATTGTATCGGAATCGAAGATTTGCCGATTCGGCTTTGGTCAAATCTAGACCGGTGCTACAAAAGTCATTGATCAAGTTCGGGCCGGGTGAACCCACATCATATAAGCTACTTGGGAAGGATTCTTATCACGTTTTCCGGCCCAACAACGATTTCCATAAATGCAGTAAAAGTATTGGTTTTGTCGCTGATGCATGCACGGCGCGTCTTACTCCCCTCATGCTTAAGTTGAAGGTCTCTCCTAAATGGCCAAGCTCGGTGTGCCTTCGGCCACTCCGTTTCCAATGTAACCTACCCTGGCCTCACAAACATACCGGGGTACATGGTAACTAATCAGCTTGCAGTCCTGATGTGGGACACCACAAATGGAGGTCATCTGCTCGCCAGATCGCCAGGTCGCTAGGTGGCCCCTAACTAGAAATTACAAGTAAATATTAAGAATTTCTAGTATTTAAGAATATAGATAATAGGAGATTTATGATCTATTTACTTATATAATAATGTTAGATTATTTATTTCTCCCTAACCTTTGGGTTAATTAAAATTCATCTATAAAGAAATATTAGTAGAATTTCCTTTTCCTAGCTAGTATTTTATAATAAAATTATAGAGTATTAATAACATATACTAATAACTCTATTTTCTATTTAGCTTTAGCTATTTTATTAAGGATTATAAATTAGTATAATCTAAAAGAACTTTAATAGTATAATATATACCTTTTATACATTATTACTAATATTTAAATATATAAATGCTAATAAAAAGCTCTTAATTAGATATACTCTAATTTAATTTAGCCCTCAAAAACTTCTAAGACTAAATTATAACTATATAATATAGTCTCTTTCTTTTTATTAATATTCTGTAATGAGTAGGCAGCCCAGTGCCTAGTTATTACAATTAACCTAAAGGAAAGATTTTTATTAATACTTATATTAATTATATAATCTTAATATTAATATAGTAGAAGTATTTTAGAGTATTTCTCATAGAATATACCTCTAGAATCTTATAGTTCTATGGGAATATTATGTTTAGTTAAATTATATATAATAATATTATCTCCTAGTAACTAGATCGCTTTAAGTAATTTTATAATAGTAAATATATATATATATATAATTTTTATATTTTTTTTATAAATACTTCAATATTAAAAACTACTAGATTAATAACCTCAAGCTTGTAAGCCTTATTCTAAGATAATGAATAAATATAAAAATTAGTAAAGATAGCTACTAATAATAGTGTGATATGGTGAACACATATCAGTGGTGATAGGTAGTGGGTATCTAGGTTAACCTTAGTAATCTAAGGTTGATAGTGAAATCTCTGTAATATCTATAATTATCTATTATATAAAATAACTAGATAGTATAGATATAAATAAGAGTATCTTCTCTAATAATAAAGAGGATAAGGCCTAGCCTATCTCTCTTTTTATCTTTAGTAAAATTATATAGTTATAGTAATTCTATCTAGTAGTATATCTAAATTTATAGAACTATAATTAATTTATAAAAACTTTATAAGACCTCAAGTTTATCTCTAATAAATTTATACTACTCTTCCCTAAATATTAATTACTAAACCATAGTTAAGGGGATGATTTAGTAAGTATAATAAAGAATTTTTATTATAGATATCTAAAAGAGATAAAAAAATAAAAGATATAATAACTTTAGGCTAGAATATACTACTTAGTTATTTAATAAGCCCTAACTAAAATTAACTATTAGAAATATTAATTATTATAAGATAATACCCTCTAACTCTCCTACTAAAATAATTAATAATAATAATTTACTTATAGTAAATAATCTAGTAATGGATTAATTAGAAGATATAAGATAAGTCTTTAATAAATTATTTAATATAATAGCTTAAGAAGCCTCTCTTATTAATATTAATAGCTTATTCTAAATTCTCTACTAAGAATAATATAGTAAATAAATAGTACCTCTAGGACTATTAGAGATAAATTATTATTCTTAAGAATAATCTATCTTTAAGGTTTTAAATCTTATCCCTATCCTAGAATACTAAGATATATATATAAAGAATACTATCTAGAAATAATAAAAGAGGATTAAGAAGTACTTTAAGAATATTTTATTATTAATAAAACGGATTTTCTTTAATTAAGAATATCTTATTATTATTAAGTAGAAGCTTATAGAATATACTTATAAATAGTAGAAGGCTAATAAGACCTAAGTATAAATTAATCTTATATTAATAATTATTAATATAGGAGCCTTCTATATATAACTCCCAAAAAACTTTAAGAAGTATAATATTAATAATAAAAGATAGAAGGAATATAAATAGCTTACTTAGGGATTATAGCTAGTATAGCTATATATAATAATCCTAGATAAAGTAATTACTTAGATCTCTTTATTAATAGATAAAGCTTCTCTTATTTAGAAATTTATTATTAGGAGTTATCCTAAGCTTAAAAAGAGATAAATAAAAGAATAAATATAACTTTAGTTATATAATATAGTAGTTAGATATTATACTTTTTATAAGAATAATTTAATTATTATTTAATAACTTAGTAATAATCTATAGTTAAGATTATTATTTAATAATTATAAGAGTAATTTAATAGACCTAAGTATAATTACTAGCTCCTAATAGCTAAAGAAGGGCTTATATAGATAGAAGATATAGTATTACTAGAATAAAGTATATTTTAACTATAATAAAGTAAGATATCTATATCTATACTCTTTAAAGAATATAAAAATTAAGTATAATTAATAAATTTAGAAGTACTTATTAATTAAATAAAGAAAGCTTTAAAATATTAGGATACCTAGTAGGACTTATTTATTAATAAAAAGAAAGGACTATATAAAGATACTTAATTATAGTAGAAAGTATTTAACTTATAGAAGATTAAAATTACTAGGCTTATTTAAATACTATAGGTATTAACTCTATATATTACTTAATAGAAGTCTAAGAAAAAGAGTAATTAATTAAGTTAAAAACTCTTATGAACTATAGAGCTAGTTACTCCTTTCTTTTATAAGTAGTTATTAATTATCTAGCTATTATAGAGTTCTATTATTATAAGAGAGATATATCCTTAGCTATCTAATTACTAAATAAAGTAATAATAAGTACTAATTAATAAGTAAAAATATCTATATAAATTAGGTAATAGACTAGCCTTATTAATCTATAGGTCCTAGATACTAATAAATATAATATTATCTTTAGATATAGTTATTAGTCAGTGGTATCCCTATATTTGAAGTATATATTATTTTTTTATATATAGGATTTACTCCTTTTAAGTAGTTTTAATAATATACTCCTTTTTAGATATATAACTAAATATAATACACTATAGTAGAGTAGTAGTTAAAGTTAATAATCAATATTAGGGATTATCTAAAACATATTCCTCTTCTTTCTTTAGTTTCTTACTACTATATATAGTATTTCTGTACTATCTATCTATCTATCTATCTGTCTATCTATCTATCTATCTGTCTATCTATCTATCTGTCTATCTATCTATCTATCTGTCTATCTATCCATCTATCTAATTAAGGAGTAGAAAGAAGAATATTACATAAATAATTTAGGTATAAGAAATATTTTATATATAGATAGGAATGTAAGATTAGTATCTAGATAGGTTAAATACTATTCATCCCTACCTAGAGGAATCCCATCAATTTTAAATCAGTAGTTATTAGATTTCAAACTGCTGTTGGAATCATAATATTATATTTAGATAGTAAGTAATTATCTTCTATACTAATTTATATAATATTAATATTAGATCTATCTCTAATTATAAATTATTACTATAAGAGCCTTTATCTTCCTTATTTTCTACCTTTTTAATATTAATACTAATTTGATAATCTCTAAGTACTCCTTCTCTATAATAAACCTCTAGTATATAAAGATTTAGAATTTTATTAATATTAAATAGATAAATAAGCTTATATTTATAAGTATAAATACTAGGATTCTAGATAGACTTAAAGATATTAATTTTAGTATAGATAACCTTAATTCTATACTAGAAGATAAAGATATTTAGCTTAAAAAAGAGGAGATTATCTAGAGCTAGTAGCTAAGAGGCTAAAGATAGATAATTCTTAGGCTTCTTAGCTTGTTAAGCTATTATAGATACTTATAAAATCGCCTTAGGAGTTAGGAGGCCTAAAATTAGATTCTATATTAAAAATCAGATTAGATTTATTATCTTCTAGGTATAAATAGCTTTAGATTTTATTAATTAGTCCAAAATTAAATTCTATATCTAATATTTAATTAGATTCACTATCTTTAGGCCTAAAAGGCTTTAAATTTTACTTTTCTCCAATAAAAATACTTTTAGCTGTAAAAAGGTTAAAATAATGTGTCATTTTAGTATTTACTGTGGTCCACCCCAGTAACTTCATTAAGTTAGTGGGCCTGGCAGGGGTAGTAATCCTATGAATACTGCCACTATCTAATCTATATATAGAATAGTAAGATAGGAAGATAATAAGATAGTGAAATTCTATGGATTTCTAATATTTTATATAACCCCCTTCTGCCTGAATGACTACCTTACATCTAGCCTATATAGATTAAATAAGACCCTTAAGAAATTTATCTGGAATAACATCCTATACTACCTATATAACATCTTATAGAATATTATAAGATAGTTAATTATTATCTAGATATCTATCTTAAATCTAGTGCTTTATCTAATTTTATATTATCTTTATTAGATTTAGATTAGGGGAGTAGGTAGACTAAAAGATAGAGTAGATCCTATACTTATAAAGCTCTTAAAAAGTCTCTTTACTAGTATATTAAGGAGTATTATCTTATATAAGATAAAGCTATTTATCTAGATTCTAATAATAGATAAAATATAGATAATTATTAATTATAGATATAATCTACTTATAGTATCTCTTTATATAAATAAAGTCTTATTCTTTCTTCTAGAAGAGATAGAGATCTCTCTAATCT